GTGAGACAGAATGAGACAGAATGAGACATAATTCTATAGACATTGACTTTCCATACAGGAGAACGGCACCTAGGTCGTTAATCTCAACTTCGCCAAAGCCCGATGGTGAGTCAATGTCTGCGCATGGCCAGGTAGAAACAACGTGCTTTACACAGCCTAGCTGGTTGTCATCGTACTCTCTGGGGGTGTCCAGAGGCTGTAGAAACCCATCGGCAAGAGAGTCTGTAACTACATGGCGCCATTGGTGATCAACAACATCTTGAGCCAGTCAAAACGTCACTCGCGGTTGTCGACAAGAACAATTAAATTCTGGACAGTGATCGCATTTGGGTCGGAAGATGTCAAGTCAAATCACAGGCCTCAAGACAGTATCTGAGGCGCAAGTTCCGGCAAGTCCTTGGTGAACAGGTGCTCTCTGGGACGGTGATAGCCTTAGACCTGGCCAGAATCTGGTCAGGTATCTGTATCAATGGTGTGCCACGCTCCCACGCCACAATTCCAAAGTCGAATCTGCAATTCGATTGGGGACCCGCAAGGAGGGGACCAATTACCAGTGGACAGCTCCATTCTGGGTCACTCTTGTAGAGAGACTAGCCATCAGCCGAATACAGACAAAGTAAACAAGGCAATTAGGAGTTGGCAGTGACCGATCTCTGTCAGTCACCAAGTTCATTGGGCACTGGCTCCATCGGGACCTAGTCCCAGATTCTGTCCTAGTCCCAGGGTCTGCTCTAGTCCTAAACTAGGGAACTACCCAGACTTGCCACTCACAATTTCCACCAGACCCAGGTATTGTCTGTGGTATCACAATTGCAAAAATCTTGACACAGTCTAGCCTCGGTCGATTAGCCAACATGATCACAGGACTCGGATCGCTGACTCCATAGGCTGGCTTTATGTGTCAACCCTCCAACCTCCTCGATCAGCCTCACACACTGCCTCTGCCTCTGCGGTTCACAGTGTATAACCGTAGAGTCCGTGGAAGTGTTGTGTCACTTGACAACTGGCGAGCTGGCTGATGACACATGGGCTGACTGATGACACCCGGGCTGGTATCCGACAAACTACCTGGTATCCCGACAGACGAGCAAGACGTTCACAGTCCGAGTGACTTGAAACTGAACGAGAGTGTCTGTGTGACTTGTAAGCCCGAAAGAGAGACACGAAACCGCGTTCGGTTAGCGCAATTCACGCGACGATCTCGATCTCGGAAAGAAGAAAAAAAAGAGAGGAATGAGAAGATAGGTTTGGGGCGGGGAGGAACATGCTTATATAGATGGGGGAGATGGAGGAAAAAGTGACGTAATGTATTACCAACAGATGTATTACCAAGTAAAGAGCTTCACTAAAGAGTTTCAGTTGCATCTTAATTCTTTTAGTGATCCCATTAATTTTAGTTGGATTTTTAGTTTATTAATTAATACTTTTATTTATACTTTTAATTTTAATTATATTTGTTGATTAAATCAGTAAATTTAGTAAAATAAAACATTGAAAATCTACAAACTCCGTAACTGCTGATAAATCGGTACCAAAACAACTTCAATATACTCTGATCACCTCTGAAGGCATTTCACCTTCATTGATGTAATGAAGACAGTAGGTCTGATCACGTTGGAGGGTGTATCAAAGTATAGCATGTGGTACAATAACTGGTGGTAGTTGTTGATGGTCATGTGATATAACATATCCCAAGAAGTCTACAAATTAATGTGTTTTACAATACTTGTATTGATAATTCAGCTCTACTCACATACTTTGTAGTTGTGCCAGTACGTAGGTCTGTCTACCAACATACTTGATAATTCAGTGTAGATTGACAAGCCTCCATAAATATACAAGCTCCATAAATATCTACCATAGTTTCTGTACATACGAGGCTTCCTATTGTGACTCCGTTGTCAGTTCAATTTATGTATAATATGACGTCTTCATTCGCAGTAAACGTGTCTTGTATATATCGATCATATCCTGACTGTACATCCAGGCTCCCAGTTTTCCCTCTGAATATCCAACAAACAACTCTCTTCCAAAGAATCCCAGAGATCCTTGGTTCAGCTCAAAGTCTTCCTTCATCTACCAGACATTCCAGATAGCCAGAAGTACAATAAATAAAAATTCATGTGTGTTTCCTTCAATATAAAACGCACTATAGAGAAACAGTACATATCGTTGAGCCCCCCATGGGACACGAGAGAAGAGAGAGCCTAAGTACTGTTCGAACTGCTTGATCCGGTTTTTACAATAGTACATCTTGTTTATTCTTGCAGTCCCTCTTCCATCGTCCTCAGAAATGTCTTTCATGTCGACGAAAATGGGAAATAACCCCGTGTACCTTCTGGAGAACGGTCTATCATCCATAGGAGTCCCTTACAAACCGAGTTAACTCCTACGACCGAATCTGGAAACTAAATAGTTTCGGGTACCTCGTCAGTATCGACATTACATAATCTCAAGGTCGTCTCATTCATACATAATAGTAAGCCAGTGATCTGGGGAAGATGTATCACATATCTTGGTCATTCTTAATCAAATCCTCGAAAGGACTTATGAGTCATCATCGCATGGAAATTCAACCCTAGTTAGTACTACAGTGTAGGCTGTTTTTTTTCAACTTATCTCTTCGAAATTATCAAGCAACATGGAGCAGTTCAAAGTTACTCAATGTTGTTCAAAATCGATTTTTGTATATATTATCGTTTTCTCCGACTCCAATTTACTCACTGTGCAAAATCTGAAGAGGATTTGAGCACTTTCAACCATTTAATGATATCAAATGAAAATTAAAAAATTATTATATATATAAAAATAAAAATAATAGAACATTAAATAAATACAAGGGAAAAAAACAGGAAAAAACATGGAAAAAAAACAGGGAAAAAAAGGGGGAAAAAAACAACAGAATCAAATCGAATCAGCCCTTCTCAAAGCCCCTACCAGGTCACACGAACAAATGAAATCCAAGTCCCTTGGGTACATGACCAGATCTTGGTGGTTTCCAGGGTGATTGAGTGTATTTCAGCACGGACCGAAAAGACCACATTTTCGAGAATTTGGCTGACATTCTCGAAAGCATAGGAGTATATCTGACTTCTTTGTTTCTCTCTATTGTTACTAGTCGTACTCAGGGAGATGTACTGATAGAGATGTTGCTACTGTATGTACTCTTGTCAACTTTTTAACAATATCACAGTCAGAAATACATCTAAAACACGGTAAATTGATCCCTTTAAACCGACAAAAAACTTCCGAAAGCTATCGCTGTTTTATCGCCGGTGTGTGGCTATTTCCAGATTTTCAACATCTTTCCAATATTTAAGGTTGCATAAATGTTAGATTTAAGGTTCGGATACGCTACCTTAAATTTATAACGAGTATTTTCAAAAGCTTCGAGCGTTTGGAACGACTTCAATTGTGCATTTTGTGCCATATTTGGCGTTGAAGTTGGTCTCACGGACGTTTTTGTTTAGTATTATGTCGAAGAAACGGCCGAATTGGTCCTTTTGGGGTATTTTGGAAAATCAAAGTGTTGCAATTACAACCAAAGTGGTACCAGCAGAGAGCCCGGATTCGCGTGAGTGTGGCTGTGTGTTTTGTTTCCAAATTCAATTACTTTAAGGTATTCTGTTGGAGTCATTTGTTTGATCACACTGTGTTGACATTGTCTAAAGTAGAGCGGGTATCTTGCATGGAAGCGGGTATCTTGCATGGAAGCGGGTACCTTGCATGGAAGCGGGTACCTTGATTTTGTCTCCTTTTGTCTCCTTTTTGTCTCTTTTTGTGCGATAATTCTCCGTCTCTTCTAGACCATCACTTGTACGCAGACGGGCGACGGGGAAGAGAGCAGATGTGGTGAGCAACACAATCATGGTACAGCCCCATTACTGATTTAGAATGAGACTCCAGGACGGATAAGGACATACCACTGGCACAGGGATCCGAAAGATCAAGACACAGGTTGCCAGGCCACTAAAACAGATGCCAAACCCGGGCACAGTTGTCACGTCACGAACACAAATACCAGATACAAGATGATACCGCCAACACCAAGACCAGTGACTCAATCGTGGCTACATACCACAGTCAGCAAAGATGTTCTCACCACGTCATCAGACGAGACATTCAAGCAGTGACAGATGTCATTCACAGAAGCAGAGACAAATGTCACTCCAACACTAACAGACGCTCAGTGGCATGTCATGTGTTAGAGGCACAGTAAGTGAAGCCACATCACTCTTTGGACAGAGACTTGAACCACATGGACACTGACTGGACAACCACGCACCGAAGTTCCATACACTCTTGAAATTTTCAGCCTCCTTCTCGTGGTCAGACCGAGTCTTGCCTCTGTTCTCCACAGTACAACACCAAAGATTCTATGCCGCGGACTCCGTACGGTCTCCATTGTGGAAGTAATACCTTCGTCATGAACCCACAGAGGAAGTGGAGTAAATGTCGTAGTTTGTGTCTGCGCATCCACTGAGCACAACTGTCCACCAGCCAACAACTAGTCTGCGACGCCCTGCTCACCCGGTTTGTAGACTGAGCGTCTGCACGTGCTCTTGCTAAGTCTGCAACTTCATATTTGGCCAGCCTCCGTTTGAGACAGTCAAGTGCCTATGTAGTGTCTGGTGAAGTTTCATATAACGGTACCAGTTGCCGTTGCTGCTCCTTATCATGGCCCCCTGCTATGGTCTCATGCCTGCTCATCCCAAGGCAGAAACCAGTCGATTCGAAACATCTACACACAGTCAGTGTCATGACCTACCACCTCCTTGTCCATGTCACCAACAATCTAGACGCAGTCAGTCTACAGACTCTGGCTACACTCGTTTCTTATGCATTTCTTAATTTCTAGTTTTGAGGTTGTATGAGATCAAGAGACCGAGTGAGAAGAGTAGCCACGCAACAGTTGAGCTTGCTCAAATGCTTGGTACATGTCCGCTCTCTCACCAGACTCGCTTCACTCGTCTTGCTTGTCGCTCATTCTGTTCCGTTTGTTAGCTCACGTGATCAAACAGCATGCTGACACTCTCTCCATTATGAATTCGTCGGATCGCCTCGGCAAAAACTCTGGAAATGTCAATCACGTCCAGCTTCTCGCCTAGTTCGACGGCATGCTGGTCCTGGGGCGTGGAATTCGTGGTTACAATCTTGTCGATTTCGCTCTTCTTGATCTTCTCCACCGCGTCGCCTGAAAAGACGCCGTGCGTGATGAGGGCATATACCTTGACGGCGCCCTGGTCCTTGAGCAGCTTGGCCGCGCGGGTGATTGTGTTGGAAGTATCGAGGAGATCGTCGATCAAAATGGCCACTCTGCCGCTCACATCACCAACCAGCATGGTGGTGGCGTTATGCTTGCCGGCAATATGGTCGCCGGAGATTTTGGTAGGGCGTCTCTCCTTGTGGATCAGCGCAAAGTCCATACAGAGTCCGTCGGCAATGGCGGTGGCCCGCTTAGCGCCGCCGGCGTCAGGCGACACAATTACCGCGTCCTGGTAGTTTGGAATCTGGGTGGAAATGTAGTGCTGAAGAAGAGGCTTGCCATACAGGTTGTCGACGGGGATGTCGAAAAATCCCTGGAACTGGGGGTCGTGCAGGTCCATGGTGATGATATGGTCGGCGCCAGCGCAGGTCAGCAGTGAAGCAATGAGGGTACCGCTCTGGGCAACCCACTGCTTGTATCCGGTATTGTAGTCCTTGAAGAATCCGCTCTGACGGGGCTTGCCGCTGGCGTTGGCCAGGTCGGTGGTCGAGTCGGAGTCCTTGCCGCCGGTTTTGCCGCCGGGAGGCACAATAGCCTTGGTGTAGGGCACATCGGGTTGTCGTGAGTAAGGAAACAGAGGCATAACCGCGGTCACCTTCTTGGCACTGGCCGTCTTGCAGGCTGAGATCATGATCAGCAGCTCGATGAAATTGTCGTTGACGTGACCGCATCCGCTCTGAACCACATAGACGTCCTTCTCTCGCACACTGTCTCGAATCGTCACGGAGGTCTCGCCGTTCTTGAACTTGGCCAGGTCGACGTTAGAGGGCTCAATCGCCAAGTTGGCGCAAATTCGCTCCACCAGTTTCGGGTGAGACGAGCCCGAAAAAATGGTGGCAGATCGCATGTTGGAGGCTATGGCGGCAGACAGCTAAACGGCAAATATACTCCTACACAAAGGGTATATTTGTCAGTTTAAAGGGGGAGAGAATGGGGATGTGGTTGAGGTGAAGTTGGTGGTAAGGTGTGATATTTTTTGACAGACAACTTTTTTATGCAGTGTGAGCTTGTGTCGTTTAGGGTTTGGCGTGCAGGTAGGGTGCATGTGCATCTGGAGTGCGCAAGGTGTGGGGAATCTGAACATCTTGTGTGGTACTACTGGAGTTGGCGAGGGTGGGTTTTGGCAGCAACTGGGTTGATCGGCACGGGTTGAGATCGCCCAGTAGGGGCTCTTGTCGTGTTGGTATTGACCCATCTGGAATTTCTCAGGTTCTAACTCTGACAGGATCCGACAAGACCTTCCCAAAAGACACGTGCCAAGGAAGATATTGTGGTAACATGGTGGACGTCGGTTGGAATAGATATAGGTAGTTCTCAGACTGTTCAATTGGCTGTTTTAGGCCAAGTTTGATTTTGGACGATTTTTTCCCGCTCTTTTCTGGGCATTTTCAGGCGAAATCATTTTTCTCGGATTTGTGCTGAATAATCAAAATTACGGCGGACAAATCTGAACAATTCAGAAAAAATCCAGAGAAATTTGGGCTGCCCCGAAATGTGCCGTGTTGTTGTAATCGCCTGCGAAATTTTGTATCCATTCGCTTCATCGCTCCAGAATTGATTTTCCACTAGATCCAACCATTTCTCCACGTGTAGAGCAGCCACAATTAGGACTGATGTAGGAAAAATTATGGAAAAGAGAGTTGACACAAAAAAAAATTGAAAAAAAAATAAAATTGATCAGGTTTTGAACATTCTTGACATTATTTATATAAATCAAGCAAGAATATTAGTCGACTTGGTCTGTCAAAGTTTTTTCGCGACATTTAATTTACAAATTGCACTTGGACGAATCATGGAGCCCCTTTTGATGATGTAATCAGATTAAGATACATTTGGATAGGTGGAAATCCCACCAGCATGAGATAGTATATATCGCTGACTCAGGTATTCACAAAATAATTTATTCTGTCTATTTTATTTATGAGTTTTTTTACTTTTTTTTTATCAAGGCTCCACCCGGTCTCCGGAACATCAGGGCAAGGGCAAGAAATCCAGGCTTAGGGTTGTCCGAAAGACCCGAATCGGGAAGTCGAGCCGGATCAAGTCGGAATCTTATTTGCAAGTCGGGTGAGGTGGAGTTGCTGTGGAAGGCGTGGTGTCTTTTCTGGATGAGAAGTGTAACGGCGACCGTAACACTTGGTGGTCAGAGGGCGAGACTAACGATATGTGTCATGACTGTTTGATAAATTGCTCTTTCTGGGACTCGAACCTACGACTATTGATTTAATGGCGGCGAGTTGGGGGTGCGAACTGACGTGATTAAAAGTGAAATATCTTAACCTTAAAGTTTAGACGAGATCGGGACAAGTAAAATCGAATATAAAAAATCTCAACAAATGTCAACGTTGTGAAATATCGCGATATTGAAAATTTATTTCCCTAGACACAAAAAGGATATCTCACAGTTGTAATATTATATGCAGTGCAGTTCGTTTAATGTAAATTTTTTATCCGATGGTCAGTGTTTGAATATCTCTTTATTTTTTTATAATCTTTTGGTGTTCCTACCTAAACTTATTTCTTAACTAAATCTCAACAAAATATAATAAATGTAAGTGAGATTTTCGGAACATCTTCTGTAGAGGTATTGAGGAATCTATACACTGAAAAACAACTCTGTGTTGGTGTGTCTTTGGTTCTCTTTCAGATTACGACTATTTGTGAGTCACGTGACGATAATCCATAGAGAAAAGAGTAAAAACATATGGCGGCTCAGAACTGGACAGAAATGTTTCGTTAATTGATGATAATATATGAGCTAGAGAATATTAAATAGTATCAATGGAAGGGGTCAATCCATTTGATTCAATATATTCCATTTGGGCCTAATTTCGACCACTTTTTACCACTTTCGAAGCTTTTCATGTTGGGATAAAATTCAAGATAAATGTCGAACCTATACTCCATTGATTTAACGATCACAAGAGTACAAGTACTGGTGCTTGTACGCCCACAGAGTCACGATATCCGCCTTCAATGATCGATAAAATAACAAACCATCAGGTTCACATGACACCCAATATTCTGTGTCGTCCTCAGGCTATATCCTCTCCATTATGCATTCGTGCATTCCCTAGATCCGTATCTATCGCGAGTATGGGCATTCCCATCTATCCAATTAGCATATCATTGGATTCTACTCAACGTCTAGATTCGAACGATATCCCTCTCAATGGCAGACAATGGCAGACAAGTTCTTCCGTGTCCTTTGGACACATTTGTATCTATTTCAAACGCTTCTCATTTAGATAGGATTAGTTGGCCCAGAATCGTAGAATAAGCTGTATAAATATAAACAGCTGCCGTCATGTTATATATATCATTCGATGGCCCGGGATCACCAAACTCTCCGTTTTCCAATGGATGCCTCCGTCATATTCACATTTCCATGCGTTATAGATACTACAAGTAGGCAAATTACTTGACTTGCCCCTTTACTTGAAGTGCGTGTTTTGACGTGACGAGTTTTTGTTGACAATTGTCAATGTCACGCGTCACGGGGAAAAAGTATCACGTGAGAACAATTTTGGTGATACGCTGAAAAGTTTGAGCACGTGATTTCACGTGACATCCCCCCTGATTGGGCATTTCCCTCGATTTTAATGAATTTTTCTAGATTATATACTTTTTTTCTTCAAGAAAACTTTGACCGTGCCTAGGGCCTTCAATATTGGTCAGAATTCGAATTTGAAAGTTGCAAAATTCTCAATTAATCTGAATTCACAGGATTAGGCTCTCCCCGAGCTACAAATACAAGTAGCTGCTATTCTCCCCATTTTTCCAGCATTTCCCCCTCCGTCCCCCATCGCGGTTATTCTACAGCACCATACAGAGAGACAAAATGCAATTTAAAATATTCTAAATTGCGAAAAAAATTAATAAAAAATAAAAAGTAAGGGAAATAAAATGGCAGGAAAAATACCACATAATCAAAAATGTTCTTCGAAAATCGGCTTGATTTATTTCGAATTTCCCCAATTCCTGTCTTTGACATTGTTTACACCCCCCCAAAATAAAGTTCACAGGGGCCTCCCAATTGGCCCAGTCTAACTATAGTTTACATTCCTGGAGTACAACTCTGTTTTTAGTGGCCCCTCCCAGTTGTCGGTTGACCCTTCTACTTACACCATCGACACCAACGACGCGACGCAAAAACACGTTGAATCTTGGGCCAAATCGAACTCAGAGACTTGCACCGCATTTGTGACTCTCGCCATATTGTCAGTGCCACCGGTTACATTACTCGTGCCATCCAATACATTTACTCGTGTCACCCGATACATTGACCCGTGTCACCCGTTTGCACCACCCGTGTCTCCCATTCACATAACTCGTGCCGTCAAAACACACCACCCGTGCCACCATCACAGTTTCGACACCAATCACAATGGTTAAACGAAGAAACAACCTCAACGTTGACCTGGAAGACTCGCAGCTGGGCCAGCTCAAAGGCAAGCGAGACCAGGTGATCGCCGCGACCAAGACGCTGGAGCTGGCGGCGCAGAACGCGTCGTGGGCCATCCGGGACTTCCACGCCGAATTTGCCACTATCATCGGCAAGCTGCAGAACCTCAGTGACGAGCAGATCGAGGCGCTCAAGGAGCTGAGTCTCGAGGCACTGCCCGAAAAGGGCGCGTTTCTGGGCACCAACAACTCGCTGTTTGGCGGGCGCGCGGTCGAGGAGGAGCTCACGCCCACCGGCCGAAAGAAGCGCAAGCGAGAGGTCGACCCTCTCATGCCCAAGAAGCCCATGACTGTGTTCCTGGCGTTCTCTACCCAGCAGCGGGCCGTCATCCGGGCCGAGCGAGAGAAGCAGGGCCTGCCCCCGCTCATCAATGTCGACATGGCCAACGAGGTGGCGCGTCTGTGGTCGCTGCTGCCCGAGGAGGCCAAGGAGCCTTACAAGGTCAAGTACCAGGAGAAGCTGGCTGAGTACCATCTGCGCAAGGAGCAGTACATGGCCTCCAAGAACCCTGCTGCGGCTGCTGAGCTGGTTGCCGCCGCCGCCGTTGCCGAAGTGGCCGACGAGGAGTTTGCCGACGCCGTCGAGGACGTTGAGGATGTCGAGGATGTCGAGGAGGGCGTCGAGCCCGAGGTCAAGGAGGAGGTCAAGAAGAAGGACAAGAAGGACAAGAAGGATAAGAAGGACAAGAAGGCCAAGAAGGAGAAGAAGCGAAAGGAGTAGGCGAGGTAGCGAAGAATCGAGCGAGTGTGCTTCTGTTTGCTCCGAGTGATTAAAACCCTCCTTTCCCGTTTTTGACGGCCAGACTGGATTTTGACGATTCCAGCCCTTTGCAGTGGTCAGCTGCTTATTAACGGTTGTATTTTTATGTAATAAATGTATTATTGAGTGTTTCAGAGAAGTGGGAAAAAAAGGAAAAATAAAATAAAATAAAATAAAATAAAAACAAAAACAAAAACAATCTCCCCTCAAAAGCTAGTCAGCACAATGGCAATATTGCGAATGCGGGTCTAGAAATCTTCTCCTCGACGAGCTCTACACAATGATACCATTTGGGGTCACGTAGGACCATTATTCGGCTACTTGTAGTTCTATTTTACAGAGTGACAGTGCGGTCTCACCACCTTTTTTGGCAATATATATATTTCTGACGTCACCTATAATAACAACCATTCCTCTTGATCATCACTTTTGGTTCAGACGGAGACGGGGATGGAGATGGGGAGGAAGACGAGACAAGAAACAGTCACAGACAGACACAGAACACAGACCGAGACCCAGACACAAAGATACCAGTGCCAGACATAAACGCGGACCGACACAGATACCCAGTGAGTACGATACCGCACAGAGATGTTGATGACGTGACAGTTGACCGATGATGACTGAATATGACACAGAGAACCTCGGAAGAAGGCACCAACGAGAGAGAGATCAATACAGATTCTCACAGACCTGGATGAGAACTGTACATACCGATTGTTGTCACACCACCATTGTGGCCATCGATGTTACGACATCGACAAACATGGCCAGGGTTGATAACGACTTGATGACATGGCAATCAGGGAATTTCGGATAATGACACAGAGCCCAAACCTGTTTGGATGGTTTGTGACACGCGCTGCCCAAAGACTCAGAATAGCACAGAGATATCCAGTGAGTACCATTCGAACAGAGAGTTGACGCCGCAATTGCAGGTTAGATACAGAAGTACTTACACGGACATTTCGGAAACGGTACACGCTGGGCTTTCGGATTTGACACTGGTTGATACTGAGACAAACCCGTGCCACAGACTGAGAGGCCCCTTGTTAGAGTCCATGTTTTATGCCCATGTGATGTGGCAGGTGGTGGGATGACTCATCTGCTGGTCCGTGAGCCCCACCTAGTGTTTACTACACGGACACATCATTTGTAAAATGGTAATCTTGCTGACATGAAGCAGATATCATTTTACAAATGATGTGTCCTGCACTACCCCCAAGTGCAACGACAGCTGCCTCATAGTTCACGGCTAGATCATCTGTCAGTGCACTGACTCCAGTGAGTGCTACCGTTCCTAATGGTAGCTTCATGGGAGATGGTGACACATCCTACACCAGCATTACGCCTGGTGACTGAATGGAACGGTCCACCAGACCAAATCAGCAGTGTTGGTCCCAGGAGATTGACGATTATCTTTTGGTACTGCTTTCAACTCCATTTACGCCATAATTCTGGCATTACCAAGGTTACTTCAACTTCACCATAGCCTCAGCACACGAAGCCTCCCCACGCGATCTCCCGGCACACCCAGCAACCACCGTTCAAAAACTGCAGCTCAATTTGCCCACACCTGTATATTTCAGGGAGCTCCCTTTCTACCTCGATACAACCGTGCGGCTCTGAAATTGTCGGGATAGGGGGTGAGTTTTCGACAGAAAAAAATAATAAAAAAAAAGCAAAAAAACCTGAAATTCACAGCTCCTGATAACAATGATATCATTTTTGTAGCTATAGAAAGAGCTTCAAAATTTCATAGAATATGAGAAGACGACTAACGACAGTTTCGAAACGAGGAGATGGAACATCACACGTGACCTCAATTACTTAAATAATACATTAGCTACATACATTGAAGCGTGGCATTCAAGGCAGCGGCAGTTAAAGAACTGCACCGAAGCCTGACGCCAAAGGCATTGCATGGCACCATTGAGGCAGCCTCTGCATCTGTACAACCTCTGATTGGGCCCTAGTCTCCAGAGACTCGAGGCATCTCTTGTATCCTTGTTGATATTGGTTGCTGCTTCTTCAGATCTTTCAGCGTTTCCAGCCTCTTCCGGATCTTTCTTCGGTTTCATGACTGCTACGGCTGCGTGGCAGCTACGGCTTCGTCTCCGGCTCCTCCCTCTCCTCCACCTCCACGAATGTATGCTCATGCCCTACCCCCTTGACCAGCCGTCCGTCATCATCATATGTGCACATACTGATACTCTGGACCCACGGATCGGCCCAGATCTCCTCCAGCGTCGCGCGCTTCTTGGGGTCGACCGTCAACATGCGGCCAATAATATGCCGCGAGTCGCGCGGCAACCGGTTCAGCAGCCTCATCGGACCCTTGGTCGCCTTGTCGGTCTCGTCCACCTCCGGCTCCGACACAAACAGCTTGAACGAGTTGTCCGTCAGCTTGGGGGCCTTCCAGGGGAACCGCCGCAACGTCATGCAGCAGAACACCACGGCGATCGACCAGATGTCTGTCGGCGTGGGATCATACTTGGTCTGCGACAGCACTTCGGGGGCGAGATAGGGGTCCGAACCAACTACTCCATGGGCCATGACAATGCCGGTCTCAAACGGATACTTGAAGACCGACGCAGAGCCGAAATCAATCAGCTTGAGAATACCGTCCTTGGTAACGACGCAGTTATCGAGTTTGAGGTCGCGGTGCGCCAGACCCATCGAATGCAGATAGGTGACGCCACTCAGCAACTGCTTGAAGCAGCACGCAACCTCCGCCTGGCTCATTTTTCCCGACATGACTATGGCAAAAAAGTCGTACGGGCAAAACTCCATCACCTCAAAGTACCGGCCGTCGTCCTGGATGATGTCCAGAGTCTCCACAATGTTGGGATGGTGGAGAGTGGAGCCGATGCAGAACTCAGCCGTCACCTTTTTAGAGTACTCGCGCTCAGACTCATGCTGGTGGCGGGGCCGGAACTCCTTGACCGCAAACGTCTTGCCATCGCTCTGGCGGTGCAGCAACCGGACCGACCCGCCGGCTCCGGACCCGAGCACCCGGCCCGGTTTACCCCACTTTCCGAACCCGATCGACGCAATGTTGGACTGCGAAGAGGAGCGCGAGACCGGCGGGGTCGCTCGCGACGACTGGGACACCGGCCGACTCCGAGGAATGTCCTCCTTGGACTCCGCCCTCTTGCTCTTGGGCTTTAGCTTGGAAGACTTCTTCTTGAAGAACCGCTTCAGCTCTGCCATGGAGCCCGTGGACCGGTGAAAGTTGCCGGAAGCCTCGTCAGTGTTGACCCGGCGGTCCGGCGATGACCGAGATGATGATCTGCTCCGCGCAAACCGGAACCGCGGCGCAATGGAATCAGTGTCGCGGTGCGACACCTGTGGTGGTCGGTGCTGTCGTGCGTACGGGTCGTGTGCGTCTGCCTCAGGGAAGAGCGAGATTTGCGTCTCCTGGGGGGCGATGGAGCCTGGCCTGGAGCCCGGGCGGGAGCCAGGTCGAGAACCCGCCACTGATCCGGGACGAGACGGCGAGCCGAGACTGAAGTGGACCTGGCTGTGGCCCAGGGGGCCACCTAAACCGGGGGTACCCGGGGCGCCAGTTGCCGGACCGCCTGGAGTGGTATTTCCTGCTGCTGCTGCTCCTCCTCCGGCTCTATCAAAAGAAGTGTAAGACGACGACGACGACGGGGTGCCGGGCTGTGAGTCGAATCCGTCTTCGTTGGCAACCCCCAGGAACACCGCCGACGGGCGGTGGGACCGTGACGAGGTACGCGAGGTGCCGTTGGCGTTGTTGTTGGAGTTGATGCGGGACGTGGCGGGGCTGTGGGGCGAGGGTGTGTGGCTCTCGGTGAGCGTGAGTTTGTTAAAGTCGTCCATGATGCAAGTGTGAGCTAGCTGTTGCTAGATAATGGGTAGTTAATTGGTCAATAGAGGTCCACTGCCAACAATTGTAGAATCTCAGGTGTCGGTCGAGTTGATTGAGTCAAAATCCGAAACCAGAAATCTGTGTGACGAGTCGAAAGGGCTTCGAAGAATCGAAAAGAGATGAAAAGAGTCGAAGAGTCGAAAAGTCGAAAAAAAGTCGAAGAGTCGAAACAAGTCAAAGTGTCGTCAGATCTTGGGGGTGGAATGATCTGATTCAATAATAAGCCCAGAAAGTGGCTAGGTCCAGACAATGTCACGGTATTCTTTCTAAATCTCGTGCCTTGTCGTCCCAAACGTTGACCGTGCTGTGTTTCCGCCGTTCTTTGCTTCTGCCGTTCTGGTCTGCTTGTGTCACTACTGTATAAATCCCGTGAGTCACAATCCCGGGAAAAATGAATCTCGGTCGGTCGGTCGGTCGGTCGGTCGGTCGGTTGGTCAATGTCACGTGACTCGTCTATATGTGTCAGTATCTCTGTTTTTCGTCGTCGTTGCCCGTTTGTGTCTGTGACGGGGGACGGGGGAGCGGCTCCGTCTTTGTAACTCGGGCCCCCTCCTTATTGTGTAACTCACTCTTCTCGCCAAGTGCGTCGTGTGTCGTATTCGCTATCGGATATCACGTGATGTATAGGACTGTCTCTGGAAGTCACGTGCAAGTATCTCGTGGGCCGCTGTGCTCTGGTTCTGTGTCACGGTTGCAAACAGTGTGTGTGGTGAAGCTCGTCGATAGTGTGTAATTAACGCAGACCTAACTAAGTTGCGGTGGCAGGACCAAAGGTTAAAAAGAAACAATGTGGGGGAGCACCGAGGGACACCTGGAAGGCCGAATAATGGTCTGGGGAGAAAACGGAAAGTAGCATTGAATTCGGCAGACCGTCAGGAATCCATTGATATCTTTAAAACTCCTTTACTGTTCAAACTCGCAAACTTGACTACACCTCCTTTCATGCGGCTGTTTATTACATACTGTGCAAGCATGTACATACTGTACATACGCATCTCCGCTTATATTACTGTATGTGGCTGCTGATGCTCAGATCACGACTTATGACTGGTGATGGTCAAATGTAGCGACATTAGTCAGCTGTGGATGTGTCTTTGTCAGCTGGAGATGTGTCTTTGTCAGCTGGAGATGTGTCTTTGTCAGCTGGAGATGTGTCTTTGTCAGCTGGAGATGTGTCTTTGCCAGCAATGGAGATGTGTCTGTTAGTTGTGGATGTGTGAGACGGAGCTTTTTACCGCCCAATTTGCCGCTCCGTTGCTGTCAAATCAACATAGATTATGACTTGCTTGGGGGGGATCACGTGACCGATTAATGGTGCCGATTCCAGGCGAGGTTCGACACAGTTTCAAATGTCTGACCTGCTCAGCTCGGCTAGAGTACGACCTGATTAAAATTACCCTTGCCGAAAAACGGTTGAAAACTGAACTTTATGGATATCGAGTTGGAAATTAATCGGGAAAATGAGCGGAAAATGAGTGGAAAATGAGACGGAAGGAGGCGGAATGAGACGGAATGCGACGGAGTGAGACAGAAATCGGAGAAAATAGCGGTGGTCAAGTGGACATCTATAAGGGAGTATTCAGACGTTTAATGAGTTTTTGGAAATGGCGATCACGTGACTATGGAACTAAAAAAGAAATAGTATAATATAAACACAATAAAATAAAATAAAATAAAATAAAATAAAATAAAATAAAATAAAATAAAATAAAATAAAATAAAATAAATACCAAAGATCAATGAAAAACAACGGGAAACCAACCTGTTCCGTATGTAGTCATCGAATCGCTGAAAAAACACATTTCGAAAAGAAAAAAAAAATTGTCGCAGAAGCAGAAGAAAACCCGACTTTATGGCACCATGGTTCTGCAGCTGAGCCGCATGGAAGGAGGAGCCAACAGTGTTACAGCATAGACACGTTCTGGAGAGGAGCAAACAAAGGGTGGGCCGATTCTATGAATAATTTTGAGAGATATGGCTTTTTCCTTAGCTTTCTAGCGGTTCTATTCGGCTAAATATGTTACCTGTATGTTCTTCAAGATTGGAAAATTAAAATTGGAAAAAAATACAAAAAAAAAAAAAACATCTGTGAATTCTACAGGGGATGTACACTAGAATTCGATTCAGCGAAGACAATTTACACTAAGATTCTATTCAGCAATTTACTACTTGTAGTTTACATCTGATCTAGCATCAACGATATACACAGTGGACGATGTCCAATTCGCTGAGCTTCATTGAGGTTGGATTGTTCAAGAAATCTAAAGAATAGCTGGTTGGTGAGGGAAAAAAGTCGTTAATTGCTGATATAATTGATAAAAAGACGGAATTGACAAAAAGACGAAAAGACGACATCTTAGATGCTCTTGATTGAACCAAACTGATATCCGTGGATTTTGAAGCTTTGGATATTCCGGTTGTCCAAAGCCGCCAAAACAAAGCCTCGGGAGCCAATAGTAGCACGTGCCGAATCCTGAGTCCAAGGGGAGTCGAAAGGTGATGCTTATATACCCACAAAATGGCTCTTTCTGAAACTATGGGCTAAAAACACCTTTTCAACTTGACCTCCGATCTGACCCCCACACCCCTACAGAAAATATGCATCAATTTCCGAGCCGCACGTCACGGACAAGAACAGAGATCTATACGATGTTTCTAGAGATTCCAATTGAAAGAAATGTCCTCCCACAAGGAGAAAACAACAACCAACAGTCGATTCGGACAATGATTTCTGGCAATGGTTTCTGACAGAGGTTCTGGATAGCCGATTGCCATTCAGACAAGTCCAGCAAGTTGCACCCTCAAACTCACCGACTTAACCGGTAGAGTCTTGTCGGTTCAAGAAAAACAAGAAACTGCGTGAAAGGTGCTACAGACTAGAACCCTTTTCCAAAGACTCAGCATCATGACGAAACCGAACAGATGGACGCATCTGAAGACCTTGACCAAACTAAGGTCCCCCAAGCTCCAGCAACGAACGATCAGAAGAGATACCTTGGCAGAACCATTATCGAATGTCCAACATCCTGCGGTATCGTGACCTGACAGTGTACACTGCACTCAAACTGTTGAGAGTATGTTCACTAAGAGTCAAGCCATTGTTCCAAAGAGACTGGTTTATTCAGGGAAGCGAGGTGTGTCATCCTGGAACGTCCTTTGGCGAAACAAGCCTCTCCTAGTCAGGATTCAGCCGCACTGGACTGAGATGGAACAAGAAGAAGAAGAAGAAGAAGAAGAAGAAGCAGATAAAATGGCTCCAATTGTAGACTCAGACACAAATGGAATCTAAGAAAATGTATATTGAGCTGACTATACAGCATTAATTGGAGCAGCGGAAAATAAACTGGGAAATAAACTGGAGATTGGGTGTGGTAATGCGTATCAGGATACACTAAGACGTGGAAAAGTTACGTAATCTCAATCATGTGACATTCTAAAATCCCAGCTCGGTTTCAACATGTCATTGCCGTTTCCACATGCTTCATTCGCTTCAGTCTCCCATTCGTGCGGCTCGGAAATATTTCAAAATGTTGGTAAAACATGAAAGTCAAAAATAAAAGTCAAAAATAAACATCAAATTAGGATTGAAAAAACGAATGATATTTACTCGTTGGGTAATCCGATGGCAATTTATAGACATTGTTAATGGTGTCAAAATGTCCGCATGATTCTCCTGATTCCAATGCTACCACTTTCATCGCCTCTGTCCTAATATTGACAAAGATAGGGCAAGATACTCCGAAATTCCCCCAAGATTTCCCAGAAATGGGTTGATGATACTTTTCCACGTTTAATAACACTTTCCAATCTCTAATCCTTCCCAAATCCCCCCAAATCATCCCACAGAACCGTGCCACCACCAACACCAATCTAAGATGAAACGCGACCTCCCCTAACCTTAACCTTAATTTGGGATTTCAAAACACCGTCGTTAAAAGTGGTGACAAAAATGGGACGAATTTGGAGTGTGGAAAAAACAGTGTTTTGAACAGTGTTTTGAACGGTGGCATTTGGACCCTTCGAATATAACTCATAATCTCTAGATTGACCGAACAACACAGTAGGGTCACGTGCACACCCTCCCTCCTTTGCCTGGTCATAACCAGACCATCTCACACCTCCCAGCTGACTAACTTTACCCACTACTCTGACCTCATCACCACCACACACCACCATGGAGTCGCTACTGACGGATAAACAACGCAGCGACCTGGAAACCAGCATTTTCGGATACGTCAGCCGGCTGACTAACGACGAGGCGCTGCTGAGTCAGCTGGCGGCGGTTCTGAGTCAGCCGTCGGGCTCCGAGCCCGTGCCTGCCGACACTCTCAAGGCCAACGCTTTACTACTGGAAAAGAAATGGTTATCGGTCATAAGGCTTCAGCGCAAGGTGATGGATTTGGAAACCCGTTTGGAGGCGGCAGAGCGAGAAGCCTCTTCCACTCATAAGGCCAACGGTCTGGGGGCTGGCGACCCGAAAACGTGGCTACCCAAAACTTCACGATTCAGTCTGTTACATAAGCAGCCCGTGAATGCCGTGTCATTTCATCCGTTTCATTCCACTCTGGCGTCGGCGTGCGAAGATGGAAATATCAGAATCTGGGATTACGAGCTGGGCGAGATTGAAACGACGATAAAGGCCCATACGAGGGGGGTGCTGGACGTGGACTTTAGTCAGCCGGACACGGGAGCGTCACGGGACAAATCACATGACAAGCCACGTGCCGACGTATCACACGCCCAGCCCCGAGCGCTCCTGGTCAGCTGCTCGTCGGACCTCACCATCCGAATATGGGACCCCCAAAACGAATACGCAAACGTCAAAACACTGACCGGCCATGACCACACAATCTCGGCGGTCAAATTCACCGCGTCGGGGAACCACGTCATTTCCGCGTCACGTGACAAGACGGTCCGCGTCTGGTCCGTGCAATCGGGCTACTGCGTGCGAACGGTCCACGGCCACACAGACTGGGTCAAATCGTGCGCGGCGCTCAACGAAGAGTTCATCTTCTCAGCAGGGATCGATCACGTGACCCGCGTCAGCGAGTTTGTCTCCGGCGACGGCAAGATGACGCTACTCGGCCACGAGCACGTGATCGAGGGCGTTGCCGTCTACCCCAAGAGCGCCGCCGGGTGTCTGGCCAAGCTCGACAAGACGAGCTCGTACTTTGTCGTGTCGTGGTCACGTGACAAGACGATCCGGGTGTGGTCGTCACGTGGCGATCCTCTACTAATTCTTCGGGGTCATGACAATTGGGTTAGGGGAGTTGTTCTTCATCCGGCCGGGCGGTATTTGGTTTCTGTTTCTGATGACAAGACCATGAGATGTTGGGATTTGGAGCAGGGCGGCCGGTGTATTAGGGTTGTTGATGCCCATGGGCATTTTGTCACGTGCGTGGCGTGGGCTCCGAACGATGTCAATGGTCGGGTTCGGTGTCTTGTTGCCACTGGCGGTGTTGATGGCCAAGTCAAGGTGTGGCAGTGAGGGGAGCGAGCAAGCAATTTGCTTAGGTAACGATAAATGGCGTTTCTGTTGGTCATGATCTGGACTGACAAGGGGTCACGTCACTCTGGTGCCGCTCTGACACTACAGAGTCCACAAGTTAGGAGGAAAAATCAAGGCATAAGGGCATAAGGGCATAAGGGGAGTTGGAGATCGTCTGAATCTGTAGCAGAGTGGGTCAGGTTGGTTTTGACCGGTTCTCCAAAGCTTCACAATGGACATGTCTCGGTCTGGAGCAGTTTGGAATCATAGGGCATTCGGAAACAATCGGGAGGCACGTCAGGATTACTCTGACCACGCAAAAGTCACTCTGACCAGTTTGAATTACTCGAAACCTGTCAGTAGCTCCATCAAACTCCTGAATCAACTTTGGAGCGATTCAAACAGTTTGATTGCAGTCTGGAGATGACTGTTTCGCACTATTTCTCAGATTTACTACAAGTCCTGTACAGACTACTCATGTGACTGCACGGGACTAATCATATGACCACACGTGACTACTCACGTGACGGACGTGCGGCCTACCCATCGGTTCTCAGACGGTACATAGAACAAGTGTATTTTTAGTAACTACCTACTGTACTGTACGTAATCAGTAGTGCCTGTAGCTGTGATGAAGTCGCGTGATACAAGTTGACCTGACCTCCCATTTTTCTGACTTTTTGAGAATTACTTAGAATCCGGTCACGTCGAATCCACACAAATGACGCCACAGGAGAGAGGGGGACTACATAAAATACAACATTCAATATCTCCGATCTTGAAGAACACAGTGGTGTCTTAATCCGACCCATCTTCAGCACAAAAACTCCCTGTGGTGTGCTCGTTTGTATGTTCACCATTACACCTCTCCACCAGCCTAACTAAAATTAGTTGGGGCGGTTTAGAGTTTTTAAATGACACCATATATGCACGCTGCAGGCTCATGCATGCAAGTGAGTCGAGGCGGCAGCGAATGGAGACCGGGGCGACCAATTGAGCGATTTTGATGAGTTTTGGAAAAACACAAAGCTCACGGAATGAACCAGGGCCGGGCCAAAATTTGATTTCGGGACTTTCCCCTTCTCCAAACAGCCCCGAAACAGGCCTGTTCCTGCCCCGCCCGCTCGGTCGCCGCCTTGACGATAAAGTTGGGTTGTACATACATGACATGAGCAACCAAGGTATATATCAATATATCACCCTGAACCACATCTTATCGTCATCACCCCGCCACCACCACCACCACCACCACCACTACCACCACATAAGCCAATATGTCATTCTTCCGAACTTTGCAATTCTCCAAGGGCGCCGTGTCGCTCTTCGCCAACCCCAAGTTTGAAAAGTCGCTCGCATTCGCAAAATACATTGAGAAGAACCTCAACACCGCCGGCAAGGATATTGGCGACCTGCCGTTCGACTTTGAGGAGACCACCACCGCCCCCACCCTGGACCAGCTGTTGACAATCAAGAGCTTTGTTGACGAGAAAAAGGGTATTGTGCCTTCCACCTTCACCCCGGCGCAAGTGTTTGCTCCTGCTCAGCCCGCTCTCAAGGCCGCCGGCAAAACCTTCCCCGACGACTGGAAGTCCCACAAGATCATCGAGACTTTGATCAAGGCCGACACCTTTGATAACCCCACCGTGATCCGACCCATTCTGGTTGACTGGGAGAAGGGACAGGTGGCCATTGACGATCTAGAGGCCGCCAAGAAGCTGTGGGAGGAGCTCATCCTAAGACAGGACTAGAGAGCGCATCATGGAGTAATACCATCCGTCGGTTTTCGTTGATCCCATCGATTACCACCACTTATGTATTAATGAATTAGAGCAGCAATAGCGATAGGGCAGTAGGAGTAGTGTGTGTACAGTATATACATACTGCACTCGCCTGGGAACGACAGTAGCATCAAGGCCAAGACCAAATGTCATACTTTGGGGCTGTGACTGGATGGAAATATGACAGACACTGAGGATCGGGTGGTATCTTTGGAGATGTTACCATTCACACCCAAGTCCAATGGTCGTACAAAGTCGAAACCGGAGACATTGAGTTCCTCCAAGATGGCTAGTTGCCAATTGACCTCCAAATTGTCAGATTTAAGCAAAGTTGTGGTTCTTCTTCAAGAGATCGGTCTGGACATTTCGGTGAAGACTGACATAGTTCAGGGGTGCTGTGTTGGTAATGAATCTGCGGCAACGGAACGGCGGTAACGAAACGGCTCGTGGTCTTTTATCGCAATCAGGTTTTCCAGTTTTCCGTACAACTTCCACCCCATTACGTAGTTTGTACAAACCAAATCCTCTCGCGTGACATTATTCACGGGACCTCAATGTTGTATGGTGGTGAGAGCCCTCAAAGTGGCTTAATTGGGTGTAGTGAAGAACTTGGCCGGAGAAGGAGGAAAAGATATCTTCGGAAAAGATATCTTCGGAGTTGGGTGAGGGGAAGACTTGATCAGGGTAAGAGTTGGAGTAGAAAAGTTCGGTGAAGGAGATCCCCGAGTGAGATCCATGAGGGAGATCTTTTCAGAAATTGATCCAGTCTTTCCATGTTCAGTGAGTGAACTTGCTGAAAAAGAAGGGGTGCATCCCGTGAAGAACCTATCTGCAGAGGATGAGCTCAGTTTAAATAGACTGGAGCAATGGCCACCCAACACCAACCATGTCGTGATCTTGGTCCAAAAAAATTATATAAGGGGGAGTTGGGACCCCCACTATTCTTACAGACAGACTCAGACGAACGCAGACAGTCACAGACGAACACAGACAGACAGAGTCGATCAACAGATATCCACTGTTGCAGTCAATGTCGCAGTCAACGTCGCAGTCAACGTCGCAGTCAACGTTGCAGACCGCCCTTTTGAGACCACCCAGTAAATGTCTGACATTATTCTTCTGGCAGCAGTGACAGATACACACACAATGTCTCTGGCTCCAGTGACAGATACGCACACAATGTCGCTGACTTCAGTGTTACTTCACACCGGTTCTCCGGTTCATGGTGAAGCCTTCAGTTTGTCTCCACTCCTTCTCTCTTCGCTCACTCAACGTAAGTACAGTCACAGATACCTCGTGAATGATAGCTAACACGGACCTGTGTCAAGGAAGTTTCACCCTTGAATATCTCTGTCAGTGGCTTTGCGAATGTATCACTGACTGGCTCTTTGCTCTGGCAGCGGCACATGTGATCCTCAAGAACTCACAAGGCACGGAGCAGGCTCGGTCATTTTATTCGGCCAAACTACTCTCAGCTCATGGCATTTGTCAGCTCATGGCTGTCAACAGGACATACAGTCTCGGATCTACTGACACTTGGCGCAGGCGGTCGTTCTCGCCTCAATGTTGAAATCGCCGAGAAACAAATCTCTACTCAAATGCCCAATCAGAAGCCGTCGCAAGGTTTCCATAGCGTATCAAAGAGATTCTAAGACTGATTGCCCAGGTCTTGGAGCTCGTTCGTTCGCTCACATTCTAGGCTCCACCCGGTCATCCGCTACATCCTTCCTCTCGCTTTTCCAATTCACCAGATCTGTTCATTCCCTCCATCACCCAGTTTCCTTCAATCCAATTCCCCCTCCACAGCCGTCCGGTCAATGGTCTCCATACGGTCGCCTACTTGTAGAGCCAGTGTTGTCCGTGAAGGATGGTGGTTGGAAAGAAAGGGAGTGAGGTGAATTAATGAGGTAATACGAGTGTAATGAGTGGTCCAGTGGTGAGGCAGGGTTGGGGTATGATCGTGGTCAAGGGGTAATTGAATTATTTCCTCTTCTACCGAGACCCCTTTATTGTTCAACCCCTTTACCTTCTGGCCGCAGCCGCGCAACACAGGCTCTGTCTTCTTGTCCAATGGTGCAGCGTCATTCATACCACGTCATCAAGTCGTTTCCATGCAACCTCCTCCGTTGACAATTCTCTACACGAATATCTATTCACCCTCCCCATACTGGCCTAGTTCTCCGCCCCTATACTCCCGTCATGATCAATCCTTGATAGCCTGCTCTTATCCCACAGTGCCCCCCAACCATTGCAAATGTTCTTAGCACAGAGGTGCCTCCGGTATTGATGGCGAAAGTCGCAGCCATTTCATTTGCAATACTTCGATAAGTGGCAGAAGCTCTCTGGCTTCTTCCGGAAAATCCAAGCTTCCCCTCGGAACTCGTTCCCAATCACAGCGCACGCTTTCGCACGTCTCCCACAGACACATTAATGATGACTGCCGACTTTGTACAGTCCTGATCACTACGGCAGTTCTCCATGCCACATTCCTCCTCACGGTTACGCTATAGGTGATAGGAATGTGTCCTACTTTCAGCCCGTGAGTACACTTGCATTGACTAACACAGGCCTTAAAGATCAGCATGTTCACAGGGGGTCCAGGGAATCACCAAGACGCTGCAGCACTACTCGGTTGTCGGTGTTCTGATACGATACAAGCAGTCTATCCCAACATTTATAGTCGGTGGTCAGTGGCAGTCGGCGCTCTTGGTGTTTTCTCCTACTGTTTATAGATCAGTAAATCTCGACTGTGAGTGGGCGTTCGCGGCGTTCGCGGCGGTCGCTGCTACTTTCTACTGCCTGGGTCGGTAACTCTCGACTCGGGCTGTGCCCTCATTTGTCGAACCTCCTCCGCGTCTGTCTAACAATTAAAATACATACCACTATCTACTTTACTTCTTGCTCTTCTTCTCCTTCTTGGGCTCGTCGTCGTCGTCCTCTCGCTTTCGCTTCTTGTCCTTCTTTTCCTTCTTTTCCTTCTTATCCTTCTTTTCCTTCTTGTCCTTCTTGTCCTTCTTTTCCTTCTTGTCCTTCTTTTCCTTCTTTTCCTTCTTTGCCTTCTTCTCCTTGACCTCCTCCTCAGAGTCGGAATCCTCGTCGTCAGAGTCGGCTCCGGCGGTGGTGTTGCCGACGGTGTCGGCGTCAGCGTTGTACTGCTTGCCGGTGGAAAGGTCGACCTTCTTGTGCTCGATCTTGTTCACGTCGGGTCGGACGGTGCCGACAATCTCCTTGCCCTCGAGCTGTCGGAGACGGTTCTCGACCTTGATTCGGTTGTCGATGCCGAGAATGGGCACGTCCTCCCGCTCCTCGGCAAATGCATCGTATCGCATGGACACGGAGGCCTTGGCGGCGAGCATTCGGGCAATCTTACCCTTGTTCTTGCCGGAGGCCTGGCCGATGAGCGAAGCGTGGTAGATGATACCGTACTTGGGGGTATCGTGCTTGGTCTTGAGGGCTCGGAAAAGGGCCTTCTCGGCACCAAGAATCTGGACGGTGGAGGCGGGGGCCTTGGCGAGGTTGACGAGGGAGCCGGAGTGGGCAATGAGCCGGGCACCGACGAGCTCGCCGACGAGGGCGGTCAGGTTGGGGGCAATGGCGGCCATTCGGGCGTTGAGGTAGTTGGAGAGCTGTTCTCGGTACTCGGCAAAGTCAATGACCTGGTCGGCGAGGCACTGGATGTTTTCGAGGTCAAACTCGGTGATTTCCGTACCCATGGAGACCTCGGCGGCAACCTTGAGGGCGGCCTCAACCTCCTCGGGGAGCACCTCAGACAGATCGGTCTCGGAGGCGTTGGATCGGTAGCCCATGGTCTTGATGACTCGGGCGTAGGCAATGTTGTCGGCGACAATCTTGGCCATCTCGGGGAAGTGCCAGCCGTACCACTCCTTGATTCGCATGGCGTATGTGTTGAGCTCCTTGTCCAGATCATCTAGTAATGCGATGGCCTGCACAATCATGGTGTCGACCTTGTCGGGGGAGAACTTGAGCTTGTGTCGTCCCAGCGAATGGGCCAGACCCAGGCTCATGGTGGCCAGGTCCTTCTCGGTGAGGCCGGGCAGCAGAGAGGGCAGGTTTTCTCGGATGGCTCGGAAGAGATCGAGCGAGGCGGACTCGGCAACCACGTCAAATGGCAGATCCAGCTTGTTGATGGCGTTGCCCAGCTTGGGGTCGGCCACCACCAGAGCAGACTTCTTCTCGTCCTTGAACTCGTTGAGCAAAGCAGCGAGCTTGTCGGAGACCCGGCCATCCACAATGGCGTTGACCTCCTCCAGAGCAGAGGCGGCAGAGTCAAACTTGGAGAAGCCCTTGACCTTGAACTGCGAGGTCACCAGCTCGGGGGTCGACAGCTCCTCGAGAATCGACTCCGACTTGTAGATCTTCTTGTCCTTGGCCTTAAGCACGGCGTAGCCGGCAGACGTTTCCGTCAGAATAAATGTCATGGTGTCGTGTGTGGGCGGTGGTGACGGAGATGACAAGTGCGGTTGTCAAGTGTAGTCAGTGGAGATGGATGGGAAAAAAATTTGGGACGACTAAATTTTTTCCAAAGTTTATTTTAGGGTTAGGGCCCAGGCGAGACAAGCCCAGATGAGAGTGGAGCGAATGTCTGGGCGAGTCTGAGCGGGGAAACATCTGAACTGATACATGTGGTATTTTCTTGCCATTTCCCCATTTTCCCATTTTCCATTCTCATTTTGCCATCTTTCATTTTTTCCATATTTTCTCCAATTTTTCCAATTTTTCCAATTGTCTTTTTTTCTTTTATCCATTTTCCATTTTTCCATTTTCCATGTCCCATCGTTTCCACTGTGAAAATTCTTCTCCTAATTTTGCTGTGATTCAGGAGGCTTGAAATGGGGTTTTTTTTAGGGAAATGATTTATTGATTTGAGATTTGATTTTATCTGATTTATTTTGATTTTCAGATTTTCCGGTCCCAATTTTCCCATTTTATTTCAGATTTTCCGGTCCCAATTTTCCAAAAAAATTCCCACGCTACACCACATCTAAATACGGTCGAATCTTCCTAGACGGCTCCATATTTCCACTAATTTCACAATAAAGTAGGTACATTGTGCGATTTTCTTTTCTTCCTTTTCTCTTTTTTTATCCATTTTTTTGTATATATTTGTATGTATTTTTATATTTTTTCTTCATTTATTTATTTATTTCTAGTTACTTTTTTATTTATTTAATTCATTTATTTAATTCTCACATTACATGCATATCACTGCAGAAAGTGATATCGATAAAAAAATAGTCAGATATACTCAAGTGGAGCCAAACGGAAACAGGATCGACGGGATTGAATGATCACGTGATGAGAACAATGGGTACTTTCAGGGTGGTCACGTGATCAGAGTCTTGGTCGGCGCGGTGGGGGTGACCTTGACTGACCTGGGGGGGGGGAATGTCTGATGGGCTGTCGCTGACTAAGGTGATAATAGGGCAGAATTCGTAATGCAGAATTTGTAGATTAGGAGATTCTTGGATGCTCACGGTGATGAGGTACTCGTATTGTAGGTACTCGTAGATATGTCTTACCGAAAACAAGTGGACGAGATCACCTTTTGACGAAAGAGACACTCTTTTGGCGATTCCAGAGACTCTGTTTGGCTTCCCACGACTTCTGATGTATACACTGACTCTCATCTTGAAGCTCCAACATTGCTCAGATTTGAATGGTTGAAGTTGCAGTTTGTTAATGGGGTTGTTTTAAATAGTATGCTCCATTCAATATTTCTCATTTGTTCTTTGATTGTGTTGAAAAACATGAAAACTATCTGGAAAGGGTTTGGTAACAGTAGCTAACCAAGTTTCAACAAATGACACCAGAATGCTAACCAATTTTCAACAAATGTCAACAAGTAAGATTTCAGATAAGTTCGTCTCCCGCCGACCGTCCACCCGAAATATTAATACCATTGTGGAGCTGTAATTGAGGAGATTCCAAATATTTTATTTTCGACACGATTTCATTGACCTACCGAGAACTGGAGGGCCCGTCTGGTTCTAAATAAACTTTCTGCACTTACTCCAGACACTTGTCACCACTTTTAGCCACTCTCTCCACTTGACCAATGATCAAAATCAAGCTGAAGCCCGAAAAACGGTCGCCGGAGGCATCGCCGGAGAAGCGGCGGACCAAGAAGCGCAAAACGGATGAGGAAGGGGCCAAACCGAGCACTCCGTCGCTCAGCATCAAGTTGAAGGCGCCCAAAAAAGAGCGGGAGTCCAAGCCGCGGTTGTCCCTGAAACTGAGCAACAAAAAGAGCGAGAGCGCGGCGCCGGAAAGCAGCCGGGCGTCGACCGCGAGTGGCGGATCCACTAAAAAGAGCAAGGTGGTGCCGCGGATCCGAGTCAAGGCCGCCCGCGAACCGGGCCAGGGATACGACAGCGAAGCGCCGGACCGCGAAGACGATCCGCTGATTGAAGAGGGATTGATTTTGCGATTCCCACCAATCGGTAAAAGAGGCCGCGACGACCTGTCATATCTGCGGACGGCGGTGGAGAACCAGGATTACAGTAACATTGTGATTCGGTTCAAGGACTCGCGCAGGGCGGTGGTTTCTGTGCGGGGGCGGCATTACGCGGCGAAATTGGTGGACTTGCCGGCGATCGTCGAGGCCCAAAAGACGTTTGACCGCGGCAAAAACATGTTCAAGTGTCTGGACATTTGCCAAATGTTACTTGTCACCGAGCCCATTTCGTCCGAACACAGCATTATGGAGGCGCGGTCGATGCAATGGGACAAGAGCTCCAGCGAAAGCGCGCTGACCTGTCGCCATGGCCTGACTCCGCCGTTGTTTGACGCCAAACGTCGCCGATTCAGAAAAACCGTGTCCACAAAGGTGATTGAATCGGTGGAGCAAAAGGTGACGGACTTGCTGGATCTGGACGACGAGGCAGACTCCACATCATATGAGCTTGTCGATGGACGCACCCTGGCGTCCTTGTATGGAGCCGGTGGGGTTGCGGGCTCGCAATCTGTGTCTACCACTGTTTCTGCCGCCGCCACTCCTCCTCCGCGGTTTGCCATGGTCGACGAGGGAGAAATGGACGTGGATTTGCTCGATAAGGAGCTGGAGCGGGCCCTGGAGGACCAAGGCTCGGATGAGGGCGAAGAAATCGAGGCCGATGATGCGTCCGAGTCCGAAGATGAGGGAGAAGGCGCAGGTGAGTCGGACAACTCGGACGAAGAGGAATTGCCCCGAGCGTCGGCCGGAATGGACGATGACGACGACGGTGAAGAGGGAGGACACGCCAAGGTGCTGGTCGACACGATTGCAGATCTGGAGGCGACCATCAAAAAGCAGCAGGACGACGCCGACCGCACCGCCAACGCCATGCTCAAGGAGCGGTTCAACCAGCGAATCTCCAAGCTCAAACATGAGCTGGAGGTCAAGAAGAAACAGCTCAAGGCAAAGAATACCATCAAGGAGAAGAAGAAGGAGATCGATAAGAAGGAAAAGAAGGAGGAGAAGGAGGAGAGTGAGGACAAGGTGGAAAAGGGCGAGGTCAAGGACAAGGGTGTGGGCAGTGACGACGATATGGATTTGGATGATTTGTTTTAGCCGAGCTCGGCAGGGTGGGAGTTGATATGGAGAAAATCCAGACCCGAATCTATTCCGTTCCACACCAACGACAAAGTCCGATGGGTCCGCTCGTGGTCCGTTCACCAGAGGAGTCGACCTGTGAACTTCAGTCATCTCTCTACACTGCTTCGATATGCCACGGGACCTCCACCGTATGTCGTCTAACAACGGTCTGCATCGGTCTAATGAAATACAATAATTTATTCTGGTTCTGTACGAGTAGTGGAGGGTGTGTGCATGTTGTCATATGACTGGCATAGTTGTCCACGTGTTCAGTTTTCACGTGACCGGAGCACAAGATCGAGTAGTTGGTCACGTGTCCAACTTCCGCGTCTCACGTGACGACACTATGATACTTTGGTTCTGTCTGCATGAGATTCATTGACTTGGAGGTGACTTCATTCTTCCAGAGCTACATACGGTCCGTCCCCTGAAAAGAAGTGCACAACCCAGCCAATAATAAACCTATCGACGGTTAACAACAAAACAATTGTGTTCACCTGAACAAGAGCTCTTCAACGATATAATTTTTACTAATGTTCTGATTATGTAATCGTCACAAATGAGCAGTCTTGTGCAGAAGAAAGGCTTCTGTATATGGCACCTAAACAGACAATGTATATGAACATTGGGATTTAATAAACGACCCCGAAAGACATAAAAGCAGAATAAAACCACAATAATCGCCTGAAAAAAAGGCTTTGGAACACTTTGGAAAACCTTGGAACCGTTTGGAACCCTTCTGACACCCCATTCAGACTTCAGTACAATTTTCAGAATTTTCACGGACATTCCACTTTAATCTGGCCGACGAGCGTTTGTGTCTCCAACTTTTGTAATACCAGCACTGGAGGGATAAAAAGTAGTTTACTAAAACCGTGTCGTTTCGATGATTAATTTGGTACTAATTCTGACAAAATTGGGTACAATTAGAAAATAGGACAGATAGAAGTGTGCTCACACCAGAAGACATGGCAAACTTGAGAAGAGAAGCGGTCACGCGATGTGGTCAAGCGACTATAATCACTTGCAGATGCTCTAATCACGTGCAGATGATCTAATCACGTGTGGATACTCCAATCATGTGACTGAGAAAGGGAGGGAGGAAGGAAGGAAGGGCAGGGAATTTTGGGAGACTGGAAGGGGGTTTTGGGAGCCGTATCTGGAACAACAAAGGGTAACGACTTTGACTTGGTCACGTGACCAGTTCTTCATAGCCAGTATAGAACTTTTGGAGACGTTGTCAGCGCTGTTTGGAGTTGGGTCCAGATCTTTCGAGACATTCAGAAACGCTGGTGTTCTCAGAAAGCTGGTCATGGAGCACTCAGACATTAGTACATGTAATGATAAGGCGTTGAACAGCCGGGAGAGTCCAGTCTCTGCTGGTTTGAGAGCACGTGATCCAAACATTGGAGTTTCCGTCACTTTCTCAGCTGAAAGTACCAGACCTCCGTGAGAAACCAGATCCACTTCCCCCGTTCAATGTCAACTGGAACTGTTACAACCTTCAGCAGCAATCTGCTTCTTGGGCAAGTGCCTACAACTTGACGAGGTCTCCGGTATTGTCTCCAGAATGACTCAGTGAGCTTAGGGGTTCCATCGGCATGAATGTCCGAAAGAGTATCCGTTCTAGTTCCACATGATTTTTTTGACTGTACTGGCTTGTATGTATGATACGATCCGAACTGGTGACTTGACGACCGCGTCACGTGACTCGGCGACCACATCACGTGATCCGCGAACTGTCATCGCTACAATGCTACAATGTCAGAGCTACAATCGTTACAGCTGACCAGACCGACTCTCGTCACTCAACTCGCCTATTCAATCAATGCTCAATCTATTAATATAAAACTTTTCCGTGATCCATCTATCTAATCCAGGTGACGACCAAGTGAGTACCCAACCAGGTTGGTTGGAGACACTGAGCCGACCAAATCAATACCGTAATCAATACCGTCCATGTCTTGAATCCGACTCGGTTTCGGACTACGTCCTCAAACTTTGTCTATCTCCAATCATTCGATCCAACAGTTCTCTTTCCGGAAAACAAATGCTTGGGCTTGGTCTCGGCAATATGTCGATCGGCCTCTCCTCGTCGGGCCTTCATGTTACCCTTTCGCTGGGAGTGCTTGGCCATTCGGTCGGCCTTGGATCGCACGGTGGTGACAATACCATCGTCTCGTCGGTTGGACTGGCCCAGGGGCATGAGGGACATTTCCTGGGTGGAGACGGCCTCGTTGAGGAAGGTCTGGTGGCCCGACACGTCGTCGGAGGCCTTGGCTTCGGCCAGGGCGTTGGCTCGGTCCACCACCTTAGACGAATCGAAGCCCACTCGCTCCAGATGCTCCTCCATGTCTCCCAGCGACTTTTTGGTCTTTGTTCTGGGGATGGCGGCCTTGTTTTTGAGTGACTTCTTGGACCGGGCCGTGTTTCGCATCATTTTGATCTTGTTTCGCAGCCACTGGGCCTGCTCGTGGATATCCTCGGCCTCGTCGTCCTCAATTTCCTCCTCCGAGTCGTAGAAGCCCTCCTGCTCGAGTTTCTCCTCCTCGTCCTCCAGCGCCTGGAGCTTCGAGGCGATATCGGGGTCGATGAAATCGTAGACATTTCGGCCGTTGAGCAGCTCGGGCATAATGTCCTTCTTCCAGGCCTCGTCCTCCAGCAGATAATCCTTGGACATGTCAATGGAAAAGACTCCAGCGCCTCCATTTTCGTCCTGAATGTCCCGCATCAGCTTTCGTCTGTTGGGGTCGTTCTTGTCGTACTTTTGCAGGAACTGGACCGCCTCAGGCACAGCCGAGGGCCGCTCAATGTCGTCTCGCTTGACGGGCTGGGCAATATGGACCTGGTTGAGCAGATCGGAAGAGGCGCCACCCTTGACATGACGCAGCTTCTGCTCCACTCGAGCCGCCAACAGCTTCTCGCACGCCCGGTTTCGCACCTCCATAAGACCCTCCTCGGCATGGCACGACAGCTGCATAATCTCCACGTCGGGCTGGGCAGCAATGCCCTTGAGAAGCTCCTGGTTCTCCTCATCCAGATCCTCCGGTCGCTTGACGTCAATCTTGTTGATGACCACAATCACCTGCTTGTTGGCAAACAGCGGCTTGATGGAATGGAACAGCTTGACCTGCTCGGCCACAGAAAAGCCACACTGCTCGGAAACGTCCATGAAATACAGCACACACGACCGAATGTGGGCAATGGCGTAGATGGACTGCATTTCAATGTTGTTCATCTCCTCGGTGGGACGGTCCAGAATACCGGGAGTGTCAATCGCCTGGAACCGCAGATACTTGTAGTCGAAATGACCGACATACAGAGACTTGGTGGTAAACGCATAGGGCTGGACCTCGACCTCGGCTCGAGTCACAGACTTGAGGAACGAAGACTTGCCAACATTGGGATAGCCACAGATGAGCAGGGTTCGAGTGTTGGGATCGATGGAGGGCAATCGACCAAGATGCTGCCGAACTTGCTCAAGATAGACAAGAGGGTCCTTAAGCCGCTTCATAATGGTGGCCATACGACCAAGAGCAGCCCGCTTGAGCTGCTTGCACTGGAAAAGAGACTGACCAAACTTGAGCAGACGCACGTAATCACGTGACACCTGATCGATGAGCGACTTGGCTCGGGACAGGGATGCCAGAGACACCTTGTAGTGGTTCTTCTCGTACAGGGTATCGAGCAGGTCTCGATGGAACGGGTGGATTTCGTTAATGTTGGGGAACGACGTGACAATCTCGTTGAGCTTCTCCACAAATCCGTCCGCTGTGAATCGCACTTTTCGCATGTAAAACGCCCGGATTCGCGAGATTTTGAACCCGGCTCGAATCACCGTGGGCGTCTTTCGCTGCGTCCGGTTCAGCACAATGTCCAGAAACTCGCTCTGGTTCGGAATCGTCGGAATATCTTTCCACGTTAGTTGCATTTTTCCTCGTTGAAAGTTGAAAACAGTAGAGTGTGTTGCGTGTGTAGAAAGTGGAGGATTTTTTTTTTGGGAGCTGACGCAGCTGCATAAAACTTTTAAGGTTAACGTTTTGGGATATGCAGAGGTTATTATGGTCACGTGAGGTGGCAATGACTATAAAATGAGTACGGGTACGAGTATGAATACCCGTAATATCGGGATGAGGAGTCATGTGATCGAGATTGGTCTGAATTAGTCATTGTATGTTGATTTTTTTGGCGCTGGAAAACAACACTACAGATTGAGACCGAGTTTTTTTTTGTAAGGCAGGCACTATATTAGCCTAACTAAACTCCCATGGGCTGTGTGTAAATTTTGTCGGAAAAAAATGGAAAAAAATGAAAGAAAAATAGGAGAAATATAAATGGTATAGTTTTTGTTATTGAAAAATCCATATTATAATATTCCCCCAATTTATTCCCCATCTAACAGTCTCAATCATCTCCATAGATCCACCTTTTTGCCTTTCTAATTCACCACCCAAACTCTCCATTTTTCTGGTCAAAATAAGCTTATCGGATCGATGGCAATGTCTTCCAGGCGGCCCAGAAAAGAGGAGAAGGGCGACTGTACTGAGAGTGGAGGAGTCTGTGCGATGTGGCGAATCCACTGGCGTTTTTTTTCCGACTATTTTTATTGTTTTGGAAGAGTTATCGAGGAGTTATTGAGTAATTGATTAATTGAGGTTGGTTTTTTTTTTTTTTTTTTTTTTTTTTTTTTTTTTTTTTGAGTAAATTCGAAATTTCGGAGAAATTCAAGCTATTTGGGTGGTTTGGGTAGAGCGAGGTTCATTATATGGCCGTTGAATAGCGCACAATATATATTTGTACACGTCTCTATAATTTGCAAGGAAATGTTCTGAAGTTTTCATTTTTCTTGTCATTTTTCTGAATTTATTCTCTTCTTCTGAAATTGCTATTTTTACTGAATTTCCTGAAATGTAAGTTTCTGATAAATTCAAACGATTAGATTATTCTAAATTATATTTAATCAAATAAAATCTGGAAAAAAGGAAACCTCTAGATATCGATTCTGTAAGTCTCACAACAACCGTCCACATCCTCCTTCTGACCACGCCAACTCCCCAAACGACCCCCAAATGACCCCCAAAGGAATCCCCACTATCATGGCAGAAACACCGCACCTGAACTTAGACTCGCATCACCGGACTTGACAGCATCTCCAGAACTGTACCACAACAGAACGGTACCAGCAACACTTCTCACAACCCACATGTCACTCAACAGCACCAACTCAACATCAACGTCGGGCATGCAGCTCTGCGCCAAAAGCGTGCAACTGGTACTCACCGAAACCTCCAAGCCCTATGATGAGGGCCGATCTCCGGTGCGATACGAGGCGACTGGAGTGACAGTTCTGATTGACGCCACTCGGGTCATTGTGCAGTCGGACTCGGACAACGCGCCCCAGCTGCCTCACGTGGTCGCGTTCAAGCTGGACTGTGTCAATTTCGCCTCGCTGGAAATTCCCATGACCAACATTCTCAAGGTGCAGCTGACTCAGCCGTGGTTTGGCCCCAACTCGGTGGACATTTCGTTTGTGGCGATTCCCAAGGCCGAGAGAGGCCTGCATCTGGTTCCCGGGCTGAGACGGGACGGAACCACGTGGCGAGCCGATCTGTACTTTCGCGAGGGTGGCGCCATTGAGTTCCAAAAGGTTCTGGCGGAGAAACACACAGCGTTCAGGGAGAGAGTCCAGAGACAGGTTTCGGTGGCGCGAGACGGCATCGAGCCGGATTTGCCACAGTACGAGGCTCCTCCTGGTTATGAGGAATAGATGGTGGGATGTGGACGAAACACAACAACCGCTTGGGTCTTATCCGACTGTTGACAGATAGACACTCGACTCAGGATACTGGTGGTTACCCATTTCTCCATTTCCCAACGTTTTCCTTCACGTTTGTTCCACGCTCAAGGCCTCTTCTCCTCGTTTTTCTAACGGTTTTTTTCCCCCGCTCAAGGTCTCTGTCAAGGTCTCTTGTCAAGGTCTCTGTCAAGGTCTCTGTCAAGGTCTCTGTCAAGGTCTCTGTCAAGGTCTCTTCTCTACCGCCCACCACCCTACCCAATCATTCGGCCACTCATATACACAACATCAAACGAGTCCCCTGAAGCGGAGAGCCCCACAAGTATAAGAAAGAGTTGGTGCAGAGACGCTTCACACATTCCGCAGTTTTGAAACTCTGAGACGATCGTGCCCTAAACAGAACCTGGGACCCGCGTCACCCAGTCTCACGAGACCCCGACAGCCTCTTTATACGTGTACGGTATATCGAGATAACTTATTGCATCATTTTGCCATGAGATGAGACAAGCATAAAAATGATATTTTGATGATGGTTACGTGGTAATACCCAGCCAGGCATTGAAAGTATATCTGCTACAGACTAATGAGTGGTGCCATTCGACAGCTGGAGCCCGACCGATCTCCACAATGTATTTCCTTAACCCAGGGCTACTAAATTGAAAATATGGAAGTACACCAAGATCGAGGAGGTCTGCTCTATGAATGTTGAAAGTGGGTCTTACGGTTAGATGCTTATAAAGCTGTCTTATTGTAGTATCATAGTCCCGTGACAGGGCTAAGGGGTCCGTAAGGCGCACTTTGGCGCATAGACTTTACGGTATATCATCCGGAACAGCCACATTTTTTCATTTTCAGCATTTCGAGAGCTGATTGAAGCGGAATTGGAAATGTAGACTCCGGAATGAGGCAATTTCGAAGTCCCCGTGTCTCTAGCTTGTCTGTATCGATTTCTAAAGTCGTTACACATCATGGGTTAGCTCGACAGTATGTAGGTGTCTTCACAATTGCCAAATGCGCATCTTGTAGTAGAAGATATGTATTCCTGGAGTATTTCCATGGTGCTATACCACCAAACATCCGCCCTTTGTTGTCATGGTTATTCCATTGCTATTATCCCTCGTTGTTAACGCCAGTATATATGTCGGAGTCATCAAATCAGGACCAGGATGTACGAAAAATGCTACAGATTCCATTATAAACACTCAAATGTATAGTTTCAAGTTTCTGGGGGCATCCAATGAGTGGTTGAAACACGTCAGTCAACTCCCCAAACGTCCTATGTGCTTCCTACAGTAAGTATCAATGATATTCATACGACCTTCAGTAGGGTGACCGGATGCACAGCGAGACGATGAAACTTCAGATTGAAAAGTAACATGAAGTTGGAAAGTCGTCAGTAGTTGAGCAATGTCATGTTAAATCCATTACCAAAGTCTTTGATAACCAGATTTATTCTCTAGTCGAGTTATCGTCATATTATTAGATGGTCTCTTGTAAGACCTGTTCCCAAGGCCAGAAGAGCAATCGAAAAGAAACTGGAACGGATAAAACTCTCAAGATAAATAAAGTAGAGAAAGATCACTTGGAACCCGCAGTCCTTTGGATTCCGTTGTTTATCTCATACAAAAACACTCCATGTTCACATCTTTTTACTCAACAAAGTATTAGCCTAATTCCAACAAAAAGCTAACTATTGGCTCAACTAAAACCCAACACAGCATCCCCCAAGATTGACACAACCAGACTGATCATAGTGCCAATAACATCCACAAATAAATTTCTGCTAAGAATGTAGATCTTTTGAAACCCCCTGATATACTCATAATCCCTTTTAGTTCCTCGGAACATCAAAATACAACCCCCAGAACAAAACCCCCTTAACAATTTCCCAACTAACAATAACTAAAGAAATAACGGAAACAAAAGTACCATTCAAACAATCCTGTAGTAACCGCAGCGACTCAAAAACTTCACACACAACTATTACACACCTGATAAACCTCCTTATCAACTCCCCAACCATCTACCTATCTCCACAAAACTTCTACAATACAATTTGGTAGTACCGTTCATGCCACTGGCGCTACACTATCTACACTATCTATAATGGAATCTGAACCTACTCCAGAAAAACACACGCCTGATTTCTAGCAATTATGGACTCCAGTAATCGCGCCAGAATAATGCTCGTACTCTTTCACCCACTATTACTAATCTCACGGACTATTACTAATCATCTACACTCTCCAAAAAAAATCACATTCGAAATCAAACGCTCTTCAGGTAACCTCGGATTGGTATCTCCTCAGAGATATTACAAAGATTCTACACGCTGACTAATCAACCTTAGCTACAACTATCAACGCCAATAACAAGTATCCCTACTGACTACAGTTACAATCCACGGGCTACACGGAGCCCTGGATGTCTCGCACTCACAAGCGCACCCACTCACGCGCTGCGCTCATGCCTGTTGGAATATCGGTATATCACCTTGACTATGCTCTTCCTTTTATCCTCCACTGCAGTCCTCTGCTTCCTGTCCTGTACATTGCTGACGCAATCACTCAAAATCGCCAGCCTCCTCGTCAGCATCATCATCATCTCCATCCACCAGCTTGTTCTGCTGCTCAGTCTTCTCCATAAGCTTGGCGAGCTCGGCATCGTCGGTCTCAGTGACGGCCTTGGGCTCCATCTTGACCGTCAGAGAGCCGCCGGACGCCTCAATGCTCTCTCGAATCTTCTCAATCGCCTCGCCGAGAGTGTCGATGGCCTTCTGCTTGTCCAGACAGGTGGAGGTGAGCACAAACAGAGGAGCGGCCACCAGCTTGACCTTGACGGGCACCAGCTCCGAGTTGAGCGTCTCACCGGCCGCCAGCGCCTTCTTGATCGCCTCAATGCCCTCGTAGGCAAAACAGGTGATGTCAATGTCAGCTCGCACCTTGACGGGGTTGGGGGTCAGTCGCCGGCCAATCTGGGCCTTGAGATCCTCCATGATGGCGGGAGAAGCAGGGTCCTCCAGATCGCCAAACACCTGGTCGGGGTTGGTGATGGACAGCTTGAAGCCGTCGTAGGCATGGCCATACTTGGTGCTCAGCGGCCAGCCCACCTGTTCGTACAGCTTTTCTAGCGAGTACTTGTGTTTCTCCGCCACGTGCCGCAGAATCGAGTGCACAGTCTTGGACTTGGTGTACTTTTCCTCACACTTTTCCACGTCCTCGGCGCTCACTCGCCGTTTCGACAGATCGATGTAGCCCTTGTCCTTGTCCACTCGCAGAACAACCACAATCTCGTTCTTGCCCACCTTGATGTGCTTCTGGATGGACCGGATACGTCGTCGCGACAGCTCCGACAGCAGAATCATGCCCTCAATGTCGTCGTACTCAAGCAGCTTGACGTACGCGCCCATGTCGGCAATCTCCTTGACGTTGACCATCACCAGGTCGTCGACCTCGGGGTACTTGTTGGCGTAGAATCGGCAGGTGGTCGTGTTGACTTCGTCCATTTTTTTGCTGCTTGTGTCGGTGGGTGGTGAGATTGGATTCGGACATGACTGATTGCATGAGGATTTTTCAGCTACAGTTTTAGGTTGGTCACGTGGCGGGAACCGAGGTTGTTGGTTCGATTCCCACTGGGCGCGGATGGATGTAGTTTATGGGAGCTGAGGAAGCGGAAATAATGGCTCACAATATGGCACAGACCGTTTTGCATGGGCCAGATACGCCATCTGAAATAATCTTCCGATTCGGGAAGACTCTGATTCCGGAAGACTCTTAATCTATGATCAGCCTTCCCCCCCTCCCCCAGAAAGCTTAAATTATGTGGAACTAGCACAACCACAGATGCATGCACTTGTGCAGTGTGCACACGTGCCACACCAGCCAGTTTGTGTCAGACATGAACACCAAACAGGAAAGTCAGCATCTTCAGAAGGATACTCTCCAGAAGGATACTCTCCAGAAGGATACCCTCCAGAAGGATACCCTCCAGGAGGAGAACCCATGAAAGATACCCTAGTCTCACGTGAGTCCACGTGACTCTCCTCAATTCAATGACCCCCGTCTCCCCATCCTATCCTCCACACGTCCGCCGAATTGGAGACAGAACATGATTGCGTCCGCCGCTTTGATTGTGTGGTGGAAAGAGATGGAAAAACAGGTGTGGAGAAGGAAGAGTTGGTTTCGGAGGCGGACATGGGCTTTATATATCAAGGTGGAGCGGGGCTTTGTGTAATAAGGTGTGGTTGGTGGAGATGTTGGCGAGGCGGTGGGCGCTGGTCACGTGACCGAGATGGCGGGGGTGTTGGCGTTGGTCACGTGACGCAATAGAAATCTGTCTCAGGTTTGATTTAGATTTCATCAGATGTGTTTTCTTGACGGGGTGTTGAATTTGGGGTTGATTTGGTGGGGGAATCCACTTGGCTCGTTATTGTTCGTCATTCAGATCGATCATGGGCCAGCTGGAATCGGTTTGTTGAGAATGATCAGAGGGTTCTTTTCTTCTTTTCTTCTTTTCTTCTTTTCTTCTTCTTTTCTTCTTTCTTTCGTTTACAGCGATGAACAGCCGTCGCAAAGGTAAGGGAAAGGGGCTACAAGAATCTGAAGACAGCTGCGCCATGAACGTTTGTCATTTCTTTTCGATGGAAAATATTGAGACGGTTCTAGAATCTCTGAAGGGTTTGATTCGTTGTGTTGTCTTCTGTGACTTTGGTACAATGGCAATGCCGCAAAAGTTCCAAAAGACCACTCCTGATTACCCGAGAAACTTCTGGAGAAGCGCGCTCTTTCTCATCCCAGACATGGCACTCCTTATTAGTCATAGGGGGGCAGTTGTTGACAAATCACAAGTGCTAAAAGTGCCCAATTAACCCCATTCACTTCCCCAAGTCTTCTCAGTGGAGTTTTCTAATTCCGAGACGGAAAAAACTGTCATTGAGATGGTTCCAGGTGGCTCTGAGTCAGTTCCATTTCTCTCTGAATCATTTCCCGAATCAGTTCTCTCTGGAGCAGGGGTTGTTTTCTGATCCGACGGTTCCACCATCATGTGTGGACCGCTAACCTGTTCCTTCCGACTCGGTGAGCGTTCCTCAAAATAGAACCATTTGAAAGCTGGAGACGAGCCGATTACGACTCAGCAGCACCATTTCCGCACAGCAATGACCAGTCAAAAGTTGGGTACAATGCTCATCCCAATTGCTCCCCAAAACCAATGCTCCTTGAAGCCGTGACGATTCCCAACACTATGATGAATGAAAGGACCGAAAGTTGCAAAAATGAAATTCTGATGAGAAAGTTGTTGTTGTTTTTCCATCGACTGCCGCCAACCGAACTGTCAGACAGAGACAGGACCGAACCAAGCGCCATTTGACGTCTTCCACAGCTCATGCAGCAAACATCCCGCCACGACTGGACAGTCTAGATATCGACATGGCATGTTCGGTGTCTGTTCGGTACCCGGAGTGCCAGCTTCGAAGGTGGCACTCCAGATCTCGAGGTAGCACTATATGCCCTTCTCCATCTCCTGTTCTACCTCTTTTGTTGCGATTTTGTCGTTCCTACTTTCGCCACGTATATCTCATGCCTTCACTTGATGATATCTCAGGAACGAGTAATGCCACCGGTTGAAAAGGTAGGTATAACTGTTCCTCTGGTATAGGGCGTTGAAATGAGTCTACTCTTGTACCTACAGGCCAACTATACAACTACCTACTCAAGTTATCCCTTCACTATTGTGCTCTACTATCACCTGGACTAGATCCTGAATACAATACTGTACCTAGAGAGATGGGAAGTTGATCAAAATGAAACTTGACGTCTGAAGATCATTTCAGGTCACCGTCTCCGTTTCATTTGGCGCATTATCCATCGTTCTGGAGCGCGGTTCATGCTATAGGGGGAATGCCAACTACCTTTCAACTATACTTCTAACAAATAATAGTTGATGATGAAAAAAAGATATCCGCACAGAGCGAAGTATTGTATAGCAAAAATGTTCAAAATACAGAAAAAACCATGAAACCAATATCGTAGAATCCATCTAGACAAACGCCATATCTCCACCGCCTCTGGATCCCTAGATAAAGACCCCAAGTCAAGTTTTGATGTCAACAAAGTCTAACTAATATTTGTTAAATTAAAAGAGAGCTGGACATCTACAACAAATCGAGTCCAGGACCGCGAGTCACGTGTTAAGTCACATGTTAAGTCACATGTTAAGTCACGTGTTAAGTATCTTATAACGTGAAACCGCTTCTCTCGATACGTGAGTGATCTGGATCTGGATCAGAGTGTGTGTGCAATCTCTGCCAGTCACGTGACTAAAATCCTTCACGTGACTTGAACACCCAAGAATTACCACCCAAAGACACAAAACGAAAGTAACATGTCATTATTCTATGTAAAATATCTATTGTCTCCAGTCAGTCAGTAGCTGACAGTGGTTAGAGCAGAGCCGACAGTAGTGAGCTGAAAAGAGTGAAGAGTTGAGTACTCTTACTGCTCCGCATCTGAGCGATGCATCTTCGCTGTTCGCTCTAGCGGTCCAGAATCTCCAACAATTGGTTCTTGAAAACAGGCAGCATTTTGGGAATCTCGGTAATATCCGGTCGCTGGGGCGGCAAGTCGCTGGACTGCTGCTTCTGTTCAATCTTCCGGGCCAACTGTCGTCGTCGTCTCTCCTCTTCCACCGCATCCAGCTGTCCCTCGCTCTTGCCCATGATAGCGCGGTCCTCTAGATCCAGCTCCGCCACGTCCAATTCCAGCTCGTTAATGTCTTCAATATCGATTCCGAAATCGCCCGTGTTGATGCCGTTGGCTCCTCCTGGCAAGGTCGAGTCCCATCGCGTGTCAATGTCGTCCTCCGCGTCAGCACCCATGGCTGCAAGGGTCGAGTTGACCGAAGACGACCTCGACAACCGCTTAACTCCGCTGTCACGCATCTGCTGGGCTGCCGCGGCGCGCAGATCGTACCAGTCCTTTCGTCGTCGTGTCCAGTCGACAATCTGGTCCACCTCAAACACCACCCTCTCCTTGTCACCGGGGTAGTTGGCCAGCATCATTTCGAGATCAAGAGGAGCTCCATGCTGCTGGCCGTCCTTCAGAAAGAGAATAATGTCCGAAATCCAGCCCATGAGCTGGTCAAACAGACCGCCGTCGTGCTGGTACACATTGTGGATGAACTTGAACAGAGAGTCAACGTGTCGGTTGCACAGGTCCACAAACAGTTGGACCTGCGAATTGGCGTCCGAAGTGAGCGAATCAATCTCACTCTTGCTGACCGTCTTGATCAGGTCGTCGGCAAACCGCTGAAGATCTCCCACTGCCTCAGAAATATGGGCATCCTTGAAGACCCGAATCAGGGGCTCGTAGAAGATGGTGATCAGATCCTTGACTAGCTGAACGGTCGCCTTCTCATTGATCAGATCCTGGAACAGGTCCTTGTCTCGCTTTCTGGTCAAATGCTTCAGCAAGTTCTTGGTGGCAGAAAACTTGAGCACCTCGTCGGACTGAACTTCATGGGGATCGTTACTCGGCTCCTCCTCCACCGCATTGTCCCACCGTTCGTACCACAGCTGCACAGTGCGCTCCTGTTCCCAGGAATGGTTCTCTTCTGCCTGCAGCTTGAAAATGGCCAGCACCATGTCGCAGTCATGAGCATGCTTGGTCTTGAGCACCCGCTGATGAGTGGCCTCGTCAGCGTAGACAAAATCCTCCAGTCCCTGACACACGGAATCATCGGCAATGAGCAGCTTGAGCTCCTTGATGGCCCGCTCCTGCTGCTTGATGTCTTCTTGTAACATGTACCAGATGATATTCTGGAAGAGCGACTTGCGGCCAAACGGCTGGGCCAGGAACAGATCCATCATTCCCTTCATGATCGAGACGGGGTTGGACAGCCGCAAAATGCCCTTGATCACCGTGTACGGAATGAACCGGTGAAGACGACACACCTGCGCAAACACCTCGGGAGCATTGTCCGACGCCACAAACATGTGGAACAGCGTGGCGGCAAACTCAATCGTCGCCCACTTGATGAACTTTTGGAACCGGGGACTCAGGTCACGTGCGCTGCTCTTGTCCCGGATCTCGTCGAAAATGTGTTTCAGACCATCTTCCCGCACAAGATCCTGCTTGAACTCCTGGAGGTAAACGTTGAGCTCCTGCGCTCGGGCTTGGGCAACCTCGTAGAACTGCAGCTGGTCACGCACACGGGCAATGTCGACTTTTCGACGCAGCTCCATATCGCGAATCTCGTTGGGTGTCATTTGAATGGGGTCCATGTAGAGAAACTCGAGGAGCGTCTTGGAGTTGGCTACCATTCGGTTTGACACCAGAGTATGAAGGTAGGCACGGAGGGTGGTTCGTTGTTTCTCACGCGGAAGACTTACTCTCTTTCCATCGTGATGGACGTTGGCGGTATCGTCATCATCAATATGCTCCTCTGCGTCGTTGAGCTCGTCTTCGGGGTCGTCGTTTTCGGTGTCGACAAAGCCGCCGATACCTGAGGACGTGGCCTGGGAGGCAGCACGGTTACGCACGGGCAAATTGGGCAGCCCACGTCCGGGAAACTCCCGGTGTAGCTTCTTGGCCAGCTCCTTGAAGTCGTGGAAGGTGCGTGCGACCACAACGGTTCGGCCCTCATGAGACTCCATTTTCGTCTCAATGAGGTACTCGGCGCTCACGTGGTCGCCGGCTAGAAACGAGAGCATTCGTTTGGTTCGGATTTCGCGCACTCCCACGACATTGACGCACAGGCCGTTAATGAATTTTCCACTGGCCAAGGACGATAGGACTTTTTTGTGGTCCAGCTGCTCGACGCCGGCGGTGGCCGGTTTCTCCACCTTGGCCGCGGGCTCGTCGACGTTGGTGGTCATGAGGCCGGCAGACATGTACATTGCAAAGGCTTTTTTGATCCGCAGGGAGATTTTCGATCGCTTTGTGTCTTCGGCTCTGTCTTCCGATGAGGAGATGTTCTTGTCTGCGAACGACTCTAGAAACGCCTGGAGCCGCAGTTGCCAAAAGTCGCGGTCGTCGGCTTTGCTGAGAAACGGAAACGTCTTGATGTGGTGGACAAACATGTGGCGGACAATGGGGAATTGGTAGACCACGGGGCCGTTGGGGCCGTTGGGGCCATTGGGGCCGTTGGTGGTGGCGAGGGTTCGGTTGGGGGTTGCGTTTCCGGTGCTGGGGGTTGTGTAGCCGGTATCGTGGGGCATTGCGCTGAGGCTCAGGTCGCCGTAGTTTTCGTCGTGGGAGTCGTAGAAGTGGTCTTCGTGGTCGTGGTCACCACCGTGGCCGTGGCCCTTGAGATGCGGAATGTGAATGTGTTTCTTGATGTGGCTGCCCTTCTTCTTGATGTGTTTGATGGACCCCATGACGCTGTGGTGGGATCCTCCGGAGCTCTGCGGCTCCAGCACCGGCGACCCGATCGTCGGCGTGTAGTGGTCGCCGTCGTGGAAGCCCTCGGTCCCTTCGATGATCGGCTCCGGCGTGTGACTGGGGCCATTGGGCGCAAACGGCGCTCCGAACTTGCGCAGACCCCGAAAGTCGGCCAGCTCGGCAAACTCGTCTTCGATTTCGAGCCGCACCAGCTCGCGCTTCAGATAGTGCTCCTGGATGGGCTGCAGTTGGACCCGGTTGGACATTGTGATTGGTCCGAGTGAAACGACGAGGGAAAAAAGTGGTGGTGCAAAAAGTGAAGAGAAGGAGGAGACGTTACATGCCGCATATTCACACTCAGATACAGTTAAACCTTGTTGAGTTATTTTGGAGATACCGGGACGGAGGCGAGGTGCACAGGAGGACGGACATACGGGGCGGTTGCGGGAGCTCACGTGATAAAATGACTAGAAAAAGTAGATTTTTATGGCTTTTCAAACCGATTTCCGTTTTGTCCCCGTTAAAATCGACCCCCGATTGTCCATTTTGGGGACTGTTCCTTTCCTCCTCCCCAAAAGCCGGAATGTACTCCTTTTACTTAAGAAGCTCAACTATACTGTTATCCCTAGTTGAATACCTAACTAAAGTATGCACTGGCAAACCTTTGAATACTGCGTCTTGGAGAGAGTCCCGATTCGAACGCCGAGACATGCGAAATGGAGCTGAAACCGCTGCGAACCCATGCCTAACTCCCCCCGTCCCATTTAACCGGTCCAATCCCAAGCTGGACCCACCTCCATTCAACCTCCCCCCACCCCCCTCTCCACTCTGTAAATAACTCATCTCCCTCCAAACACCAAAAGACGCGTGGCTACAAAAGTAAATCCCCCCGTCCCGCTCATTTCAGCCCTTTCCGCACATCTCTAATACCGTGTTAATCGCCCCAGGGTTTATTTCGCTCCAATGGTAAATGGCGCAATCGAACCGGACCGCCGCAACCACAACCAAACATGGCGACTCCAAACCACATAAATGACTCCCTATCGGCGGGAAAACCATACAATTCTGTCCTTTGAACCGAAGTGAGACAAGTCCGCTTTTCAAAATCAACCTAGCCCCTCTCCACGCCCCTCAGGCGGCTTATCTCCGATAACTCCGAGCACACATGCACCCTGCAACAGTCACTCCAGCAACTCTAGCAACTCCAGCAACAGCAACTCCAGCACTCAGCTGGCGGTCGCAACAACCATCTGAGACCCCCAAGATTGCTCACACACCAACCGTCCCCGGATCAACCCCTTTAAACCCACTCCAAACGCGTCGCTCATAATTGCTCCCCCAAACCCTCTACTTTTCAGTACAAAAACGGAAATACAGATACAGCAGAAAATGCACGCCAAATGAGAGCTTGAGGCAATCAAGAATGGGAAAATATCTCGCTTCCCCCGACGGTCACGTGACGTTCCCGGATCGTTGAGCCTCAACTTTGTCAATATTACTTTGATCGGAATTTCGACGCCGGAAATCGTCTAGTCAGCTCGAGACAAACCCAACGACACCCCGAACGGCCACATTATCTCCTCCGGGTCCGAACATGTCGCGCGGAATCTTGGGCGTCGCAGTTCTCCTGCACGTATACGGCAATCTGTAAACCTTATTTCCAACATGAGCCGAGGTACAACAACAGCAACAGTGGATATTGTGGTCTCAATGTTGCACGAAATCACTAGATATCAAAGCTGGAAGTTTCTGGAACAATCATTAGTCTCCAGGATAAATTTCACGTTATCAGCTTTCGAACTAAAAAAGTTAGACCATCGTCTAAACTTAGCAGTGATGGAAGTCTACAATACCGATTTTGGGGACCTGATAGTGGTCGGAGAAAGATAAAAATGCCACCATTGAACTCTCCGCAAGCCAGGGAGTATTTTGATATAATTATATAAGCCATAAAGCCACTGGATCAAAAACTACCAGACTTCTAATTCCACACAACCATCCCAGACTAATGTCGCTAGTGGGGACCCTGAACGTGATTGCAAAAGGGCGTGGCGGAGAAGAGATGAATCACGGGACAAGGAGTCGAGAGCTTTTTTCTCTGCGAGTCTGATGGTTCTTTTAGAATTCCTATGCATCCATTATTCGTCGAGTTGGTCTTGGCCGGTTCACTATTGGATGGGGCTAGAGTACTGATCCAGCAAGATCCATCTATATCCACGAATAGTGCTCCGATTGGACTCGGAAGAGGGTCAATATGTTTCTATGGTTGGCGGGATCAAGACTACGATTGTTTCCGTTGATGTCATTGGCTATTTGTACTGTGTTTATGCGATCATTGGTTAAGAGTCCATTCACAGTGTCCAGTGCGATCCAAACATGTTCACAATCACCACAAATGTATTTCAAACGTATCATGTCGTTGAGAATCATCTGGAGACCACAAAATGAGGTACATCTTTCCCATTTCTCTTTTCTACCAACCACAACGAGTGACTTCAATTCACGCTCATTTATTTCGATTTATTTAAATAAGATTTTTCACTGAAAAATATTGCCACTCTGACTTTTCCGGCCCAACATTGCAACGACAACTCCCACAGAAAATCCAAACATATCATTTTGTTCGTCTCGACGAGAGTAACGCAATGATACCCTTCAACTCTCTCCGACGTGCTCCCCCCTCAGGCACAGATTATGACCTCTTCCGCCCTCCCCCAAACCTTGTTTAAAAAAAATCGAAATCGTGCATATTTTTTCTACTCACACAACTCCACCCAGACAACAGAACCACCTAGACACATTTCCCGTACTACACAGACATGAAGGCGGACTACAAATTTTCGAATCTGTTGGGGACCGTGTATCGGCAGGGAAACCTGGTGTTTACGCCTGACGGCACGGCGCTGCTTTCGCCGGTGGGCAACCGGGTGTCGTATTTCGATCTGGTGAAGAACACCTCCTTCACGTTCCCGTACGAGCACCGGCGCAACATCACGTGCATTGCTCTGAATGCGCAGGGCTCGCTGATGCTGACAGTGTCGGACGACGGCAAGGCGATTCTGGTCAACTTCAAGCGACGGACGGTGATCCATCATTTCAATTTCCGCGACGTGGTGTCGGACGTTCAATTTTCGCCGGACTCGCAGTACTTTGCCATCAACATTGGTGCGCGGCTGGAGGTGTGGGCGATCCCCAGCGACACAAACAGCCGCTCGTTTGCGCCGTTTGTGCGCCACAAGCGCTACGAGGGCCATTTTGCCGAGATCACGTCGATTACGTGGTCCGACGACTCGCGGTTCTTTCTGACCACGTCCAAGGACTTGACGTGCCGCGTGTGGTCGCTGATGGATAAGGACTCGGGCGCCGCAGCAACGCTGGGCGGTCATCGAGACACCATCACCAACGCCTTCTTTTCGCAGGACCAGGAGACCATCTACACGGTATCCAAGGACGGCGCCTGTTTCGAGTGGGCGTATGACGATAACGACGACGGTGACGACGGCTTTGTGGGGTGGAAAATCAAAGACCGGCACTACTTCCACCAGCAGTCGGTGCTCAAGTGCTCGGCGTTCCACGCCAAATCGAACATTCTGGTGGTGGGGTTTGCCAACGGCACCTTTGCCATGTACGAGCTGCCGTCCATGACGCAGATCCAGACCATGTCCGTGTCTCAGCACGGCATTGACTTTGTTACCATCAACTCCACGGGAGAGTGGATGGCGCTGGGCGCGAGCAAGCTGGGCCAGCTGCTGGTGTGGGAGTGGCAATCCGAGTCGTACATTCTCAAGCAGCAGGGCCACTTTGACTCTATGAACTCCCTCGTGTACTCTCCGGACGGCAGCAAGGTGGTAACCGCGTCGGAGGACGGCAAAATCAAGCTGTGGGACACCTCGTCGGGGTTCTGCCTGGTCACGTTCACCGAGCACTCGGCAGCGGTCACCGCCCTGGAGTTCTCCCGCAAGGGCAACGTCTTGTTTTCGGCGTCCTTGGACGGCTCCGTGCGCGCCTGGGATCTCATTCGGTACCGCAACTTCCGCACCTTTGCTGCCCCCGAGCGAATCCAGTTTTCGTCCCTGGCCGTGGACCCCTCCGGCGAGGTGGTGTGCGCTGGCTCGCTGGACAACTTTGACATCTACGTGTGGAGTGTGCAGACAAGCCAATTGCTGGACACGCTGGCCGGACACGAGGGTCCCGTCTCGTGTCTGTCTTTTGGCGCCGAAATCGCCAACGCGTCAATTCTGGCCTCCGCGTCGTGGGACCACACGGTGCGGGTGTGGAACATTTTTGCGCGTACGCAGACGGTGGAGCCGTTCCAGCTCACGTCGGACGTGCTCCAGGTGGTGATGCGGCCCGACTCCAAGCAGCTGTCGGTGTCCACACTCAACGGCGAAATCTCCGTGTGGGACATTGAGGAGGGCAAGCAGGTGGGTAGCATTGATGGAGCCAAGGACATTAGCGGTGGACGGCACTCGTCGGACCGGTTCTCTGCCAAAAACTCGGCGCGCTCCAAGTACTTTACCTGCATGACCTACTCCGCCGACGGCAAGTGTCTGATTGCCGGCGGCAACTCGCGGTTCATTTGCCTGTACGACGTGCAGTCGGGCGTCTTGCTCAAGCGGTTCGAGGTGTCGCGAAATATGTCTCTGGAGGGCACTCTAGACTACCTCAACTCAAAGAACATGACCGAGGCCGGCGCTCTGAATCTGATCAACGACCCCGACGGGTCCGACTGGGAGGACCGCGTGGACGACACTCTTCCGGGCGTGGTTCGCGGCGACAAGTCCAAACGACGCACCCGGCCCGAGATTCGTACCACCGGCATCAAGTTCTCGCCCACCGGTCGCCAGTTTGCTGCAGCCTCCACCGAGGGTCTGCTCATGTACTCCATCGACGACGAGCTCATGTTCGATCCCTTTGATCTGGACGTGGACGTGACTCCCCAGACCACGATGGAGGCGCTGGAAAACAAGGAGTATCTCATTGCGCTGGTCATGGCCCATCGACTGAACGTTCCGCGGCTCATTCAGCGTGTCTACGAGTCCATTCCCGTCGACACCATTGAGCGGGTCGCGCGGGGACTTCCGGTCGTCTATCTCGAAAGGTTTCTGCGATTCCTGGCCTCTGCAACTGAGGCTACTCCCCATGCCGAGTTCCATCTGCGGTGGATCAAGGCCGTGATTACCGCGCATGGGCGGCACATGGCCCAGCGCAAGCACGAGTACGCCCAGGTGTTGCGGGCGGTGCAGAAGTTTGTCACCCGGGTCAACAAGGAGGTTGCTCGACTGGCGGGCACCAACGGGTATTCTGCCGAGTTTTTGCTCGGGTCGAAGCCGTCTGTTCCGGTCGACGAGTCCAGAATGATTACTGGAGAGCCCGACGAGGTTCTGGTTCCCATCGAGACCGAAATGGAGGTTGAAGACGAGGATGATGACGATGATGATGACGAGGAGGGCTGGTTTGGCCCAGAGTCCAAGAATGATGCTTTTGCTCAGATGGATGTTGATGAGGATGATGATGATGAGGAGGAGGAGGATGAGTAAGCAGGACGGGTGAGAACCACGGCGCCTAGGCCTGGAGCTGGAGGGCTCTGACTTACGTTGGTTCGGCTCGGAGATATCGCACCAGGTCATCCAAAAGTGCGGGTCAGGCTCTGCAAGTCGACTAATGTGCCCATCAGAATGCCGTTTTGGCATCGGCTCTGGCGTCACTCTAGCACAACGTCTGCCGACTGAAGTTGCACAAAAATATTAATAGATTGTTTTATTGACCTCATAAGTAGATTGTACTGTACCGGCACAGTACCTGAGCTGTAGTTTGTACTTGTAGAGTTTTTTCAGAATTTTTTTATTTTTTATTTTTTATTTTTTATTTTTTATTTTTTATTTTTTTTTTATTCAAGATAAATAATTCAGATATCCATATCCAAGTATTCCTCCTAAATGGCCCGAAAGCACACAGACAGACTGATATTGAGACACAGACAGACCTAGACAGACACGGACAGACACAGAAAGACGCAGAGAGAGATGGAGACACTGTACAACTAACACAGCATCCAGAGGCAACCTCTTAAGCATCGTCATTACCCACACCGATGCACCCACGATACTCGTATTGGAACACCATCTAGAAGATCTCAAGGGTACTAGGTGGAACCACAGTCTTGTCACCACCACCACAAGTGCTTTCCTCATTACATCTTCGACTGAGTGTACTCTGCACTTCGGAAACCCCTTCTCCACAATACCGTCCGTTCCTCTCTCACTCCCTATCCTACAACGACTGTACCACTCCCCTTTACCCGTGAGCAAGGAGACGTTGTCGCTCTTCAGAATCGATACTCCACCTGATGAAAGCTGCGGTACAACTGTCTGTGGTCGACAAGGCCCTCGAGCAGCATTAACCGACTCTCCCAGTCTGTCCTCAAGTACAAAGATCTGCCGTTCAGGATGGACCCACTTCCAGCTCGCCAGCTGACCACCGTTGGCAAGCGAGCCACACTGGATCCAGGAGCTCTTGCGAAACCCGCAGTTAGCCCGAGATGTCAAGGGGCTCACACAACCACTCTCATATTCTAGTCGTGGGACAGATTTGTTTGGAGAATTGCGTGAACTAAACGAAAAGTACCACAATTGACAGACAGTACCATTGAAAACCCACCTTTTGTCGATTACCACGGTACTATTCAACTTCATTGGATCTGTCTATCAATATCTGATGAACCCTTTGTGCAGAATCAGCATCATTCCAGCGAAACGCAACTCCATGATTCCAGAGCAATTTGACCGTCCTGACAAGTTCACCAGTGGATAGCGTTCCAGCGCCTTTTTATCAAAGTCTCATCAAAATCAGACCTCAAAATGACGGATTGGGTAATGTCCTGTCAACATTTATGATGTTTTTGAGAATCTATGGACTCAACTCGATGAATTCTGACGCCAGCGAAACATAAAGGTGATCATTAGAATAGTAATATTTTTACTACTCTTTTGGTATTTTTTGATATCACTGTGGCGTTACCAAGTCCACTCATCTTCTTTATCCGCCGAATTCCACTCTCCTTCTCAACCCATGCAATGCCGCCATAGTTGCTCTTGTGGAACAGATAGAGGGACTTTTTAAGACACGAATTGCTCTCTGATGGATATGAAATGGTCTGAACAAGAGACCGCTGAAATATATTCAATATTCGTCACCTTCCAATTGCCCTAGTGCACCACTGGAACAGTGCAAAACATCGTCGAACTCTGACTGGCTGAAGAAAAGGCCAGAAAGACAACACAAGAAGCGAACAGAGTAAACTGACTACGCAGATTCCGATGGTACACAATTACCCGCTGAAAATGTTTCCTCTCTTTCACGATTCCGTCAACGGTGGCTGGCGAGACGCATCAACCCTGAATTACGATATTTCCGGAGAATGTCAATAAAACCACGGGGAGAAACACTAGTGGAGAATTGGTGCCATCATTGGACTCCCCGTCGATGATTTAAAGAACAAAAGTGGTATTTGATTTAGAATTGGTTCTTTCCCCGTCGAATCAGAAATGCCTCATTCAGACTGAATCAATAGACAGTTGAAACGACGGACTGATATACATTTAGGATCTGAAGGGGGTCTTTATTTGGTGGTCCGCTGAGCTTTCCGTTTATTTGTCCTTCTTGAACTCATCTCGTGGTTGTGGTCCTCATCTTAGTCCTCATCTCGTCGTCATCTTCATCGTCGTCGTCCTCATCGTCAGATCGCTCGTCCTTCTGGACGTCGGGGAAATCAATCAGTAGGCGATTTGAAATCAGATGGGTAGTACCAACCCCACAGTCTGTCACACCACTGGGAACCCTTCATCATTCTGACAAAGTGACCAAACAGTCTGTTACACCTGGAAGCCAGCACGGAAGGGTGGTATCGATCAATGACCCCTTGAAATTCACGCAGACCCTTCGGAAAAGTCTGTGGGACCCCCATTGATTTAAATTCTTGCGATGAGTATCTATACATTCTTGATGTTCATGTTGGTGAGTCCGCCATCCTCGCCCAGGTTATAACGAAGGTAGTATTGGCGCCTGCCCAAATCCTCCTTGGTATCACGAATCAGACATCACCGGATCACCAGGTCATCCAGACTTGACTACTCCATTGCGGGAATGTCGTGTTTGGATCGGCAGACAACTGGGCCGTAGTAAGTTCAGTACGTCTACTACCTGAATTTGCGTGATCTGTTTGAACAGCTGGGGATCTGGGTTACAACCCGCTTCCTGCCTCATATTCCTCCTCCTTCTGTTTCACAGACTATCACCAGTGACCAGGCCATCTACCGACACCCTGTGATCTCGGAATCCAAGTTCAGATTGAAGCCAACTTCAGTCAGGACCAACTGGGTCTTCGGGAAGCCCTGTTCAGAACCCCGCAGGAAAGAAAACGATATCTGCCAACAAGAAGCTGTACCAAGGTGCTGTATCAGGAGTTCAGACTCGGTGGAAACAACGAGTATGGTCTTGACACGGCTCACCTACTCAAAAAGTATCAGGAAGGCAGTCAAGGGCCAAATCAAAGGTCTCAAGTTTGTCAAGATTGATGTCGCCGGGGACGCCAAATAAGACCTTCAAAAAGTCTTCATCTTGTGCAGATCTCAGTCAGACTAGATCAATAGACAAGTCAGACCTAGAACTGCGCTCCAGATGATCAAGAAATCACGTGGTTTGAAAACAGAAACCGACAGTCCACTACTCCGGCTTTGACCAGACTTTCAATTGCATTTGGGGTGTTCTGTGGAATAATCAGACAATATATACATTCAGGGGGGAGGTAGAGTTGTGAGAAGGGGACTCCATATGATATTCACGTGCCGCAATAGTCGGGACTGTTTCTTGGGAGTGTTCAGCATCGATCTGTCACATGATATTCACGTGGCGCACAACTCGTGACTACGTCATTCGTGTGCTCGTTACTTTCCCAATTGCTTCATCAACTGCTCAAAAGCCTCCTTGGCCTTCTGATTAGCCAATTCCGCCTCCTCTTCAGCCCCTGACGATAGCTGTTTGTACTTTCTGTCCTTCTTTTTCTGGGCTCGGTCGATCTTGTTCTTTTTGAAGGCGCCAACAACGTCTTTTCGGGAGGTGCCAGGAGGAGCAAACATTTGTTCGAGTTTGTCAGCGAGAATCTGGCGGGCGATTTTTCGGTTTTCTTCCAGAGACCGGGTTTTCTGAGAAGAGACCACGAGCCCGGTTGGAATGTGGGTGATTTGGCAACGGGTGGATCGTCGGTTGATCTGGGTTAGCATGTAGCGAGAGGCCGAACGTTTCGAGCGGACAACATGGCACAGGAAGGGAGATCGGAAAAGTCCGAAATTGGTTCGGTTCTTCAGCGACATGAGACTAGTAATTGCACCACAGACCATGTCACTTGACAACCCCTACGGTCATACTCACACACTGACCGCCGGGCCCCGAGCCTCGGATGAACGACTCGCGGATCTCGTTCTCGTCGACCTTGGGTCGCGGAGGCATCTGCGGTGTCTTTTTTAGCAGTGCACGTGACGTGGAAAACGCGCGGCTTGCTGATTTGAGCATTTTTGGGCGGTGAAAAAGTGGTGATGAGGAGGACAGGTTGGGCGGAGAGTTGCAGGAATATACATGACAAATGCAGATGCAGATTACATAAGGTTGGCATGAAAAATTGTTTTTTTATTTTTATTTTAATTATTTAATTATTTATATATACAATATCTTTGGTGATGAGTAATTCGAAGTAAATGGAGATTGGGGAATGTGGAGTTGAGGTAGAGAAGTCGTATCGGGGGAGAAATAGGGGGCTTATATATAAAAAAAGGGGATTGGAGAAAGTGAAAATTTTTCGGGGTCATAACGGCTCTTGAGATATTCTGGGAACAATGTTCAATTGTGATCTGGGTATATCTCAAATAATACCTAAGTAAATGAGAGATATATGATTCACTCCAGTACACGTTTCACTATAGTATAACAAAGGAAATGTCATGTGACATGATTGATTGAGACGGAATGTGTTTTTTGAGATTATTATTTCACCATTATCCTGTCATTCCCGACGGATATTCAGACATTCAAAAATTTGTTCAAGTTACCTCATAACTAAATCCAAGTAACTGAGTCACAAGTTTTCTAGTAGAAGAAACAAGCCTACTAGACCTCAAGTATAATGTACAATATCGACGTATAACAAACATGATCGATACCATACAAAATAGGTTCAATGAAACTTCTGACTAATAAGACTGACATTATTTTTGACTGGTTTGCCCATGGCTTCATCATGATATACTTTCAAGTAAGCTTCCTACTACAATGCCAACTAAATATCAATAATCCAGCTAAATATCCAATCCAACTAAATATCCAAACCAACTAAATATCCAGAAACCAACTAAATATCCCTAAATATCCAAACCAACTATATATATGCCTAAATATCCAAACCAACTAAAATTCTTCATCCTCGCCTGTCGGTTTTTTCAGTATTATGACGTGATGATAAACTGTCACCTCTGTCAATCCGTTCCTTTTCAGATCATCTCTTCCGCCGTGTGGTGGATTTTTTTCCTGTTGTTTACCAGTTGTTTACCTGTGCCGTCCTTTTTTTTTTTTTTTTTTTTTTCAATTTATAAAAGTACTTATTTGTCAATTGCACTTTTCTTTTTTCCCTGTTTATTTAGAATTTCCCACTCTTTTGTTTACTTATCTTAACAAAATCAGACTTTATAGTTAAGCTTGCACCTTAAGAGAGCTGTATAACCACGTGTCAGGTCAAGAGTGTAGAATAGGAGTTCTGAGTAGAAACTGGGGGTATAAAATGGCACGAGATTGTTGAATATGATCATTAAACTTATCTCAAATCCACTCCCCAATCCTACACATACTACATACTCACGATACATCACATACCCAAAATAGTGTCAATCAGGTTAAGGGTTCGATTCACATTGTAAACAAAGAAATAAGGTTACAAAAGAGTTTGATTAGAACGGCGTTCAAAAGGAAATATTGATGTGTCCATAGAGACCTATTGAGGCGAGTTCGAGTGGTTTGAAGAGATTCAATGACCTCAGAAAGTTTCAAGGATTCGAGAGGTACGTTTATATTTCTAAAAGAATCACTTTGGGGGAAAAAAGCAAAGTCACCTCATTCCTACATACAGTCTACGGCTGGAGCCACTCCCAGCTCAGATCGGCAGAGCTGTAATGAACTTGGCTAACTTGCACTACCATGTTGGGTTGAACTTTTCATTTTCGACGATTACATCGGCAATATAGTGGCATTACTGCGCTTTTGTCATGGGTGACAAGAGACGGGTTGTAGGTGACAAGAGACGGGTTGGTGACAAGAATCATGTTGAAATGAACATAGGGAATGACGCTCAGCTAGGTAATCCTACATATATGACTACAGAGAGACTTCTCTGGGGAAAAAATCCCACTGGAATCATCTATTCTTACTCTGTCTTGGACACACATTAGAAACTCCTTTGTTCAAATCAGAGTTTCGTCTAATTACCCCTATTTATACGATCCATCACAATGGAGAACGCGCTATATGTACATGCACCTGTGAATATATACACCAAGCAAGTCACATGATAAAATTCCCCTAACTCGATTACATAAGCGAAATCAGATAGACCGGATTGGGTTGTCTGCAGATCTCATTTCCGAGCCGCACCGCTGGTGATACAACTATGATGGGGCTCTGACGAGCCCGCACTGTACGGGGCCAGCTATAAATTCGACAACATGCCAAAACAACTGTCTTATGGTCACATGATCACTCTATGTTCATGTTATACGCTCTTCTCCAGCGTTGTTGTTGTTGCTGTTGTTTGAATGTCTCCGTTATCCAATTCCGAGCCGCATGCACTGATACGAACTGTTTGCGCATGCGTATGCGATATTGCCAAGATTTCGAGCAGCTGAGGCGATATTGCCAAGAGCGGCTCCGGCGTATAGTTATACGTTTAGTAAAGACGAAAAAACGCACTGTTGCCAAGATATTGATCGGGTGCAGAATCAGTGGGGTATATGTAGGCCAGATGACCCCAAATGAAAAGTTCCACTGGGCCCCTGTTGAAAGATCACCTCTTCTCGTGAGAGAAGCCATCTCAGGCTCTCCATCAACTCAACGTGACGACAATGATCTCTGACATCAAGCGATATCAACAGGCTTGACAGAAGGTCATTGTATTTTCCGGAAGAGCGAGACTTGGAGTATGAACGCTCTTAAACCTGTTGAAGGTAATACCTGGTAGAGTAATACCTGGCTAATTCCTCACATAATGATGACAAGTCACCACATAGTGATGAGAGGAATCAGCTCTGTCGTAGACGAGATGTCCATCCTGTAGATAGTTTTATCCACTGATATAGAATCACTTTTCTGGCGAATGAGCAAGCACACACCCTTCTAGAAGTGGGTTGTAAGTTGTTAATTAACTATATCTCATCAATAATACTTATGATCTTCAATAAAACCCCGCGTCGTATTTCTTCAAGTCAACCACAATCGACCGCAATAGAGACAGTAAAGGCTTAATACGAATATTTGGATGACAAGTCAGCAGATTTTCAAATTATTATTCTAGAGAATTGTCCGACGATTATTTTAATATATTCCGTTCCATTTCAAAACGGATTGTTGATCCATGAGCTCCGAAATGACAAAATTGTTGAGATAAAATTACCACCATTCTCTTTAATTTATATATATATATATATATATATATATATATATATATATTTCATATATTATTTATATTTTATATCTTATATTTTATATTTTATATTTTATATTTTATATTTTATATTTTATATTTTATATTTTATATTTTATATTTTATATTTTATATTTTATATTTTATTTTATTTTAATCCCATCTCAGTTTCAATAACAAGATATTGCAATTTGTGGAGTAATTAATAAAACGAGACTAACAACTAGAGTAAAAATATAAGGCTCGTTGTCATACGTACATCTCCAAGTACAGCTACAGGTCCCATTTCATCCATATAATCCATTCAACCAATGCAATCTAGTTTTTCCTTCCAATCCAACATGCTGACAACAAACAGAGCAACAATAACAATCAACAAAAGCGCAAAAATAGCAAACAAAAAGACCCCGGAGAGACCCAGGAGCTATCCTGAAGCTACAAGTGGGGGGAACGTGACCTGAGAGAGGTGACGGCAGAAGTGAATAAAAACGGTTTTCAGGTGCGAGAGGTGCATGCATATTTGGTGTATATATATATGCAATACACCAGGATCGGAACTGAATCTGAGGAATGGGAAGTGGTAGAGGATTAGATGCGACGGTGACAAAGCTTAGTCAGGTGGGAATCAACGCTGACACATTGACGACATGCCAACAACCAAACAGCACTCACTTCGTTCGTGTAGCATGCTGTTCATTCGTGTTGTTATTTAAGGGTCTGTCGCAACTCCTCAACACTCCCCGCAATGGCCCACCGCGCTCCTCGGACCAGGCCGGAATCGGTCAGATCCAAGTGAACCAACGAGTTGTTCTCGTTGACCAATCGCACCACGCTGTCTCTCTTGACCCACATGAGCTTGCGCAACTTCAAGACCTGCAAGTCACGCAGCTGCAGCATGGCCACCACCAGATCCGAGGGCGAAACAGGCACAATCTCGTCAGGCTTCCAGGTGTAGAGTTTGGCCACATCGGAGACAAAAAGGAGTCCCGAAGACGCCGTGGGCAGGTAGGAAGAAGAGCCTGCGACGGCATAGTCTTCGGCGAGCGGCAGAAACGAAATGTCAATGTCGGTGAGATTCTTACATGCAGCCACCACATGAATCAGATGACCCACAGGCACGTCTTTGGAAGTGCTGTATTGTCGCAGAAACGGAGACGAAATGGGATGGGCGGTGGAAAAGGGCACTTTGGGGCGCACCAGCGGACTATTCTGCTTTCGCAGCGCCTCCAGAACCTCCTCCGAAGCCTGATAGAGCTTGTTTTTCTTGTAGAAAGACAGCCAGATGCGCGACTCTCGAATGGCGGTGGTGACCGAGCGACGTTTTTTGACTGGCTTGGATTCGGTTGACGAATTGGAGTTGGACGAGGTCCGAGAACACGACAGAGAAGAGCTCGAGTTGCTGACGTGCTTAGTCAGTCGCTTGAACTGGCGCGAGTAGAGCGGATCGCCTCTCAGTTTCCAGTCTCTCCAGCCCGCCAGAACGGCGTCGTCTTCGATCGGCTCGTTTTCAAAGATGGCCGAGTCATCTTCGTCGCTTTCGAACCCCGGTCGAATCGTCGACAAGTCCAATTTCTGCACATATGACGCCAGTTCATCGTTATGGGATACCTGGGTGACAAACTGAGCAAATCGGTAGGTGGAGGAGAAAAACGGCTCCTTGTACAGCTGTCGAACCGCAGTCGAGTACATGTTTTTGTTCACGTACAGACACATGGTCACGTCGCGCTGGTCCAGATGCGACACAATCTTGCTCATAATCTCGTGGGGCAGAGAGTTGAGGTCCTTGTGGGGCTGGAGATGGTGTGTTGAGCGAAAGATTCGACGAACGGAGGCCAAAGAAGAGCCGCGAGACCCGCCAATCTTTCGACGCATCGATCGGGAGCCGCGCGAGGGCTCAAATGGAAGAAGAAGCGATCTGTACTTGTAAGGCTGATGGTGTTGTTTGGAGGTGGGTCTGACTGTCGAAACGGTCGATCGGGTAACTCCAGACTTAATGGAGTGGTCCGGGAGGTTGGTACAGGTGAGTCCGCGGTTCAGCGAGCTCTGGATGGTGCTCTGGTGGTCCTCCAGAAGCTCGTCCACTTCGTTAAGAGAAATGAGATGGATCGAGTTGGATAGATTGTCGAAATTAGAGACACTATCGACATTGTCATTTTCCTCGTTGTCGGAGTGGCTAGCATCGGTGTCGCTTTCCGTCTGCTGCTCCTGCATCGACAGACTGGACACACTTTCGCCAACAGTCATCAGAGACTCCTCCTGCGACGATCTGGAGGACACAGACATCACCGGATGCAGCATGGTAGTTTTGTAGGTGACGGGGCGTTTGAAATGTAGTCCGTTAGACCGCTGTGAGATGGACTGTGGAGTGAACATGGTGAGGTGAGGTGGAGGTGGAGGTGGGGGTGGGATGGAGGTGGTGGTGTGACGTGGTTACCTCGATGGTTTGATGGGGGTACCTAGACGGCGTAATGGGGTTACCTGGACGGCGTGGTGAAGTTACCTAGACGGTGTTGTGGCACAGCTGCTGTCGCGGGTTACACTGGTTTAGTAGTGGGGTTACCGGGAAGATGTGGTGGGGTAACAGAGGCGGATTTGCGGGTTGCACAGGTTCTGTCGCGGGTTACACAGATGCTGTTGTGGGTTACACAGACTGTGTTGTGGGTTACTCAAGTTCTGTCGTGATGAGATCACTCTCCAAGTGTGTGTGTCGCACGATCGTTTGTGACACTTGGCGGGGTAGAGATGGTGGGGTAAGTGGTGCGTTTCGGTGGAGTGGGACTCTTGTTGCGCAAGGGAGTATCTTTTTGACCTGGTTCTGGCCTATAATCGTCTCTTCTTTTGGCCTGCCGAAAGAAAACTACTCGAGTGTGGTACAAATGACAAGTTCCAGCTCCACCCTCTTATTCTAGCCCAGACACAGGGCTGGAAATCAATATATGCAAGTATCTGCAGGCAGACGCACACTCATGCACCATCTACAAAAGCATGCATTAACATGCACCTGAGGACGTGCATATGCATATACATGCACGCAAATGCGGTTGCTGCATGTTCGTTTAGTGTGTGGGGCGGATCGCAAAGAAACCCGAAAACGAGTTGATTCGGGCGGTTTGGGGAGATATCTGGGACAACTTCGGTCCAAAGAGTTGATTCCATGTCTTATAATGGCATTTTTCAGGCGGTATCACTGACTTTGGCCGTTTTCGAATTTCCCCTCAGCAAACCAAGTAGGGCTTAAGTTTAGTAGGGTCACTTTTCGTTTAGGAGGTCCGTATGGGGCCATAATTGATGGCAACTAGTGCCAGAACCGACAGAGATTTTTGACGGCCAAGGAAAAAATTATGTAATTAAACAAATGGCCGGATAAGGAATGCTGGTTTTGATTTTTTTATTTACTGAGCGTTTTTTCTCAGTACCAAAGGTTTCTTTATTCTATTCGCAATTTGTAAATCTTTTAATTTTTAAATAATCAGAATTTACACCACAATCCCATTCATGCGCCCATCTGCGACAAAGTTTTAACAAGGTTCAAAGATAGCAAGCCGCAGGATAGCAAGCAAAAAAACCCGATTTCTGGGTATTTGCGAGATCACAGAGAGGAAAAGGACGTGGGAACCGGTTCTCCAGGCTTGCAGCTATCTCCTGGACCGTTTTCTGCTTGCTATCTATCCGGATTGACGTTTTGTGACTACTCTTCTGCTGGCCAAGAATACCCGTATTACAGTTCATAACAAAGGTCTGCGTCTGGGCACGTGGAATGCCACACGGAGGTATTCAAAATAAATTATTACATAAATTATTAAATAAATTACAAAATCACAAAATTCGGATAAAAGTGGAAACGAATCAATACCAATGAATGCAAATAGATGGAAAACAAATCGGGATGTGAGATTTAACGTGTCACGTGATCTCAAACACATGATGTAGATTTGTTTATTTTATTTTATTTTATTTGTATATTTTATTTTTATGTTCAATTTTCATGATTTGTATTTTATTGGCAGCAGATAAACCGTTTAGTAAGGTCCATAAGTTTTAGTAAAAAAGCCTACAGAATCGCACGTGTGCAACGTCCCTTTTGGTAGTGCAAAATTTCGCCAGATATTTTCCACTAGCCGCTTTCGGTCAACCCGGTTCCCCTGTCCTGACTTTATTTATTTATGGGCGGAAAATAAATAGTTACTTAAAAAATTAAATCAATAGAAAATACAGAAAAATTGAAACTCTGGGAAAAAATGTAGCAAACGGAACATGAATAAATTCATACCCATTCGGATATCACATGACCTTTCATAGATGTTTTTCTGATGAATATCACCAAAAATCAACCATCTTGATACGCTCCTGAACGGCTCTAAATATTTGACAAAAATCACACTAACTCAACGAGTTAAAATGTAGTAAATATTAGTTAAACGACAGTAATATCTCCATTCTACCAGCCACGTGATCTCCCCCTTTTTTTCACATATTTTCCTCATTTTTTTATTCCATTCGGGTCGTCTTATCTACGGCACAGCCCCCGCCTGCCGTGCCAAGTGTCATAGCCCCATCCATGCGCAGAAACCTTGTTCGAACTTTAGTACGAACTGTAACAAAACTTTATCAGAAAGATAATGTGAAGTTTATGCCAAAACTTTATAAAAACCCAAATCCAGTCAGTATCATTGAAATCAAAACAAATGGGTGAGGGTTTGAGGAGAGCCGAGTGCGGGCCGAGGAGGATGGGGTGGCCGAGTTGTAGTTGTGTTGGTTTTTGGTCGGTTTTTTTAGTGTGTTTCTTCGTCGTTTTTTGGTGCTATTTTAGTCCCGTGCCGTGTACCGGTGTGGTTATGTATTTTTGTATTATTTAATATTCATTTAAAATAATTAAATTAAAATATTTTAAATGAAATTGTTGAATATTGTTGAAAATTGCTGAAAATTGTTGAAAATTGATGAAAATTGGTGACTATTACTCGTGGATTTGCTGTGGTTGTAAAATTCATTCATTGGAAATCTGAACCCCCCTTTCTTTAGTCAACATTCCGTAACTTTTAATTTGTTCACGTTTTGTTTATTTTTTGACTTTTTTAAAGAAATATTTCTTTAATTTGTTATTTCTGATTTTCAATTTTCAATTCTTTTAATTGTCATTTATGAAATTTCCTATCTGACTTTTCTCCACCCAACTTTAACTAAAATGATCGACAATCAGTTCACTTGCGCATTATCAGGTCCCCTAAAAGTCACCACGTGATGGAAATCCGGGCGGAAAAATACATTTTTTGATCACGTGGGCCAGATAATCACAACGGACCCTTTTTTTCCAGTCAAATTGTTGAAGGGTCTGACTTTTCGTTTGTTCCCCTTTTTTTTTTTGCTGCTAAAAATACCCTCTTCTGCTCATCTCTCTTTGATGGCGTGCCTGCAGCAACAAGGAGCAAACGAGACGACTGAGTTTGTTGCTGAAGAAGATCCGTCAATGTTGCTGCTGTTTCCCTCTGCGGAGCAACGGGGTCACATGACGCGGGCCAATTTTTGTTTTCCCTGAATTTTTTTCCGGTGTTTTTTGCAGGTTTTTTTTTTTTTCTCACCAACTTTGAAACGTCTCACAGTGTACATTTCGAGGCCGTTTGAGACCCCGAAAGTTGATGAGGGGTGGTCCAGCGGCACCTGAACATCTTGAACAACTTTGGGATTGATTTTGATAGTATCTGACCGATTTGAAGACCCCTTCATGGGTACATGTGAGTTCCATTATTGTGGCAATACAGGTACCAATCTGTATGTTCCAAAACCACTCAAAATCAACCAAAAAAAAACAATTCCAAGAGTATAGAGACACAATACGAGCTTTTCAAATCATTAGTGTCAACTCCATTAGTCTCAAACTTCTCTTTTCCCCATCGCAATTCCAATAGAGGCAATTACCGCTTGGTCTGAGACATGCCATGCGGAAAAGTAGCTCAAAAGGCATCTCTGGGCGTTCCAGATGGGCCCGAGAGTCTGAAAATGGCTCAATTGAGACCCAAAGACGTCCATCAAAACTCAGACGGACCTTTGAGAGAGCTGACTCAGCTGGTGACGGAGTTGTGGGACTTGGGCTGACATGTGCTGACTCATCAAGGACTAGAGACCAAAGTCGGAAGGAGGTGCAATGAGTGAATTAAAACAGGCTCAGATTGAAGCTACGATCAGAGTCGCGGTATGAATAAGAATTTCCACTTGATTACTCATCTCTGTCTCGTATCTGAGTCAACATGAGGTTCCAACCACGTATATAGAATACCATCACACGCCATAGTCGCTCAAAGTCACGATTTGTCATCGGAGAAAGTTGCCAATACCTCCACGTGACCAGATAAATTGTAAATCAGAGTAATTACGTCGGAATGGACTCCAACCATGTTGAATTTCGGTCTTATATCGGTTTATCATTTCCAACTATATTACATGAATATTGATCGGAAAACGCTGAATTCTTGAACTATGAATAAACAAACAATCCTGAATTCATTGAGATTGTTGCGTTATGAATATCTACAATATCCTCAGAGATATCATCATTTCGACAACACACAATGTTGTGTGCAAAATTCAAATTGTTGGTTTTTTATTTTTTTATTTTTTTATTTTTTTATTTTTTATTATTATTTTTCATCTAAATTTCGTTAAAAACACCTCCAACCCATCTCGCACGTAGCCTACACCACTGCTTGCCCTGTTATGGCCACTCGGTCGGACGAGCGGAAGTTACAGAGGAAACAATAAAGTTCTATCTACCCTATATTATGTAATTAGGAATTGGGATTACTAAGCTGTTCACCCTGAAAGGGGAATTATAAGAGCAGAGGAACGATAAATGACAGAAATTTAGTCACGTGATCGCCATATTCCCGTATTTCTCTATATTCCTTGTATTTTTTCTTCGTGGGACCTTTTTTGGGATCACAAATTGCACGGAATTTTCGGCTCATTTTGTTGTCTTTACTTGGGAACTTTAGTTGACACATTACTTATACTCTCATTGATTTTACGACTCGATTCAACTTTGTCAAAAGTGGTCCTATTTGGTTGATTGAAATTGCAGCGAACTGCCCGGTCTTTTCTTATTCAGTTACTCTCATCCCATTCCTTCTACCGTCCTTCTGTCCACAAAAAACCCTCTGCCTCCCGCCGAAATAAACTCCCCGCCATATTCACACTTCACTCACTCACCACTCACCATCAAAACCCTCGGCATTGTCTCAACTTCTCCCCGAACCATGGTACGGCGACTAACAGTATGCCAGGTGATAACGCTCGGTCTGCTGAGCACGCCGGTGGTCGCTGATTTTCAGTGCGACGCCGTGAGCACAAACTGTGTCACTTTTCCTGTGTGCCAGTTCAGCGTCTCGAGCCCGTCACAAACAGCCCCCAGCACCGCCGACCCGGCGCCTTTAACGGTGACAGTGTCGCGCAAAGCGCGCCCAACGACGCCGCTCGAATTACTCGAAGAGGCGCTCGAAAAACAGGGGCTTTTGGTGCACAAAAAGAACGATTTTCTGAGCATGGGCCCCCAACAGAAAGACAATGTCGTAACTCCCACGGCTCCCTCGGACGCAGACATGAAGGTGGCTGATCCACACATGTACGCGCCGCTGCTGGCCCACTATCCGACACGTGGGTTCTTTCTACGGCTCACCAAACTGCTGGCGTACGGATTGTGGATGAACCCCGGTTGCGTGAACAGAATGTGGGTGGTTTCTAGGGGAGAGCTGCACGTGATCCATGAGTTGCAACAAAGTATGGCGGAACTGCAACAGGGCCAGTCACGTGCCCGGGAGTCTGGAGAAAAGCATTCTGGCAACCCTGGCAAACGGCATTTCCAAAACCTCATTGTGCGCTACCGCAGCGCTGGCGACTGCGAATTTTTCCCCGATAGAATCGGGCGGCTGGCTAGACACGCGTGGAAGCTGTTTGAATTCGAGTACGAGGGACAGAAGCCGGACGCGGTGTGTGTCTATGTCGAGCGACATGCGGGGTGGGTGGAGCAAGTGGTGGTTGGGTGGAGTATGGAGGAGACGAGGAGGTTGAATTGCACGTCACGTGGGGAGTGAGTGTACGTAGAGAGGCACGTGGAGTGTGAAGGCTAGGCACGTAGTGCAGCATTTACTCTTTAACGCACGTTCTACTCGGACGATTCCAGGCAAGTCACTACTTGTCGGTGGTTATCGCGATAGAATCAACTCCAGCTCGGAATGACAGTGGCTTTTCCCATGGTGGGCGTTGTTCTCAAGTTTGCTGTGCTACTTGTGCCAGCTATGATGTTCCGAATGGTGATTCGCTCACTCCTCTCTGACACACCTCGTTGCCATGTGCATCATCCTCGGAGTGTTACTGGTGGTTCGAGCAGTTTTGCCTATTGACTGGTGACCTCTGCTGATGAGACTTCATTGCCATTCATGAGCTCACAGCTCCACAAAGCCACGTGGGGTGTGCAATGATTCGGGTGCACAGGCACGTGGCTGGGGCAGCAACAGTTGGAGTGGTGTTTTCCATTCCTGAAGGGCGGGTCCATGGAACTCAGGAAGTTCCTTGGACACATTATTTATATATTGATCTAGTACAATAGAAGACAGATTACGATCATGTGTGTCATTTTCAACGGAATGGTCCATCAGCAACAGCATGAAATTGTTATTCAGCACTTCTTCAGCACTTTTGACATTGGTGTTGTCGGAGTTGTCCATCATCATTTTTGGATATTTGGGCGTTCTGAGTAAGCTGAGAGTTGACATTCAGCGATAGATGGCGCCATTAGGAGTAGACAGCCATTTGTAGATCATTTTTTCAATATTAGGCGAGTTGGAGCAGTTTTTTTGTGAACTTCTGTGTTATTTTTTAGTTAGGTTACTTGGAGTTTGATTTTTGTAGTTAAGATTTTAGTTAGATGAGAAAAGTCCGCAGAAGTCGTTGGGTTTTGGCCAAAAATGGCCGCGGTTTTCACAGGGACATTGAATAGAGGTATTTATGGGACGGTATCTAATTCAGGCGTATCCCTTTATTATTGGCGTCGTTCGTCGTGGTCACGGGGTATCCCCTTTCCCCCGACAGCGTGAATGCATATATAGTATATATACTTATATATATATACTTCTATATATATATATATATTGTAATATTGAGACTGTAGCTACCTGCCTTGTACAAACCACCTGCATGACACCCTAGACCGGCGAAAGTTGAAACGATGACCAGACAAGCCCGCCGTTCTGGTGGGTCACAACGTGTGATACCCGATGTTCAGGTCCGCCGACCGCAGATGACAACTACTGGAAAGCGTTCTACGGCCTCTCAGACTTGGATGATGATGAGGAGGTGGACGACGACGACGACGACGATGGGGAGACCGACGACGAGGAGACCGACGACGAGAACGAGCTTGCCGAGCTGGCAGATCCTCCTGTGGTGCCATTTGTGCCTGTGCCACGAGCGGTGGTGAAGCGGGTCATACACGACTAACTAACCAAGGGCCGACCGAAAGGAAAGAAACGACAGCCCAGGCAGAGGTTACGCCCAAATCTTTCGCAGAGACGACCCATTGAGAACATAAAGCTGGCCAAGCTTGCAGAGAAGTTCAACGAGTTGGAGGCTATGCGAGGGGCCGGACACTATGACTTCACAGTGGTGGGGGAGTGGTTGCTGGAGTTCGCCCAGTCGATTGATGTTCCTCTGAAATTGCAAAACGGGAAGATTAAGGCGGCGAGAAAAGAGATCAAGCGCAAGGCGAGGAATTACAACCTCAAAATGCAGGGGCACCGAGGGGTCCACAAGAAAAGTACCCTGACTTGTGGACATCTATGGTCGTCGTGTTGTCAAAGACGTCCTCAAAATGGTCACTCGACAACCCAACAACTACAGGACTGGCCGAGACCCTGATCAAGAAGTTCGAGGATCTCGAGCCAGACTACAGGGGGCTGTACGGCATGGAGCTGAGGCAGTGGATCAAAGAGGCGTTGGAAGAGTCAAAAAGACGCCAGATTCTGGCAGTCTCCTGTGATTGATGAGGAGGTCATCGCTATGCTCGGGTCTTTCTGGTACGCTATTGAGAACGTCCAGGCAGCCTATATCTTCAATGCAAGTCAGACGTGCTTTTACATCATGTCCGACGGCAAGGGGAACCATGTGTGGAGCTGCCAGCCCTTCGTTGGCCTGAGAACAGTGAAAGGGCAGTTGACCTACACATTCATGTTCTGCGTGAATGCGGACGGGTCCTTCCTTTTCACACCCCTATGTACGGTAAGCAGTACTTTCCCAATTGGTGTGCTTCAGCCCAAGCTTACATCAACAAGGATGTTTCCGCAGCTCCATTTTCCCTCAAGGAAAAGCGCAAGGAAGAGCCAGACTTCAGTGCAAGGCAGAGGAAGACAAAGTTGAACAGCTGAAAGCGACTTATAATATCATCAACGAGGAAAGAGGTGCGGCGCATGAAGCGCACAAGGGCTCATCCCAGAAAACGGATGTGTGGAGAGAAACCCTTGACACATGGAAGACTCTCGTTGCCGAAACTAAAGCAGCCAAGGCCAGCTACGACGCTGCGACGAAACATCTGGCTGAAGTACTTGGAGAGAAGACCAATGCTCTGCTAGAGGAGCAGTGGACGCCGCCTAACCCGTTTGCAGGCGAGAATTTCCACGAAGGTGTGGTCACGGAAGCACGCCTTGGCCATCAGCACCAGTTGCCAATCGTTTCCAAGCACGGCTCCCCGAAGCTACGGGCAACCTTGGGCAAGCTGGAGTCTGACTTGTCCAAGCAGGAGAGCATTGTTCACAGCCTGAACCTCGGCACCATGGGTATTGACAACCGCCGGCTGAGGATCGACGTTCCAAAGGAGGAAAGAAAACGTGATGGGTTACGCAAGCTGCGTGACCGGGTTAAACAGAGGGTCAGCTCGTTGGAGCATAAAGTTGATGCCTCTGAAGTGAAAACTCGGTCCCTGGATAACGACAAGAAGCAGACTTGGAAGGTGATGTCTGAGCTCATGCATCGCTTCGCACTCTCCGACGACGGCGCTGCTGAATTGACTGGACCCTTTGGAAAGATGAACTGCAGGTACCACCAGCAGGTCGACTGTCGGATGGACACAGCCACTCTGGCCAAGTGGTTTGTTGCTCTTGCTCGGGCCGTCAACTCCAAGGAACAACCGGTGATCCTCATCCTTAACAACGTCCCTTTCCATCACAAGGCTTGGAACATTGCCAGGCTCTGGGAAGAAACGAAGGGGTTGACAGTCTTATTCTTGATTGAAATATCCACGTCCTCTACACAGCCTCTTGGCCTGATCATCGTTGGCGCTACCAAGAAGTGGGCAAAGACGCTGCTGGATGAATTCTACATGGCTACCCAAAGCATCAGTGGTCAATGGGCCAAGGTCACCGCCCTGCACAAGATCAACTACATGATCCAATCGTGGGAAAAGCTATTACAAAGTTTCATAGCTAACTGCTTTGGAAGCAGTCCTGTGTTTGCTGACCACAAGTACGTTCTACCCTCCAAGTCTGTGCAGAAGCGCATCGATGCAAGACTAGCCAGACTTGGACTCAGAGACACCGGTTGTTCTGACGATACGAAGGAAGAGCCAGAACCCGACGTGAACATCATCGATGACGAACAGGAGGATTCCGACAGTGAAGCGATGGGGCCAGTCAACCCGTACCCTCCAGGGAACTCTCTGCAAGCCCTTTATCAACCACCATCAGCACCCTCTGGTTGTGAGGGCCCCGGAAATCCATCTCTGCCTCGTTTTCTTCCGACTCGTTATGGCCCGAATGGGAACCGACTTTCAGATGCACCCTCTGTTCCCCCAATGTGCACTAGTGAATGCTGCAAACCCTCTCTCTCCTGGTTCCCCTCACCATCATCTTCCAATGGCTACCCATCTCCTCAGAATGGATCCCTCCTGCCTCACTCACCTTCCAGTGGATACCCTCAGCCTCCTCTGTATGGATGCCCATCTCCTCACTCGTCTTACAGTGCTCAGCCTCCTCTGATGCTCATCTCCTCACCCCTCTTCCAGTGGATACTCCCAGCCTTCTCAGAATGGAAAGCCGTCGGTTCACCCGTCTTCCATTGGATATCCCCAGCTTCCTCAGAATGGATACCCTTCTCCTTTTGGGAACGGGTACCACCAGCTCTACTCCCCACAGCTCCAGCCCGTCCTAGTGAATGACCACCCCCAGAGCTTTGGAAGTCTCTCGTGGTGCTCAAAGAGGCGCACCTGAGCACTCAGATGTAGGCCAATCGTGGTACTGTCGGCAGACTGGGCTTCTCTGGGGCCGTGGGTATTAGTTTTGGCTTGCTACACATGAGCAGCGTTTTTGATGGATAATTGTACTTGGTCCGTCGTCAGCATGGCTACTATTCCAGTGAAAATTGTCTTTCCCGGAGTACACAGTGAGTCAAGTTTTGAACGGACTCCAGTGTCCCGGAAAAGTCATCTTCTGTATGTCGGTCGTTCCTGTCTGTCTACCTCAAATTTGTGATGCGATCATGACAAACAAATTATTGGAGAGAATATGTAACTGTCAGTCGATTTTGATCGTTTTATTGTTAATGCGAGAAACTGCACTATAACAGTTGTTTTGGGGGATATTTTCCCTACTTTTCAGGTACTGTACAGTAATAAAGTATGTACTTAGGTAATTAGTTGGGGATGGAAGAGATGATATATTCCAGGGGGGATGTATATCGGGTTGGGAGAGGTCTGAGAGGATTGGAAGTGATATATGAGTGTTGTTAGTGGCTCCAATAACGATATTATATGACGATACCTCGTATTTTGTATCGAAAACAGCCATGTTTTGCCAATTTTTCCAATTCAACATAATATATTTATTTAGTTAAGACGCATTCTAAATCAGTTGACATTGCTACCTCAACTTGTTGACTTTTTTTGAATTTCTTAAGTATGTTTTTTCCTACCCGAGCGGTCGGTTTTCGACATCGGTTTCGTCGATTTTTTTGCTTTCCCAGGCCAAAACCGCTTGAATTTATTGTCGAAATATGCGGCCTTAAGTGTGTTAAGGTTTAGTGTCAGCCATGGGAGTGAAAATTTCATATCTTTTGAAGGTCACGTACGAGGTGATATTGACAATTCTCCGATGTGTTTCGGAGGATTCTTGACAGAAGGGTTTAGTTGAGACTTTAGTTGATTTAAGAGAGACTAGTTGAGACTTTTGTGACTTTAGTTGACTTTGGTGAGACTTTAGTGAAAGTTTGACCTATGAGTGCTCATTTTGTTCATTGAAACGTTCACCGATTCATACGGTTCAGTCAGAATCGCTCAAACACCAATTTTTGGATATATTTGCTCGCTGTGGTGCTACAATTTCATTAATCGTCGTCGGCGGCGTCGGCGGCGTGTTCCTTTAGCGTGAGCAGACCACGAGTACGTCTAGTGGCATGGGCGACACGATCTTCCGGCAAATGGCCTAGGACAGTTGAGGTACTTCTTCATTGGCGATTCCTTTGTATCGGGCAAATCTCGACTTAGGAGCCATCAGGTGAAGACGGCAACTCAGCTGCAGCATGTGTAGCGGATTGTCACCTCTGTAGTTCTTAGTTAGAAACTGGTTGGCCTTGAGACAGGTTCGTTTCAACCGTGATTCCAACGTCATTCCAACGTGATTCCAACGTCATTTCAACGTGATCCAACGTGATCCAACGTGATCCAACGTGATCCAACGTGAGTCGTTCTTCATAAACTGGTCACGCCAACTGTCCTGGACAAGGACATGTTCAGCATCCAGGCCGTGGGGTGGCGTTTGAGGCCAAAGAGAGCATACTGACGAAGAGCTTTCAGCTTTCGATAATATTCTCACGTAGTTCTTTTCCACGTTGTCCTTGGAGTTGAAATGAATACCCGGGTACTGTACAGTAGCACTCAGGGATGGCGGTGAATTGGCAAAGATGCCAATAGTGTGCGTTCAAGAATAACATCAGATAGCGAGACTAGTTGCTGGGGAGACTCGACACGCGGGATAACAGCTCTGGTCGGATTGAGACACTTTGAGGAGTTCTGTGGGGTCCTCATCCTTTGGTGTAGGAGGATCACGAAAGGTTTCATTGAGTGCCTATTCAAAGAAAGAGGCCCCAAAAGAGACCTTGAACTGAGTCCAAAAACCCGACATGGAGCTTGTAGATGAAGCGGTCATGCCTGGAGCGCATTCGTTTTGTTTTTTGAGGCCTTGAAGGCATACCGGCTCACAAACTCTTAAGCCCCGGGGTTGTCGCATTCGGCCCGGAGACAAACAGCTTTCTGGAGTCCGACTGGATGGGCTCCGTAGAGAGATTCTCAGGTCAAACGACTGTCAACCATCCCTCAGTCGGGGAAGATACTCTGGGGAGTATATGATGTTCTCTCCAGGTGCCTTTTCTGACGAGCCCTGGCTCTATGAGGGACTGAAACTTGAAGAAGCTGTACATTGATGGAGACAAATCCGATTAGAAGCTCGCCAGCTCAATAATCGCCTCGTCTGCTTGTGTGAGTGTCGTTTGGAGGTTGAGACACTGTCGTGGTGTGGATCGTACTCAGGGTCATTAGAATTGATTAAAAAATCAGGGTAGAACTTCGCTTTTTCACCGGCTATCTCATTTCATCGTAGTTGTAGTTTGAACCAAATTATTCCACACGGTATGGACTCGTACAAGTCTCTGACCTGGAAGTGTTGTTTTCTTTGTTTTTTTTTTTATTTTTTTATATTTTTCGCCAGTTTTCTAAAACGAATTTATTTTTTTATTTTATTTATTTATTTATTTTATTTTATTTTATTTTATTTTATTTAATTTATTTAATTTAATTTAATTTAATTCTATTTAATTCTATTTAATTCTATTTGAAAACTCGGTTCAAAACTCCCACTGGAAATTTTAAACTTCCTCCGACTCGGAGAGTCTATCCAGTAAATAAAAATGGGGAAAATAGACAGAATTAGGAGGCGTGTGTTTCTGTGATCACGTGATTTTCCTGGTTTTCTGTATAGTTTTTTCTGTTTATTTTTCCGTCGTCTTGATCGACCATGGTTTTGTGGTGTTTTCTTTTGGGTTTTTATTTTTATTGTTTTTATTCAGACGAATTTTTTTTTATTTTTTTTGCTCGTTATTCCCACCTCTGTTCCACGTGACCTAACCCTGAAAAACATATTGTTGTCAGCACCACCACAACACGTCAACACCAACCCACCATGTCGTCCCCCGCTAGTGCCAGCGACGTTGATTCGGTCAAGGTCAAGATGGACGAGGACGAAATCGACGTCCGTGATGACGATCGTCACGAAAACGGCGAAGACAACGACAATGACAATGAAGAGATGGATGATAGTAGTGAGGAGGAGGATGATGATGATGAGGAGGAGATTGCTAGGGTGAGTGAAGTGTCGATATGACGAGATGACGAGATGACGAGATGACGAGATGAGCGAAGCGAATCTCGAGTGGATTTGGAGAGATGAGGAATCGAATCTCGATTTGGAGAGACGAGGAATCGAATCTCGAGTGGATTTGAGATGAACTAAGCGAATCTCGATTCCATTAAAAGACTGGAGATTCGTTTCGCTCATCTCCGTAGTGCCGCGGGTCTCATCTCCATAGAGTCGCGGGTCTCATTTGATGCTGGCAATGTTCTGTCTGGTTGGTTCAGTTCAGCGGATCACCAACCACAGTTTTCATCTGAGAAATCACAGTTTTCATCTGAACAATCGCGGTTGCCATCAGGAACAATCCTAGCACAGTAAACAGATCCAAGACTCAGTCAATCGTCGTCTTAGAATTACTGGCAGTGCCAGATCCCGCTGACGACGAGATACTCGCCGTTCTATCCAGTCTCGGCACTCGACTGTCTAACCTGACACTGCGCACTACTGGAGCTGCTCCAACATAATACTAACCCAGGTCCGACAAGGCTTCATTGTGGACGACGACGAAGAGGAAGAAGAAGTGGACAAACCGAGACGAAAACTCAAGAAACGACGACGAGTGATCCCCGAAGACACCGACGACAAACCCCCCACGCCCGCCGAGAACGACCATCTCGACGAAGATGATTTGGACCTCCTCATGGAGAACACGGGCGCGCCCCGAGAACGGCACTTTAAGCGTCTCAAGCGAGCAGGCGATGACGACTCCTCCGACCGCCAGAAGGGACTCGCCGACATGTTCTCCGACGAGGAAGAACAGCCCGCGCCGGTCGAACAGCGCAACGAGTTCGACGACTTCATTGAAGACGACGAGTTCAGTGAGGATGACGCACCAACACGGGGACGTGAGTCGCAGCGAGAGTCACGTGCCACTGGCGCTCCGGCCGCGTTCCTTTCCAAGGACGTGGGCATCGATGATGACAAGCTCAACGAGATCTACGAAGTGTTTGGCGACGGAGAGGAGTACGCATGGGCCCTGGACGCGGAGGAGGACCGCGAGCGTGCCCAGGAGGAGTACGAGGACGAGGGACGTGCTGGTCCAGAGCTCAGAGACGTGTTCGAGCCGTCTGAGCTGAGAGAACGACTCCTGACCGACGAGGATAATGACATCCGGGCACGTGACGAGCCCGAGCGGTACCAGCTTCTGCGTCAGTCGATCGACAAGTACGATCTGTCGGACGAGGACTTTTCCAAGGAGTGCGAGTGGGTGGCTAGCCGTTTGAAGACCATGAAACAGGAGCATGTTCCGCCCCACCTCGATTCCGAGTACGAGACTGCGGTCTCCAAGGTACTGGAGTTCATTGCCAAGGAGAATCTCGAGGTTCCGTTCATCTGGCATCATCGTCGAGACTTTCTTACCCATGTTTCGAAACATGAAAAGTTCAAGGCCAAGGTTGAGGATGACGAGTATGAGCCGACGTTGGAGGCACCTGTGGCATCCACCACCGAAGAAACCAAGGAGATTGAGTACACAACCGTCGAGTTGCTGTCTCTGGACGACCTGTGGATGATTGTGCAGCTTGATCTCGATTACCACGGCATTGTGGAGAAACAGCAGCAGCTGGAGCGGTTGCGAACCCAAGCGGGAGTGTCCAAGACTGGAAACCATTCATTCATCAACGATTTCGCCAACTCTGCCTCGTTGCAGGACACTCAAGACGCCATTGAGTATGTGCAATTTCGGTTTTCCGGCGAGCTCGGCGATTTGCAGTCCGGGTCGTCGAAGCGACATTCTCGGTACGCCAGATACGACCGAATTCGAGCCAGCAAGCTGTATGGTCTGGTCAGACAGTTTGGTATCTCCTCCGACGAGTTTGCAGAGAACCTGGAAACCTCCACGCGTATCAACTACACAGAGGATAACGCGCGAGCTCCAGCTGACCTTGCCACCGACTATTTGAACGATTCCAGCCTGGTCCTGAGTGACGCCGCATCGGCGCTCGAGAGCGCGACTCAGATGTTTGCCATGGAGCTGGCATTTGACCCGCGGGTGCGGCGGTATGTGCGTCAGCAGTTTGCGCAGCTCGCCAAGATTGACGTGTATGCAACCGAGGCGGGTTCCAGTCAGATTGACGAAGCACACCCAGCTTACGAGTTCAAGTACTCGCGAAATCTGTCATTTGAGGAGCTCAGAAAATCGCCCAAACTGTACCTTCAGATGCTGCAGGCCGAGGCTAAGGGCCTGGTGAATGTCCGAGTGTCGTACCCTGATTTCAAAACCAAGTTCATCGATCTTCTGCTGAGTAAGCTGCAGAGCGATGGCGTGTCTGACATTGCCAGTCAATGGAACACCCAGCGACGGGCGGTGGTTCGAATTGCAATGAAGACTCTCGTTCCCATGGTCACTCGATCTATCAAGGAGGAGTTGAGGAACGACTGTGAGCGGCAACTCTTCTTTGAGCTGCGTCGCATGTTTGGCAGAAAGTTGAACCAGGCTCCTTTCAAGCCGCGAAACTACGAAAAGGGCACAGTTCCAAGAGTGTTGGCGCTTTCTGCCGGCCAGGCTGATTTTCGACGAGACGCCGTGGTTGGCGTTTTTGTCGATGAGGAAGGCCGAGTGGCTGAACGGGCCAAGCTCGGAGCTCCACAAACCCAGGAGTTCACCAACGCGCTGTCCGAGATGGTCAAGCGTCGAACTCCCGATCTTATCGCCTTCTCGGGCCAGACAGTCCAATCCCACAGACTCAAGAGCGTGATTGAAGAGGTTGTTCGAACGCAGGGTCTGGAGGCCGAGGGAGAGCCTCTGGAGGTGCGATGGGTGCAGGATGAGGTTGCCTGCCTGTTCAGAAACTCCGCCGGTGCCCTGGTGGAGTTTGCAGACTCGCCTCCTCTGGAACGGTACTGTGTGGCTCTTGCGCGGTATGTTCAGAGCCCCCTGCTGGAGTATCTTTCGCTGGGCAAGGAAATCAAGGCGATTCCCATGGTGGATTTCCAGTCGTTGATTTCTGAGGACCGCTTCTACGAGGCCGTGGACTCGACTTTTGTCGATTACGTCAATCTCGTGGGAGTCGACATCAATGAGGCCATTAGAGACGCTTACGTGGCTCGAATGCTGCCCTACATTGCTGGTTTGGGCCCCCGAAAGGCGTCTGGTCTGACTCACAAAATCCAGTCTCGTGGCTATCTCGGCACTCGTCTGGATCTCATCACCGAGAAGCTGTGTGGAAAGAATGTCTTTATGAACGTGGCTTCGTTCCTGCGTCTTCCTTACGACAAGCGATCGGTTCGTCACGAGGAGACGGAACTTCTGGACGCCACTCGAATCCATATTGAGGATTACGAACTGGCGAAAAAGATGGCTGCTGATGCCCTTGAGCTCGACGAGGAAGATCTTCTGGAGTTTGAGTCCGAGGGAGGAGTTATTGCTCAACTGATGAAGGAGGGCGCCGAGAAGCTCAACGAGCTCATTCTGGAGGGCTACGCCGAGGAACTCGAGCAGAAACTCGGCAAGAAGAAGCGGTACACTCTGGAGATGATCCGAAGAGAGCTCATCAACCACTACGAGGAGCTGCGGGAGCCGTTACACGTGCTGACCGACCTTGAGGTCTTCACTATGCTCACCGGAGAGACGGAAAAATCGCTGCATCCCGGTTCCGTCGTGGCGGTGCAGATTAGAAGAATCTCCGACAGATACCTTGCGGTGCGTCTTTCGTGCGGAATTCAGGGCAACGTGACCCAGGACCGGATCACCGACCAGCGAGGAGTGCATCCGTCGGCGCTGTTTCACCATCAACAGACGATTCGAGCGGTCGTCATGGAGGTGTCATACTCGAATTTCTCCGCAGAGTTGTCGTGTCTCCACCGAGACATTTCTGACGCGCAAAAACGAGCCCGTCAGGTGAAGAGACCGCGAGATCAATGGGACTTTGAAGCGGAGGCCGCCGACAAGTCCGCCCAGGAGGTGCGTCGTGAGGTGGAGCAGCGAAAGACTCGAGTCATCAAGCATCCTCTGTTCAAGCTCTTCTCTGGCTCCGATGCCGAAAAGTTCCTCTCTACACTTCCCCGTGGAGAGCTTGTCATCAGACCCTCGTCACGTGGCACAGATCACATTGCCGTCACGTGGAAGGTCGGTGATGGCATTTACCAGCACATTGACGTCGTGGAGCTCGGCAAGGAAAACGAGTATGCGCTTGGAAAGACTCTCATGGTCGGCACCTCCAAGTACTCCGATCTCGATGAGCTCATCGCCATGCATGTCAAGTCCATGGCTCGAAAGGTAGACGAGCTGTGCCATTCGGACAAGTACTCGGCCGACTCCATTGCCGAGACGGAGCAGAGTATGGACTCGTATCTACGAGGTGGTTCGAAACGAGCCGTGTACCGGTTTGTGCTGTCGTCCAAAAAGGCTGGCTACTTCCATTTGCTGGTTAAGACGGACCAGAAGAGTCCCATGCTTGACTGGCCCGTCAAGGTGATTCCTGGAGGCTACCAGTTGGGTGGAGAAAAGTACCCTGATGTCATGAAGCTGTGCAACGGGTTCAAGACCTTGTTCAAGAGCAAGACTCAGAGAAGATAGTTGTGTATATTAATTGATTGTTGTAATGAAAGTAATCCGAGAGCGAGTCGTAACGACGCTGTTGGATGTGTCTTGGGCTATCCATTCCTCCAAGTGTTTCGTTCGTGTACGCGCACACTTTCACATTCTAGTACTGTACTACAGAGACGTCTACAGTATCTCTTCATCCTATATCGCCCTGCAGCTGAATCATCGGACCTCTGTAGCTGGTCGCTTCGTCCTATCTTTCGAGCGAACGTCGTCCGTTATATCTCGGAAACTCCACTGCGTGCTTGAAGTTGATATTAGCTCTGGTGTCCAAACAGGACTAAAGCCCGAGTAAGATTGGTGATGGCAGATCGCTTGTCGGGTGCAACAGGCGAATATGATAAGCGATTGCGACACTTTTGCCGAACATGTCAAAGTCAGATAATCTAGTAACAAACGAAACCTCTCCTACGTCGAGGTTCCAGTTTGTTTCTGTCGCAGTTCCCACTCCTTGGCCCCCTCCATGATCAAATCAAACACGGGATCCTTCACGTCGTAGTAACTGTCGACATCGTCGGCAAATCGCTTGGCCAGCTGAATTTTGATCTCGGCATACGCCGCGGCGGCATGAGGATGGGTCCGCAGATAGTCTCGACACAAAAGCGGGTATTTCTGGTTGAATCTCCCGAATTCTCTCACGTGCAAGTGTGACGGCCGTCCCCCATCAATCTGCTGCTTGAAAAACAGCTTTTGCAGCTCTTTTTCGGCTAATTTCTGGCCCGGAGGACAATGGTCCACTTTTACCCCGCTACTCTGAACGTATCCTATTGTTCGCAACGCCTCAATGTCCACCTGTTCCAACTTGTCCACACTCATTTGGATGTCAATGATATTTTTGGCGGGCAGATTGGATACCGACGTGGACCCGATGTGGTCGATTTGTGCGTTGGTCGGCGCCACAGACGCGATTTTGGCTCTCAATGTTTCATATTCAGCCGGCCACGACGGCGACGGGGGACAGATGACGATAGACATTGGCGATATCCTGAGTTCATGAGTTCATGTGTTTTTTTTGAAATATTAAAAATTGGGTTTGATATTCCGAGCCGCATGGGTGGGGATGGTTGTATATGAGTTCTCCTGAAAATATATAAACCCCCTTGCCATCCACTTTGGCAACGTCAAAGCAATCTCTGAGCTTACGCTAAGGATTCGACCACTCTGGGAGATGCTGATTCTGCAGAGCGCAAAGGACGAAGCAGTAGTTGTCTTGCAGGAGCTGGCCAACTCGAGACTCCTACCTGACTCCTATCATGTTGGCTTGAGGACTCTCGAGCTGCCGAGTTGCCATCGGCGCACCTCCTTCATGAATCTACGGGACGGAGCTATGAGGGGTGAATAAGCAAATACTTACGCGCTCAGTTTCCCAGATGGGTCGCAACCAGGGGTGAAACACCCAACCTTGGGCCTGCTCTATGGTCCTGTCTCAGGGTCGTATCCCGGAAGCTGTTGAATGGGGGCTGAAAGCACCTGCTACGACACAACTGTTGAGACGGCTAAAACCATGCCATGTGGGGCCTTCTGGGAATTAGAAATAATCTACGGATGTACTTGGTTGTGTTCGTATCACACAAAATTCTGAGCTGGGTAGAAATCTCTCACTTTTTTGTTTGCAAATAATAATAATTACTTTTTTAATTCATATTTCGCGTTGCGACTTCTTAAAGGTATAGTTGAGTGGTTTACTTGGGAACCTTCCCGGTACTTTCTACAATCTAACTAACTCAGTTGGGACATTTGTTGAGTTAGTTGAGACCAGAGCGGATTAAAAAAAAGACTACCTTTCTTGTCATCGAAAGATTTGGGGCAGTATTAAATATACAAAATGGCTTTATCACATGAACTTATCGCACTGGTACCTATATCGTCTCCATATCTCCCTCTCAGCTTCTGTTAGACGCACTATATTTCCACCACCTAAGCTCATACGACCAACTCCACTTCCAGTATCAGTCCACGCTGCTCAAAACCCATATTGCAGAGCCGAACTTCTTCTGTGATATTCTCTCCCCCGATTTAACCCAACATCCCTTCCAATGTTCTTATAGTGTCGTCTTGATCTGAAAAGTGTTCTACATCAGACAGAGACGACTACGGGACGGGTCAATCTTTGAGTCCAAACGTCGAAATTGAGTCCAAACATCTAGATTGAGTCCGTCGTCCGCAATTGAGCCCATAAGCCCGCAATTGAGCCCAAAATCCCGCAATTGAGCCCAAAATCCCGCAATTGAGTCGTTTTCTGTATGTTTTTGGGTACACGCTAGTTCAGAGGCGACCCACTCATGGATTCAAATCGTATCTGAATAAGTGATTGTTAAACACCTGGAACTCGACTGACACTCATTCTAGACCCTCAATGAGCCCAGTGAACTTATGAACCCTTTGGAAACCCGCTCAAAGCCGCAATAGACATGAAGGGCCGGAAAAACATCAAAATCGGAGCGCTGTGGATATCGTTTTGGTCACGTAACTGTGATTTCTCCGAGAAAAAACCCTCCATTTATCATTATCTCCTGTATTTTTTTCCTTTTGTTGATACTTACAACTCCACAATTGTCTTTCAGAATGTCTTTGAGATGGTCTTTCAGATTGTCTTGCAGAGCTCAAATCACCAAGTTGAATTGACACACACCGTATATCCTCATCATTCAACCACTCTTCACCACTCGGTCCCTTTGGAGTCTTTCAACTCAGCCCACTCGGGCACCTCAGTCTCAAAAACACCTTCCTCCAACGTGTACTTTTGGGCATGCAAATACAACTCATCGTGGTAATCCTGATAAATAGGTAACCCACATTGGTCACAAACCCCCTCTTCAACCTTCTTCCTCCTCTTGACACCCGCCAACTCCGGATTGTACTCCCTATCGTTCTCGATAGGATATCCAAGATGTAACAAATGCTGCCGAATTTGATGATTTCTACCAGTAGAAGGAAGACATCGGACGATGCTGAGGTCACGGTGCTCGTCGTATGCGACTCGCTCAAAAGCCGTATGGGCGTCTTTTGGCTGTACATTTCGTTTGATGGTGTTTTCCACCACCGGGTGGTGAGTCTCTACTCGCCCGGGGGGAAACCTGCCCTTGACTCGAGCCAGATACTCCTTTTTGGCCGAGCGGCTCATAATCTGCTGGGTCACGTGGTTGACCGATTCACTTGTTTTTGCAAATACCAGCACTCCGGTGGTGTTTTTGTCGAGTCTGTGGGCCGGATATAATTCCTCCAATCCCGTTTCATGTTTCAAAATCTCCTTGACCGAGTTGAACAAATACTTTCCGGTCGGATGAACCGGAATTCCTCCTGGTTTGTCGACCACCACAAGCGCATCGTTTTCAAACACGATTCTGATGGGCTTCTCGTCCCTTGTTGGAACTGCCGGTTCATGTCTATGCACTCGACTCTCCAGAATCGAGCCGTTTTTGAACACGTGGGTCGACAAAGACTCCCAATCTGTGTATTCTGTTGCGGGCTCGCTCAGCTTGTCTCTGCGAATCAACTTGATGTTTCCTGCATCGATTGTTTGTCTCAGATGGTCCGAGGGGTATACGGAGGAGAACTCGGTGGAGAGAACGTCAAGTACGGTTTTTCCAAACCACCGGCCTTTGCTCGGGATTGAGTGTGTGTAATAGTAGGGAATCACGTGACGAAATCCTTTGGAGAAGGAGTATGTCATGGGGAGTGGAGTGAGTGGATGTACGAGTGTATCGTAGTATGTATGTATTGTACAAATTATCACCACGCACAATACATACATACTACTTGTACGATATAATGTCAAAAATAACGTCAAAAATAACGTAAAACCTTCCAAAAAAACCTTCCAAAAAAACATCCACATCAAAACGCTCTAGAATGCGCAATATTGAAGATAAAGTCGTCAAAGTTGACCTTGACCTTGGTTGGACTGAATTCAATGGACTGACAAATGATCAGACAATTATGACCCGATTTCTGCCCCTCCTACTACCAAAACCTCCGAACTTTATTTCCTTTATTTGTCACTAATAAAAAAAGAATCCCTAGACAGAACGCTACAAAAAGCTGGTCTGGATGTTTGGGGATTTTTTTAGTGAGAATTTTTTTTATGCCGCAACTTTGACGTCACAGCACATTGTCTGTATTGTGTCCAGTCTTGTATCGTTGCTGAACTAGTTGAATTACTTGAATTAGCTGAGTTTACTTGACATCAACTGAACCAACGAGTCCAGAGTATAGTACATACGCGAGTACATTCTGTACAGTACAAACTGTACGTAGATAAGTCCGTCCACCAGAGTACAGCCACTCGGAGTGCATATTCCACGTAGATCAGTCCAAATAACTCGTCGTCGTTACCCTGCCTTGAACGTCGGTGAAACGTTGAAACATCGGTGTTAAGAGCCGCAGCCGTTGTGCAAATCGCAGTTAAGGATAGAGCCTGCTTTTGGGATGTGGATGAGGAGATGGAGCGTTTGAGGACTCTGGAGACTGTTTGTATATCACGTGTGGAGCATCTCTAAAGAAATCTGAAAAGCGCATCTGATTCGCCGGACAGCCCAGATTTGATTAATACCACTTTTATGCCCAAATGTGGACTTTTGGGCAATTTGGAGACCTCTTCGCCGAGTTCCTGCCTCAGTTGCTTTACCTCAGAGTTTGAAATGTTTTTTGTTTTTTTTGTTCTTTTCTTGTTTGATTCATCCGCACCAAGGCTACAGATACAGCAGATAACGCACGGCTGGCGCTTGGCGTGGGGTCGGTGGCGTATTGTGGTTGTACCACGTAGCAAATCTGATTGCGGCTTCAAGTCCAGTATTGGTACGATGTTTTAGTCGGCTCCAGGTTGGCTACAGTATCGCTACTGTACTAAAATTGTACAACAGCATGTGAAAATCTGAGTATATACTGTACATACTGTACATACTTGTGAGTGAACACTCTTCCAGAGACGTAATTCGCGTCTCCAATTGTTATTCGCATCTCCAACAAGTGTCAACATTTGTCCTCTCTCTCATCTCCTCTTTCATCGCCTCTTTCATCATCTGATCATCTCTTGTTTGGTTCTTCTTTCTTTCTTTTCGTCTGCTTTCGGCCACCGGTCAATTTAAATTTCACGTCGTTGTTCGGCTAATTTACTTGACAAAAAAAAGGTTTGTGCAATCGGCCGTTCCTTGCAGGAGGTTGAGGCATAGAGAGGTCCTTCTTACAGCTGTTTGAGCATTTTGCCCAAATCGGAGAAATTCACCATAAATATTTAGCTTCTTAGAGATTTTATTTACCATTTTTCTGTATTTTTAAAAAATTCCACATTCCCGCAACATTGACACTTGTCCGCTCTCCCCCCACTGAATGCAGTGCAGCAAAAAGCTAATCCAAGTGGCAACAAAGCGCCGATTATCAAACGACGATTTGCGGCCGTTTATATATATATATATATATATGATCACCGGGTTCCTCAGACGACTTCCACGCCTTCTTCCTCACTCGCGAAGAATGACTACCACTGCCACAGAGACCCCCACGACAAACGTGACCCCCACCACGTCACTGCCCAAGGAGACCGCCTCCCCAGGAGGGACCGCTTCTGTCAACACGTCATTCGACTGGGAGAGCATCTGCGGCAAGACGCCGTTGGAGGAGATCGAGTCGGACATTTCGCGTCTCAAAAAGACCTTCCGATCGGGCAAAACTCTGGATCTGGACTACCGACTCGACCAGATCCGAAACCTGGCGTATGCGATCCGCGATAACGAAAACAAGATCCGCGACGCCATCAAGGCGGACCTGAAACGACCTGACTTCGAAACCATGGCGGCCGAGTTCTCGGTCCAGATGGGCGAATTCAACTACGTGGTCAAAAACCTGCCGAAATGGGTCAAGGACGAAAAAGTCAAGGGAACCAGCATGGCGTACTGGAACTCGTCGCCAAAGATCCGGAAACGGCCCCTGGGCTCCGTGCTTGTCATCACGCCCTGGAACTACCCACTGATTCTGGCCGTGTCGCCTGTTCTGGGCGCCATTGCCGCAGGCAACACCGTGGCGCTGAAAATGTCAGAAATGTCACCCAACGCGTCAAAGGTGATTGGCGACATTATGACAGCTGCCCTGGACCCCCAGCTCTTTCAATGCTTCTTCGGAGGAGTCCCCGAAACCACCGAGATCCTCAAACACAGATGGGACAAGATCATGTACACCGGAAACGGCAAAGTGGGCCGAATCATCTGTGAGGCTGCCAACAAGTACTTGACACCTGTGGAGCTCGAACTCGGAGGAAAGTCGCCTGTTTTCGTCACCAAACACTGCTCCAACCTGGAAATGGCCGCCCGCCGAATCATCTGGGGCAAATTCGTCAACGGAGGACAAACCTGCGTGGCTCCAGACTACGTTCTGGTGTGTCCCGAGGTCCACGACAAATTTGTGGCTGCCTGTCAAAAGGTGCTGGACAAGTTCTACCCTAACAACTCTGCCGAGTCCGAGATGGCCCATATCGCCACCCCTCTCCATTACGAGCGTTTGACGGGCCTGCTCAATTCCACCCGAGGTAAGGTCGTTGCTGGAGGCACTTTCAACTCGGCCACCCGGTTCATTGCTCCTACGATTGTCGACGGAGTGGATGCCAACGATTCTCTGATGCAGGGAGAACTGTTTGGTCCTCTTCTCCCCATTGTCAAGGCCATGAGCACCGAGGCTGCCTGCAACTTTGTGCTTGAGCACCACCCCACCCCCCTGGCAGAGTACATCTTTTCAGATAACAATTCTGAGATTGATTACATCCGAGATCGAGTGTCGTCTGGAGGTCTCGTGATCAACGACACTCTGATCCACGTGGGATGCGTACAGGCGCCCTTTGGAGGTGTCGGAGACAGTGGAAATGGAGGATACCATGGCAAGCACACTTTCGATTTGTTCAGCCATTCTCAGACGGTCCTCAGACAACCCGGATGGGTCGAAATGCTGCAGAAGAAACGGTATCCTCCGTACAACAAGAGCAACGAGAAGTTTGTCCGGAGAATGGTGGTCCCCAGCCCTGGTTTTCCCCGGGAGGGTGACGTGAGAGGATTTTGGTCGAGACTCTTCAACTAGTGGAGTTTATGGGTGAGTAATGGATCGTCGCTCATGGGACTAATCTACTCTGCCCGTTATGACCAGCCACAGCTCATTGGCTGAATCCTTGTCCACCTCGGGCCGTCGTCATGGTCATTGTGTATTTAATGTATTTTATCAGTAGTATCTCGACGAGACGAGGTGGACTCCCAAAGATATCAGAACCACAAGTTTGTCGATAGATTCGTATCTGTCACCTGACTAGACGCTTTCTTGAAGATGTGTGTTTGATTTGATATACAAAAATGGAGAGATATCAGAGAATATGGAGCAATTTGAGTCATATACAGATGTTTTGTTCGACGGAGGGTTACCAGGCGACTCTAGACTGTCTCCATACTACAAGTAGTTCATTGGCGTGTCTAGAATCTTCTCTTTCACCGTCGATATGAACTGGAAATTAACCGGGTCTCTTTGATTCACATAACTGGTGTGTGATAGTACAAGTAGAGCAATATGGAGTCCAATAAATACTCATCGGCGAGAGTATAGAGAGAGGGGACTCGTTCGGGGGGTTTTAAAACTGCCGTGCCACATTCCATCTCCAATATTTTACAATTTTCCGTCAAAATGTAGGAAATGTATTATCCAATCAGGCTTAACTAGATGTCCAACTATTCTCGCTTAATGTCAAGTAATTCAACAAGATCGGATGTTCGAGTGATACAGATACTTCTGGTGATACAGAATCTTCTTGTGATACAGATACTTCTGGTGATACAGAATCTTCTGGTGATATAAAATCTTCTGGTGATACAGATGCTTCTGGTGATATCCCCCTACTTCTTCTGTGATACCCCTACTTCGTCTGGTGAACTAAGATCCACACTCGTCTCGTCTCAACGACTCAAACTGTTGTCAAGTGTTTTCTGTCCATTTCAGAAGGCTGAAAAGAGGAAACTGCCGAGTTGTGATTTTCCGCTCCAAATTCATTGACTGTCTTGTCTCTGGTTACTGCTATATCTCTCTTCAGCGGTTGATCATAGTTGAAGGGTTGAGACAGACGGGTAAAAGTGCTGTATTCTCATTGTTGAAGATATGAGAGGTGAATAACATGACAAATGTGATTAAAAAGGCCGCAAAGGTGCCTACATCAACTCCAATCGACTTTTTGTCGTCTTTTGACATCTTTTTGAGCCTCTTGAAATCGCCAATATGCACATTCATTCATCAATAGGCATAACTAGGAGATACAAGAAAGGAGATTTGGACCAGAAAAGAGTCGCTCAAAACACGCTCAACTCGTACAAATAATATATTCTTACCACATTGTCACCGTCACGTGACCAGGAATTGTTTCAAGTGCATACTTGTAGCAGTGATACTTGGAAAGGTCCATCGGTGCCAAATATTGATTCTACAAAGGGTAGTTGTTTTGTAACTTCTCATTTCAGTGACGGAGTCATCATTTCTGCCCTCAAAAAAACATCATATGAGTCCAAGAACTCGATCATTGTGATCTTTGTTCTACTACTCCGAAGAGAATCGAACTCTCGCCTTTAACTCTGACTAAGCTAGACATCACCCAAGATCCACCATTTAACCCATTGAAAGTGGTTAAAAGAATCAAAAACACCTTTTACTGTATACTACCTACGTATAATAGAAAAATTCCAAACTCTTCTCATCCACTTCCCCCATTCCTTGCCTCTCTATTATCGTCTCCAATTCCTTAAGTAATATCTAACTAAAGTAACTACATTTACTAACATTATTACTTTACATTCTCCCAACCAATCCAGAGTCTAAATGTAAGTACGTGCATGTAGATATCTGCTACCAACTGTCTCGATCTTTACGCCCCCCTACATGCCAAAAAACGCTCTACTTCGATCGGCGCGCCAGGTGGCCATCTCGCGCGTCTTTGCCACGTCACGTGCCTCCCACGTGGTGTCGCACGCTCCGATTCTGGCCTCGGTTCGACCCAGATCAAACCCGGCGCCCTACAGGCGAAACTTTTCGTCCTCCAGAGCTCTCAGAAACGACTACGGATTGGATACGGCCGAGCGAAGTCTCAAGGAGAGTCTCGTGCCATTCAATGGTGCGCCCGTGGACCGAAAAGTGGTGCGGGATCAATTGATGGAACTCATCTCTGTGTCCCCCGGACAGGTGTTTCCCATCTCCGTGATCCCCGTGGTAAAAAGCGCCTACTACGAGCTGTTCCGGGAAAACGAACGGGTCCTGTCTGCGGGCGACACAAAGACGCTGTTTGGCGCCGTGGCCGGCAACAACCCAGAAGACGTGCAGGACCTACCATTTGTTCTGGCGGTGTACCACCAGGCCGAGCAGGCTGCCGAGACGAATCGGGACTCACGTGACAACATTTTGCTGCTGGGCAAGTATTTTCTGTTCCAGGACAGGCTCGACAACTTTTGGAAGCTGCTCGAGGCCCAGATCAAAACCCATGACGACGTGGACGCGGGTTTTGTGAAGCAGCTGCTGGAGTTGATCTCCGTCGACCCTCATCTGACTCTCGGCAATGTCGCCCGAGTGCTCCAGCTCAAGACCGACAACCATGTCTCCTCGTCGGACGAGCTGCGAAATGCTCTCTCAGCCACCCTTGAACAGCTCTACTACAAGGAGAACGAAGGGTCCGAGTTTTTTCTCTCGCTGGTGGAGAACCACATTCTAGATTCCAAGGACTTTACTCCCTCTGACAGCGTTGTTGCCATGATTCTGAACACGTGTGTGAACGAAGGACGTGAGGATCTGGGCCAGAGTGTGCTCCGAAACGTCGTATCAAGGGTCGGTAATCTTTCCCCCGGCCAGGAAGACCCTCAGAACTGCTGGGGTTTCTGGTCTTCGGTTGCCATGGACCTGCACGGCTCCAAAACTGACGTCAAGGCTTTCATTTCTCGTCTGGAAGCCCTTCCCCATCGAACCAAGGCCACGTGGGACATTTTGATTCGATACGCCGTCTTCAAGGCCGATCTGGCGGGCCGAAACGATCTTCTGCAGGTCAGAGCTCTGCTGGCGGAAATGCAAAAGGTGGGGTTCGAACCAGATGCCGAGACCTACTTTGACGCGTACCGATCGTCCAAATCCATCAAACCCGACGTGGTCCACCTGTTTGAAGCCGAACTGGACATTGAAAAAGATACGTCCATCTTTGCCATCGAAATGGACAAGGCGCTCAAGAACCACGACACTCTAGAAGCACTGTCCATCTTCTACGAGTCGTTCGAACAGGGCGCTCAATGGGAAAACAAACGGCTTCACATGGAGGCCATGACGGAGTTGCTGATTCAGTATGCGGGCTTGAACGACACTTCTGTGGCCGATATTCTGCAGCTGGTGCAGCGAATCGAGCCCATTTGTGCCCAGGGTCGAATCCCCTACTCTGCCGAAACCGCCATTGCCCAGAATGTGCTTCAGCGGCACAGTGACACCGCCAATTTCTACACGTTCATGAACCGACAGTACGGCAACACCGCAGACAAGGTAACCAAGCAGGACCCCCAGATCCGCCCTCACACCTACCAGGTCATCCACGATTACATTTACAGCTGTGAGTCTGAGCGAGCAGATCTGGCGTGGGAGATGTACGGGCTGCTGCACAAGTTCTATGTGGTTCCCTTTGCCGACTACTACAAGGCGATCAAGTTTTTTGCCCAGGACGTGAAACGGCAGGATTACGCACTTCTGACGTTCCAGCAAATTCGAAAGAACCATGATCTGCACGGCCAGCCGGCAGCCACATCGGAAATGGTGGCTTTCCTGTTCCACGAGTTTGCCAAGACCAAGTACAAGCGGGGAATCAAACGTTTGCACGAGGTGGTTGCTCTGGAAACGTCGTTTGATGTCAACCGAGATGTGTTGAACGAAATGATGGCGGCATATGTGTCTGTGGAGGATCTGAATCGAGTTCAGGACTGTTGGGCTCAGTTGCAGCAGCTTCCTCCTTCCATTGGCGCTAACAACCGTTCGGTGGATGTTCTTCTGAGCTACTTCAAAGACAACATTCACTACACTGAGCGAACTTGGCAGGGTATTCCTGAGTTTGGTCTGCTTCCCACCTTGGAGAACTACGAGCAGTATTTGATCAACAACTGTCGAACCGGCAACTACCGCCGAGCTCTCGAGATCACCAAGAACATGGAGATTGACAGTGGTCTGAAGCCTACCGCGAAAATCATTGCCGCAGTGTACAACTACACGTTTACCGAGCAGCGCAAGCTGGAGGTGGAGCAGTGGGCGGAGAAGGCTCATCCGGAAATGTGGTTGGAGCTGAAGGAGGGCGACAAGCTGAAGAGCTTGTGTTTGCCGGCCAACAGCGACAACGATAATGTCGAGAGTTTGCTCAAGCAGGCGTCGGCTGATATGGACGAGGAGATGAGTGGGGGCATTGTCAAGGTGGAGAGCGTTTAGCGCCTTCAGGGGCGACGAAGGATGCGGGCGAGGCGTATTGAGCGTACCGAGCGTATCGAGCGTATCGAGCGTATCCACTGGTTTGACTAGACAGCTTCAGATCTGTCCCGATGCTGGTGTGCGATACACCATTTGTATATATTTTAAAAGTTATGTGATTGATAGGCTGAATGCATCAATGATCTGGATCGATTTCATTGTTGGTAGGGAACCAGTCGTCTCTGGAACATTCTGTAGTCTTTTGAGTGCTGAAATAACTGTTCACTGCCATGTGAACTCGGTCTAATTGGTCTGTCCGCTGCTGAGTTCCCCCTGGCGCTCCGGAAGAGTCTTCAGACGCGCGTCAGGAAAGGTCTTTGCCGTTGGAGATTCCCGGCTTGTTGATACCGTCATTTATACATTCGAACCAAGACGAATCCTGCACTAAATCATCAGTGACTTACAAATGTCATCCAATGAAACCGTTTGGATTATCTAATAGTGGAGAAATATACTTGGAGAAGACGATGATGCGGTTATGATGCGGTTATGGACGTGGTTGCAACGTTTGGTGTGACTATTGCTGACGGTGGATTGTATCACTAAATCACCAACAAACGTTACTTGGGAGAGAATCGGGATAACGTGGATATTTCGAAATATTACTACTGTGAGTGTTTTTAATGAATCGATTTTTGTTAAGAATATGTATCCATAGAGTAAAATGGTATATATTTCAAAACAGCACCTTTTTCGGAACCTCTAAATGGCACCCCCAGCACCCTTTTTTGTTCTTCTAATTGTTAACTATTTTAAACTAAAGTACTTGACTACTCTTCAGATCTGTTCTAGTGCTCACAGAGTACCCGATACTGTCCTATTTTCTTCAAACAAGTACCATTCGAGAGCTGTATGTGAATTGATGTCCTTCAATCAAGTCGTCTCCATCACACAATGCCTCGGTTGACACCCAACTACTCCACCTTGAAGTGATGATAAAGTACAGTATAAGAGAGGGGATACGACGAGTATGGGGGAGATGTTGTAGTATTTGCCGGTTTTTTCCAATTGTCCGACCAGGCTATTGAACAGGGCTGTTTCGCATTAGCTACGACTTGAATTCTGTCACAACTACGACTACCACTACGACTACAGCTGCTACAAGTGCGTGCGACTTGAATACAGCTACTGTACAACTACAGTCTGTTACAACTTGTCTGCTACAGTACAATCACAGTCAGCAACAAGGGAAGTACATTGTACTGCGCTGCACCATCAAAACAATCGTTAGTCATTAAATATGCAGTTGTTAGACATGCTCAGTTCCAGGATACTGGGTCTTGGGCTCGGTCTCCGCAAAAGTGGGCTCATCCTCATGAGGAGGGGTCTCGGTGTTCACCGGGGCATTCTCCTCGTGAAACGGCGCCTCGGCCAGTTCGTCGGTGGGCTTTTCCTCCTGGTCCCCTGCGTAATGAGAAGGCATGTGGTCGGGGACCCAGGAGGCGGTTTTCCAAGCGGGCACGCGGGCGTCCCACATCTGGTCAATCACCTCCAGACTCTTGCCCTTGGTTTCGGGGAAGAGCAGGAAGACGTGGATGGACATGACGATGCAGAAGACACCGAAGATGATGTACACCTTCCAGTTGATGTTCTTGAAGGCGGTGGGCACAAACAGGGCCAGGGCAAAGTTGAAGCCCCAGTTGGCGCCGGCGGTCAGCGAGTTGGCCAGCGCTCGTTGTTTGTTGGGGAAGATCTCGGAGCAGTAGAGCCAGATGCCGGGGCCCCAGGTGGGTGCAAAAGAGGCGACAAACAGATAGCAACAGGCGATAATGGCCTTTCGGGCCGGCGCCTGGTTGTCGGGAATGTAGATGGTGGTGTAGGGGTCCGCTGCCTGGTTTTTGGAGGGTACTGCCGGTAGACCTTGGGGCATTTGGATTCCGTAGGCTCCTAGCATTCCTCCGACAGCTAGCAGCCAGGTGGCCATGAGCATGCTTCCACAGAGGAGCAGGGGTCTTCGTCCGATTTTATCAATGAAAAGCAGCGCCGGGATGGTCATGACCACGTTGATGATGTACTGGATGGAGCCGGAGACAATGACGGCACTTTTGCCCGAGTAGCCGGCCATTTTGAAGATGATGACCACGTAGTACATCATGATGTTCATTCCAGTCAGTTGTTGCCAGATCTGGGCCCACACTCCGACCATGGTTCGGTTGATGGAGTCTTTTCGGAACAGGTCCCAGATGGTGACCGACTTGGACTCGTGGTCGATTCGCACCACCTCTCGCAGATCTTCGATTTCCATGAGAATGTCCTCCTCGGATCCGTAGTTGGCATTGATGGAGCGGATGATCTGGATGGCCTCTTCCCAGCGGTCTTTGGACGCCAGCCATCGCGGCGATTCGTCCAGCAGCATCATTCCGAACGCCAACATGGCTCCTGGAATCAGCTGGATGCCCCACGCCAGTCGGAAGGACGAGTGGCCCTTGATGTATGAGCAGCCGAACGAAATGTAGAACATGATGAGAATACCCCAGGTAACGGACCATTGGAAGCAGCCGACGAGCCGGCCTCGGATCTTCTTGGGGGACAACTCGGAGATGAAGACGGGGATCTGGGACGAGCCGAGGCCGATTCCAAGCCCGGAAATGGCCCGGCCGGCAATCAGTTGGCCCATATTCTGGGCAGAGCATTGAATGGAGGCGCCAACCATCCACCAGGCGGCGGCAAATTGAATGGTGGGCTTTCGGCCAACCCGGTCGGAAATGTAGCCGGCAAACGCACACGACAGCATGGATCCTCCGGCCATGGAGGCGGTGATACCTCCCTGCTGGAAGGAGGTGGGATGACCAAAGTAGTTCATGTAGTTATCTTCGCCCACAAAGGCCGACACGGACGAGATATCGAAACCAAAGAGCATTCCGCCCATGGTGGCTACCGCCGCCGTGAGGTAGGGGTTATGGACCTTGTACATTTGGAGTTGGAGTTGCAAAGGTCGGTGGAGAGTGGTTTGGAAAGAATCCGGGGTCGTGTTCTTTATATATTCGTGACAAACAATTGCCGGACCACTGTTTTTGTTCCTCTGACTTCACTTTTCACTTTGCACTTTTCGTTTCCGTCAAACTCCAACTTTCGTCGGAAAGAGTTGAAGTTGAACCTAGAGCAACAGCTGGGTTTCCGGGGACCTTGTCAACTAGCAGGTCATCCATCTCCTGCGCGAGTCTTTGTTTGGCGATGAGCTTGGCGGGTAGGTGGTTGTTTCAGGGTCGTCTGGAGGTGGCTGCGCTGTCGGCGTGGGGCTCGGAGCGAAGGACCAGTGTCCCACAGGAGGCTCTCGATGGCCCCAGAGTGGCGGGGCGGGTTGGGGAAGTTTACCGCGGTCTAGCATGCGAACAAAATCAAATCAAAAAGAGACCTTTGGCGGTTCCAAATGGTCCTGGTCATGTGAGTCTGTGAAGACATGTTGTGGAGATGACAAAGGGGCGGATGAGAAGAGAAAGGGGTGTCTGATGCTTGATTAATGGATTTGTCATGGGGTATCAAGCACTTTGACGAACTCCCGGTTAGCTTAGTAAGGATATATCTCGTTTTATCGTGGCATGTGTTCCCTCCCCCAACCCACTCACCCCACGTATTTGGACGAACCTTGACACTGTGGAAGGGCGGGGTGGGGAGTGTGAAAAGTCGACTATTGTTCCGAGGGTTGAGCTGAAAATTCAAAAGAGGATCGCGTTAGCGATCGCCTGAACATGTTCTGCCCTGAACTAGTTGGGATGCCCTGGCCCAGTATCGAGACTCTTGGAGACACTAACCCACCAAATCACTACTGTACCCACCACCAAATGACCCTATCCAAATCACTACCCACCAAATCACCCTATCCAGATCACAACTCGCCAAATGACCCTATCCTAGCCATTTACATCAAACTTCTCAAGACGGTACTCTCTCATCCATAGCAACAGACCCAAGGTTAGACTCCGAGCTACAATTTCTCCGGGGAAAAATTTGATTCTATCTGCCAACAGACTCGGCAGGGACATGTGCTTGCCAGGGGACCAAGGGATAGGGCTGCTGGTGGCCCTTTCCCCGCACAAAAAATGACCCCACAAAACCGCCTGCGGGCGACTGACAGACCCCAAAACCGGACTATACGAATCGGGAGAGCAACGGCGAGTTCCCCACGTCGTTAGTGGACGTCTTTGGAACCCTTCTCGAACCCTTTTTGAACCCTTCTGCCCCGTTTCGGACGCCCGTTGGCCTCCCCGACTCGCTCCGAAGAGTTAATCCGGCCCGGAAAAACGCGGCTTGGCGTGCATCCGTGCCTCCGGCAACCCGCTAAGTTGAGGTCCCGCGACAGGGGGATTTTCCGGCCGGAGGGCCAAATCAAACCATCGAGAGCGTGCCTTCAGATGCTTCAACTCCCCACATAAATCCACCTGCTCCCGGCCCCACACTGTGCTTCTCAAGGTGCACAACCGAGATTACAACGTACCATAGATGTAGAGGGATACATGTGAGGCGCTGAGGCGCTGAATTATGACCGAAACTCTCGGCTCGTGTGAGCCATGGCGCGTGAGTGGTCCGTGCGTGACGAGCAGTTGACCAAACTTGCTCCACGACGAAAAAAATGGCCCAAAGGGTTCTACTGACTACCCAGACATGGGAAAAATCTAATCATCTCCGTCGCCAGAACAAACATGTCTCATCCTACAGTTCACCCTACAGTTGGTAAAGTGCAATTTCGACAACCCCGCATCTCCTGCTCCCCAAACTGTGTCCTCTTACCGGGGGGGATCTACACACCCATCCAAGCTTACAATTTACACTAGAGTTACAATTAGTCAGTAGCCGCTTTGGGGAGAGCCGTGGCCGCTTTGGGGGGGAGCCATGGCCGTAGCAGTCTGCCCAAGTAGTCCATCTGGTCGCTGGGCCCACTATTTGGCTTACTAACCACCTTCTGGGGCCTCAGATAAAACCGCTCATCGAACCCGTCCTTCTTCAAAGTATATCCCTCAACATGGTCAACGTGAAACCCCACGTTTTCCGTTCCACGGAGGTTTTGACTGCAATAACGAAGAAGGTCTGGTTTTGCAGTCGGAAAAATCTTGACGGCTCTAGACTCGGCCCAACGGTGGATGTAGTGAAATCCTCGGGGGACCGTGACGTCACCCTACATGTACATTCCTGGAGATGAAAACAAGTGCCAGCAGGGGGAAAAAAGCAGTGCTGATCTAGTCGACATTGTGGGGTCTTGTGGAGAGTTTTTGAGTGTATTTTGAGCGATTATCAGAACTCCCTAGAGTTCTGGCGGTACTCAGAGACATTCTATAGCCCCCCTCTAGACCAGGTAGAGCATGATAGTATGTATAGGTACATACGACGACTCCTTCTGCAAGGGTTCAAGACCCCACTATTTCCCCGACTAACAAAAAAGTGACACATACAAGTGAGACTACATAGGTATAGTACGAGTACAAGTGAGACTGTTGTTTTGGCCCGGCGGAGTCGCTTTGGCCCGGCGGAGTCATCAATAGTTGTTCGGTTCAGTAGTACATGTTCAAAGGTAGTTCACCCTCTAGGGGCTGCGAGAGAGTCTCCAAAGCTCTAGAAACACGTAGAATGTCGTTTAATTCACCTTTTCTCTTCCCTCAAACTGCTCAGGTCGTTAGCTTCCCGGAAAAACAATAATCCGATCAACAATGAGACATGTTAGTCTCAGAGAAGGGGAGAGGTTTCAGACAAGGACAAGGTCTACCCCACTCGAGCGCCTTTTTCTCACACCAACAGCCATTGACTCAAACAATGTCTCGGACAGTTCTACTTGAGCTACTATCAGTAGTACAACTGTTGAGTGAAACTCCGCTTTCGTACAGTGCGATACGAGTACGAATACGAGAACGCAAAACAGGCACTTACTCCAGGCACTTACTCCAGGCCGTGTCTGTCATATGATCTTGGTTGATTGGTTGGTGTCACGTGACCAGGTGATAATAAGTCCACTGTCGAAAAATCGAGTGGGGCTTTTCATCTGGAACATCTGGAACAAATCAGAATGTTCAGAGAGTTACGTTACTTAGGCAGGAGGGCAGGGGGTGTTGCGTTCTGTGGGCCAAATCACATGCTAACATATGGTGTCATATGATCAGCGGCACTTGAGCACGTGAAAAAATATTATCTATGATTATTGTCACGTGCTCTGTCTATCTTTTCACGTGCTCAATGGTCAATCAAGTGCCGGTGAGAAAAACTGGACGTTACAACCATTGAAAAATGAATGGTATGGCTACAAAGTGAATGATTAGAAGATATATTTGGTCTAATCGGTTTATTTCGTCGTTTTAAAGAGCTCATTAAGTGTCACGTGCCCAGAAATGTGTACTGCCGAATACCTATCATTGCCACTATCCTATATACTTGAGGCCTAGTTGAGACTTTTGTTGACGAAATTGAAAGACTGGAGTGCAAAACGTCCATTCCAGATACCATGAGGAAATGAGATTTATATCTATCAATAGCCGTTGATTGGTTATTAATTTTATCTACCAATATTTGGATTTTGATGACCAAATTTCAAGTTATCGCTGATATCTTGGGTTTAAATCAACTACTTTTTGTTGGGTAATTAGTTGGTATTACTTACGATTGAGTTTCAACCTGGAAGTCTCTGTTTTCTGAAGACAAATATTGGTTGCAACTCCCTATCGCAATCTGATTCATACAATACAGTACAATAAACACCACCATAGTCAATACTCGAATAGATAAATATATATATAAGTTTTTCCGTCTCCTTCGCCTCTCCCTCTCTCTCTCTCTTTCTCTCTCTCTCTCTCTTTCTCTTTCTCTCTCTCTCCCTCTACCACTCCTGGGCAGTGACTCCAAGAGCAGACTTCTTGGTACCCTTGACGGGGTTGACAATGAGAGAGTCGGTGTTGGACTCAAGGAAGGAGAACTTATCAGATCGCTTGGCCTCGTAGGCCTTGATGAACTCCTCCTTCTGCATGGTGAGTCCGATATCGTCCAGACCGTTGACCAGACAGTGCTTTCGGAAGTCCTCGACCTCAAAGTGGTCCACCAGCACCTCGTCGCCATGCAGCACCTTCTGGTTGGGCAGATCCACGGTCAGAGAGCCGCCCTTGTCGGCCACGGGCATGAGCTTGGACTTGATGACGTCGGCGTCGACCCGGATGGGCAGCAGGCCGTTCTTGAACGAGTTGTTGTAGAAAATGTCGCCAAAAGAAGGAGCAATGATGCACCGGATGCCAAAGTCGGCCAGAGCCCAGGGAGCGTGTTCTCGGGAAGAGCCACAGCCAAAGTTGTCGCCGGAAACAACCAGAATCGAAGCCTTATCCCAGGGAGCCACGTTGAGCATAAAGTCGGTCTTCTCCTGCTTGCCGTCCACCTCCTTGAATCGCCACTCGAAAAAGAGACCCGAGGACAGTCCAGTTCGCTTGATGGTCTTGAGGAACTGCTTGGGGATGATGGCGTCGGTGTCCACGTTGGCCTTGGGCAGAGGCGCGGCGATTCCAGATACCTCCAGGAACTTGGGGATGCCGGTGGCTGACGAGGTGATGTTTTCCTCGGCCACGGCGTCGGTCTGCTCATCGACAGGGTCCGCCTGGGTCACGGTGGCGGTCTTCATTTTCTTGACGGCGGGCTGTTTCTCCTCGTCATACTTGGCCTCAGCCATCTCCTCGTCCTCGCCAATCACAATCTTGGCCTCGTCCTTGGGCAGGTAGTCCCGCACGTCAGTCAGCTTGCCGGTGATTCCAGCCAGAGCCGCCATGGCGGGCGAAACCAGATGGGTGCGCGAAAGAGCACCCTGTCGACCCTCAAAGTTACGGTTGGAGGTGGAAGCACATCGCTCGCGGGGGTTGAGAATGTCAGGGTTCATACCCAGACACATGGAACAGCCAGCCTCTCGCCATTCGAAGCCCGCAGCCTCAAAGACCTTGTCCAGACCCTCGGCTTCGGCCTTTCGCTTGACCAGACCGGAGCCCGGCACAACCATGGCTCGCACCACGGAGTCGGCCTTCTTTTTTCCCCGAACAATGGCAGCGGCGGCCCGCAGATCCTCGATTCGCGAGTTGGTACAGGATCCAATGAAGACCTTGTCCACAGCAATCTCGTTGAGGGGAGTGTTGGCCTCCAGACCCATGTACTCCAGCGCACGCTCGATTCCGGCCCGCTTGATGGGATCGGTCTCCTTGGAGGGGTCGGGAACGGAGCCCGTGATGGGCAGAGCGTCCTGAGGAGAGGTACCCCAGGTGACGGTGGGGATAATGTCCTCGCCCTTGATGTTGACGTCAATATCGAACTCCGCGTCCGAGTCCGAATGCAGAGTCTTCCAGTAGGTGACGGCCTTCTCCCACTCGGCGCCCTCGGGAGCCAGAGGTCGGCCCCGGATGTACCGGAAGGTGGTCTCGTCGGGAGCGATCATGCCGGCTCGAGCTCCTCCCTCAATCGCCATGTTGCACATGGACATTCGAGCCTCCATGGAGAGGTCTCGGATCGCCTCGCCGCAGAACTCGATGACGGTTCCAGTTCCTCCAGCAGTGCCAATGACGCCGATAATGTGCAGAATCAGATCCTTGGAGGTGATGCCCGGCTGCAGTTTGCCGGAGACGTTGATCCGCATGTTCTTGGACTTGGCCTGGATGATGGTCTGGGTCGCCAGCACGTGCTCGACCTCGGAGGTTCCGATTCCAAACGCCAGAGCTCCGAACGCACCATGGGTAGAGGTGTGCGAGTCGCCGCAAACCACGGTGGTTCCGGGCAGAGTGAAGCCTTGCTCAGGACCCACAACGTGCACAATTCCCTGTCGCTTGTCGTCCATGCCAAAGTACCGCACGCCAAAGTCCTTGACGTTCTGCTCCAGAGTCGTGCACTGCAACCGCGAGTCTTCCTCCTTGATAAATGTGCCGATCGACTTGAAGTCCTTTCGCGTCGTGGTGGGAATGTTGTGGTCGACCGTGGCCAGAGTGCAGTCCTTACGTCGCACCTGTCGTCCGGCGTTCTTGAGACCCTCAAACGCCTGCGGAGATGTGACCTCGTGCACAAGGTGCCGGTCAATGAACAGAAGGTAAGTGCCATTGTCCTCGTGGACAACGTGGTCCGCAAAGACCTTGTCGTAGAGTGTTTGTCCCATTATGCTAGTGTGTGTGTGTGTGTTTGTCTGTGTAAAAGCGGATGGTTTCTGTGTAGACTTCAACCAGGGTGCTACATGGCTCCTCTTTATACCTCGACTGTGGAACCAAGCTCGATCGCCGCTATCGGCGCCGCTCAGCCAATGGGAAGAGGGGTATTACATCGAATAGTGAAAAATTGATGATCGGGCGAGTAAAATAAGGTTTAATTGGTACCTTTGTGATCTCTAGAGACCGCTGAGTATTTTGCAACTCTCTATTTCTCCCTAACTTGAGCCGATATCATACGATATCATTCTATTGTGGTGCTCTGACTAACCCCGAATTCAACAAGGTTTGTCAGCTGGTGACTCTTGCACAAGGTTTGGACAAATAAACTCGCCGGTGTCGGCGTGTGGGGTAGCCGAGGGGAAGTGGGTGGGGATAAAGTAGTGGAATAGTGGATATGTGTGGATTCCGTTGACGAAATTGGATTTGGCTACTTTTTCTGATCATTTTCCATGTTTCAGAAATCACATGACCCACCCAGATGGCCAGTTAGCTCCATCCAGCGACCACGCAGCGGTTCCGGGGGGCATAATTACACGATTTGGTTTAAAGTGATTTGAAGTGGCTCGTAATAGCGCGAAAAAAGACCTTTTAGACACTTGTACATACGAAATAGAATATAAAAAAGATAGCCTGGTTCTCCTTAACACGCTCATCTGGTTGGTTTCTCTCCAGCATTTCTGTATCCCGTTTTACACCCACCCTATTGCCGAGCCGCGCACACCTGCGTCTAGCAAGCAACCAAGGCATCTACAGAGCAGATCGAGCATGCTATAGATGGTGGTCATGACCGGTATCGGTCACGTGAGAGGATCGTGAGTATGACTAACTTGTGTATGTAGCGGTGATTGTTCTTGCGCTCGTACTCGTGCTGTATGGTATCGTTCTTGTGCTCGTATTGGTGTTGTGGTATCGTTCTTGTATATTTCTAAACCCCTTTTCAGGAGGACCTAGAACGACAATTCTGTTTGGTGATGAGTAATAAAAAAGGACCATTCGATGCACATTTCTCGGCTGATTCCGACGGTACCATTACGTGTATCATTGTCTTTATTATATGGACTGTGGTTCGAATTTTGTTTTTGTTGCAAGTCTGAAGTTGTCCCTGATTTATTATTCACTGAATTTTGCGCACTGAATTTTAAGTCTCAAAATTTGAAATTTCAATTTTTCAAAAAATAAAAAAAATCCGCAATACACTGCAATGGACAACGCACTGAACACACTACAAGTACTTGTAGACACACGGAGCCGTCAAGTCATGTGATCTGATGTCTCCATAAGTGCGCTTTGTTCGTATTAATAACAGAATGATTGTAGAGTATGTACCCGATCTAGAATGGTGATATTGCACAGCAGTCCGACACCGCAACGTCTGATACTGTAGCTGATTTCAACTCACGAACACCAAAAGTGATTGCACTAGTACGTACCAGTACAAGTACATACAGTACAAGTAAAAGTACAAGTTTCCACGAAACCTCGTCCACTGTTGCCACTACTCTGCGACACTACATTGTCACCGTCTTAGTGCGGTTTGGAGACGAGTGTCGCAATGACGTGCAGACACCGGCCCTCCATTCCATTTCTATTGTTCCTGGCCGTGGCCGGCTATCGAAAACACATGTGGGCTGCTTTGGAGATGATGCCGGTATCGGCGATTCCTTCGCATCTGGAGAGTTGGTGATCACGTGACGTCGACCGACGACCGGTGGTTGAGCAAGTTTGATTAAGTTTTGAAATAGAGTTTCGCCGATGAGTGATAGTGAGGTGATTTGGAGAGGGAATCGGTCTTGTTCGGAAACAGCATAGAAGGCGAGTTTTTGTCTGAAAACTAGTTCTGTGAATAGCTGAAGATTGGGGGAGTATTTTTTCCACTTTTTTGATCGTTTTTGGCCAGAAACCAGCGATCTGAGTGTGGCACTGTACATGTACGTATTGTCATGTTCACTCCAGTATGTACAGTTTATATACTGTAAGTTGTACCTTTCATTTCAGTCCACCTTTCTAGAGTGTATTTTGTAGGAGATGGAGAGGTTCGATTGGAAAATGGAGTTGACCATTCGATTCTATTGTTCGAGAGGAATCTAAAAATGTCAAAAAATGTCAAAAAATGTAAATTTTTATCATTCAGTCACTGCTCAAATCTCTGACAGACTATACGCAGCCGACTTGAGATGTCGATGCGAGATTATACAAGTAGATATCGATGCGAGATATCATCCAAGAGATATATGGGCAGTGGAACACAGATATCAAACAGAAAGTCATGACCACACACCTCCGAGATCCCTTTTCCCTGGTCACGTGACCCACCCACCGCCTCTCGCCTCGTAGTTGTTCAACGCCACACCTATTAGCTTATTACGTCACTGGCTGGATGTATCATTTTACATAGTTGTATTTGCTCATTGCTGTGAGAGTCCAAGAGCTCCAAAATTGACGGTTTTTGCTGGTTGTTCTTGAAAGAAAGCTCGTTGAAACTCGTCAAAACTCGTCGAGAATTGTCGAAACTTGTCGAAACTCGTCGAAACTCGTCGAAACTCGTCGAAACTCGTCGAAAAACACAGATTCTCTTCGCTCTCCTCTCCTCAGGTCTCGTTCGCCGGATCTCCGAGACGCGTCACGTGGCGGAGCAGCCCATTTCCCAGAACCTTCTAAATGTTTCGGAAGCAATCCCCCGCCTGACATCTGTTGCCTTCAGTAATGCCTCAGTTCGAGTCCCGGTGGTGCTTCATATTCGCGGGGAATACCCAGTGCTTATAAGTGTCGCTATTGCCACCGGGGAAAGTTGCTCTGAAACAAGCCCGTCATCGCTCGTCTTTTAGGGCTCCTGCTTTGCCACCCAGCTGGTCTCTTTCATACAAGTAAGCCTCCCTGGGTCTCGTCAACAAGTACTTGACAGAAAAATCCATCTTGCAAAACAAAGTTCATCTCGCCACCTCAAACGACCCTCTTGGTGACTACTTGTACCCTCCTTACTCATTACACCACACTCAACCCCACACACACATCGACATATTCCACATGAAAAGCCTCTTTGCAGGACTGAGGAGTGTGACACGGTCGCCCGGGCTCATGTCCAGCCCGCTGCTGCGACCGCACGCTCTGAAACGGTCCGTTTGGACCCCCTACAACTCGCTCTCGCCTGTGCCGGTCTCGTGCCGCTCCTTCAACTGGTCGTCTCTTAAACCCGGGTTTCTCTCCGACACGGTGCCGACCCACGTGCTGGCCGAAAAGGAACAGGCTGCCAACCGCTCGCTCAACAACCCCCAGGCCCAGCTGGACTTCTACAAGGCGCTGATCAACACAAACTACCCCCATGTGGTGGTGCAGCGGTACGAATCGCCCGGCGTGGCCCGTAACGCCGACTGCGACAAGCTCTACGTGGCGGCGCTGAAATCGCAGGGCCAGCACGACAAGGCCGAGAACATGGAACACCGACTGCTGGGCGGCAACTTGGCCGGAAACGGACAAAAGGGCACGCGATCAGACCCCGTCCACGTCATCCTCAAGGAAACCACCGCCTCCGCAGTCACCAAATGGATCCGATTCATCCTGCCCCTTGCCCTTATCGGCTACATGGTCTGGCAGAGCATGCAGCTGCTGGCCGAGTCGTCGCTGCTCAAGGGATCCGGCACCTCCGGATTCAACTCCAAGCTCATGGACCCCACCGACGGCTCCAAGTCCACCGTCAAGTTTTCGGACGTGCACGGCGTGGACGAGGCCCGAGGCGAGCTGGAAGAGATTGTCGATTTCCTCAAGGACCCCTCCAAGTTCACCGGTCTGGGTGGCAAGCTGCCCAAGGGCGTGCTGCTGACTGGACCCCCCGGAACAGGTAAGACTCTGCTGGCACGAGCCGTGGCCGGTGAGGCCGATGTCCCCTTCTACTTTGTTTCTGGATCTGAGTTTGACGAAATGTACGTCGGCGTGGGAGCCAAACGTGTTCGAGAATTGTTTGAGAAGGCCCGAGCCAAGGCTCCTGCCATCATCTTCATTGATGAGCTGGACGCCATCGGAGGCAAGCGAAACCCCAAGGACCACGCCTACTCCAAGCAGACTCTCAACCAGCTGCTTATCGAGCTCGACGGCTTCTCTCCCTCCACCGGAATTGTGATTATTGCCGCCACCAACTTCCCCCAGATGCTGGACAAGGCTCTGACCCGACCTGGACGTTTCGACAAGATGGTCAACGTGGAGCTTCCCGATGTGCGAGGCCGAATCGCCATTCTGAAGCACCATATGAAGAAGGTCGAGGCTTCCCCTCTGGTTGACTGTTCAGTGCTTGCTCGAGGTACCTCTGGTTTCTCCGGAGCCGAGCTCATGAACCTGGTCAACCAGGCCGCCATCCAGGCATCCAAGGAGAAGGCGCTGTCCGTGGACATGTCTCACTTTGAGTGGGCCAAAGACAAGATTCTGATGGGAGCCGCCCGATCCAAGATGGTGCTCACCGAGGAGTCGATCCGAAACACCGCCTACCACGAGGCCGGACACGCCCTGATGGCGCTGTACAGCCCCGCTGCCACCCCCATCTACAAGGCGACCATTCTGCCCCGAGGCCAGGCCCTGGGTCTTGTTCAGCAGCTTCCCGAGCTGGACAAGTACGACATGACCAAGCAGGAGATGTTTGCTCGTGTCGACGTGTGCATGGGAGGCAAGATTGCCGAGGAGCTTATCAACGGTGCCGAGAATGTGACCGGTGGTTGCTCTTCCGACCTCCGACAGGCCACGTCCATGGCAAAGCATATGGTCACCACCTACGGCATGTCCGACGCAGTGGGACCCATGTCGTTTGGTGACGAGCAGTGGTCGCAGCATCTGCAGCAGCTGGCCGAGGGCGAGATTCAGAAGATTCTCTTCAACTCGGAAAAACGGTCGCGTGAGCTGCTCACGGAAAAGCTGCCGGAATTGCATCGCCTTGCGCAGTCGCTGCTCGACTACGAGACCCTCACTGCTGAGGAAATCAAGCAGGTGGTCAAGGGAGAGAAACTGCCCCGAGAAAAGGGTCTATCTGTGACGGTCGTCAAGTCCAAGGATATCCGGGACAACCGAGGCTCCAAGAAGAGCAAGGATGACGACGAGGACCAGGAGGACCGGTCGTACGACGACGGCGTCCGAATAGGTGCCGGCGCCGCCAGCGCAAAGTCGGCGTAGATGCATAGGAGGAGTAACGTTTTTATAGGAGCTGTATTGTAAATATTCACATTGAGGAGCATTGGCGGCACCACGCTGCTGATGCCAACTGTACTGTAGTTGTACATACTGTACCGGTAGTGTACATTCGCATCATCTAATCTCGTAATATAATACATGAGCTGGACCAAAAACGTCATACTTGTATCTGGTATTGTCATTCATTATATCATAAAGCTAACCCTTGAAAGCGTAGTCACCAGCGATCCACCGGTTGACCATATCCAGAGAAGTCTCGGGCTGGTTGAAAGGAACCATATGGCCGGCATCAAAGACCCGCAGGTAGGTCAGCTTGCCAGCGTTCTTGACGGTGCCGGCGTGAACAGCCTTGGTCTTGCCATGCTTGGTTGGCACCTGGGCGGTCCAGTTTCGAGTCTCAGCCAAGAAGAAGGACTCGGCGTCGGTCCAGTCCAGAGTATCGGTCCAGGCCTGGTTTCCGAGCCAGTTGCAGATGAAGTCCTTGTCTCCAGCGTAGATGAGAACGGGAAGTCCGTCATCGAGCAAGTCGGCAACGTCATAATGGAAAGGCCGGTTGTGGTCGCCGTCAAACACAAAATCAATGCCCACGTCGTTCTTACAGCCCTCAAACACCTCTACTTCGGCTCCAATGGCTTCCAGAACATGAGGCTGGTTGAGATATGCAGTGATCCAGTCCTCCTGCTCGTAACAGAGGTCAGAGTCTCCACACTGCTCCCGGATATCATAGACGTTTCGGCCAGTCTGCTGGTAAGCTCCCATAGTCACGGCGTTGCAGTAAAAGTTAGGAGCCACACAGGCGATTCGGTTGTTGGTGGAATAGCAGAGGTCAACGAGTCGCTGGCACTTGGGCACGTCTCGCTCCATCTTGTCGCACTCCTCGGGGGTGATAACGGCAGGGTAGCCGCCCTCTCCACAGGCCATTGGCCGGTAGTACTCAACCTGAGTTCGTTCGTCGGTGATTCCGTTGCCAATGAGAATAGAAGTCAGGTTGTAGTTTTTGTCGCTGTGGCTCTGGATCTCGGTGGCAATGGCGGGGATGTAGTGGCCGGCGTACGACTCTCCGGCAATATGGAAGTCCTGCTTGGCGTACTTGGGGAACTTGTCGAAAAACAGAGACAGGAACTTGTGCACGTCTTCGGCAGCAGCTCGGGAGTTCTTGACTCGGTTGGACGAGTAGGAGAAGCCCACGTTGACGGGCTGGTCGAGGAAGATGACGGAGGCGTTCTGGTTCCAAGAAGAAGGGTTCCAGGTCAGAGTCAGGTCCTCGTTGATGGAGGAGGGGCCGAGTTCAAAGAACTGGCCGGTCATGGAAGAGCAGCCGGGGCCTCCATTGAGCCACAGAAGAACAGGGTCATTCTTGGGGTCGTTTCGAGACTCAAAGAACCAGTAGAAAAAGTGCTTGTCCTCTTCCTCAATGTCCACGTATCCAGAGTACTGCTGCACGTCATCCAGGCCGAGCGAAGAGGGGTCAGCGACCCGCAGCACGTGGCCGGGAGCGCTCTCCATGGTGTGTTTGGCAATCCACTTTGTGTTTCGGTTGGCCGCGAGCTTCTTGGGCTCAAATCGGGTGTCTTGCTGGGCGGTGGTCTGGAGGTATCGTTTGAGTCCTCCGGGGAACTCGTGTTCGATCTGAGCCCACGAGTGGAGGATCTCAGCCGAAACGTCCTGGATTCGCTCACCAGCCGAAGACGCAATGTCCTTGAGAGCTGACACGGTGGCGGGCGACATGGAGATGGCGTCCTGGACCTGGTCCAGTCCCCCCAACGGGTTCTGTTGGAGCAGGGGGATTTCGGGGATGGAGAAGGCGGAGACCACAGACATGGCCATGGAGAAGGCGGCAACGGAGGCCACGGAGAACTTCATTTTGCAGCAAAGGGATGGTGGAGCTGTGAGTAGTGGAGTGTGTCGAGTGCTGTGGTGCGACACTCAAGTTATATCTCTAGCCTGGAGTCGCATGCATGTTTAGTGCGGATGCAACTTTAGTGCACATTTCGGGGTCCGATGGTGCCGTGTGGGATGGAGGGGGACCGTCAGGTGGTCGGGGAGAGGAGTTATCGGGGATTTGGAGGTACCGATGGACTCGTAATGGATAGCAAAGTCTTTTGGTGTTTTTGGATTTTGAATTGGACCGTTATTGGTGGAATTGGCCGAGACGTATGTACGTAATTGTAAACTCGACAAAGACGAAAATGGTTTTATATACTTGTACGTAGCTTATATTTCGCTACAGCGTAAGACCAAGAGAGAACGAATTGAAGGAAGAAAAACAACTCAATAAAACGAAAGACTGGAAAGACCAAAAGCCACGGCCGGCCCGATCGAACTGGCAGGTCACGTGACCACACTGTGTAGTCGATGGCTCACTTTTGCTCGGGTCGGGTTGGGTGGCGTAAGGTTCGACGATAAGATAAGACTGTGAAACCATTGAATGTGACAGTACATACTGTACAGAACTGGAACCGCAGCATGTTATGAGGAGAGGCGCTGGAAAGGTTGTGTGGCACGGCTAATGAGAAATGCAGACAATTGTTGTTGTGAACAGCACTGACTAAGCTGATTCTGAATGACTGCTGATTTCAAGTGACTGCTGATTTCGAGTGTACTCTCACCGTATCCGTTTTTCACCAAGTTCCCAAGTCTACTGTACCTACTGTTGATTGGTCATCAACTGGTCTGATTGTGCCACTACTGTACTCTTACAATCCACTCATGGTCCCGATACTCTTCAGTACTGTATATACAGTATGTACAATATTATGTCCAGTATGCCGTTTCATACAAAAATCCATTACAGGAAATACTGTAGAATGAGATCGAAAATACCCGTTAGGGCATTACTTGTAGCTGACCAATTGCACATAATGTGAGAGGAACAGCTTGGTCGTAGACAGATATCGGAAAAAACTTCTGGAGGTTTTTTATTTTTTATTTTATATATATTTTTTATATTTTATGTTTCAGTTTTTATGTTTTAGTTGTATGTTTTAGTGTTTACAGTATATTTTAATTTTTTCAAATTCTGACCTACAAGTAGACATGAACCATATGCTGTCTATTCAGTTGGTGTAAAATGTGAACCTGTTGGTTTTTTTTTTCTCTGGCTGATTTTTTGCCGATTTTCGTACTTACACTTGTACCTTGTAATTTTTTAACCCTTCAATGTCACACGAAAAACAGATCGTACAGTATTGTAGTTATCTGACAATTGTGTCTCCAGCCATTCAACCATGCTTACTAAGCACACGACGGCAAGCACATAACGACGACTCCACACCACAACCAACAAACATCACCACAAAATGCACATTTCAGAAGACGTGGCGCGATTGGTGTTGGAACACACCAACGTAGATGACAGTGTAGCGCTTAGTCAGACCTGTCGGAGCTTCCGGGCGGTATTTTTCGAGCTCGACCGGTTGATGACAGACAAGGTGGTCCAATGTTGTCCGTGGATGACGCTAGAGGATGAGGGCGGAGACAGAGGCTACGACTCTGAGGGCCGATCGTGGAGACAACGTGCCTTGGTGTGTGCTGCTAGAAACCGGGCCGCCAACAATGACAAGAATTGGGTCCGGGTAACGTCTGAGCAGGCCCTCAACAAGAGCAACTACTCGATTGAGGAGCCGGTCGAGGGCAAGACTGTTGCGAATCCGACCCGAGAGGAGTTGAAGGGATACAGGGGGACGTTTGGAGATGTGCGATTGCCATTTAAGCACCGCAGAGCCATTGCTAAGGACGGGGTTGTCTATCTGAGGGAGAGGACATATCCTGAGAATTGTCTTGACTTTTGTCCCGTCAGTTTGGACCTGAGAGAGTTGACTGTGATCAATCAAGGTGTAGGTGGTTCTGCAGACGGATCAGGTCGCTCCGCAGATGCAGTTTCTCCACTCAGAGAAGCTCGTCCGGTTTGCCAGCTTCTGGACTTTGGCAGCGAGAGCAGAGACAGTTTCATCTCTCCCGTGTCCGGCATCGAAGTTGTTAGTGCCACTCCCACAGATACCGGCAACAGATACCCCGAGGGGCTGGTGTTCTACGAAAATATCATGTTCATTGACGAGAACGAAACGGTCATGATTGTGGCAAAACGATGTATAGCGTCCACGAGACATGAGGCGTTTTACGTGTACAAACCGGACGCCAACATCATCGACAACAAGCTGCAATTCAACTTTAACCACTGGAAACAGACCGCCATGGACCCTCTGATGCCTCCCCAGCTCATTCCCAACTCGAGCTATGTTGCTGTGGTGAGAAAGATTGGAGATTCGAACTGGGCCTGTATCGAGCATGCCAGCAAGAAGGACAAGGATCTCATACAGCTTATGAAGATGGACACTCGACTTTTCAGCGTCCAGGTGTTCAACGGGTTGCTCCACGTCTACAAGGGCAACCGGTTGTATCCCATTTGGGTGAATCTTGACGAGAAGCGAAAACTGCTGTTCAACTACCTATTGCCGGAAGAGAAGGGCCAATACACTCTCTGTGAGGTGAAACCTGTTCTGAAACGCGGTTGGAAGGCCCCTGGAGGCTGGAAGGTGTCCAGAGCTGTGCCCTGGTTTGCCAAAGGAGGTAATGGAAGGTACATTACTGTGGGAGATTTCAGAAAGGGAGGAGGTTATGTTGTGGCAGACTTCCAGACGGGCGAGTCGTACACAACCCAAGTGCCCTACAGAAACGATGGAAAACCCGATTTCGTCTTTCCTTCTCATTCAGTTAATGACAACTCCATCAGCTTCTTTTCTTGGTCTCAAGTTGTCGGTCGCAAAATTGTGTCGGAACTCGATGAACTCAACGACTCTGTTGAAGATGGAGATGCCATTGACTGCAAAGAAGAGTCGGTCAAACTTGCAAAGATCTACGATGAGCTCATCTCGCCACCTGCCCCGGACTCAGAAAGTGGCTGGGAACAGTGAGATGAACAGCGACAATTAGCGACGAATCGAAATGCTGTCTCGACCCCCAGTCGTTCCCACAGACACGTACAATATCAGCGACGATTCCAGTTCCAGTTCTAGCGGCGAGTGGGCCCGAGCTACTCTGGGTAGACGTCATCCGCTGGTCTTTGGGGGGGGGGGAATATTTCTTCTATGAATGATTGTGTGAGGGAGTCACGTGAGGCACAAATAGCTGGTCTAGGAGTGCACCTCAGCAGCGCTTGTTCTGTTCTATTCTATTCAGTGTGCAGTCAGCGACTTTATAGTCTACATTTGTATCAGAATGGTTTCTATTTGTCTATCATTAAGTCCACAATGTTTGCCGTTTCTCTATCACCGCCATATGTGGGGTAGATTGTAGAACATTTTCCTTTAACACTTGTGTATTCTGCCATAGTGAGGGCGTGGTTTTATCTGCCGTCCAGGTTTGTTGATTCACCCCTCGAGCTGAGTTGATCGCGTTCACTCATTCTCATCCAACAAGTAGTTATGAATAGGTAGCTCGATATCCCTCGCCAGTCGCTCAATCAACCCCCAACCAGCATTTACCTTCCATTTTGTTCTCGAGTCCAGAGGATCCCCACTTGTTCTCACCAGCAACTTGAGAGTCGTCAACGTGGCAATCTGGCCCGGCAAATCAATATTAGACATGCTCTGAACTCCAGCAGCAGTACCAAACTGTTCCTCGGGTGAAATAGAATGCAGAATCGCAAGCATTCGCTCCAGCTCAAACGGAGGAGCCTCCAGCATCCGAGGGTTGAGCGTCAGTCGTTTTCTTCGACCGGTGTCTCGTCTGCCCTTTCGTCCGTCCTTTTGCTTGGAAAAAAACCGGATATCGTACCGCTCGGGGTTGTAGGAAGCTAGATATGCCGCCACAAGGATGTACTTTGAATGCAAGGGCAGATCGTAGCTGCCAGTCAAGTCCTGCTCATTGTTTCGTTTGCGTTTCAGCGCCTCCTCCATTCCGGGCTGAACAAGAGAATCTGCGACAGCAAACTCGGACGAAAAGATGTGCTGGCTCTGGACGTACAATTTGGCCGTTTCGCGCATGTCTGCAGACCCCGTGATGACTGGATCGACGTAGACAGGCCAGATTCGGCGTGCAATCTGCTTGTAGAGGCTCACGTCCGAGGAGGCGTAAGGAGAAAGGGCGTCAACAAGAACCTGGCAATACGAGCCCCAGAACTGGCGAGAGAGGACATCTTTTTCTTCTTCGGTGCCGTTCTTAGCTGCTTCAGACAGTATGGTTTGTGGAAGTCTGCACAATTCATGCTCTGAGAGAATTGTGACGACTTCTTCCTTGGTGTATCTGGTGAAGCGGACGTGCGGGATGCTGGAGGTTATGAGCGCCCTTGGTTCCAGGGTCGAAATGGTGAAGATGAAACTCACGTTTCGAATGCTGGTCATTTCGTTGAGTCGGGTGAAACAATGGTAGATTTCACTGGGGTTTTCATGCAATTTGTCGAGGCCATCCAGAACAATCACGTGCGGCTTTGTAAAGTCGTACTGGGCCTTGAACCGTTCCAGCAGCGCCATGAAGGCCGTCACGTTCTCACAGATGATCTCAAAGTCGTCAGCAAGAGTCTTGCCGCTGTCCTCCACCACGGCCCGAAACGTGCGCTGAAGCAGAATTCGGGTCGTCAGACATTGTTCTGCGAGAATGATGGAGTGGTTGATGGAACTCTGCTTCAGAAGATGCTTGAGAACAGTCGATTTGCCCGTCGAGGGCTCGCCATGCACCAGTATCGATTGGGGCATTTCCTGGGCCTTCTCTGAGAGCAGGACGCTGAGAAGTTTGATCTGCGTGTCTCTGCACGAGACCTGGCGCCGAGTGGCGGCAACCACATCTTTCGGTAGCATCTTTTAGGAGCGGTTGCAATTGTGGTGATGATTTTCGGCGGCCGGTTTGGGATGCATCTAATCAAAGTTTCGCCTCCAAACTTTGATCCGAAAAATGGGGGGGACCAAAATGTCAGCTTTTATTGTTTTGTTTTGTGTTTTGTGTTTTTCTTTTTATAGACGAAAATGTGACAAGAGATGGCCAACACAAAAGCAGTGCCTTTAACCCCACACCCAACTCTTCCTCTTCCTTTCTCCTCCCTTCTTCCTCCTCACACAACCACCACGGTACAGACACAGAAACACAATACAACGCCGCGGACTCTGTACGGTCTCCAACTCGATGCTATTGGTGCGGATGTGATCCCTAGAGGGCGTGGTGGTTGTGTCATTGGACGGAGAGATCTGGTATTTTAACAAGAACCGCAGAATGAAACACCGATGCAGTATTGAGGTTACATCAAACTTCGACAGGTTAAGAGTATAGTTTACTTGGGACATGTTCTGGATGGGGTTTCTATGTTACCAAAGGGCACAGGTTCGATGACACACCTGGTTCTCTGCCCCATGAACACCCTTGCATACTTCAGCTTTAGATTCCTCTTGGACCAGCGATGTTACCTGCGTTCGATCATGCATGTTATGCAGGTGGTGCATATCCATCGAAATTTTGGATCACCATTTCACCTTCACATTCCACATGCTGACGGAAGACCAGAAAGAACACCAGCGCCAGAAAGCTCTCAAAAAGTTTGAGGAGGCCAAGCGCCGAATGGCGGAAAAACGCAAGGCCACAGACGTGCGGGACGCGTCGGCTAAACGACACCAAAATAGAGCCATGGGAGCGCCACCCATCACCCGAGCAAGTTATATTGAATACGATCTGGCCAACATGAAGGACACACAGGGTGGCTACTTGGATGACGAAGAGGAGGAGGACGTTGAAGAGTGGAAGCGGCGACAGGCACAGACATTCGAGGCCGGTCCCATGTCTATCAATCCGTCCGAGAACCCTCAATGTGCCGAGTGCAAGAGTTTCGACATTGATCCGCAATTTCAGTCCGTGTTCAAGCTGCTTGTATGTCGAGCATGTAAGAAGAAGATTCCCGAAAAGTATTCGTTACTGACTAAGACGGAGGTGAAGAACGACTATCTTTTGACCGAGCCTGAGCTCAGAGATAGAGACCTGATTCCCCACTTGGAAAAGCCGAATCCACACAAAAAGACTTACAACAACATGATGCTCTATGTGCGCAAACAGGTGGAGGAATTTTCAATCAGGAAATGGGGGTCTTTGGACGAACTGGATGCCGAGTATGAGAGACGGGTGGAAATGAAGAAACAGAGAAAGGATAAAAAGTACTTGGACAAATTGAAGGAGATGAGGAAGAAAACCCGAGCTGAAAACTGGACAAAGACAACAGCGAGGGATGTTCATATTCATGATTGGTCTGGTGATATCGGAGACGATCCGGATCACGTGAAACGAAGATGTCAGACCTGTGGCATGGAGACCGAGGAGTTGAAAATGTGACATGCTGTTCAGCTACTAATGTAAATTAATGTAAATAAGTTATTGGAGATGGGCGGGACTTGTTAATTATCTCGTGACCTCAGTTCTAGGCAATTTTTTATCGCAATTTTTTTCTCTTTGTTTTTCTTTGTTTTTCTGCGAAATTTCAAGCGTTTTTCTGCACTTGAATACTCTTATCACCGCCCTGAACTCCACACCAGAGGACGTGGCGTAATGGTAGCGCATTGGATTTCGGTTCTTCGTGAACGACGTCCTCCAAAGGCTGCGGGTTCGAGTCCTGTCGTCCTCTCTTTTTGCCCATATATAGTCTTCTTTTTGCAGATTCTGGTGGGTATTTCTGGTGGAACATTTTTTTGTCTGCTTATATCAGCTTACTAATCCAAGTATTTAATTGGGGATCAGCTGAACTTAGTTGAGCTCAATAGTGAGCTGAGATCTCTCAAGTTCTGAACAAAACACAGGGAAGTAGATGGTTTTTCATTGTCGTGTTGGTAAGCATGTCATACAGAATCAGACCACTTGTCTTACTACACACTCATAAAAAATACATATTCTAATGCGCCTCAAATTTCCCCATGGTTACCCAAAGATGCCATCTCAATGGCCAATTCCACCCTTCAAGTAAATATCAGTTTTAATTATATGCGCGTCGATTACTCGTCATCCTCGTCATCGTCGCCAGCGGCCTCGATGTACTTGTGTCGGATATCCTTCCATTGTTTCTGAGTTAGTGCTGTCCGAAAAGACGCGGTTGTTATAGCAAAACTGCGAATGTCGTCAAAAAACAACAGCAGTGGCCTCGTCCTCTTTCATTCGGTACTCGGGCTGTGCCCTTGTATCTCGTTAATACTCACGCCAGCGTTGATTCTGTCCCAGAAGTTGTCGATGGCAGTCTCAAAGGTCATGTCAAAGACAAAAGCGGAAGCCAGGATGGTGGCCACGAAGGCCGAGTTTCGCTTCACGAAAACGTTGTAGAAAGTGGTAGCCCAGGCCTGAGTTAGTATGTTGATAGAAGCGTTGATTGGGTACTTTGGGGTGGTTTGAGGTGGTTTGGGGTGGTTTGTACAGTTGAGCAAGATAATGGATCGACTGACATATGGCGAGCTAACAGATACGTCGTTGGCTGTCATAAACCACATTTCCGTCGTCCGTCGTCTGTCTCTATCGTCCGTCTCTGTCGCCTATCTCCGTTGCTTCCCTCTGTCGCTTGCTTTCTCTTCTCTGTCACCTCGTTCGTTCCTCCTGTTCATGTCGTGATGCGTCTGTTGTGCTCTAGTGTCCACCACCAATGTCGCGATCAATCAGGCCCAATCCACGTGATCTGCCCATGTGCCTGCTCCAACACCTCGCCCTATCGTCGCCCTGCTTTTTCACGTCCCCCTGGCCGGTTTTCTCGACTCACCATTTTGATGCTGTGTAATATCTCAATGTGAGAACGTGTGAGATGAGACTGCAAAGCTTCTTGGGGTCCCAAAAGCGCGGGGCGTGATTGGCTGGTGGCCAGAAAGCTTATTACGATGTCCAGTAGTAAGACGCTTATTGTGGGACGACGATCGGGGTTAGGGTAGAGAGATATTGGGCGGGTGGAAAATGTTTAGAGTTACGTCTGTGAGTTCGATTCTGGGTTGGGACAAACAGATAAATCATTGGGGTGCACAACTAAGGCTGGGCTGGAGGCCAATCTGTGTCCAGTTTGCACACCTTCAGAACGCAGAACGGTACACGAGCAGTATGGCGTCCCTCACAGGAACATATGAAAAGGATGGAGAGAGAGTGGTGGGTGGAACAGTGCGATCTGACGGCAGTGTGAGACCGATTGCCAAGGTGCGGCCTGGATACATTGCCAAAGAAGATGTTCCAAAGTACAAGCCACGCGGGGCGAGAGAACGAGATGCCAGGTTGGGCATCGTGTCTGCTGAGAGTCCGATCGCTAGGGTGGAGACCCAAGCAAGTGGTGCTGACGACAACAAGTCGGCTATCAAGGCCCGAATCCAAGCTGCGAAGGCCGAGTTTGAGAGAAAGAAGCGCGAGAAGGAGAAGGGGCCACGGAAGGAAGAGAAGCAGATGGTGGAGGAGAGTGTGATATTCGACAACAGCGGCAAGAGCCCCGATGATATCAGCAACATGATTGCCGCTGTTGATAATCTGGATATCAGGTCGACTCCAGACACAACAGCACCAACAAAAACTTCAACCACCACAAGCAAGCTACAGTCGAAACACAAAAAGAGGGAGGACAAGACGGAAAGAAGCGATTCGACACAGATACAGGTCGAGTCTCAGGCGGAGTCGGAATCCAAGTCTCAGGTCGAGTCCCCGACCAATCTCACTACCACCCCACAAAGTACTCAGAGGATTCCTCTCAAGTCCAGACATGCTAGAAAGGCAGAGTCACCCACAGAGGAGAAGAGCTCAAACAATGCCAACAAAACCTCCGGGTACATTCCTCCACACAAAAGAAAGTAAAAAAGTAAAAATAGCAAAATATTTATTTCTCTATATATACAAGTACATACTGCAGCATATCGTACTCGGCATGCATATATATTTGACATGCTTAACTCAATCCATCTTGACCGAATCACCACCACAATGCAATGTATACGCCATACGGAACGCCAGTGAAGAACCGAAACCAGGGCAAGGGTCTCCGAAACGACTTTGCGTACGATAAAAATGGGCTCCGGCGGTTCCACGGCGCGTTTGAAGGCGGCTGGTCGGCCGGCTACTACAACACTGTAGGGTCACAAGAAGGATGGACCCCGCGGCAGTGGAGCAGCAGCAAGGACAGCGAGAGGGCGACGAACACGATAGAGGACTATGTTGACGACGAGGATGACCACAGGGAAAAAAGCCAGCGCGAAATCGTCAACGTCGGGCCTGGAATCTTGGCTAGGTGGAGCGACCAGAAGAATGGCTCCGGCTCCGGCTCCATGAGCGCTTTTGAAGTACTTCCCGAGACGCCAAAGGTGTATCAGGGCCCAGCAGGTATTGGGTATGAAGCTCGACTGGTAGATCCATCTGAGTCAGCACTTCAAACCACTCAGATCGGAACCAAGCGACTGACTATGGGCTCCACCAACAAGACCATTTCAATAGTCCCCGGGTCTGGCAAAAAACGGCCCCTACTGCTGGAAGATGAGGAGGAGGACGAACTTTATCCCGTGACCAAGTCTCTTCCTAAGCTGAGGAAAGACAGGGAAGATACGGGCAAGCCAAAGAGTGTGGTGAAACATAAGTTTTTGACCGCTGCACAGAGACAATTGATGGGAAAGAAAAGTTCTGGGACTGGTTCTGACTCGACAAACTCGTTTACCAAGCCAAGAACGGTCCTGTGTTCAGATGGAAAACTACCACTTCCAGGATTCTCCATTGTTCTGGTGTCCAATCCCGTGTACAAACAATACGGGCTCCATTCTACTCCTGTGACCCAGCAAACACTGCAGACCCAAGTTGATTCGTTTCTGGACTCTCTGAATTTTACTTTGGCGTCAGAGAACCCCTACAAGTCGAAATTGGACAGCAAGTTCCAGCTGGCGGGGAGTGCTGTTGAGGGTCCGAAGGAGGCAAGTGCGAGGACGGTGGTCCAAGAGTGGGTGCCATCAAAGCTGCTCTGTAAGCGAATGGGCATAAGGTATGAGAAGCCGAGGGAGGAGGATGTCAGGGAGGTTACGAGAGGTGGATTTGGAAGGGAGAAGATAGAAAAGCTGAGGAGGTTGTTTAGCTAGAACATCGAGTTTAGCGAAGCACTAATCAATTGGATCCTGAAGCTCTGAATACCTACTCGGTGCTCTGAGAAACTGCACACCTACTCGGAGCTCTGATAAACTACACACCAGAGCTATGTCGGAAGTTGACTGAAACAACTATGAAACCAATGACCTTGTACCATTATCACGGGCGTTCACCAATACCAGATTAATTGGTTTTGAGGCCTTACACATGAGGCACTGGGAGAACACACGATCCCGGGACTGTCTCTCTCAGACATTAATCTGCGTCAAGACGAAGTACTAAAGAGCTCTAACATGTCACGGCAACCAACCCCCCGCATCTTAGTCATAAATAAATTACTATACAGGTTTTGTATCGTACACCTCGCCAGCAGATTCCTCAGGGGCGTAGCACAGCTCATTCCTTCCAATGTCTCCATCACTAATAAGCGCTGTTCGGAAACATCACTGCCTTCAAGTTGTTCAAAAACCCCTTGTCGTAGATGTTAACAATCGGTTTATGGTCCGTCAGCAAGGTCAAGGCGAGACCATTCTGGGCAACGTACTCCCGCTCCTCCGCTGTCAGAGATCTGTTCGGTCGTCCCTCCTCGTCTTTCTGCAACAAAATGCTTCGATCAAGCTTGAAACCCGGCTTCTGAAACATCCATACACTGCCCTCGGAAATGGCAGCATGGATATCGCCCCATTTATCCGTTTCATTGGTGGTGGCTCCAAGGTAAATATAGTAGAAATGCATCGCTGTGAAGGCACAGGCTAGAGCACCGGTAGACACCGACAGCAGAAAGATAATCCCCACCCGTTTGTTCTCATTGGTGATCATGACCTGCCACCATTGCGAAAAGATACTTGGCAGCGGTTTGGGATGGTCCTTGTACTCCGCGGCCACCATGACAATCATTTTGAGGCCTGCCAGAAGAGCTCCCCAACACAGGGTCCAGACATTGCCCAGCAGGAAGAAGAGGAACCATCTGTAGTTGTACAGACCCACCGTGTTGTTGATCCAGAGACAATAGTGGTCGAACTTGGCAACGCACTTGTTGGTGAACCGGTCGTGCTTGGATCTTGCAGGCTTGGTGAACTTGCACGTGCTACATTCTGTGTCTTCCAGGAACATGAGGTTGTCAAACCTGAACTGGTTGAGCAGCAGGGCGTGGTTTTGTTTGGTGATTTTGCCGGGGTCCGAGAAGGTGGCAAGTACAAAAGATACAACCAGAATCGTGTAGGCCACAGGCGCCAGCCACGCGTAATACCAGTGATTTTCTGCGATGAACGGATGCAAATCTTCATAGTAGGCAGAGAACATGTAGGTCGTGAAGGCGCAGTAGAGAATGGGCACGGACCATGGAGCTGCGGGAGCAACCACAGAGCCGCAGAAGTCGCCCACTACCGAGAGACGGCCCCCACAGTACTTTGAGTCCCACGATCTGATGGCTGCCGGACGGTTGCTGAGCCATTTTCGGAACTTCCAGACCGCAGTGTCCTCGAATTGAGGCAACGCGCCGAACAAGAACACAAACGTGAACACGGAGATGGCCAGGATCGAGAGTAGGTAGATTTTGAGCCACATTGTGCAATGTTGGGTGTTGCAATGTGCTGGTGGTGAATGTCGAGATGCGTCAGATCTGTTCACTATGCAGAGTCATGTGACCGAACTTGGTTGTTTAAACAAAACAAAAGATGTGCATTTTACTTGGATAAAATATACGGAATATGCGGGATATACAGAGGTTGTTCAAGGCAGAAGAAATGACGATAATTGTATCATATTGTACCAAAAATGCATGCTTGAAATGCTCATGGGTGGCCATATCTCCTTCCGAAGACAGGCGTGTCCTTCAGCTCGCTATGGAGGTGATTTGGACACTTTCGTCTAGAATAACAATAATAATCATGATAATAAAAGTCTCTCCAGCACCTCGTCTTAACTGCTACTTGTAGTAGGTATTATTTTATGTCGTATCGAAGTGACAACACGACCGATTGGCCACCCAAAAGTACGTCACGGGACAACGCCGCTCTAGTTATCTTTGCAGCCATCGAGGGAGAAAGTAAATGCCACCTTGTGGTCAACATTCTAATGGGCTTAAAATGGCCTAATTTTTTTTCCTTTCCCGAGTTGAGCAAGTTCATCTGTAGATCTATGCTGTTGGTGATGTCACACTGTACTGTAGTTAGTAATAACAATAATGTCAGCGGTGCTGGGTGACTCCTTCAACACTCGAGATGACTCGCAGGAAGAAAGAGACTCATTGCAAACAACCCGACCAGTCCCACACGGTCGATTTTCCTCTATTTTACTCTTTTTCCCGGAGAATTTCTTTTCCCATGATTCAACTTCGAGCTATTTCCTTTTTTTCTTTTTTTTTCCTTCTTTCCCCTTTTTTCCCTCTTTTCCCTTTTTTTCCTTTTTTCCTTCCTTTTTTTCTTTCTTTCTTTTCTAATGATCCGTTTTTAATTCTAAAGATCACCATTTTGGGACGTCCCAGCTCGTGCACCTTTAGCCCCGATCAGGACCTTAGACCACTACAATAAGCCCATACGTGTCCTTAGCGGGTCAGGAGTTCGATCCTCGACCGGAGTGGTTTGGTTTCTCACCAATTCGCGTCATTTCGGCGCTCTTGGCATGTCACAGCCGGTTATATATAGCTCAGCCAAGATTCACCCTGACAGCCCGAGGCAGCCATTCCGGAGAGAGATAGGAAAAAAGAGAGATAGAGAGAGAGCAAGTTGAGTACAGTGCGAGTGCAAGTAGCTACCGGCACGGCCTGAAGGAAAAAGGCTACATCAAAACCGTGTCCTTTACGAGATCCACAGCTACAAGTTCTGCCACACTCTGATTTCATCCCATTACTCCGAAAGCTGTATCTCTCTGACATAATTTTTTAATTTTTAATTTTTAATTTTTATTTTTTAAATATTTTATTTCTACAATGTACAGTACTGTAGTTAGTTTTCTCCGTACTGTACTGTACTTGCCCTTGATGTGGTATATCCAATAAAACAGCACTTGATACAGCCTGAGAGCTACAAAAAAGCTGTCAAGACTATCATATCCATCCTGGACCATTCTAGACCTGTCCAGACGTCCCCAGACCACTTCACGTGACCGCTATCCTCCTCTCCACGTGACCTCCCACTCTCAATGTGTCCCGGTATATGTTATCCCCTCTGCGCTATTACATGCACCATCTGCATACTCCCAATCACCACTATCGTGCAGGACTCCACTCGGTGAACACCACACAACTGCAACTACACCTTTTGAGCTACTCGTGCCAGTGGAGCCATGTCGTTTCTCACCTCGCTCAAAAACAAGGCGCTGGAGCTGTTTGAGCCGGAAACCTCGTCCGGCGTCATCCAGACCGCCGCCGATACAGCGCAATTTTCCGACTACAAACGCCGACTCAACAAGGACGAAAAGTTCCGGCTTCAATTTAGTCTGCCGGACTCGCAGAAGCTGCTGGCGGATATCAGCGTCGAGGTTGCGCTTCAGAACGCAGAAAACCCGCCCGTCAACCCGGGCCAGGCGGCCCGCTCGGAATCTCTCATTGAGTTCTCCAACGTCATCTACCAGGGCAAGCTGTACCTGTCGGACTCGTTTTTGTGCTTCACAGCCACCGACGCGCGTCAATGCTCGTTTGCGCTGCCCCTGCTGACGGTCAAACGGGTCGAGCGACTCCCGCTCAAGTCGTACCTCTTTGCGCTGTCCATCAAGACATACAACGGCCTGACGCTCGTCATCCAGTTCATCGGCATCAAGTCCGCCTGCGACCGCTTTTCGCTCGCCCTCAAGGCCCAATTGGGCAAGAACCTTGCCAAGATCAAGTCTCTCAAGCCCTTCCTCGCCACCCTGTACTCGGAGTACTTGTTGAACGTAATTTCTTCCGGCCAAAAGGGCGACGCTCCCCCTCCACCACTGGGAGGTCTCGGACAGGTGTTCCGATACCCCGGAGACGCCAAAAAGCTGCGGGATAAGTCCAAGATGCGCCTGTGGCTCGAGTACTTCCAGACGCATGGACGCAACCTGACTTTGGTGAGACAACAGACCTTCTACAAACTCATCCGAGTGGGTCTGCCCAACCGACTGAGAGGCGAAATTTGGGAACTCACGTCGGGGTCGTTGTACCTGCGTCTCGCCCACCAGAGCATGTACAACGACCTGCTTGAGGAGTACGAAGGAAAAACTTCTCAGGCCACAGAAGAGATTGAAAAGGATCTCAATCGATCTCTGCCGGAGTACTCAGCTTACCAAGACGAGGAGGGTATCGCCAGACTGAGACGCGTCCTCACAGTGTACTCCTGGAAGAACCCCGATGTTGGATACTGTCAGGCCATGAACATTGTCATTGCCGCCTTTCTAATCTACATGTCTGAAGAGCAGGCCTTTTGGTGTCTGAATGTCCTCTGCGACAAAATGCTCCCCGGATACTACTCAAAGAGCATGTACGGCACGTTGCTTGATCAGAAGGTGTTTGAGTCTCTGGTCGAGAAGACTATGCCTCTTCTGTGGGACCATCTTCAGCGATGCGACGTGCAACTGTCGGTCGTCTCTCTGCCGTGGTTCCTTTCAATTTTCATCAATTCCATGCCTCTGGTGTTTGCCTTCAGAATCATTGATGTATTCTTCCTTGAGGGACCCAAGCTTTTGTTCCAGGTGGCTCTGGCTATTCTTCGAATCAACGGAGAGCGGCTTCTTGAAGCTGATGACGATGGACTTATGATTGGAATCATCAAGGAATACTTTTTGACACTTGATCAGTCAGCTCACCCAACTTCAAAAAACGAGAAGCTCAGATCAATCACAAAGTTCCAAGAGTTGATGGTTGTCGCTATGAAGGAGTTCTCTGTCATCACTGAGCCTCTGATCACCGAGCAGCGGGCCAAGTATCAGGACCGGGTGCTGGAAGACATTGAAATCTTTGCCAAACGAACTTCCATCCGAAACCTTCACAAGACCAAGAACTTGTCTCAGGATGATCTGTCAGTCCTCTACGACAGATACCACACTTACCGAGAAATGAATCTGGAAAACTACCAGAACTTCCTCTCGTCGGTGGTCTGTTGGACAGAACCTCAGGAACTTTCTATTGACGGTACACCCGACTTTTTGCGGCGTCTATACACCCGCTGGGACGCCGATATGAAGGGCACTTTGTCTCTTCAGAATGTTGTCACTGGAATTGACGCTCTGAAGCAGTCCGATCTCATGGGTCTGATGACGTACTTCTTTGAGCTGTACGACGACGATGGAGACGGCCAGATCGATAGAGAGGGTATTCTGAGCATGTCCGAGGGTTTGCTGTTCCTGACAAAGGCCTGGAGAGAAGGTACAGTGTACACTGATGGAGCTCCCATTCTTGATCAGATATCGCTTGTGGAACTTGACCGAAGAGAGCAGGAACGCCAGGAACTCCTGCAGCAGGAGGAGATTCGTCTGGCCGAGGAGATGGAAGCTCTCCGTCTCGAGGCTGAGCAGCAGAAGCTGGCTGAAGAGAACACTTCAGAAGCTATTTTTGACACTCCTGACACCGATGAGGACGATGCCAAGAGCACCAAGAGTTCCAAGAGTGCCAAGAGCGTGTCTTCTCGATCGATCAAATCAACTATCGGCTCAATTGGAGCCGCTGGAGGTGCTGTGAGCGGAGCTGCAATTGGAGCTGTTCGAGGAGCTGTCAGACGAAAGTCGTTTAAGGATATTGGCGATCCTATGCAGGAACGGCAAAAGGTGGCTCATGAGCAGAACGTGCGGTATTTGTCTGCCGTTTCTGCCTTCATTCAGCGTGCTTTTGAATATGCCAACGAGGCCAAAAAGGAGGCCGACAAGGAGGCTGCTGGGGACAAGGGTAAGGATTCTGAGGACTCTGTAGAGGCTCACAATGCAGCTCTTGACCCTAGCAAACCCCTGTTCATCGATCTGCCCACTTTCCGAATGGTGGTTCTGGCCGATGAGACGCTCGAGACGCTGTTTGCCGTGTCTCTTCCTCAGAGTGTCATTCTGCGACAGTCTGATGCCGATAGACACAAGCGAGCGTCTCTGCGAGACGTGTTTGACGGTTTGGTGGCGGATGGAATGCGCGTTGCAGGCGAGGTGCGAAAGAGAATCGACATTGATAAGAGTGTCAATGACTCGGAGGATATTGGAGAGGTGGTGAGTGGTAAGGATCGGGATGTGTTGGATGAGGCAATCTAGAGAGATATTGAGGTTGATGGCGTCATGAAATGAGCGGAGCGAGCCGCGAGACTCAGACAGAGACTTCTCAGTGGACACGTGAGCGGTTAGCGGTCCACGACCACTCTCCAAATGTAGAGATGATTAATGTTAATGTTTATGATATGACAAGATGGTATATGTACAACTGTAGAGTGACCCAGATCACGTGTGTTTGTGGACAGTCACGTGATCATCCTCCCCCACAGTGCGTGACAGCCATCTGGTGAAGTTCAGAAGAGACGATTGAGCTTCAGATTGTTGGTGTGTAGAATGGTTGAATGATAACGTACGGAATGGTGTGACCAATAGTTACCCCTTTCGCGAGCCAGCCATTGATTGGTCTCTCTTAATGACTCTTGCCATGTCCCACTGCTGTCTAAACCATGTCAGTTGAGATATTAGTTAGACTTTGTTAAGAAGGAAAGAGAGCTGTGGGACCATATCTACGACTACAGACATCGTGAAGCTATAAAATGTAGCCCATATGGTAGTATATAAGTCCTTTGATAAGTGTTTCCGAGTTGTAAAGTTTTTCACCGTGAATTATTTGTCTATCTGAGATTCAATTTTTATTTCATAACCAGTATTGTTGACATTTAGTTGATTTACTTTCACCAGTTACATAGACCCAACCACACAGTCCAGAACTTGGAATAGTGTACCGAAAGACTTGGGAAGAGATCAATTCTAAGAAACTACAAAAGAAGGATATTATATATCAGTCAATGTGATAGAATCTAGTCTATTGATGTTCTCCTAGCCACGTTGAGTCGTCTCTGGTTGTATCACCATAAGAAGACCTTCAACTCGCACAATACTGTTCCGATAACAACTAAACGGAAATGGACTAACTGAATCAAACTGAAGATAAAAATACACAGAAATAACCGCCACGATCGAACTAGGTCACGTGACTTTCGGGGAAACAACAACTTGATGATGATATGCCTCTACTCAGGTGCATAGATAAGGCCTGATCATGCAGGACAGTTTTCTTCGTCAACTTTTGTATCTTCATGACTACGTCAAAGACTCAATTGTGGCAGGTAAAAGAGCGGTGAATGATGGAACAAGAATTCTGAGACGTGATTGAAGGGCCAATTGAACAGGGTACTCGAACCTAGGGTCTCAGCTCATGTGCTACAAGTTCCTGTTGCGGCTGTGACTATCAAAGGCCGCCTTTCATTTCCCACATGGAGTTTGGTCATTATTTTTTCATGTTTTTGTCATGGTTTTGTCACGAATATACAGTAAATCTTTCCACTCTTGACGTTTTTCCACAGCTCTCGTTCATAGCCGATCTCGTTGTAGTCAATCAGACGGGCCATGTTGCCGGCACCATTCTGCTGACTTATGGGCCTGCTCCTACTGTAGTGTCATGAACAGCTGGTCCTATCAGTCAGCATGGTAGTGGCAAGGAGTCACGTGATAACCGATTCCGCAAGAAGGCAATATGAATCAAACCTCGTCAGATGGTTGGAAGTCGTAGAATTATCTAAGGGCACCTATCTATGGATCATTACGAGGGCTCCCAAGGCTTAACTAATATTACAACTAAATATCGTTAAATCCAAGTAGTTCAACAAAATGTAGACCGTTGCAGAATTTGGTTACTACTTCAATAAGGGATGGAAATGTTCCGAAACTTGATCAGATGATTTTCAAGACTGAAATGGACTCCGATAAGGAATGAATGTATAAAAATCCACTGTAAATACGGTACAGTACGAGTACGACGAGTACATGCTCTCTTTGCTGTGCATGTATGATCCGAGAAACGGGTCCCGAAAACATGGAATACGACTGCGAATCGACAGTTCAAATCTCTTTTTTACAATTCTCTTTATAACACAATTTATCTCTCCTATATTAGCTAAGATCTTAGGGTCAAGGTAGCTCCAGAAGTAGCAATGCAGCGATAGCATCGACACTCGGTGGTTAATCATTCGCCGTTAGTTATCCAGCTAGCTCTTCATACCTGCTATTCGTATCTGTTAGCCATCGTACTACAAGTAGCTGGCACTTCGCACTAGGGTTTAGCACTGCTAACACTGCCCCACCTCTGTCTCATACTGGCTCCACTCCTTCCAGGATCCCAGATAAATCCCCCGGTTTTCATATCCACATTGCTCTCCCTGTTTTTCAGCCATTCGGGCCCGCACTCCGCTCTGGCAGTAGAAGACCACGTGCATGTTCTTACTGGGCTTGGGGAACCCCATGGCCGTTTCAAACTCCTCGGGGGACTTGCACAGGGCGAACGACTGCGTTTTCAAAGGCATGTTGAAAGCGCCCGGAATGAACCCCGCGGCGTACTCGCTGGGTTCCCGCACGTCGATGAGAATGGTATCCGCCGGGGCCGATCCGTCGACCAGCGACTCAGACAGCTTCTTCACGTCAAAGTAGGAGTACTCTTTGGCGGAAGAGGCGACACCCAAGGTTACGCACACAAACGTGCTGAACAGGGTGGATAGTTTCATGGCGATAGTGACGTTAGTAATTGTTGCGGTGTTGGAGACGATTAGCGGAGGACTAGGCGATCCGCGGTGTTTATGTATCGTTATGGTAAGGTACAGTACGACTACAGTATGTACTCGTACAGGTATACATCTGTGCACCAAGCACTCATATGTGGGGAGACTGGGTTGCACACGGACGGGTCAGAGAAGAGTGAAAAGAGGGACTTTTAGTGGAAAATCGACAAGCCAAATCGACAAATCAAATCGACAAATCAAATCGACAGGTCCATTTAACAGATCAGAAGGACAGATTAATTCAACCTGTCAATATGACATGTCAGCAACCGCCAACAATTCATCACCGACCGACCATCTGATATCCACTCCTCAAATTCAGAGCAAAATGCAGGTCCAAAGCCTAAAGTGCAGTTTGGTGGCAAATGTGGCTTGTGCATGTGGCTGTGCAGGCAACGGAGAGACGGAGAGGAGACGGAGGGGAGAGGAGCTGGAACTGGCGGTCTAGACTGGAGAAGAGCCTACCGGAAAACGGTAACAAAGTGACAACGAAGATTTTTAGTCATATCCGAATCCAGAAGAGCTTAGCGGTTTGTGGGAGCGAGGATGTAGCTGTTTACAATACCTATAAGAGCTGTGTCCACTTGGATATACAGATATTATATCTCGATGACAAATCGGAGATTAACTATTTCACTCTAGACCGTGGACTGATGTTCTCTTCATCCCGTTCTAGGCTCTTTATCCTTCCGGGCTCTCTATCCGTTCCAGGATGTCTGGGTACAAGACGAGGGTATGAAAGGCGCGTACAAGTACGAGTACGGATAACCCGAATGCTCCATCCTACTCCTTAGAATGGGGCTACAGGTCTTGCTCACGGATCTGAGATTCGCCCCGCGACTTCTACCAAACGTGCAAGACTTGGAATTGTGCTGAATGGAGAGACCTTGTTCCCGTTCGAGGTGGTAAATCCATTTGCCAATATTGGACTCTATTCCGCTCCTCCAAGAGCATAAACAACTCCCTAAGGCATCTCTCCGACTGAAGAGTGGAGTTGTGGTGTCGGGACAGGCAATCAAGAGTCAGATACAATATCGAGTGCCAGAAGAGCCAGCAGCGAAAGTCCTGATCTTTGAGCAATGGAGACCATGAGTAATCTACAGATGTCATTAGAAAGACAGTGCCTAAAAAATGAAATAGACAAAGCTCAATGGAGATAGCCTGTGAATCTGTAGAGGTCCTGGTACACCCCAGCTAGAAGCATTCCTCAGTTGGAACCTACTCCACTGCTTTCACGTCCTCAGAGCCCCCAGAGCCCCCAGTTCCCAGTTCCCAGTCCAGTCTCCAGTCTCCCGTCTCTACTCTCCTCATTCTCCCTCCACGAAGAATGGGTCTTCATGATCACAATCATACCTGTAGTCGTCGTAATCCTCCAAATACCATGCTCGGTTGTATTGATCGCTTTCTAGAGCTTCCCTCACTAGACTGTCTGAATAGCTATCTAACGGTCTTCCAGGCAGCATCATCAGCACAACTCATGACCAATCTCAACTCCTGAACAGCTGCTCATCCTGTACAATTCATTCCGTAGACTTTTGTAAATACAATTGACAAACCGAGTATGGAATGGGCTCGTCTCTTCATATCCGATGCAAAGGTACCCCAATACTCATAGCTCGACCCTACCAGAAATATCAGCTAATCACTCAGACCGACTATTCAGACTGCGACGACTCAAACCCAAGTCAGTCCAGACAATGTGCACATCCACTACAGTCAACGAAACCGTATCTATGTACTTTTATGCTATTTGCAACCATCTATGGACACCCAGGGCTAGAAAAACAATGTAGCTTCCATAATAGAAGACTGAGGCCTTGTCCAGACACATGTCAGACCATTCACAGCCTCGCTGTCCATAGTTTCAGAGAACCCCGGTCTGGCAGTTGGAACCAGAGTTCATGTCCACTCAACGCGAGACTGAGCGTTTAATGAACGATTCGGGATATTGGTTTCCATCACCGATCTCTCGTCACACGTTAATATGCACCCCATCCTTCATCCACGCCTTGCCCGCATTGCCCCACCATCTCGGCAGACAACTCATGGGTTCATAATCAAAGTTCTTGTACCCATTCAGATCCTCAGGACACGCACATCGTCCCGACTTGTGACTCTGCTCATCTGCAGGACATCTGAAAAACGGAGGATGATAATATCCGATATCTGCAAACTGATGAACCTGAGTTTTGTCCATCATGTAACCCACCGCCAAAGAATGGACGGGCGCGTCTCCCCAGCGTTCATAGAAGAACCCACCGGCTCGGTCCAGCCACTCGAAGAACTCGAGATACTTTTTCGACCGGAAAAAATCCATATTGCCAATCTCAAAATTGGACCAGAAATGACACAGATTCCACTCGCCGTGCCACTCGGGCATGAGATCGCCAAACCGGTTCACCCGTTTGTCCTTGAGAAACCCTACCGACGAATTGGGATGCACGTATTGCGGATGAACGTCAAAGAAGCCCTGGACATGTTCTGCCAGCGTAGCCACAGTCTGAGGATACTCGTACATGGCCATGACAAAGCCATAGAGCTTGTTGTTTTCGCGCATGAAGGTGAAGGGGTCGTACTGCTGGTCACAATAGAGCTCCACGTCTGGCTCCACCCGCCAGTAGTACTTGTACTTGAGCAGAGGAGCCATTCGGAAAAAGTACCCTGAATTGAACCGGCACATACGTCTGTAGGACAAGGAGTCTCCGTAGATGACGCCTTCCTTGGTGAAGTTTTCCACGGACTCAAACACTAGGTCTCGGTCGATTCCTGGAGTCATTTGCCATGCCTCTTTGGGCACCTTGTAGTACTCGGTGTGGCCCGATGCCATGCCGGTGGTGTACTCCTTGAAATCTTCGGTGAACTCTCGGTCGTTCATAAACACCCAGGGGTACTTGTATTTCTTGTTGAACCGGTCCTCGATCGATCGCATGGCCAGCACAGCTTCTTTGAGCTCTCGGTTTCGCACCAGCATGACCAGAGTGGCGTTTTCTCGCCCAATTTGCCGCCGGTCTTTGGTGTCGGCCCCGGACCACGGCTGATGGGTGAAGTCGTAAATCCATTTGCGGTTTTCATACGGATATGGGTTTGTGGCTGCGGGTTTGAGAGACGCGAGAGATTCCACTATCGAGAGGACGCCCACCGTTTGGCTAAGTAGCAAGATGAGGATGCCCGCTAGGAGTAGGATGGGGAAAAGCAGCGAGCGCGGCGACGGTACCGATTTCTTGGAGGTCCGTTTCGGTGATGCCGGGTTCTTTTCCACCATGATGATGATGATGTTCGTGTTGGTGCCACTATCGGTCAACACACACTTTTGTCTGATCTCTCGCTAATACTCTCATCATGCAGCCCCAAACCTTAATTGACTGTCGCTGTCAGTTCGGTTTTTTTTTCATGCACTCGGGACAGTTGGCGCGTCTCACATCACTCGTGCAGATTGGGAGTTCAACAAAATATCTTAAAAGTATGAAAGTAGCAAGAAATTGAGGGCGGTTATGGAGAATAAAAACGGATGTATCTCTAAAATAACCTGCTGTAGACATTGTAGACGTTCTAGACCCCCACCCCCTGATTCGTGCAGGACATTAGCGCAGTGCCACCGTTTCGCCCGTTGGATTTGGCCAGTATGCACTATACATGCACCCTCTAACTGGTGCATGCACAAACCAACACATGCAAGGTCAGATTAATCTTGCCGCAACCTTGCTACAGTAACTACACATCCATCTGTGCTTCATCTCTCCCTATTCGCCATGATGATACTTCGACTAGCTCGAGTTCAGCCTGGAGTGTCTCTGCTGAGGGGACCGACGACCCGAATCTTCTCCCCAGGTCGACTGCCTGTGCGGCAACTGGTTGCTCGGACACAAACACCCCTCACACTAACATCATCATGCCTGATTTCGCGACAGCTGTCGACGACCCGTCTCCTCGCCTTTTCCGCTCGGAAACCCGTCGCCGAGAAGAAGTTTGACGACTACAAAAAGGTGTCGCTCAACGACGTGAAAAACAACCCGATTTACAAGTTTGTATATCTGTCAAAGCCGTGGTACCAATCTACCGGGTTCAGGATTCTTGCCGTGACCATGGGACTCGCCACCCTGCTGTATCTCTTTTCTGATGGCGCTCACAAGGTGCTGCGACACACGGGACACGCCATTGAAAGAATCTGGGTCGTTATGAAAGCCACATCAAGATGCGTCTGGCTGTACAGAAAGACTCTCAAGAAGGAGTATCCCAGCGAGGAGGAGTACAAGACCGCTTTATCCAAATGCCACAAGAAGGCGGCAGAAATCACTCTGCAGGCCATCCGAAAGAATTCGGGTGTCTACATCAAGCTGGGTCAACACATTGCTGCCCTGACGTACATTTTCCCTCCCGAATGGACAGAGACTATGATCCCTCTTCAGGACCAATGTCCCGAGTCGTCCATGGAGTCTATTCGAGCTATGATTAGAAAAGACACGGGCAAAAACCTCGACGATCTGTTCCTGGAGTTCAATGAAGTCCCCATGGGGGTGGCGTCATTGGCCCAAGTACACAAAGCAGTCACCATTGACGGAAGAGAGGTGGCTGTCAAGGTCCAACACCCCTCCCTGGCTGAATTTGTGCCCCTGGATGTCTACATGACTCGTACCATCTTCACCATTGTTGACCACTTTTTCCCAGACTACCCCCTGTCCTGGCTGTCTGATGAGATGCAAAGATCCATTTTCACTGAGCTGGACTTTACAGAAGAGGCCAACAACGCAGTCAAGACACGAGAATACTTCAAGGACACTTACAAGACCACCGCCCTTCGAATTCCCGAGGTTTACTGGTCCAAGCGACGCATTTTGGTGATGGAGTTTGTGGGGGGTTCGCGACTGGACAACAGACCCTACCTGGAAGACAACAACATCAGTCCCGACGAGGTGTCCGCCTGTCTGTCTCATATCTTCGATACCATGATTTTCCGACCCGGAGCTGGTCTTCATTGTGATCCTCACGGCGGTAACCTTGCCATTCGAACACGAGACAACTCCCGAGGTGGCCATAACTTTGAAATTGTTCTCTACGACCATGGACTTTACAGATTTGTGCCCACCAACATCCAGCGTGACTATGCGCACTTTTGGCTTGCTCTGATTGATAGCAACGAAGCCGAAATGCGAAAGTACGCCAAGCGGTTTGCCAACATTGATGAGGACAAGTTTCCCTTGTTTGCCGCTGCCATCACCGGTCGAGATTTTAAGCATGCCACTTCTGATCTAAAATCTAAGCGATCACGGGCCGAGATTGAGAATATGGTCTCGACTATTGCTAGTGACGGTCTTTTGTCTGATATCATGACTTTGCTCCACTCAGTTCCGAGAGTGGTGCTTCTCATTTTCAAGACGAACGATTTGACCCGTCATCTCGACGAGACTCTCAATTCCTCTCTTGGAATCGAGAGAACTTTTCTCATCATGGCAACTTACTGTGCCAAGACAGTGCTTGAAGAGAGACGGGAGAATCTCATCAAGAAGTACTCCAGGCTGGATATTCGGCGATGGATTGGAGAAGGGTTTGCCTGGGCCAGCTATCTGAGACGGCTGTTGCAGCTCAAGGCGTATGACTTTGGTCTCATGGTTAGCAACCTCTTTTAACCGCTGACGACAACAACAAGTAGAATGTAGATAGTGATATAACCAATTAATGAGGAGGTCGAGTGGACTCAAAGACCACTGCTCCGTTACTTATGATAAAGATAAAACAAAGGGTGTGTAAACGGAGACGGAGACGGAGAACGGAGAACGGAGAACGGAGAACGGAGAACGGAGAACGGAGAACGGAGAACGAAGAAGACCTCATAGCAGGAGTCTTATATGAAGGTTCTAACCCGTATAGCCCCTTATGACATTAGAGATCAGTACGGCAGACAAAATATGGAAGGGTAATGGGTAGGTGATAAGATACAAAGATTGTTCTAGCAGTTCAGAATTACAATCAGGGGGTTCATTTGGCTTTTTCGTGGTACTATACATACTGACAAAGAAGTTAATTATCAGTGTTTTGTCTATGAATGATGGATATTGCCATATCACTTGATTCTTTCAAGTAGATTGAGGTGTTTATTCCACTTGTCATTGTGAAATTGAAAGTATTGCGATGATGTGTAGTTGTAGTACATGTAGTACATGTATACTTAAAAATCATACTTAGTCAAGTAATACCTATCTAATATGTCAACAAAGTGTATTCACTAGACAATCACCTAAACGCTTACCAGATTCTATATTGATACGGAAAAGGGTGGAAATTTGCACATACTTGTTGTTAAAAGACCATTATTGGCAATTGTATTCCTCACGATTCTTCTTCCATCTTCCATATACCGTAACAAGAGTTTTTTTTTTTTTTTTTTCTGCATATACATTCATTTAATTATAACTTTGCCGTGAAAGAATAACCTTAAAAAGATCTCACGCGAGCTTCCTAACTAGTTAGTCTTTAACAATCTATAACAAACTCAGCATATCAATGGATACCTACTCTACCGCAACCACAACAAATGGCCAATCAACCGCCAAAGAAAATTGCTCCTGATTTCTGACGCAAATCCGAGTCAATCACGTGACCAACATGTTCCCTCCACGCGTCTCTATGACTAATTGTTTAGCCGCTCTGATAAGGATTAGCTTCCTTTGCATCTCCTAAGTCCGCCATGCATTCTGTGGGGGTCGACAAGGCGGAGCACTTCACACAGTGACTCAACTCCGTCACCATATCACCAAAAAACATGTCTGTGGGTTTTCCCGTCGATGGATGGTCCCCGAGACCCGCCTTTGCTCTCGATCAAACCCTCCAAGGCACCCATTGCAAACTGGTACCTCTGTCTCTCGACTACTCAGAGGACCTGTTTCAGGCCTACCAAACGGCCCCCGACCAGGACTGGTGGTATCTCCCCATTGACAAGCCCAAATCGACCGATGAGCTCAAGGCATACTTGCAGACACATCTGGACTCAGATCGAACGCCGTACGTGGTAATCGATAATGCGACCGGCAAGCCCGTGGGGTCCTGTTGCACCTTCAGAGTGGACCAGAATAACGGCACCATGGAGATCGGTTTCATTGCCTGGAGCCCCAAGATGCAGAGGACGCCTCTGTCGACCGAGGCGGTGTTTCTGCAGGCCCAGAACGCCTTCAACAAGGGCTACCGACGGGTAGAATGGAAGTGCGACTCCTGCAACGAGCCCTCCAAGAAGGCAGCCAACAGGCTGGGATTTACCTACGAGGGAACCTTCAGACAAGCCCAAGTGTACAAGGGAAGAAACAGAGACACTTCCTGGTTCTCGATAATTGATAGCGAATGGCCCGAGCTAGAGAAGGGCTTTGAAAAGTGGCTGAACAACGACAACTTTGACGAGAATGGCAAGCAGAAAACACCGCTTCATGAGGGCAACAGAAGTTGAACCAGGGTGGTCAAGATGCTAAGTTAATCAAAAGTTGCTGTACTCAAAACGATTCCAGATGATCGGATATCGAGTCAGACCGCTGTAATCAATACACTGCTATACCAGAATACCAACCAGCTACAAACGCTCAACCCACAAACGATTGCCAAAGATACTGTAACTGAGTGTGAAGAAGATCTAACTGTAATATCCAACTACCTGTAGTAACCAGTGATTGTCAAATTCTGCACATGTCCGTTCCCGAGTCAATTGAGCAAACGCCGCTCCTCTGCACTGACCCATTGACTCGGTCTACAATATCAATTAGTCAATTGGGCCTCAATTGCATCTCGTGGGCCATTCTTTACATTACCATCGTCTCATGGGTATTCTCCACACTACCATTGTCTCATGGGCATATCCACACTACAACCACACATTGCGTGGCTCTCAGGTTCTCGTTGTGATATGCACTCGGCAAACACTCGTCAGCTCGCGCAAACACTGTCTTATAAAACTCTCAATTAATACATACCGCTTTTACGCTTAAAGCTGGTTGGGGACGGCCTGTCGAGAGGCGTTCAGAGCCTGCTTGACCTCGTCAACAGGGTGGTTGGCGGAGGGAGCAGGGGCCTTGGAAGGCACGGAAGGGAAAGAGGGCTCGGGCACAGCAACGGGCACAGCCACGGGGACGGGGACAGCAGCGACCTTGACGGGCTCGGAAGGCTTGAACTCGGCAGCGGCGGCGTTGGAGGCGTGGGCAGCAACGTTGGCGGGGGTAGAGGCCTTGGCGTTGGTGGGGACGCCGCCAGCAGCAGCAGACACGGGCTTGGAGGTGTGCTGGACGGAAGGATCAATGGTGGAAGAAGCATGGGGGTTGACCTTGTTGGCATCGGCCTCAAGAGGGAAGCCACCTCGGGTGAGGCCGAGCTGGTCGGTAACCTTGGACACCTGCTGCTTGACGGTCTTGATGTGGGGACCAGCGGCAGCCTCAATCTGCTTCTGGACCTTGGAGAGCTCCTCGTGGACCTTCTCGGAGGCAACGTCAATGGTTTGGTCGATGGGCTCCTGGAACTGGAGGTAGACAGGGGGGATGGCGAAGGCGAGGATAGTGGCGGTGAGGGCGAGAGACCACACAGACACAAACTTGGTCACATGGTAGAGAACCCAAGTGAAGAGAGCAGCGTGGAAGGAGGAGTGCAGGTTGTCGGCGTCGAGGTAGCCCTTGACGTGGTCGAAGGCGGCAACGACGTTCTTGCCTAGAGCCTGGGCAAATCGGGTCACCGTGGCCTCGGACAGAGGAATGTAGGAGGAGGGCTTGTAGTAAGAGACAAGACCGTGCTTCTGGCCGGTGGCCTTGCCAGTGATAAACTCGGTGGCGACACCCAGGCCAATGGCCCAGTAGGAGAATCGCAGGGCCAGTCGGAAGAGGTTGCCGTACTTGGCGAGGTACAGCAGACCCAGAATGGTGACCAGCGACCGGGCGGAGGCGACGGGGTCGATCCAGGTCAGCACTCGGGGGAAATTGAGCTTGGATTTGGACACCACGGGGTGAGTGGGGTGGGTGGCGGTCTCGGTGGTGCCGGGGGCGTGAGCCACGGGGACGGTGTGAGCCGCGGGGGCAGTGTGAGCCACGGGCACAGTATGGTGGGAGGGAGTAGCAACGGGAGCAGACATTTTGGGGAGAGGGTGTGTGTGTGTAGTGGTCTGGAACTGGTGTCTGTGTCACTTGTGTGTGTGGTGCGAGATTTCTTGGGTCTGGCTCTCGTGCGATAGTCAATTAATCAACAGTTGATGTTGTGCGCAAACTCGGGAAGCAGAGAATTGGGGCTGGAGGATCCGGCTTTTGTGTCTGGGGGAAAACCTGAGAGGTGTGCGGTGTGGTGGTGCAGATGGGCTATCTCAAAAGTCAAGGCAGAAAAGATGTCAATATGTGAGCCGGCGTTGTAGGCTGAGTTTATTGCGTTGACGGCAAAGTTTATTTGAGCAATGTATAGGGGATATCATGTGGTGTCGGGAGTAGGGGGTGTAGTCAGCATGTGGCGGCGGGGGAAAAGTGCGGGTGGTCACGTGACTGGAACCGGCCAGGGGGGGCAGTCCGTTTAGATCACGTGACTCTACTACTAGTGTGTGTGTGTGTGGGGTGGGGGGTTTTGTTTTTCTATCCTTTTCTGTTGCTGTTCGGTTCATGTTGTTGTTCGGCTCATTCTGCATCATCTTATGAGTATGTATGTACAGTGTCTGTTTTGACTGGCGCAATGTGTAGAGTTTAGCAACCTTGAGTCAGGACAATAGAGGGAGGAAATGATACCAGAGAGCCACAGTTTTCAGGTGGGAAAAGAAACGGGTAAAAAAATGGCAAACGATGGGATAAACAGTGGAGTATTGATTTCCACAGATATAGCAAGCTCTTAACCTGTTGGTGCCTCTTCATTGACTCCATATCGCATTTCTCGCGTGTCAAGTTGTCGGTACGACTTGTACTGATTGGGATTTCTTTTACGGCGGCGGTGATCACCACAGCAACGGATAAGAGAGCATCTTTCTGCTTGTTCTTTTGTAAAGAGGCGAGAGAGGTGTCCGAAAGGAGCGGAAAAACTACAGCAAGGTTGCTACAGAGTTCTTGTCGCGTGACCGGCGAAATCGGAGAGACTGGGTGTATATAGAGGACCAAAAAAGACAACCAAAAAGAACCTGTTCTGATCCATTGTGCATGGTACCGTATGTACACTCTAGTTTGGTGTGGAAGTGAGTGGAGTGCATTTTATTAGTAATATTCGTAGAGCAAGTGGGGGATATTATTAAATCAATTGAGTCGAGATGTTCAACGGATTCTTTTGGTACAATAATATCGATTGATTTTCTCAGAAATATCGTCTTTGATCGACCTCCATAAACCCACACCATGATGCGCTAATATCTCATGCAGCGCCAATGGTAAAATTACAGCTGGATTTCAATACGAGCCCGCGAGTTAATCCACAGACATTTACGGAACTGTTATCTCCGAAATGATGAATACGTGATTCTAATTTCCACGGATTCAATCTCACAACTACAGCGGCAATATTGGCTCAGCCAGGTGTGTTCAGTGGATAATAGCACTTGTGGCATGCTCCTATCACATGCCCCACCGTGCAGGCACCACTCTTGTTTTTTCTAATTTTTTTTTCACTCACTTGCCGCCGCATCAACACAAACCCCGCCATGGTCTTTTTCTTTGTCAGCTGAAAATTGTGAAATATTCAAAATAGCCAAAAAAATAGAAAAAATAGAACAAGATAAAAAATAGAAAAAAGCATAGAAAAAAGAAGAAAAAATAGAAAAAAAAGAAGAAATATAGAAACATATATACAAAAAAAATAAAAAAAATTAAAAAAGGGGCATGAGGAGTGCGGATACGAAAAAGTGCCAAATGGCCAGAATATAGATGCAACAGTGGGGCGGACAGCGCTGTAGAACTTCCAAACGTCATCCCGTTCTAATGAGGTCTAATCAAGTGCGGCATCGCGTGACCAATTAAAAGGAGCCTTGTTCTACAACTAGCGCCATGCCATAATTACGATATACCTTGGATTGGGCTGGGTTGTGACTGCTGCTGCAAAAAAGTAGATAGAGGTTTAATTGGGCTAACTAAATCATTGTGGGTTACTTAAGAGTCTCGCAATGTTCCACGTTTGTTAAATCACCCCATCATTAAAAAAAATCCTCTTTTTCTAATTGCACAGACTGGGACTCGAACTCGCGAAATTAGCTTTGAAACTTGTTCCACCATCATTCGAACGTACATGCACGTTGCTCTGCATATATCATGCGGCCCTTTGCGTCTAGTGATTGGGTTCATCATGGGAAGATACTTGTATCCGTACCAACAGTACAACATGTTCAGAACAGCGCGAAAACTGAAGCCGCTGGGATATCAGACTCGATCATGTGAGTGAACACCATCCAATCAGTTCCACGCTCGGTCGCCTAGCTTTCTCTCTAAATACTAACCCAGTCATTGACGTCCGAGTGGCTCAATTCACCAAGATCAAACAGCACCCCAATGCCGACTCTCTGTACCTTGGAACCGTTCAGGTAGGCGCTGATCCGGCAGACACAAAGCAAATCTGCTCGGGACTGGTACGATTCTACAAGCCGGAAGATCTCGAGGGCCGAAAAATCGTCATTGTCAACAACCTCAAGCCTGCCAAGCTGAGAGGAGAACCCTCTGAGGTGATGACTTTATGTTCTGAGATTGTGGACGGAGATAATGTCGAGATTGATCTGCTAACTCCTCCGGAGGGCTCTAACCCAGGTGACCATCTTGTGTTTGAAGGTCACGAAGAAGAGATTGCCAAGTCTGTCAACCCCAAAAAGTTTGCGAAACTTGCCGGACGACTCAAGACGAACCAAGACGGCTTTGTGACCCTGGATGGAAAGTTGCTCAAGGATAAGCATGGAAATGGCGTCAAGAGTAAGCTGCTGGATGCCCTTGTGAGATAGATGAGGGGACGGACTTGTAGATGGTAGTGGGAATATGAATGGAATGAGTGGAACATATTACGTGACGCTGCAAATAGCACGACCGTTGCAGGAGAAGAATCAGAACCATGGTCGTATTGAGAAGAATTTGCTTTATTACTTCATCTAGATAGTTCATCTCTGTGGTACCGTCTCATTTTCTAGAACCGGTGACTCGACAATCTAGAGATGTCTGAAAGGGTGACTTGCCATAATTTGCAAATATTGAAAACAGTCACGTGAAAAATAACGGGATGATGATTAGGTGTGTTGCATGACTGTTTCCAATATATGATCATTCTGTCTTGAGTGACTAACATGGGTCTAGACCTGAAACTACAACGCCTGGGACAGAGCTCTCAACAACAACAAATACGAAAGTCTTTTTGGGTCACGTGATCAATCTGAGTCTTGGTAACTACAAGGTATCATTACATTACTGGTATATAATGTCATCCACATGCCCTTCCACACCCTCGTTCATCACCATTGCAAATAGATGGATCTGGGGCCTGGGCCATCTCTTGAGCCATTCCGTTCCGGAAACCCCAGTCATCCTAAAGTAGGTCTGTTTACACGCTAGTTGAAGTCCGGGCACGCTAGACCATTCTTCGGAGCTAACAGAAATGGGGAGAGGGAGACATTGGGGAAAGCAGTGTTGTATACAGACGTAAAGAGCAACAAGATGTTGACAATTGAGGTAAAATTTGATAAGAAATCAACTCCTGGCATCTCTTACTGTACTCATACGCCTTCAGTACCACGATACAGGCTATCTTCCATGCACACTGTGGTCTAATGTAGTTCTAAACACCCTGCAAATATAGCAAGGCCGTGGCCCCACTAAACAAGTAGCTATGGATAAACAGTCTGGTCCAGCTCTCCTCCTTATCATCTCCGAACTCCACCTTTCGACGACACTCGGTTAATCATGAGAATCTCTCTACTTTGTGTTGCAACTCTTTGCAGCTCTGTCTTGGCCCTCTACACACCCCAACGTGGAACATGTCCTTCTTCACCTCTACTTCGACAAGCCAAGGGACTTCAAAGCGATGAAGCAGAGTACATGTCCAGCCGTCGGAACAAGACCAAACCTGCCTTGAGTACCTTTCTGAAAAAGCAAAACATTGACAATTTCGATGTCGATTCCTTCCTCGAACGGGCGTCCCCCAAGTTGGCTGTGGCTGCCGCTGGAGGAGGCCTGAGAGCCACTTATATGGGCATGGGTACATTCCAGGCACTCGACAACCGAACAGAGAACTCCACTCTTGCCGGTTACCTCCAGGCCGTCGACTACATGTCGGGATTGTCTGGGGGTTCGTGGCTAGTAGGCTACCTAGCTATCAACGATTATCCAGATTTCCAGACTCTTTTCCACGCGTTTGACGGCATTTTCAATCTTCCAGGATCCATGGGAACTCTGGGAATGCTAGCTAAAGTGTTCATTGACTCCCTTCAGAAACTCAAGGCTGGTTATCAGACGTCGGTCACTGACCAGTGGGGAAGACTTATCTACCTGTTGTTGGGCAACGCTGGGCTGCTAAAAGCAGATTTTAATTGGTCGGACATCCGAAATCTGACCTCCTTCACATCTCATGAAATGCCCTTCCCCATCATTCTTGGTACCACTGTTTTTCCCGGCTCTTCTTTCGACGTGGAGTACATAACCTATAACAACTCGATCATGGAAATGACTCCATATGAGTTCGGAACATGGGACAAAAACATCCGGGAGTTCATCGACATGCAGTATCTGGGCACTGAAATGGAAAACGGCACCCCCGTGGGTGAATGTACCACCAATTACGACAACGCCGGCCTTCTGATGGGCATTTCTTCCAACGTGTTCAATGCGGGTCTAGACGGACTTGGAATCGACGGAATTTTTGGAATCTTGGTCGAAGATCTTATGAAACTGCTGGAAATCATCAACGACGCCTCTTACCGCCTCGGTGTCATTTCTCCTAACCCGTTCTACAAGCAGGATGACATTCCTTCGAACCAGACCATCTCCAGAGGTCTACTAGTGTGTGACGGAGGCTTTGATCTCGAAACTATCCCCATCCTGCCCTTTTTGCAACCCGAACGAGAAGTTGATGTTGTCATCTCCATGGATCCTTCTCTAGACAGCCCCGAGGGATGGCCCACTGGAGAATGTATCAGACATACCGCAGCCAAAAGTCAATGGGAGTTTGGAGAGGGAGTGTTCCCCCAGATTCCCGACAATGTCACCTTCATCAACGACAACCTCACCACCAAGCCTGTCTTCTTTGGTTGCAACATCACCAACCTGAAGAAGTACGATAACACCGACAGATACTCTCCGGTCATCGTCTACGTACCCATGCACAACATTTCCTACGTGTCCAACTTCTCCACTGGAAAGCTCTTGTATACCAAGGAGGAAAGCTTCGGAACCGTCAACAATGCGTACAACATGATGACAAGGACAAACTTGACCGAAGATGAAGAATGGGGCAAATGCCTAGGTTGCGTTTCCATTCTCCGAGAGCTGCAGAGATTGAATGAGACCGTGCCGGATTGTGAGAGGTGTTTCAGCAATTACTGCTACAACTGAACGCGAAACGAAGTTGTAACCTGTTTTTTTTTTCTTCAGCCACAATCCTAACTCCATTTCTTAACTTGTCTTATATTTCACTTAATCAATACCAGTACCTAAGCAACCCTAGCAACTCTTTTTAGAACCATCTCGTCGTATCCAGTTGTCGGGTATCACTTACCAATAGTTGCTTCTTCTGATCGTCTCCATTCTGTATAACATATCGTACATTGTGTATATATACATGTGCCAGATGGAAATTGTTGATGCTGAATGAATGAAGATGCGTATCAAGATTTGTAATCGGTCCATCACCCCCATTTTTTGCGCTCCATTTGGTTACTCGAAATCCACCTCCAGTAAATCAAACAAATGTCCCAGAACCTCCTTCGGGTTCGCTCGCAATCCACCATGGAAATACTCGTTAGTAATCCACTGCTTTATGTTCCCCGTCTCATTAGCCGTCTCCTGAACCAAGTTGAACTCCACATACATGTCTGAAAAGTACGTGGCAGCGACAATCGGGACCTTGTTAGCCTTCAACTGCTTGTAGTCGTACAGGTCCGGCCAGTCCTTCTTCTCAGCAAGCAAGTCAGCCACAGGTTTCAGCTGTCGCAGCTCAGTGTAGTCCTCAAACATGCTCTTGTAGATCATCTCTCCAGTGAGATAGGTGGGAACTTTGTCGTTCTCAGAAATGAAGACGGGAAAGTCGGCTCTCAGCCGATCAGCCGACCAGTTGGAGGCTTCCTTCTGGCAGTAAATGGATTCATGCAGAATAGCATAAATCGGGTTGGTGTCGAATGAATGCATGACTTGGATCTTGTCGAGAATGAAAAATGAGGGTCTTCCATTTACCTCAAGATCGTCAAACAGCCGCAGAACAATGAGGTGAATTGTGTCGGCTCCATTGTGGCTACCTAGAGACAATCCAAGCTGCTGGAACCGTTCAGGAGACAGGTTTCCACCGTTGGGAAGCGTGGTTTTGTTGTTTCGAAGATAATCCAGAATGTGGGACACTCGCTTCTGGTCCTCAGGGTACTTTGCGTAATAGTACTTGTTCCGCTGGGCAACAACAGGATACAGAGCCTTGTACACCTTGTCGGGGTTATTAGCGGTAGGAGGAATACCACCAGTCACAATGGCCTGTTTGACAAAGTCGGGGAAAAAGGAAAGGTAGGTGAAGCAGCAGAAACCACCAAAAGACTGGCCCATAATAGTCCATTTGCCCTTTTCTCCGACGAGCACCTTTCTGATCATCTCGGCGTCTCTGACAATACTGTCGGCTCGGAAATGGGTCAGGTAATCAGCTGCTTTTTGTGTCTCCATTTTGCCCAACTCCCCAGGGTCAATCGCCGTGCTCATACCCGTTCCTCGCTGGTCCAGAGCCAGCACCTGGAAGCCTCTCTGGATCAGTTCATCGATGAATCCAGACTTGGACAGAGGCGGAGTGCACTGAAATCCAGGTCCGCCCTGGAAGAAAATAACGTAGGGGCGCTTCTCGAGCTCGCTAGATTCGGTTTTCGAAGGGTTGATTCTCTGGGCACAAACACGGATCTTGTCGTTCTTGGGCTTGGAATGGTCCAGAGGGACCTCGAATGCCAGGGTTTCGACAACGAGTCCACGCACGTGATACTTGTCGATTTTCTGGAACATTTTCGAAACGTTCAACACGCGTGGTGCTTGTGTTGTTTTCTTCAATCTCATTGCGATGCGGTTATTAGTATTTATTTTATAGTGTTGTGTTGGGAAGCTCTCTGGGGTAGTATGTATTGTTGGGTTAGGGCAGGCCCATAGAACGGGAGGTTCAAGCCACATTTATATGGATTTTATTACACCATTCGATCCACCTCAGCGAGATGATTTCAATGGTATAATCAGCTTGTCGTCAACCTGTCTTTAACACAACTTGATTTGACCCTTTACACCGCACGGCACTCCTAACAAATGCAAGACTCTGCACTCTGCTAAGAGTTGTACATTAATGTGATTAGACGGCTCATCGGAAGACTCCAATCCCAAATGAAGACCCGCACGATCATGGAGTCCATTCCTGGGGTTCTTTGTTCCCCAAAAAACGTTTTCGAGCTCACCGTCGCACGGTCACGTGACCCAATACACGAGAAGTTCGATACAACGGTTCGCTAATTATCACACTTAAAATTTGGAAACTATTTGTCGACACGACTTCTTCAGTTTTTGGACTAACGCCTCCCAAAAATCACCATTGTGTCAGATGGATCATGTGATCATTTTGGTGATATGTGCCTCTTCATTTTGGTATTATTTATCTCTTTATATTGTAATTAATGATCTACTTGAGATCTTTGGCTTGACTTTTCTGCGGGGTAGAACATTAAGTGGGGCACATGTGGTTGTGTTATTCTCGGTTAATTAATTAATTAATATGGCAAGGAGTTATAGAATAACGATCAGGGTTGCGTTACGATAGCGTGAGTTAAAATTACGACAGGAGCAGGGGCCAAAAATTGCACAAGGGAGATGGGGTTGTCGCCAATGTTGGGGTTGAGGTGTCGTGTATAAATATTGGTTCGAGACGATTTTTTTGTTCTTTTTTTGTTTATATTTATATTTATATTTATATTTTTGTTTTTATTTCTGATTCTGTTTTTATTCTTATTTTTGTTTTATTTCTGTTTCTGTTTTATTTTTGTTTTGTTTTGTTTTTTAGTTGATTTATATGCTCCCTTTTTCCCCTAAGATACAAGTCAATCTTGTTAACTTGTAATCTCATCCGACAGGGCCGGCATTGTTATTAAAGCCGTGTTAGAATACAACACGAGTGTATTGAATCCGTTATTCGGAGACAGAGATTTGCAGGCCCGGGGTTGACACGGGAAAATGCCGGTCACGTGACTAAAATGAATGTCTGTCACATGACCGTTTGCCACCTGACCCCCTGCCACCTGACCTCGGCATCCACCTGATACGGCGGTTGGCCAACTCAACAAATCCATTTGCACGAGAGACGCTTGTCTAATTGAGTTTGGCCGAGTTTATCGCCTACAAGTAGCTACTGCGGGTAGCTTAACGACAGTCTGACACTAGCCGTCACACTCACTCCACTCCACTACACACCGTCAACGACACACGGTCGTCTCGTCTTTCTCCACAACCAACCATGCAAACCGACCCATTGGCATTTCTGACCCCGCAACCGCTCGTGGACATTCTGCAGCCGTACTGCGAGAAAATCGGGTTCAAGTACCTGGCTCCCCATGTGCATGAAATCTTTCTGGCCTTCTCCTTCTACCAGATGTTGTTTCTGCTGTCTGGCCAGCTGAGTCCAATCATCTGGGGCAAGCAGCTCCGTAGTCTCAGCGCCAAAAACCGCATCGATTTTGACATCCACATTGTGTCGCAGTTCCAGGCGTTCATTGTGGTGCCCCTGGCGTTTCTGTGTTTCAACGATCCCATTCTGAGCGCCAACATCATCACCGCATACACTCCGTGGACCGGCTTTCTGGGCTCGCTGGCCACGGGCTACTTCGTCTGGGACCTTATCATTTGTGCCCGGTACGTGAACCTCTTTGGCGTGGGATTCCTGCTTCACGCAATCTGCGCTCTGTTTGTGTTTGTGCAGGGCTTCCGGCCCTACGTCATGGGTATGATGGGCCATTTCCTCATGTTTGAAATGAGCACTCCATTTGTGAATATGAACTGGTTCGTGTCACGTCTTCCCAAGGGCACGTTCCCTCCTTGGTTTGAGGCTGCCAACGGAATCGCCCTCATGACCGTCTTCTTCGGCTGCCGAATCATTTGGGGAAACTACTGGTCCTATGTGACCATCACCAACATGTGGAAGCCAGAGATCCGGGCCCAGTACCCCATCTGGCTGCCAGTTCTTAACACCACTTCTAACTTGACCCTGGTGTCGCTCAACTTCTTCTGGTTCTCCAAGATGATTCGAATCTTGTTGAAGAAGATTAACGGAAGCAAGAAGGATGCCAAGGTCGACGCACATAAGCTGGATTAGGGAGCTTCGTTTAGACATATAAAACAGTCCAATGCAATGGTCAGGCGTTTCCCGCGCTTGAAGCCGACAGCACTAACCGTATCACAGCCAGCCAGCATGCTACGGTTACGTCATTTGCTCATCTAGAAACGGTGTAACTGCTTGACTTTCGCCAGGTTCATACGCTTGGTAGTAGCTGTGGTTTAAAGCCTCGAACCATAAGAGTTCAAATGAGGGAAATTAGAGGTCTATAGCAAGCAACATTAGAGAGGTACTATCGTGACGAGAGGTGAGTGTGATTGGTCATAGCTTCCATTCTGTGATCACAAGGCTAGCTCCAGGAAGATGGTGTTCCTAACAGCGGCATGACTGCATAGGCCGGCTACATGCCAACTAGAGTGCTAGCTAATGCCAACTAGAATTCTAACTAACGCAAACCAATCCAGGCACACAAAAGTAGAACATTTATCGCGAGTTTTTGTATTGTCATTGCTAAATATGAGTGTGATAATGTCATCTGCCAGGCTAGGGCTTCAATGGGATATATTTTTTAAGGACTCAAGTTGATCGGGAACAATGAAGCCTGACCCCAGCCAGATTCTTCCTCTAAGTATTCTTTAACTAAATGAATCAAGGTGAGTATGTACTGTAGGGAAGTGTTATGGATGGTGGCCGATAAGACTTGCGGTGTGTTCTATCGAGTCGAAGCCATGGAATGACCCACAGTGCACAGTTCTGATACCATGATATCAGATGTCTTCCAATACTGTTTTGTGTCGGTCACTAGTCTCCCACTAGATGCGATGGTTCTCCTCAATTGTACACGTATCTTCGGTCATGTTCAAATAAACACCATTTTATTGTCTACCCTTGTCTATAGAGGATCTCACTGAACCGTGTACGTCTTCTTGGTTAAATTAATAGTCCCATTGATAGCCCAGTTTCCAATCACGTCAGACCGAGTACGGTGAAGTTGTCAGTACATTCAGTACACTACCTACGGTGCTGCAGTGAAATGTAGAAACTGAATGGGTACAGCGTATTGGATAGCGCTGTAGTCCAGTGTCGACGCTCTGTGTAATGTCACAATATCACAATCACTGCCAGAACTGGTCCTTCTTCTCTCTGGTCCCCTCCATCTTCTCTTCACTGACCTTGATATCGTTGTGGATCTCATCGACCAGAGCCTCCAAACTGGTGAAGTTCTTCTCGGGTCGCAGGTAGCCCAGCACCATTACCTTGATCGATGCGCCGTAGAAGGTATGTGCAAACTTGTGAATGATATGAATCTCGGCCGACTTTTGGTCGTTCTTGTAGAACGGATTCCACCCCACACTCATGACCATGGGCAGAACGGCGTTGATCTCCTGGTCATTGAGCTTGTTGGTGTACTGAAAGTCCACGACCCGGTCTTTCTGGAACTCGCTCGTCTTCTTCTCGCTGGGCTTGTCGGTTTTGAGGATCTGAACGAGACCGTAGTAGATTCCAGTATCGAGGGCATCAAGCACCGGCACGTCATCAATGGGGATGTTGGCTGTAGGGATCCCGAGATCGGCAGAGCCGCGGCCGTAGCCGGGAATGATGGACGAGGCGAACTTGATGGGGTAGGCGGTGGAAGCGGTCATGAGACGTCTTCGCAGTGGGAGTATGGCGGTTCTGGTGCAACTAATCATCATGAATATTATTGGGAGGTGATTCAAATAAAGTTGGCAGTTAGATGCAATAGCTGATAAGAGCGAGTGGAGGCAGTGGTGATAGGAGTCCGAGAGTTTTGGCGTAATTGGCGGCGTTTGTGCGAGTTGGGGAGACTTTTTTTCTTCTTTTTTTCTTCTTTTTTTTCCTTTTTTTACATTTTTGTGATCATTTTCTACTATTTATCGCATGAAGTACGAAACTAATTAAGGTGCAATTGACATTTGCGATAAATGGGATGATGTTGAGTTGGGAGTGATTTAGACAAGCCAGAGGAGCGGAGATAGTTGATTTGAGGGAGTTGTAGAGAGATGGGGTGTATTAAAGTGGTTTGTGTCGTCAGCAGGATGTGGGGATTTTATGGTAGTTTTATCCGAGTAATTAGATAGCTACTCGATGAGTTAAAGGGAAATTCATAACGGTCAGACTTCTTTCACTGTGGCTTGCCACTTGGAGACAGTAAATACAAGTACAAATCATGAGATGTACTATATTATATGAAATTAAACAAATTACAGAAAAAATACAGAAAAATGAAAATATAAAAAAGCCTGAGAGGGCGGGAGGTGCTGATCATGACTGTACAATGGACTTTGCCTGAAGGATAGAAACAATTTCGCCCTGTCCCATGAGATACAGTGAGTCAAGTACATTCAGTTTGAGTACCCGAAACCGAACAGTATGTACAAGTACAAAGTCAACTGAAGACCCAGATTTGTTGAATATGTCAAGTAATGAGACGTCTCAAGAACTTCATCAGAATACAGTACGAGTACAGTATGTACTGTACCGGTATGAGTACCCTCGTCTGGACTGTATCTAGCAAACAGAGCCCATCCTGCCTTTAGACACTTTCGGCTCACATCTTCGAGTCTCCCCTGCCCGTACAGTATATACAGTATGTACTCCATCTCGCTAAAATGCCCAACCCCTACAAGTAGCAGACTACTGTATGTACTGCATGTACCAACAGTGTACCAACCGACCCTCGTATTCCGGTTGCGTCTTATGAGCAAATTTGATACTAGCTCATTGTATATACGCCACGTAAAGTGATATAACGTATATGGCTGCGTTGGTTTTGTCTTGTTAGCGGCTGGCGGAGCGGCTCTACAGAATGGACAGATACTCCGGGCCAAGTTTCTTCCGAACCGGTAGCCGAAAAGAGTGAATTGGACGGGCAACAGTTGTGCTGGCACCAACAAACCAACACGATACAGTGACAGACAGACTCTCTGTTTGTACCAGTCGCGGTGGAAATCACTATAGCTTCGATACCTTCATCACCTCCCCGCCGGGTTTTCGGCTCATGTTTTTGGTCCTGTTCTGGTTACTTTTTCCAGAGGCTGTTCTGAGAGTCCCGAAAAGGACACTTTTACGAGGTCCCAACCGACCAAAAAAAAAATATAAAATATAAAAAATAAGTTTACAATAGTCGGCGTCTCATCGGAGCATGCAGCAAAATCTCCAATGTTAAAAGATGAGTGATGAAGAAAAAGCGGGTGTGGATCCAGGTCTGGCACATCCAGAAAAGCCGATTTAGTCCCATTCAGTCAAATAAACCGCGTCAAAAACCTTGAGAACTCAACCGTATATGTCTACAAGTACGCTACCAACATCCCTGCTCTATCGTATTCGTACTCGTATGTACTGTTTTTCAGGTGCATTCCACGGACTCCACTGGTCGGCGTTAACGCTCTTTCTCCGTTGTCACCGACTAAAACTGGCGCACTTTAGATCACTTGTACGCTAACAAAGCCACCGCCACGTTTCAGCCATTTTTGAAAGGGTAAGGATACTTGAATCATGATTTTTATGTTTTCATTTTGTCATTTCCAAGTCGTTCGTTATGCACCCCAGATTTTTTATTTTTATTTTTATTTCAACATCATTTTCTATTTAAACATCAATTTTTATTTAAACATCAATTTCTATTTAAACACCAATTTCTATTTAAACACCAATTTCTATTTCAAGTTCTATTCGATTTCCATTTATATATATATTTCCATTTCCAAAATCCATTTCCATTTCCATTATTATTCATCTCCAGATTCACATGTGAACCTGTGGCAAAACAACCTTTATAGTCATGGTGGGGGATGGTGGCATAGCGGGGCAGTTTCAGCAGAAAAATGATATGGAGCCTCCGGACAGTCATGCGGCTATCGAGCATACATCCGGTCATATGTACAAGTACGCCCCATGTACCATACTCGTACCGTATTGTACCGTCTATGCGCCGGGTCACCAAGGTCTAGACGCGTTTCAGTGCATTACAAGCACCATAACGGCACATCTCCAGACCCCAGATTGCGACCAAAGTTTGTCCTGAGACAGTTCTACAAAACACACTAATGTAGACGGAGCAACAATAGGCGACCGGATATCCAAACGCGCACCGTAAAAACCGCAGCAGCCGCCGCTCAGTTGCGATTCACGTGACCAGGAGCACTCCTCCGGGGCGCAATCTGCTTTTTCTCGATGCTGTTTAGTCTCTATCCACGTGACTCGTAAAAAGACCCTTCCTCGCCCCCCCACTCCACTCCACACCATCGGACCGTTTAGCGTTTTTCCGTGATGCACCCTTCTTTCACAGGCTGCTCGTACCCTTCCCCCAAAGTGGAACGAAGTTTATCTGGATGGATATAAGAAGAGAGAAGCCCAAGTTGGACCTCAGCAGCGCCTCAAACCACATCCACCGACCACCACAATATCATGATCCAGTCGGTTTTCTTGGCCTTGGCCATTCTCATCGCCTATCTGGGGTTTGCAGAATGGTTTTCTCGATTCCAACACAGACGAATCTCCAAAAAGAAGGGCTGTGGCATGCCTCCCATGGCAAATGGAGGGTTTCTGGGTTGGTACGGACTCTATAAGACGTACCAGATCACGTCAGAACGCACATACCCTCATTCCATGCGAATGGGCCTCGAGGCGTTTGGCCATACGTTTGTCTATCCTGTTCCAGGTACAGACATGCTACAAACGATCCATCCAGACAACATCAAAGCGATTCTGGCGACCCAATTCAAAGATTTTTCACTGGGAACCCGTCACAAAATCATGCTGCCAACTCTCGGAGACGGTATCTTTACTCTCGATGGAGAGGGATGGACCCATTCCCGAGCTCTACTGCGACCTCAATTCGCCCGGGATCAGGTCAGTCACGTGGCTTCTCTAGAGAGACACATTCAGGTGCTTTTCAAGACCATCAAGAAGGAGAACAAGGAGTGTGATCCTGCCAAGGGCTTTGATATCCAGGAGCTCTTCTTCATGTTGACTCTCGATACTGCCACAGAATTTCTTTGCGGAGACTCGGTTGATTCCTTGACCGACTACTTGGCCGACCCAACTGCTCCCCAGCTCGACCACTCTGGTATTGACGAAAATGTGCGACGAGCTTTCCCTGAAGCCTTTAATACCGCTCAGTGGTTCTGTTCCATTCGAGCCAAACTCATGAAGTTGTATTTCTTCGCTGGAACCGTCTTTTACCGAAAGAAGTACGCCGACGCTAACAAGATTGTGCACGACTTCACCGACTTTTACGTGTCCAAGGCTCTGGCCGCCAGAAAAGAAAAGTTCCAGGAACTCGACCAGGAGGGCAAGTACATTTTCTTGTACGAGCTGGCAAAGGAGACCCGAAACCCCAAGGTGCTCAGAGACCAGATGCTCAACATTTTGCTTGCCGGACGTGACACCACCGCATCTCTTCTTTCCTGGGTCATGTTCCGAATGGCTCGTCAACCTGAAACTTGGAAGAAGCTGAGACAGGCTGTGATTAATGATTTTGGTGATACTCCCGACGAATTGTCTTTTGAGTCACTCAAGCGATGCGAATATCTCCGATACGTGCTTAACGAAGGTCTGCGGCTTTATCCTTCTGTTCCCATGAACTTCCGAGTGGCCACAAGAGATACTACTCTTCCCAAGGGAGGAGGTCCTGACCTTGACCAGCCCATCTTCATCCCAAAGGGCGGTATCGTGGTTTACTCTGTCTATCATACCCACCGAGCTGAGGAGTACTGGGGTAAGGATACAGAGGAGTTTATTCCTGAGCGATGGGATCCTGCTGAGGGCTATCAGATTGCCCGAGGATGGGAGTATCTTCCATTCAATGGTGGTCCTCGAATTTGTCTAGGTCAGCAGTTTGCCCTTACCGAGGCTGGGTATGTTTTGGCCAGACTTGCTCAGGAGTTTGAGACTGTGACCAGTTGTGATGATAAGCCATTGCCTCCCAAGTACAATACCCATTTGACCATGAGTCATGATGATGGTGTTTGGTTGAAGATGGAGTAGAACGGTCACTGACTAAGTACATGTTATTTATTATGTTTGATTACGCTGTTTGAATGTAGAGATGGGGTGTGGGGACAGCCGCTCAGTAGATCCCCTGAAATGTGAAATAGTTGACATTGGTATAGCCATACATACTGTAGAACAAAGTGATGGTCACATGTTCACAAGGCCGTCGAGGTGTCCGACGTGAGAGTCTGAGCATGACAATCCAACAATTTGATCTCCTCTTAGTTCTTCACTACCGTACCGACTTGTCATACGACTACGTACCATAGGAGGTCATGTTGAGTCCACAGGATACACTCCAGACTGTTATATAAATCAATCAAATGCCATCGTTATAGTGAAAAGTTGCTCTAGTTATCACGTCGTCGCATCAAGACGACAGTCTAGCCCATACCTAGGTCAGCAGCCGTAGATTTCATAAAGACGGCCATGAACACCAAATCGTCGTAGCGAGCAGGATATGTTGTCAAAGTCGCCATGCGCTTCTCGCGTACTTTGGTGGGTACATTTTTCGAGTTGAGCTCTCTGTCCGTTCTTGCTCGCTCTTGCGTGCTCTCGTCCAACCCCTTCTCCAATCTCTCCTCATTAATTCTTCGACATTGGCGTAAGTCCCTTCACATTACCTGTCTTCTGCCACTCCTCACCCATCAATCTCAGTCTCGCACCCGCAGGAAACCTCTTATCTCCGCAACTAGCGGTCCAAGGATCCCATGCAGCGTGCAACATCTTTCTGCCCTGTATGCCGTACGTGGCCAGGAATCTCACAGCAATCACCTCCCACCATGAAGCGGCAACCGTGAAATGCGTGTTAGTCAGTTTCTCTGTCTCCGTATTCAACAACCTAGCAATCATGGTCCAGCTGTAGGAAATGGGTCTGGGGTTTTCGGCGGGTGCAGTAAATCTGATCTGGGTGATAGCAACATACACTGAAGCAATTCCACCCATTCGCTCAGAGTACACAGTCTCGTCTTCCCACTTTCCTCCAGGCTTTCTCCAGGCCATGCGTTCTCGTCCTTGCTCGGTGTCAATGTCACAAGTGAAGCCAATCACAAAGGGACATTTCTTGACGAACCGAGCAACCATGAGATCGGTGAGCTCCGGAAACACAGACATGATCTTTGCGGCCAACATTCCTAAGGGAAGGGCACTCTGAGGAGCGACAATGGTTTCGTTTTCAGCCTGTCGAACAATGCTCTTGGCAAAGAAGTTGAGGAGCCAGAGGTAGACGAGCTCACTGTGCTGCTTGGCCTCATTGAAAATCTGTACAAAGTCTTCACTGATCTGTTTTGTGTGTGTAACTGAAGGCGTGAGCTGTCCGAACTTGGGGTTGATTTGGCGCTTGCATTTATTGCACAATTTCTTGACTTCGGCATTGTTGGCCACCGGTTCCTTGATGTCCTTCTTGATTTGTTCAATTTTGGCCTTCCACTGGAGGAATTCCTTATCGACCGCTCTCCAGTTTGTAAACTGGCCCAGTTTGTCCTTTCTGGCTTGTTCTTCCGCTTCCAGACGTTCCTTTTCTTCCTTCTCTGCTTTTTCCTTGGCCAAACGTTCGGCTTCGATTCTCTTTTTCTCGGCCGCCTCCTTTTCGGCCTTTTCTTTCGCAAGTCGTTCCTGTTCGAGTCTCTCAGCTTCCTCCTTCTCTTTCGCAAGTCGTTCTTTTTCCTTCCTCTCAGCCTCCACTCTCTCACGCTCAATCCTCTCACGCTCCTTCCTCTCGGCCTCCAGCCTTTGCCGCTCTTCTTCCCGTCTCTCAGCCTCCCATTGATCAACCAACCCGCCCACAATCACGCTGTTTCTCTTTTCCCGCTTCTTGGCCAGCTCATCAGATTGCTTGAGCCGATCGTCTCCCATCCGAGACATAAACACAGACTCCCGTCGAGCCACGTCATTGTGTCGTTTGAGCTCCTCAGACGCCCACACGTCCTCCACATGTTGGAGTTCCTTCTCGACCTGAGCTAAAGGAGCTCCCCAATCAATGGCAGCCGCAGGGTCGACCGGGGAACCCAGAGACACACTGTTAACACTGGAACCCCGTCTATGACCCCGCTTGAAATTTCCAACGGGACTCAGATGACATTGATCAAGGATAAGTGACACCCGGTTCAATGTACCCTCCCACTCTGCACAAGACAGATCGTGGATAGAGCGATATGAGTCTTCTTTGACGTCCTGAGTCTCGTCTCTGTGCTCCTGCTTCAAAGGAGATGACACTGCCGGTTTCGTCGGCCGAGTCGGACTGTTCGAGGCACTGTACTCCGTTGCAAATCTCGACTGAGAAGGAGTCTTCCGAGGAGGCTTACTGGGTGTGCCTTCTTCCTCCAGAGACATCTCGTACTGACTGATTTCCTGCGACAGCTCCTCATCGTCCCATAGCGGGTCGTATCCGTCTTCGAAATTCGGAATCCGCGTCAACACCGCCGGTCTCAATGGGCTGAATTTCATGGTCCTGGATGTGTCTTGATGGATTCAGTCGGCTATACTTTTTTGATACATGCAACTTAGAATATGCAGACCGAGCTGTATGGAGGGTGAAGCAATGTGTCTTGAAACGATACTAGAAACAGTGCGATTGAAATGAGAGTAACATCAACTGGATCATAGACGTCACGTGATATTTTACATAATCTATGACTGTAAGATGACTAACTAACGACCTCTTTGATTACTAATTAACCGCCCACCCACATCCCACTTCACAGTCTTCCTTATCAAGCCCAAAACACAACTCCAATACTGCATTGTAATCACCGGACAAGAATGTGCACGCCAAAAAGTCATGTAGGCGTATATTTGGTACTTACTAGTGGACATCATTACTGCGCCAAAACAGGAGATAAAGAAGGGATATTACAAAGAATTTCACCATATACAGACTGCTATTCGACTGTTTATGTGTTTTCCTATTTTTCCCCGAGTTCTGGAGAGATTTTCAAGGCAGACCCAAATATTCACGCCAAATTGCTAATTCTGTGTATATTCTAGACCGGGTAGTTTTGTTCGGGAAATTTTCTATATTAGAAGTCAATGATGTTACCAATACAAAGCCCATGTCGGTTGATTACTACTAACTAGTACCCACGCCTTTTTTTACGGATAATCACTTGCGTTTTTCATCCCTGCTTACTAACTCCCAAAGTCAATAATTTTCACTCACCTTCTTGTGCTGCGTTACACATCACGACCCTCACAACTCACAATGTCCGTGGTCTTCACCCGCTCCTTCCACGCCTCTGCGGCCGTGTCTCGAGGCGCCAAGATCTCGATCAAGCCGCCGGTTCACCATCTTTACAGATACAAAAAGAACATTCTCAAGCCGGCTTTCACCAAGACTCTTTTGACCCACCCTGGATCGATTGAGTCCAACAAGTATGTGCCCAAGAACACCCGTGTTGACCGGGTTGTCGACCACTACAACAACACGGTCGCGTCAGACATGCTGCTGATGGGCTATGTCCACGAACAGTCCGTGCGAAAGGGAAATAAGCACCGACCATGGGACTTCACTTCGCCCTACCATCTTGGACGACCTGCTCAGCCCCCTCGAGGTCCCAACAAGACCCCCACCAAGGACGTGCACCCTCGAACCTGGAAGAACATCCCTGCCATCACCAAGATCACCATCAACTGCACAGACCCCGGCACTGTTCTTGACCACGAGAAGGTGATCAACCAGAAACTCCTGCTGCAGCAGATCACCGGCTGTGCTGCTAAGGAAGTCCGGTCCCGGTCTAATATCATGACCTGGAAGCTCCGAAAGGGCTACCCCATGGGCGCCAAAGTGGAGATTACCGGCGAGAAGATTTCCGACTTTATGACCTCGTTGACAGAGCTGGTTCTGCCTCGAGCCATTGGATTCAACGGAATTCGAAATTCGTCTGGAGATAGAAACGGAAACATCGCCTTTGGTCTGATCCCTGAGGACGTCAAGAACTTCCCCGAGGTCGAGGCCAACCAGGACGCCTACCTGCAGATGTACGGAATGCACATCACCATCCACACCACCGCCCAGGCTGATTCCGAGGCCCGAGCGTTGCTGTCGGCTTTCAACTTTCCTTTCATTGGAAAGGAGAAGCATCAGGGACGATCTTAAGCGCTAATGAATGGCCTTTGGTCGCGAGTGGACTCCATCCTATCGACGACCAGGTAAATACCGGACACCCAAAAGAGTACAGATTTGTATATAGTGAGCCATGAGGCTAATAAGATGATGAATTTGAAAACAGACAGAAATCTTGCGAGTACTGTACATACTCGTAGTGACAAAGGTCTGTTGTCATAAACATTGTAGCAAACCAGATCAATTATACATACTGTACAGTAGCTACTATACCATCAAATTACTCTACCATCAAATCACTGTACCATCAAATAACCACCAACGACAGGTTGCTGACATTTTCGTCACTAACACTGGCTTCTCTGATCTTTTCGACTTCAAGCTTCTTCGCAACTCCAGTATCTTCATCAAAGCTCTCAGAAAGACCCTCAATAACGACTCCCTTGCCAGTTTTGTCGCCATTATCTTCATTATCATTCACCAGCAGAATTCCGTTTCGCAGACAATCTCGCTTCTCGTCTCTCTTATAAAAGTACAAAATGACTACCGCCATAATCGCGCAACAACAGGCACAAGCTGCGCAAGTTCCGTATCCCTTTCTGAACCTGGGAGCTTCAGAAGTGGGGAATACAAGCACCGACACCCATGCTGATGAACTCTGGCCCAGCATATTCATCATGACAAGCACTATAGCGTAGTGTTGTGGATCTCGTCTCATGATATCTGCCCACCAAGTGTACATGATAGGACTCATGGCCCAGGAGATGTACTGGAGACAAAAGGCAAACCATTTGGCCCCCTCTGGAACGTCCCAGACAGCCAGAATCACTGCTCCGATAGAATTGAACATCTGAGTGATCACTATACCGCCCCATCTGCATCGTGCAAGGTCTCCAAACAGAGATGCCAGGTAGACATAGGCGAAACCTAGACCAGGAGCAATTGTGCTGAGCTGGTTGACTTTCTGGTCGGTGTATCTTTGGTTTCCATTGGAATCAGTCAGGCTCTTCAACCAGAGAATGAAGGTGCCCGCGTTTCCACTGGTGTTGTTGTAGAAGAAGCAGGAGATGAGAATGGCGGTCGGGAGATGCCAGGAGGTGAGTAGTGGTTTCCATAGTGACCAATCCGTCAGTTTCTTGAGTTGCTGGCCCTTCTTTTCCGTCACAAAGGGCTTCTTGCGTTCCCTACATCGGATGATTTCCTCGTCAGTCAGAAACAGAGAAGTGCATTTGTCTGGCGTTCCAGGGATGATGAAGTACCCTACAACAGCCAGAGGGAGAGTACAAATGGAGTCAACGATGAACACCCATCTCCAGCCCTCAAAGCCTCCCACTCCGTCGAGATTCAGAGCTGCACTGGCTAGCAGGCCGGAACTCAGCAACCCCAGAAATTGACCCATGTAGAAGAAACCAGCTCTTCGGGCCACCTCCGAGGGCTTGTACCATGAGCCCATGAGGTAATAGATGGTGGGAATAAAGCCGGACTCGAAAGCTCCAACCAGAAATCGCAGCGCCTTCAGAGCACCCACCGAGTGCACTTTGCAGGTCAGCAGAGTCATCAATCCCCACATACAATCCACAGCCGGAATGACAATATTCAGAGGGACTCTGGGAAGCAAGAACATGAAGGGAAGTTGGAATATGACGGCTCCAGCTAGATACATGGACTGGACATGCACTAGATCGTTACCCTTGAATCCCAGGTCCTCCTTCATTCCACTCACATAGGCGTTGTTGACATTGGTCTGATCCAGGTACTTGACCCAATACACCATTAGTGAGTAAACTGTCAACAGAATGTCGAGTTTGCAAATCAACTTCTTGTCTGACCTTGTGTCTCTCTCGTCGAACCACTTGAACCACTTGTGGGAAGCTCTCTCGTACTTGTTCATCCGGTACTCGTACTCGTCAAAGAACTTCCACCAAGGTCGGTTGGTTTCGTCGCGGTACTCGAGCGGGAAATCCCCCTCATCTCTTTCTCGCTCCGTCTCTAGATTGTCGACATTGTCCTCCACACGTCTCTCTGTCGGTAGAAACTTGCTGAGTTGGCCGAGTTTCATCATGTTGTGTATTGTGTACTGTTGCCAAGTGGTTGCCCCACACCGCCAAGCCAACTGACAGATATATAACCCAGATCCATTAGTCACGACCGCCAAGCATCTGTCATTGGATTTTGGAGGACCCTTGTTATCTTATCATGTTTCACTACTACGACAGTCTGCAGGCACGCTTGTTTGAGGTCGTCAATGTAACTGATGTTGATCCCTGTGGCCAGAAAACTGTGGAAAAAACGCTGTAGTGCTCGATAGAATACAATACAAGCCCAAATATTGTATTTCCAGATTCTCCGTCTTTCTAATATGTTTTTTCACCCGTTTTCCATCCGTTCTTTGGACACTGCAAAACGCGTGGCTAATTAACCTAATTTAAGCAGCATGTTAATGTTTGAAGGAATGATAAGCTGGATGTTATTGATACGAGAATCAAATGTAGACAAACTGAATCAACCAAAAGAAACACTCTATATCCCCTATTTAGCGTATATATCTTCTTTTTGTTTTTTCCCCCGATTTTCTGCAGTTTTTTGCGCTCTCTCGCACCCATTTAAGGAAACCCCACATAGTTTAAGATTCCCCCGCCCTTGTCATGATAAGAGATAAGGCCCCTCGCTTAGCTTAGCGAGTTACTCGATCGAAGCGGTTCCAAGATACGCCTTAACAGTACCGATATTCGTAGGGTAACGGGTGATAGATTTCAGATCTGGGCCAAGCACGACGTGGGAGCATTCCTGAGCTCCATGTCTCTAATTAGTCCGTTGGATGGAGCCTATCATCAGACTAGATCCTGGATGTACATACTGACAGTATATACTGTAGTGGCAAAAGATGGCAGCGTGTATTTAACAAGGAGGGACTTGTGAGTATGTACAAGCACTTGTAGTTTATTTATTTATTTATTTTAGGATTCTTTCTGAAGTTGTTTTGGAGCTTTTCGGATTTTTCCAGACTTTTTACTTTCCCAGATTTTTCTGACTTCTGTCATAATTCACATATCGCACTGTACTGACTCCTTCACCACAAGGTTCACCTCCCAAACAGTGAAAAAAAACTGCTGTCGATCTGAAGACAGAGCACCGCAAAAAAGCATGCATAACAGTAGAGATGCAAAAACAATAGTATCTCGAAGTGCAAAAGTTCAAGACGACCTCGGAGAGGGTCGAACTCTCGATCTTACGATGGCGGCCATTTAGGTGACTAACAGTCGTACGCCTTAACCAACTTGGCCACGAAGTCTTGAACGTGACTAAAAACTTTCATTGGGACTTTTTGTTAGGCTGAAAAAGTCACATGAATCTCGAATAAAAAAATCAAAAAAAATTAGAAACAACTAAAAAAATTAAAAAAAATTAAATTAAAAAAACTAAAAAATTGTTCGTTGTTAGAATATAATGCTCTCTTCTGAACAACCGAATCAAATCCAATCTGCAGGTGTAGCATTGTTTATAGGCCTCAAGTAGATGTATTTCCCTAGGATAAAAAAAAAGGAGATCAACTCCTAACCCTGAAAGAGTAGGGGGGGATTTGAATGGTGAGGAGGAGGCGCGAGAGACAATGGGTGTTTTTGCTAGTCGATCTGGTGGCTTTGATAGACTCGAGGCGCTTATATTCAATCCCCAGATGCTTTAATACGTCTGTTACTAGTGACATTCTGTTCTTTCATTTTAGAAATACGTAATTTTTCAACCTGGGAGAACTAAAATAAAAATTAAATAAAAATTAAACAAAAATTAAATAAAAAAACCTTGTTTCGTTGTAAAGTACGAGTACGAGTACGAGTGCTGTACAATGGGTACCAATAAGTACGAATAACTTCGGGTAGAATGATCCAAGTACAAGTACGAGTACATCTATCTACTTGAGTGCCAGGACTTGCCACTGATCTTGGGTAGTCCGCATGAGAGACGCACAGAAAGCACAAATTCAATCTACAAGCACAAGTGCAAGTTACTTGTACTCGTACAAGCACAATTACAATAGATCTATCTGGGTATCTCTCAACTCCCTAGATACAGCTCATACTGTTCTATCATGTCGGTGACGAAACGACTTGTGCCCTTTACTGGGTTCATCAACTCACGCGCCCGGCAGGCGTTTTCTGACATTCCGAAAATGGAGGCCATGTTGAAGAGTAGCGGACTCCAAAAGTTTTACCGCAAAAGTGACAACCTGACCATTGTGGATGCCTATGCTGGATATGGCTGGTTTTCCACCGCTCTTTACAACTCTCTGCAGCCTAAAAAGCTGTTTCTCATGGACCCTTCAAACTACTCCAAGGAGCCTCTGTCGCATCTCCAGGCTCAAGACCCCGAGGTGATCACCTACAGCAATTACGACCCGTTCCAGTGGCGGTCGTACTACCCTGTCTACGAGTCGATTTCCAAGGCGTACAACAAGCCCGACCGGACGGAGGTGAGCCGCGACTTTCTGTTTGTGGCCAACCTGGCTTATACGCGAGGAGAGTCGCTATTGTACCAGTACCTTTTGTGCATTTTACATCAGAATTGGCTGCAGCGGTACGGCCGGGTTCGGATGTTGATTTGGATCTCTTCGGCCTCAGCTGAGAAGTTGACCCATGGTTCCCGACGAACAAAACTGCAAGACAAGACGGTAGCTCTCAAGGAGCTGGATGAGAGGATTGACAAGTTGAAGGCCAACATTGCCAAGTCGGAACTGTGGTTGAAGCGCCCCAATCTGTCTGAAAAGTCGGAGAACTCACACAATAAGAAGCTCGACAAGTACAGAAACACTCTGGAGAAGCTTGAAAAGAAGAGAGCGGAGTCGGTCAGTCTAATTGAAAACCGGAGATTCAAAAGCACCGTCATTCGTGAAATGACGTGTGATTACCGATACCTGATTGGAGGCAATGCCAAACATACCAAACGAAGCAAGCCTGTGACGACAGAAGCACATCGACAGGTGCAGATCAAAAAACGACTGGAAGGACACAAAAAACGCGTGCCCCAAATGACATGCAACCCTTACGATAAAGATGCACTTGTCTATTACGAAAATGACTACGAGAATATGTTTTGTCCTCAGAAGACAACATCTCTCGGAGGTCTGGTTCTTCTGGAACTGACACCTAAGAACGTCAAGCTCGAGAGACTGGATGAGTGGTTCTTTGTGGTCACTAGGCTGTTTGTGGCCAGCATCCTGCCCATTGGCCGTACTCTGGAGACCTTGGGACCGGGAGCTACGGAGTGGATGAGTCCTCACCTGTCGCCCGCCATTTTGTCCAGCAAGATCAGCGAGATTTCCATCCCCGACCTGGAACATATCGTCGAGGTTTTCTGGAGATGGCCCTTCAAGCCTCAGGTGTTGATTGACACCTATGAGGAGCGGATGGTGAGTACTCCAGATGAGAGCACTTTCGATAACCCGCTTTTCGACATTGATGACGATGTGGAAGGGGGAGGATCAGATGTTGATGATGATCTCATGTAGATTGATCATCTACAAACTTGTACATACTGGCTAATTGATTAATTGCATAAAGTAGGAGAAGGGCGAGTGCGGTTGACGGTTTCAGTCATCGGAGTTCTCTTGTTCACACAATAGATTTACGTAGCCGTGGTAGATGCTACTTGTAGTTTGATTTGTAGGAATATATTATATATCATTTGTAAATTTATATTGTTTTAAACTATGGTTTTACTAGTTGGGAGTTTAGTTGGCATGTGCTTGAATACCTACAGAGATTAACGTATTTCCTTACAATTATGTTATAAAAACAAACAGGAGTTTCATGATACAAATACTGGAGCTGTAGCTTGTGATAAATATGTTCAAAACTAATACAAGAACTTGTAGGAGTAGGAGTAGGTTGATTTCCTCGACACAATACGTCTTGTCGGATTGAGTCTCCCGATTCTCAATGACCCAGGACTGCAACCCCTTGTAGAATAGTGCTTGTAGATTGGGAGGTACATGCCAAGGTATGAGAGAAGTGCTCGAAAATATGGCGATATCTGGAAAATGAATTCAACCGCAATAAATCCAAATCGGGGGTCTTCTTGTCTTTGTATTGATATTATCTGATTGCTGATCATGTTTCAGACACTACTTGTACAAGTACAGTACACTTGTAATTTGCGTCACACGCGGCGTTTCACCTGGTACATACTGCACTGCTATATGTTCCAGCAATCGCAACTTGTAGAGAAGCCATCTGAAAAAGTATTCATTACATGCTTATACTCTCTACAGCAGTTTGAACTCGCAACACTCGGGCTGGCCTACGACCAGCCTTCGTTTCAGTTGTCAATTACCAAAATGCTCATTACTATCTTACATATATCCAATCCTCCCTCTTCCCTCATCATTAATCCAATCTAAACACCCGTCGTAGCTTGCCAAACTTCTTTTGCTTGCCGGCAGAACCTGCGGTGGCAGTGCTCTCAATCATCTGAGGCTCAGGCACAGCACCGGGCTGCTGGGTAAACTGCGCATATCCTCCCTGGGCCTCGGCCTGCTGCTTCTTGAGGGTCTTGGTCGAAGAAAACAGCTTCTTTCCAAGACCAGGCTCCGAGGGAGAGGCAGGGGCAGGGGTAGGTCGCATTTCCTCCTTCGAAGAAGAGAAGAATCGCATGCCTCGCTTCTTTCGAGGTGAGGTGTTGGCACCAGAAAAGATGCCAGCACCCTCGTCTTCGGAATCCGTGTCTGAAAACCGAGATACATGAGCGGGACCAGCAGACATACCCGAAGGCATGGCGGGCACTGGGGGCACGTCCTGACGCAGCGTGGTTCGAGGCTCACGCATGGAACCCATTCGGAACGCACTCATGGAGTTGGAACGGGAGCCTCGGTCAAACGAAGATGCAGAATTTGACCGCACAAGAGCAGGCTGGGTGGGAACAGATCCCCGTCGAGCCTGGGGCTGCAGGGAAGCACGAGGCTGCTGCTGGCCACCGCGGTTCTGCTGCTCTCGAACGGCAGCAAAGCCGTACTGGGGCTCCTGGGGAACCTGTCGAGCAGGGGATTGCTCTCGGAACTCCTCTTTGGGCTTTCGGAACTGAGGAGCTCGCATAGAGTAGGGCTCCTGGGGCACATCCCGCCCGTAACCAGCATCGTCTCGCAGAGTGAGCCGATATCCCTCGTCGGAAACGCCGCCGTTGGTGGAGTTGATGCCACCACGGCCGGCTCGTCGCTCCCGCCGCCACGAGGAATCGGACTCAATCGAAGCATTGTCGTCCATGGGACCCTCGGGGTGAGGAACGTGCTCCACAACCTCCTCCTCCTCGGCGAAACCAACCTTCTTGGCAGGGGAAGGCTGCCGGGGAGCATTGGGAGACCCAGGGTCGAGGGTGGGGTACTCCACAGGCACGGGAGCTGCAGAAGAGGCGCCTGCAGGGTCATGCATGGGGCCTGTAGGAGGATGCACTACAGCCTTGGGAGAAGAAGAGGCCAGAGCAGGCACAGATCCGGGGCCCTCGGAAGCACCAAGTCGAGGGCTGGTCTTGAGATTTCCAAATGCCTTAACAGGCACATCTTCCTCCTCTTCCTCCTCTTCCTCTGGGTTCACGTGAGACACAAACTGAGAAGCGGTGGTTCCATATTGCGACTCGTCTCCGTAGTTGCTGTCGGCGTACACAGAGTCTCGTGGTCTCTCCACATCGACAGAGTAGTCGGGAATGTGCGATGGAGTTACTCCAACACCAGCACCCGCTCCAGGAGCGCCGGTAGAGGTGTAGTTGGAGCCAATGGAACCGGAAGAAGGCGAAAACTTGTGGTTGGAGGGCGAAACGGCATCAATGTCGGACGAAGAGGGCACGGGCATGCCTCCCAGAGCATACTGTCGGTAGTTTCGTCGCATGGAAGGCGACGAGGGCGAGCTGGAGAACTGCGAAGAGGCCAGCTTGGGGGTGGGCAAGTCGTCCATATCCGAAGAGGCGTTGGCAGCGTCGGTGTTGACATGCAGCTGAGCGGGAGGCTGCAGAGTGTGCTGCTTCTCCTCAACTACCTCCTCCTCGTCTTCGTAGATTGAATCACCCTCATTGTCGACCGACTCGAGAGTAGACTCGCTGGGGTTGAACTGCATCTGCTTGCCAAACTGATCAGCGGCAGCGACGGCGCCAGAAACAGCGTTAGCGACAGAACCAAAGACACCAGATCCGAATCGGCCAGGGGAGTCTGGAACAGCAGCCTTGGTAGTCACAGGCTCCTCAACGTCGCCCATAACCTCATTGTATGCAGCAGCCTCGTCCTGGGCCTCCTGTACATCGCCAATGGTGGTGACGATGGGAGGCTCAATTTCGTGTCCTGTCTCGGGTTCGGTCTTGGCCTCCACGTGGTCGACAGCGTCCTTGTTCACCAGAGACACGGGAACAGGAGACTGAACATCAGTCCTATGGAGTTCCGTCTTGGAAACGCTCTTGCCGAGATGCTCGTGTGCGTCCTGGAACATGGACAGATCTTCCTCGGATTCGGAGTGGCTCAACATGGGGCTCAACACCTGACTGGGAGGAGCAGGGGCAGCCTGTCGGGGTTGAGCAGGGTGAGCATGTGCTTTTTTAGTCTTGGGCACATGCTGCTGTTGCATGTTATGCTGCTGCACGTACTGCTGGGATTCCCGCTTGGGCTGGTACTGCTGAGACTCTCGCTTTCGCTGCTGCTGGGGTGTATGCAGCTTGGCATGCTTGAGAGCCTGTTGGTGGGCCTGCTCCTGGGCAAGCTGCGACTGTCGCTCGGGAGTCTTGACCACCTTAGGCAAACCGTTGCTAGCCAGCTGGTTGTTGCTCACGGGGACAACAGTTCCGGGAGAATACTGCTTGGGCCGAGGCTGCAGAGGCTGCTTGGCAGGCTGTTGCTGAGGCAACGACAGGAGTGCCTTCTGTCGCTGCGACTCCTGTGCAATGAAGTTGCTCTCACTCTCGGAGGAGAAGGAGACTCGCTGCTTGCGTGTTCGGCTAGGCGAGTCGATAGACGAATGGGGTGACAGCGAGTTGGTGTCCTGGGTGAACGAGTTGCGGGGCGACTCGGACATCTTGAGCGCAGGCTTCATGGGCGACAGCGTTCGCGGAGGAGGCATGTGTCGCTTGCCGGAGCCAACAGAGCCGTTGGGGGACGTCAGGGACGACTCTGGGTACTCAGACACGGTGTTGAGGTCGGATTCGTACGACAGCACGGACGAAGCGTAGTGGATGGGAGATGCAGGTGGTTCGGGTTCTTTCACAACAGGGACCTGCTGCTGTTGTCGTAGTCGCTGCTCCTTCTGTGCCTTAGCTCGGTTGGCCTTGTTGAGCTGCTGCTGTCGGGCCTCTCGCTCCTGGCGTTGCTGGGTGAGCAGGTCGCGTGTCTGGTAGGCAGGTTTTGTGCCGCCCTGCGACAGACGGCTTCGAGCAGGAGGTTTGCCACCAGCAGGCACCTCCTGGGTCTTTGTGGTGATGACGTGAAACGAGCCCATTCGCTTGATAGTTGTGGTGGTCGACGTGAGCGAGTGGGTTCGCTCTGTGTTTGTGGTGGTTGACGTCATGGAGCCTCTTCTGAGCGAGCCGGAAGAGGGGGCGCCACGCAGAGAGTGTCGAAGCGAGGACGTTCGTCCGGGAGAAGAAACGGACGTGATGGAGTTGTTGGGTGAGATGGCGGGCGAGGCTCCCTGGCCAATGCCTCCGTCCTCGAACCCTTCAAACGGTGTGGTCAGCGAGTATGTTCGAGTTCCGCGCTTTCCCTTTCTGACATTGGGCAGGTCGCCAACAGAGCCGCTCTCCTCCTCAATGAGGTCTGGCGCTCGGCCGGAGGCGTTGGTGCCGCTGACGGAAGCGAATCCGCCGTTCTGGCCTCGGAGCGACGACTTTCGTCCGCCCATAAGCGAGTTGGTTCGGCCGCCAAGCAGAGAGCTGGTTCGGCCTTCTCGGCCTCCACGCATGCTGCCGTTGCGGCCCTGCTGCAGGTTGGGCTGACTGGTGGACGAGGTCAGCGAGTGGTGTCGGATGGCCGCCGCCGCTGCCGCAGAAGACAGGCCGCTGTTGGCCCGCTCGTTGGGGTTGCTGCCGACAGACGACGCTGCTGCTCGGGCCATGGAGTTCACGTCCGGTTGGCTAGGATGTGCCTGGCCCACTCCCGTGTACGAGTACGACGAGAAGGAAAAAGTTCGTTGTCCCCAGCCCATGGTGTATTACTGTGTGTGGACGGGGTGTGTGGGTGTGTGTGAGGATGTGGAAGACGGCGCCTTGTGGAGAGTAGCTGTCGGTGTAGCGAGGTGCAGCTTAGTGGAGCAAAATGTCGAATTAGTGTGGAGTCACAATTAGGGGCTGTTTCAGCGGCTGGTCTTGCAGGCGTGGCCGAATGATGTGACGGTGTGACTGTGTATGTAGTGTAGACGTTCGTGTGTCGTGTTGTCAGAGGTGTGCAAACTCACAGGCGTGAAATTCAAGTGACAATAAAATTGACTTTTATTGTTTGGGGGCTGGTTTAGCTTTGCGGTTGTTTGCTCAGCAATGATCAGCAAAAAGAACAAGTAAACAGTGGTACGAGTCGACGGGGCTACAACGACCGCGGGGGCTCTGGATTGAGGGTCCAGTCCATCTGTGTCAGTCAATTAGCGGGATGGCGACATTTCTCTCCCTTTCGCTCGCCGCACTTTCCCCCTTGTGGACGCCTTAGTATCTCCCCATGTCTTCCACCTGCCTGCCGCCCCGTCGCTCTACAGTTGTACTGTATGTACAGCGCTCGACAGTGCAGACGGCGCCCGACGACGGAATGTGCAAGAGCAAAAGGTGGCAAGAGCAGACATGTTTTGGCCATTTGAGCCACCACCGACGACCGACCACCCACAGCCCTCCTTAGCCATTCATGAGACGTACTTGTAGTAATTTATCAGACAACTCATCAGACGTAACTCATCAGACGTTGTAATGGGTCTACTCTAACCAGTACGGTACATACTGTACTTGTATAACAAAACGCAAGGAGGGGAGAAGACATCTTCAGCTTGGGCATCTTTAGCTTGAAAAAAGTGGGTGGGTGTGCCACTCATCGCGGTCGAGTTCCACCACATGCGACCTCCCCATTTCCTCCACCTGCCCTTTTCACTTCATTGCTACTTTGCCTCCTTCTCTCTCCCCCTTCTCTGCGGCTCCCCTGGTAATGTAGCTGACTTCCATTGTCATTGTCTTAAACTCCCAACCCATTCCAATGCACGGCTGTGGAGTCCAACCACGAGGCTGACCCTGGACGCTGTGTGAGATGAGTTGTGGCCAGCAAAACGAAAACCAGCGGGGAGGAAACAACAACCGGGAAACAACACGCTTATATATACCCCTCCCCGCCCAACCCGTTACCCCACAGAAGACACCAGACATGTAACGACCCTCTAAGTTAATTCGCTCATCCAAACACACGCCCCAGCCGCATATGGAACATGCCACACATGCTGGAAATCGGCAGGGCCAGAGGCGACGTGTTCGTGAACAGAGCCGAGGCCCAGTGCGACGCCAGAGGCGCTTGAAAGACACAGACTCGCCGCGTTCTGGTGTCTCTGGGTACTACCAAGCAGCCATGCGGACAATATCTTCGTTTTTCCCACTTTTTTGCTTCTTTGGGGGTTCATGTCAACAAGTGTGCTGCAACAACTGTTATCTCCATTTGGGCAAGAGTAAGCAGACAGAGAAGAGGACACCAAAAACCAACGTATTGTTGCTATTTTGATAAACCAAGTAAGCGAATGTCTTCTTTAGCCGTCTCCAAAAGTCCAGAAAAAATGGACCCCCAAAAACGATCATCTACAGCGCCTTAAGACGACGAGACTGAGTGTACTGCTCACCTCGGTGAAACTATTAATCTCCGAATGTCCGGGGCTCCGAATGTCTCACTCTACTCTGAGCGGAGGTTCGACTTTCGTCTGGCACCATTCCACCGCCAAAAATATACATATAAAACTCACATCGAAAAACAGTCGCAAGAACCCCTTGTCATCACCACCGCACTCTCATTTTACTCCCTCACTCTCGTATAACTCGGCAAACAAGCCTCGAACCCACAGATGCACACTAAATAACGGCTAAAAAGCAGTTCTAAAAAAAGCAGCCCATTGTTAGAAGCTTGTATGAAGCTTGTCTGGCATAAAAGGGAGGAGCCAAGAAGAAGCCAATGATAAAAGCTGTATAGTGGGCGGCGATGAGAGTGGTCACGTGGCGTGGGTTGTCGCGTGGATTATCAGGTCTCGTGTGGAATGAGAAGTCACGTGGTGTGCGAGGTCACGTGTCCCAGTACCCCTTCCCCCGCCAGACACCGTTTGTGTGGTTTCATGGATACCGCTGGCTCTACAGTGAGTCAAACTATTTATACCTCAACACGATAACATACACTTGTCAAGTCGATACGGAGCAATAATTATGACCCCCTGAGCACTAATGAGTAGTATAGAAGGAGATGTAGCATACTAACAGTCAAGGCTGTAGATAATATATACAGAGTTGTATACAAGGATGTACAGTGTGGCGACGGCTACAAGCACCATGCTGTGTTTACAATACATGTGGTAGAACTCTCACCCTTCCAGCCAATGTCTCACATCTCGCTTGAGTCATGGTTGAGAATCGTGTCTGCCAATCAAAAGCAGCCAAAGCACGAGAGGCAGTCAGTTTCAGCCTCATCTACTAGTAGATATGATAAATAGATGGTATTCCACCTCTTGTGCACTCTTGGCGCCCAGATAGCTCGGCCCCCGATAAGATTGACGGTCGCATGGATAATGCACTGTCGGAGGCATTGTTCAGAAACGGACTAAAGTTGGTTCCAGCTCGGTCAGACGCCTTAGGGCCCAGGCGAGACTGTTCCAGCTTCCACTTCCTGCTTGTCCTTTAGTCTTTCTTCTGGAGGTCTGCATCTGGGTCTATTTGTCGAGTACGACAGGACAGGGCTGGGGCAGGTCCCAGGTACAAGAAGTTCAATGTGTAGATACGGTGTAGTGTTGGGGGCTCGTTCAATCACTGGAAGACTGCCCGGTTGTTGCAATGAATCCTTCAAAGGTCTTATCTACAGTCTACTAACTCAACTATCAACCAGCGCGCTTAGCATACCATGGCTGCTAAGGATGTACAAGTAGCCAGGTGCGTACACTAGATCGATGCAAGAGTCGGTGAATAATTAAGTCAACTACCACACTCAATGTACGCTCAACTCATGAATTATGACAGGGGAAACGAGAGATGCGAGTTCCCGCCTTGTTCCTGGTCCTATGTCGACTCGGAAGGGCAACCACGACACATTGTCTACGTCTATGGAACTAGTTTCAAAAACGGCAACGAGCTTCCTGCGGCTGGATGTGGAGTCAGTTTTGGCAAGATTGCCGAAAACAATCTCTCCTACGGCCTGGAAGACGACATGAATCCGGAGCAGGCCCTGAGAGAAGTGCAGGATACTCTACAGGCTGAGTCTGCGGGTCTGTACCTCGCCTTTTCAGAAATCTTGCTCAGAAGAACTGATGGCAACAAGTACGAGATTAGAACCAACTCCCACAAGTCCCTGGAGCTGCTGGAAACGTGGAAAAAGCTGACGTGGGAAAACTACATCATGGACAGCTGGAATGGCAACAAGGCCGCCGACTTTACAGTGAGGGCTCTGCAGGTAGAAGACCAGCTACCGAATGGAGCTGTTACTCTAAAGGTGATTGATCCAAAGGTGGACGAAGAAGGAATCGACTCTGCTTTCAATCTGGCCTGGGATGGGATTGATGAGTGTCTTAATCGGAGAAGATCGAGACAGACAAATAAGGAGTGGAGAGACAAGTTCATTGAAGAAACTGTTGAGGAGAAGACATTGTGGGGTGACGTGTAGTCGGATAACCAATTAACTGAACGATATCGTTGATTATGCAATGAATTATGTATGATCTATGTGCTTATGGCTATATGTATCTACACTGCTCTAGTAAAGAGCGTCGTCGTCGTCGTCGTCGTCTTCCTCCTCTGATTCAGAAGCTGCAGTCTCCAAGTTGTTTCCGATGAGAAGTTTGTGTCCTGTCACGGGCTCAGCAGCTGGGACAGGCTCATCTTCGACAGCTGGAGGTTGAGGTTGAGCTTCAATCTCGACATCTCCCGTGGGTAGAACCTCTTCCGACACAGTCTCAATGGGCTCATCAATCTTGACAGTTTCAGGTCCACACTCATCAACCGATACAGCCTGATTTTCTTGTTGAGCTGACACTCTCTCAACATGAATACTGGTTGCATTATCCTCCTCAACCTCTTCCATCATAGGATGAGAAGACGGCCTCACGCTCTCCTCCACCTCCGCCTTCTCCTCCACCTCCTTCCCGTCAGCCACAGATTTAGCCTCAGCCGCGCGCTTCTGCTTCAACTGCACCTGCCGAGGCACAAACCTAGCCGCCTCTGCAGCCAGATTGCGAACCTGAGGTCCAGATTCATAGACATCCTTGGCCTCAATCTTCGGAGCCTCTGCACGAGTGACACGGTCACGTGGTTGGTCACGTGTGCCATCCTTGACCGCTGAATCGCCCTCTTCCTTAGCCTCCTCCCTCTCCTTCTTCCACTGAGGAACATCTGATGGCAAGGGGATATCCACCACCTCCTCATCAGACGAAAACTCAACGTCATCTCTGTCCTCCTTGTCCACACGTTTACGCAACACAGACTTACTCAAATAAGGAAAGCCTCTGGGCGAAACTCCTCGATGATTGAATACCGGATCCCAAAACACACTTTCCCTCTGTTGACCTTGTGGAGGAGAGTTGTAGTCCGTCACCTCCCCTAGTCCCAGTTTGAATCTCTTGAATCGCGTCTCCCGCTTCTTTTGCTGGTCCAACATGCCCTTCCAATCCTCCTCCGAAATGCCCTTTGATCTTTTGAGGTCAGCCAAGTCCTGTTCCAGTCTGGCAATCTGCTTCTGTTCATGGTGAGGAATGAACACCTTTTTGAACCCCGTGTTTTGGTATTTTTGCTGCAACTGCGTCAGCCGCCAGTGAAGACGCAAGGGATCGAGTCCTTCCAATCGCGATTCTTTCTGTTGCCGTTTCTGTCGATTCTGTTTCTTGAGCTCGGCAGCCCGCTGCTCCTTTCTGTATGCTTCCATGGTATGAACAGGCGGTTCGACGATGGCTGAAGGTGATTAGTAGGCCGTAGAATGTAGAGTGAGTGTCAAAATGTAACGTGAGTGTCGAAACGTGTCGTTAACGCTTCAGCTACGCTGATTAAAATGTGTTTGGGGTGTCTTGAATGAACGTCGAAACATTTGAATCATCATGCACTTGTAGGTACAGTGAAAGTTTATTTTGTGGGTGGTGAAAAGTAGAGGTTTCTACACCTCCCCACACAACCACTTGCACAATGAACCAGCCGATAGAACCAGACCACATCAATGTTCCTACGGAGGCTCTCGAGTCGCTCCGACTGCGACTGACCCAGGTCAGCCACTCGCTCAACACTCTCCAAGCACAACTTCACCAACCTACGCTTCCTCCTTGGTCTTCTCTACACAACCAGTTCAACGTGCTACTGACACAGCTGGTGTCGTTATCGTCGACCATCACTCACCAGAGCGACATTCTTCAGCAGACGGTGACGTTTCCTCTGCCTGCTTTCCCCACAGCCACAGAAGCAGGTCTTATGGCTACTCTACTGCGAAAAAAAATCCTGCCAGAGGTGGAGGAGTGGTGCGAGGAGGTGAAGCAGAAGGCGCTGGGCGTCAAAATCCGAACCGTCGACCAGTACGGCGAGTGGGCTGCCGAAACGGTCGAGGAGGCCAAACAGGAGTACGAATGGTACGGGCTCATGACCAGAGAAGAGGTGGACAACGGAGTCAAGCCGCCAGTGTACGTGGCTCCAGAAGAGGAGGCGGGAGAAGGAGCAAAGTTGACCATTGAGCAGATTCTGCAGTTTACATGTGCTGGAAAGATGCCCACTGTTGCGTAAGTAGTCAGCTGACTCTGATAATTTGTCAAAGACGGCAATCTGTGATAGATGGTCAATGGGAGCATATCACGTTGGGGTTACGCGCTAATCTCTGCTCTTGAGAGGTTTTCTGAGAGAGATCCTCGAGACGAGTTCACCTAGCTGCTCTCGCTCTGAGGTTAATGGAGGAAAAATGAAATCAACAAAAGGGAAAGACAGCAAAAGTACGAGAAATCGACAGTGAAGGGACAGCTAATAAGGACTCCGATACAGACTCTGACAGAGACGACTTGTACCTGGGCTGGTCTAGTAATGCATTCCCACAGGCATTGCAACCAATAGCTTTAGGAATTCAATGTTAATGGTTCTCCGAATACAGTCTACCCGACAGTGACTCGCTAGCTGACCTATGCATTTTGTTAAAACCAACTGTCGACCCAACTGTTGTACAGCATCATACTCTTATCCGTAGTGCTACAATGGAGTTATTTATTTGACTTGCATTGATTGTTGGTGATATGGATCATTATGGGAAGTCGATCTAGTGCAATATTCGCCCTACAGCTGCTTCCTACTTGTAGCTACAATTCTTAAAGCAACTTTTCCACGGCACCACTCCAACTGTAGACATCACGAGATACTTCGTCTCAGATCAGAGATACGAGATACCGCACAAGAGACAACCAACCTGCGTCCTTCATACAGTAGTATCCAAAGATTTCTTTCCATACATTTCGACTGTTCCGTGTCAACACTTCTAGATAGGCACAATCTTGTCTCTTCCATCGAACAAGGACTTTCATACGATCGCGTGTTATGAATTCAGTCGACACGGGAAACGTCACCATCTATGCATCGTCAAGTCATTCAACACATTTATTACTGAAATTAACACACTATGATACCCTCAACCACAACACCAGTTGTGCGCCCGTGACGGAACCTCGCTACCATTGAGACGAGTCCGGTCCAAAGAATCCCGGGTCCTCGGGGATCTTCTTGTTCGGCGGAATTCCCGATCCATCTACTCCATCTCCAATCACATTGTTGCCCCACCAATCCAGATCTTTCGGGTTGTACTGCACCGAAAAAAAGATGATGATACCAGACAGGGCAATTCCTGTGACAATAGCCGCCTCCATGACGTAGGCGTACTTTCGCCACCACGCAAGATATCGGCCCTTGATGTATCCGTTGAACAGGATGGCAAGATACAGTCCTCCGACCTTATAGGTCAGGTTGTACGGGGCCCAACCGTCAATGATACCGACCACAAAAATGAGCGGGTTGAAGTACAGACACTTTCGTCGGTAGTAGTCGATCTTCTCGGCGTGTTTGGGCCACCATTTGGCCAAGAACTTTGGAAGCGTGACTTGGACAACATAGAAGAAGAGTCCGGCTCCAGCTCCAAACAAGAACATCCATTTCATGACGGGATACTTGTTGAACATCTTCTTGGGGCCAATGACTCCCCATGCGACCGAGGCGGTGAAGAAGGTGGTTTCCGACGGACATGTGAACTTGAGCTTGTTGTCTGCGTCACAGAGGTTCTCCAGACCTAGCTGGAACTGAATCACACCCAGACACACCACTCCATTGACCAGAGTGGCCCAGATTTGCAACCAGAAGATGGATCGGGGAGGCAGATGGGCATAATGGGTCAGTTTCTGATCAGACGTGTAGTTCTCAGCTTGCTGGGCGATTTGCACGGACAGGGCTTTGATGAGATTCAACGCCATGAACCGACCCGGAAGGGCGTAGCCAATGATGAGTTCGGCCAGAACGTTGAGGGACAGAGAGGTGGCTGTGTACGACACAAACACAGTGAAGGGCACAATGAAAACAGCCACCAAGCCCATGACAAACACAATACTCCACACTGGTGTATCTACGGGCCACACTTCCACCAGAACAATGGCCAGAACAAACATGATGAGCATGGTGAGGTAGAACCACCAGTCGGGGACCTCCTTATGTTTCTTCATGTACCGAGAGTAAGGGTCGACTCTTCCGTGGTAGTTACTTCGGTGGATGTACCTGATTGCCTTGGCGGTATCCACAATGGCGTCTCTCATGGCTCTCCAGTCCATGAGCGTCGTGTACACGAACGAAAAGGTGTAGACTGCGAAGAAGGCCGAGTAGAGAACGAGGTTTCCTGCCGAGTAATACGGCGTGGAGTAGGCGAGGTACTTTTCTCTGTCAAATCTATAATTTGTCAGAATTCGGGTCACGTTGAACGCCTTGCCCTTGTTGTCAAAAAGCCGGTTGGAGTTGATGGGGATGTAGCCCGTCCATGAGTTGTTAGAATAGTAGAGAGCCAGGATGACGAGGCCTCCAAAGAGGGAGCCGCAGAAGCCCGTGATGGAGGTGTACAGAGGTAGGGTGATGGGAGCGAGATTGGCGGTGGCCTGGTTCCAGTCAAAGGTTGGAATGGGGTTGAATCCGAGTCCGCCGATGGAGCCCGTGACGATAGCTAGGTCCGCGTTGTTTGGAGCGATCCAGGTCATCCAGTTGAAGGTCTGCAAAAAGTTCATGAGGTAGTTGGGCACCCAGAAGTAGAGGAAGGATACCACAAACATGATCATGAAGAAGGTGTATCGGGAGATCTTCCAGCCGTTGATGCTCTCTTTTCTGTTTGGAGCCAGCAGAGCTTTGTTCACCGCCAGGGTAGGCAGCAAGGAGGGCCACATGGCTTTGACGGGGTACACAGCCACTCGTTTCAACAGACCGGCCATTCCAAAGCCCATCATTTGCGTCACCAGCATGAAAACAAACTGGTAGCCGTAGTTGGCGGCCCAGTCTTGGTTGTAGAAGGACGGTAGAGCCTGGGTGATAATGTTGGAGGTGATATAAGGCGTTCCAGCCGCACACGAGACCATGATAGTTGCCAGGAGTTGTTCTTTCTGGCTCCAGACTCCCGGATTCAGAGTGTATCGTCTTCCTCTGAAACTAAAGCCCCAGTCAGGTAGCACATACTGCAGGAATCGTCCACAGGGGTAGAGGAGCAGTTGGCAGACCGAGGCGTCGAGGCTGATGGCGGGCAGACGGACGGAAAAGAACTGGTTGACAAAGGCAGAAATTGCAACCCAGATGGTTCCCAGAACCCACACTCTCCATGTCTCAACTGTAGTGTCTGTTTCGTCGTAGGGATCAGTGACGGAACGAACTTCAGGATAGGGACTCCACCAGTGGAAGATGACTGCCCAGTAGCGCAGCAGAATGAGGTTGTCGGGGTCTTCTTTCTCAGGATCCTCACCCTCTCCAAAGGCCTCCAGCACGCTCTTGACCTCCATACGGTACTCATGTCGAAAGTTGTTGTCATGATCGTGGTAGGCGTAGTTGGTCTTGACGAGTTCCAGAGCCTTGTCAATGGGCATTTCAGCCAGTTTCTCGGCCATGAAATGAACCTCTAGGGGATATCCGCCATCTTTGTCGGACGGAGGAATACCGAGTTTGTTGGCCATCCATTCAATGAGTTGTTCTTCGATCTCCACAACCTCGGCCTGAACATCAGACTCGTCCTCCTCATCTCGAGGATCCTGTTTCATCCACAGATCTTTGGCATGTTTTGCAGCGTCGATAACGTTGAGTTTCATCTTGTTGGACCCGGTTGACAACCTCTTCTCATGGTGGCTCCAGCCAAGTATTTATCAGCCATTCACGTTCAGGCTGGTGTACGGCACTGTGGGGAAACGTTGGATTGATTTGGCCGTACTAAAGCGATTTAGAAGCAGAAAATCTTTCCATAATCCAGTAGCCGCCTTGGCAACGACCAAGCATCATCGAAGCTGGCTACTGTAGAATTTCCCGGGGGAGACTACGCTTGAGATATCGTGCGGGGTGTCTGTCAGACCCGATTAGAAGGGAAAAACAGCAAAAAAAAGTAGATTGGGTAGTGTTGAGTCTTGCCCATCCAAGAGCCGTACGCTCAAACTAGCCGCTTGCCGTCCCGATTGACGTCATGATGATCTAGTGACCGCCAGTGTTCCCCTGCCCCCTTGCGACGAGCCTCTCAGACTAGTTTAGCGTATTGTGGTGGGATTAATGAGATTGAGTACCGAAGAGTCGAGCAATGGGATTCAAATCTACAATTGTCACAGATGGTTTGCTTCTCTTGGTCCTTCGTGCTCCTTGCTTGGTATTTGTCCTTGTAAAATGTTCGCACCAACACCATACATCAATGGTGGGTAAAGAACAGACACTAATGAACGGCATCAATTACTAATTAGCCGTGGTATATCATTAGATCCTTCGACCTGGCCGATCATGTGGCTACAATACAGTACAGTAGTACAGTAGTGCATCTTGTGCGATGGAGACGGACATAACGCAACAGCCACGACAGTCCATTGTTTCATATCTACAAGGATAAGACAGGAGAAGACTTGAGAAATGAGTTCACAGAGTCGAATAGATGGGACCGATCACTACACGCTTTGCTTTCTGCATCCCCACCACATCCACCCAGCACATTACCCATCCCAATACAGACATCTATAGATCTCCTTGTGTGTGGGGAATGCAACCCTCCAGAAGATGCAAGTTGGTCAGAAGTTCTCATTTTTCAGTCCAATTTGTCAATCCAGTGGTATCAGTCCAATAGTGTCAAGTCCAATGGCGTTAGTCAAAAGGTATCAGTCCAAAGTTCCCTCGACCCCTCCATGCCCATCGTCAAAGTAGTCGATGGGCATGGAGGGGTAGCAGAGATGGCTCAGGCGCTAATCCGCCCAGTGCCGTGGAGCCGTGCAAGTAGCCCCAGGGAAGGGGTAGGGAGCCGTGTCTGTGGGTGTTTGAGGGCCTCTTCGGAGACACTCGGGATTCTGCGGGGGGAGTTTTACAGATTTCAATAAAACCCGAGTTTGAGCGGGGTTTGAGACCGAGAATTTTAAACAATGGGTAAAACGCGTGCATAGAATTGCGTTTTGCCAGTCTGTTATGTGCCAGACTCGTGGTTGTATCTCCATCTTCTCATTATCTCCGTTTCTGGTGATCCTAGCTGTTTCCAAGCCATAACAAAGCTAGCTGCATGAATATCACTTCGATCGGAATTTGGGCAGAACCATAGGATAGCTGCGATTTGAGAGACCTTTTCCATATAAATATATCTATACCGTTCAATTCGGAGGCTCTGCTTTCACGTTTTCGGAGTGTTGACTACTGTACAGTGTACGGTACCTACTGTAGGAAAAATCAGTGCGAATATGCACTGTTTCAGTTGAGAATCATGCTGAGATCCACCAGTATAGCATTTACCCATCTCCACAGACTCTACGCTCTATCAGTGGATCTTCGTCTCTGTCGTTTGCTGGGTAAAGTGATAGGCAGGTCGATCTCAGTTGGAGGTCTTCTGAGGAAGTGGCCTGTTAGGGTTGCAATAGTGATATCTGAAGCTGAGGTGGTCATTAAATCACTTTGCTTGCCACTCATCGACAATTTGGACTTCGTATAGGCGTCTAGTCTGAGGTATGATAAGGAAACTCTGAGATAGCCAAAAGGGGCCTAGTGAGACTCCCCCAAAACGACTTGGGAGGGTTCGAGGGAGACCCCCAACCACCTCTTCCATCTGTATCCACACCCCCTTTATGGGCCTTGGTCTGCAGGAGTTATTTGCACCTGCGTCACTTTCAACATTGGTGTCAATGTCTTCCTCCACCTAGGAGCCGTTGGAGGTGCGAGTTTATCTGCCCACGTGGGGTGGGAGGCGTTGGAGACTGCGATGGACTTGGGGCCAGGTCCATATTTTGTTTTTCCGGGCGGATGAATCAGGTACAGTACAACTGATTCAGACATGGGTTGCGGTCATAAGTCTTCAGGTTGCTCCAACTATAGCGTTGAAGGTGTGCAAGGAGAGGCTCCATTAGCTCCAGGTGGCCAGTCGACGCCAACAGACTTCCAACGTTGTCTTAGAAGGCCGATCTTGCCTTTTATGGCACAGTAATTGCCTCGGGTGCGTGTGGTTATGCAAACGAGAGGGCAGCGAATAGGCCGCAGATGAGACAGGTGGGCAACGGCTGAGGTACGAGATCCAGACTCCCAGGGTCTGAGACAGCGCTGTAGATAGGGAGGGAGATGTTGAACAGACAGCTGTGCCGTTTATGAAAGAGAAACTTGAGATTTGGGCAGCATACCAATACAGTCAAGACGCAGTATGTACTGTGCTGGTCCGAGTGGTTCATTGGTGATAAACGGGTGCTTGCTTTTGGGGAGGTTGAGTCAAGTAGAGCCGAGTTGACATGACTCAAAATTGAAAGACGGTTTACTTTTCCACGGAGCTCTCGGGATTCAGGACCGTTACTATCGACCCTGAGAGGCGCCGCTTGTTCCCCCTTGTGTCCCCGAGTGTGCCAGACAATCTAAGCTGAGACAAGTCATAGCTGGCTTGAGTCACGCAAACTCTGCCAGGCTTCGTAAAATCACCTATCAACGTCTGTGGCTGCAGTCCACCTGATCCCAACCGAGTCCTGATCCGCGGTGTAGATCATGTAGATCAGATAGTGAGTAGTTTGCCTGAATAACAGGCACAGCTGAGGGGAGGGCAACAGAAGGAGTGAAAACATTGAATGATACCTCTCCAACTGCCCACTTTTTCAAGTCTCCTTGTGTCCTGCTTGCTTCTTTATTCTCCCCCAGCTCATCTTGTCCTCCACTTATCATTGTATCCTCCTGCAGCTCGCAGCCGAGTCGATCAGCGAGCTAATCCACCACGTGCATTCAAAGGTGATGAAATTAACGTCTGGAATGATCGAGTTCCTAACTTCTTGTCTCTGTGGTTCCCCACTAGGAGTGATGGTAAAGCCAGTAGACAGACATTGTGCTGTGCTTCTCAAACACCCGACCTGCAAACATATCCGACTTTTGAAACGGCACACATCTCCACTGTCTCACCCAATAGCCTCCAGTCAGGCACAATCACACCCGGAACTTACCTGGAAGAGACTATCTGCGTTAGAGGTGGTTAATGGAAGGAGTGTGGTCGATCATGAACTACTGTGCTGTGCATGTAGAGCTGGAACCTAGATCTCGGCAACCTGATCAAGTGGAGGTAACTACATGGATTCAGTGTCCAGAAACGTATATAAAAGGAGCCCAGACTAGCCCCCTCTCGTACTCCCCAAGACACACTCTTCTACCTCTTTCACTTCTACCCCTACTCTCTTCACAATGGTCAACGTCCGAACCCTGCTTGTTGCTACCGCCGCCTCTCTGGCTGTGGCCGCCCCCATCGCCCAGAATGAGACTTCCCCCGAGTCCACCGCCGCCGCCGTCTTCCCTCTGCCCCATATTCCCGGCCTCGAGGCTGCTGGAGACCTTGTCCATGTGATTGAGATCTTCGCTGGAGTTCTGACTGGCACCATCTCCGTCATCACCAAGCCTCAGGGAACCCGGCCCCAGGAGATGCAGATCATCCAGGACGCCATCACCAAGCTGAATGCTGCCATTGTCCAGGCCTCCAAGGACGTCTCCAACCTGCCTATCATTGGCGGCGTTGCTGGCCAGGTGGTCACTGCCATTGTCCTCAACCCCATTGTCCACACCATTGCGCTGGTTGTCGAGCAGATTGTGGCGGTTGTAGGCTCCTTCTGGGTTGACGGAGTTGGCGCTTCCTTTGGCACCGTCCTCCACAACCTCATCACCAACATCTCCACCTTCATCGGAGTCCTTGCTGGTGCCTACCCCCAGATCAACGACGACCAGTCCGGCCTCAATGCCGCCACCTCGTCTCTTAACTCCCTTCTCTCTTCCGCTTCTGCTTAAGCGAAAGACTTTCTTCCTTTCTTTTGCTTCGCTTGAAGCCCTGGCTCCCTTTGGGCATTACTTCTTACTTAACTCTCCAACCCAGACGACAAGAAAAAACCGACCGACCATCGACCTTTTTATTAGTATATAATTTATAATACCCACTGCTGGCCAGTGCTTTCTCCAATAATAGAGCCTGTACACTGATTATAGACACAGCATCATCAGTTTGTTATCGGTGATAGTTTTCCTAACAATCTGGGATCGACCGTAGAACAGATCGACAGTGCTGAATGATAGACAGCGCTAAATGATAGGCAAAGATGGAAGGAGGTAAAATGACAGATAGATAGTGTAAATTCCGTAGCCATCTCAGCAAAAGACTTCTTTTCTTTCAACATGAGACCCTTCTGTAGACATGGTAATCTCAGTGTTGAAACAGCCCCTATAAATGTGTCTCTCACAGGCATTTATACAAGGGAAACCGTTCAGAAAATGCTTCAAGATGTTATTGATCAACAACAAATGTCCCTTTTCAACTCCCCACCCTTCTTATCCCCGAGAGTTGCTTTTTCAAAAGTACTTTTACACGGCACCAAGCCGACACACCTGTTGGATCCACACGGTTTTTGCAGTGAAAAAAAGAAAGATGAAGTCATAAAAATTCCATTAGAGCAAGGATGTTCGATATCTATAGGTTTCGGTCGGCATTTTTGTCTACTTCGCGGTTGCCTCGTTTGATGGTCTACTGTTGAGTAAAGGATGCACTTAGTCAAGCTTCTTTACTTGACGTTAGTGGATAGCAGTTGACTCAGTTTCATCTGGTTAATGTTGAGGGAAGGGGAAAGCCCAATAAAATCTGCTGTAATGAATCGAGTATCCAAGATATGCTCAATATTACAAATTTCTTTGGATAAAACCTCCACTTTTACCGCGATGCTCTACGAAATGCTCTGGCTGAACTAAATTGAATGGAGAATTAGTTGGGATTTTTTATAGCACGTAGATGCAAACATCTCTGCCGTAGTCCCCAGCCTACACAAGACCACTGTGCTGTATGAACACTAGAGACCCCCGACTACCGGATAGAAGTCTCAGAAACCCCTCCCCTGGATATCCTCCTTCCTACTTTGGAAGTCCTCCACAATCTGAGTCTGACGGGCAACGAGTTAATTAAAAAGCTGTACTTTGCCGTCCTCCTAAGGAGGGAGAAAGAAGTGAACTTGACTGGATGCATTTTAGGACATTCATATATGTTTTATGTTGCTCTTGGAACCACTGCAATTTGAATTTTCCGTTTGATGAAGAGGTTGAAAAATGGGTCATATTGAGCAGTGGGTGGACAGAAAGAAGCTGAGGTCGGATCTGATTAGCCCCGGTGCCATCTTCAACTACTACAGACATCATAAAACCAACTTTTTTTACACTACATTTTTCAACATGCTGTATATTGGAAAACTTGGCTGCATTATCGGGACGGTTATCGGGAAGCTTATCTGGGGAAGAGCGACAATCTAGAGCTATGGAGGCATAGAGAAGAGGTCACGACTTGGGGAGTAACGGGGTTACATGTTTGAGATTTGCTCTGGATTAAGATACCCCCATCTCACACCTCCTTTTTTCTTCTTTTTTGTCATGTTCATCTTCCATACGGCTCCAATTTGACTCTGGCTAGCCCACCTTCTGCACCATACATCTCCGAGGGGTGTATGGCCACCGGTAGCGGGGTTGTCGAGATTTGAAAGTGCCAAACGGTGAATCTGGGAGGGGGAGTTTCTGGAATTTCCAACCTGGCGATATCTATTCGGATTGTCTGGTGTTTAGATATAATTTTGTGATAAACTCCCTTCCCCTCGAACGTTGATGATTCGACAGGGACAATTGATACAACTGGACAATATCGGAATTGTAATGAGCAAGGAGGTTGTCGTAGACACATTCTCAGCAGATTTATTTGGTCTTTTTCAACTCCTTCATTTTGAGAACCACCTCTTCCCTCTATTGTAATGTGGCAAGTGCACGGTTCTCATCTCTTTCTATTCCAGTATCTCCCTGAGCATGAGAACTGAACAATTGCCCTAGAAACGCTTTCATTCCGAAACACGCTGCTACAGAACTCAACAACCCAGACGCAACCAAACCCACTGGGGACAATCTCTTTCGACAACAACCGACTGATCCTCGTGACCAGTAGCATCCCCAGTCAGTAATTGCCAACAAAACTTCTGCTTAACCTAGTTGAATAGGATTAGAGGCTTACTAAAACTAAAAGGCGGCCGAGGCCACCGAGAGAACAGCGTAGCAGGGCGCGTAGTCACCACAGGGGACGCAGAACCAAACCAATGACGAAGAAGAACCACAAGGAGACGTTTTCAAAGGCAATGCAAATGAAGAGGGCAATGGAAGGACTGAGATTAGAGAACTGGAGACTGGAGTGGCGTTTTCCCGATGAACGAACAAACACGCGAAGCTATGTGGACCAACATACAACACGGACTGAACCAGGTTTTTTTATGATTTTTTTACTGGAAATAGGTACGTGCCAAGTTGGACCATGACACTAAACGTGTTTAATTAGTAATATTCGTGTAAGCGTACATTCATTTCAAAGGTTATTCTTTCACGGCAAAGTTATAATTAAATGAATGTATATGCAGAAAAAAAAAAAAAAAAAAACCACCAGATTGCCCTAGCATTTCACTGTTTTATGATACTTACATAATTGGAAGACTATGGCACTTCTATCGACGTTCCACTGACCGTATCTCTACCGTCATAGCCCAAGAGTTATTGGTTCGACTGACTAAGCCACATATGGCTCAGTCCTGTTGATCCAAATGAAGCCTTTACTCCGATGTCTTTTTGAAGATTTCGGATCTTATACTACTCGTACTCGCAGTACTTGCGCATTTGACTGTGGCCCTAGGACTCAATCCTTCGGAGCAGTTCAGCTAGGTGTTAAACAACCTACATGTGGGGTTTATCCATGGAATAACCCACTTGTAAGTCAATCGTCTCTCGGCCCTTCTATAATTACCCACGCCAAGTAGATCTGGGCTTCCAGGAAGTCCCTTGTGGTTTTCACCCACTAGTGACCCAATTTCCTTACTAATACGGTCTGTATTCGCGGCTAATTGCGCCAATCTTTCTCGACAGTCCTTCTTATTGTCAAACTCTGGCACAGTATCCATTTGCGTGATCGCAAAGCAGTCCTATCTCTCACCCATTCGGCATGTCATTCGCGTAATTCACGTACTACGTGATCTTTACGTGGTTAAAGTTGGGTTAATTAGTTGTACTTGGCGCTACTTCCCACTTCCACTACTCTTCCTCCTACACACAAGTGCGAAGTTCTTCTTTCCATGTTGACCAAGATGAAGATTCCGTCAGTGGACTCTCTAAAGGACTGGATCTTTACCGAGTCGAAATGTGGAGTACTCCCCTCTTTCACAGGGCATGTGAACAGTGACGCCCCCCGGAAACATCAACAAGTCAAGACACGCAAATATCTGCGGGAATTGGCTTATGGGATCTGGAAGATGGAGAGATCCCTCCGGTACTCAGGGGACGACGCCACCCTGGGACATGTCCAACAGGGTCTGCTTCAATTCCTGAAGGAAGCCCAGATGTGTTTCTACGATGGACAACCGCCAGCACTTCACGATGAGCGAGAGTAGACACAGTAGCAAGCGTAAAAGGCGGCCGAGGCCACCGAGAGAACAGCGTAGCAGGGCGCGTAGTCACCACAGGGGACACAGAACCAAACCAATGACGAAGAAGAACCACAAGGAGACGTTTTCAAAGGCAATGCAAACGAAGAGGGCAATGGAAGGACTGAGATTAGAGAACTGGAGACTGGAGTGGCGTTTTCCCGATGAACGAACAAACACGCGAAGCTATGTGGACCAACATACAACACGGACTGAACCAGGTTTTTTTATGATTTTTTTACTGGAAATAGGTACGTGCCAAGTTGGACATGACACTAAACGTGTTTAATTAGTAATATTCGTATAAGCGTACATTCATTTCAAAGGTTATTCTTTCACAGCAAAGTTATAATTAAATGAATGTATATGCAGAAAAAAAAAAAAAACACAACCGCCGACACAGAGAAGCTGATCTCAGAAATGAACACAGCGCAATCAACCCCGCCCAAAAAAGGCTTCTCATGGATCGCCCTCATTATCACTGCCGCATTGCTCTACGGGGCGTCTCAGCTAGGCGACAGGATCACCAAACAGGTGCCTGTTGAGCCACCGACCGAAGGAGAAGGCTGGATGTTCCACTTGAAGGAATTCTGCACATCATTTGGAGTCCACGGGGCTCTTGGAGTCTTGGCCATTTGTGTCGCCATTGGCGTTCAACTAGCAGTCGTCCAGCTGAAGCTCTACCTGAAGAGAGCCAATCTAGCCGTCAAGGAGGACGCATTGAATGGGAAGGTGCTGGAAAAAAAGCGACTATAGACCTAAGCGGGAGTGAGAGAACCGCAGGTAAGAAGATAGGTCACAACGGCTTATGGACCGGAAGTACTGAACTGATACCATAACGACACATCATGATGTCTCCATCCACGCGGCTCAATTTAACTTCGTCTGCCCCTATAACCTAGGCGACTGTCCTTAAGGTGCTCTGCTAATTTCTCAGTCCAAAGTGGATTCTCGAGCTCCCCAGGTCTCCACAGATCGACAGGGGACACGGACCGGCAACTGGGTCTTAGACGGGTAGGTGGACGGTCATATAGGACAGATATTTTATGGCTCTTCTAGACGGAAAAACTCATCATCACCTGTCCAACCCCCTACCGCACAAAACTTTCCACATTATTTCTAGATACTATTCACATCTGAAGTTTCTGGGTCGTGTTTATCTTGCGGTGTCCACACTAGTTGTAGGGGCCTTGTGGTGGTCTTGCACCATCGGAACTTTTGAAAATGACCTAGATGACTTGGGATTGTGACACGCAGTTAAACAAGAGACAAAAGGGATGTCTAGATCTATAATCGGCGTCTCAAGCCGTTGCATGTCTATTGTATGTGGATCTTTGGTTATAAGTGTGACCACATCGCGGTTATTCTCTTGCGTTGCTCGATACGACACTTCCTGGTGTCACAAGCTAATTGGGTAATCTCTGTCCATACACCCCGTCTACAGAAGGGGTCTACTTGGCTTAGAAGGTTCTTGGTAGGGTGAAACGACATCTCAAGGAGGTGGACACGAGCTGGCACAAGCTCAACTGTGAGGATACAAGTGTCAGCCACGAGCATTAGAAAATGGCCGTTCGATGACTATCACTGTAATGCGAAGGTCGCAAATACTCTTCTACAGTAGCTAGGTACAGAAGGAAGATAGAGGCACCAACAGACACCAGCAGACACCAACAGATACCAACATACTATCTCTTTCCATGGCCCGATCAAGGTGGTCTTCCTCGAGACGAATCACCAGAGGAATACCTCAGTCTAGACATGCGAAAATATTTAGTGTCTAACTGATGTATCTACAAACACAGTACGAGTACGAATACGATACTAGTGTATTGGTATACATAAAACCCACCTTGATTCATTCTGCCACCCTCGTCGTCGACCATCTCTCGTGAGAAATCACCATTAATTTCTGGGAAATTCTTTTCGATTTCACCCTCTCAATTTCCCTCTGGAACTTGGCAACGGGTGTGTACATAATCGAGGCCCCGTCTAGAGTTAGAGTTCCGAGGCGGTTTGCCTTGGACTATTACTGGGAACTAGGCCCTTGACGATAACGCGGAATGGAGTAGTTTGAGGGCAAACAGGACATTTAACGGGGGTGTTTTCGATGAGAAAGGCGATGACCACATTTCCCCAGTGGTTGATTATACCCATACTCCGTTTTTTGTTTTATCGCCAATTTGTCAGAGTAACCCACATGTATTGTTTTTTTAGAAAAAAACGTCTAAAATCAGCTAAAATAGAAAGATGAGTGCTAACACAATACGCGCAATTAGAAACTGCTCAATGGCACCGAAAACAGGTGGGGGTTTGATAACTGCTCAATGGATCCAAGATTGACAATGGATCGAAGTAGTCAATGGATCAGACTGTCGATTGAAGAGAAGAGCTCAATGATACTGCTGTACGCGTGCCAAACCAGTCAACCCACGTCAGATGTGACGAAAAACAGGTATTACCTTCAACAAACAGATTCTCCGTATCCCGGGACTAACTAACCTTCTCTCCTCCCACCTTGTCTCGATCCACTCTCGTCTAATGTCACATAAATGGGCCCATGTGGATTATATTTGGTATATCCGAAATTAACTTTTTGTTCGGAAATTTTCGGAGTTGGCACACATGTCTCGTGTAGGTTATCACCGACAAGGCCGAAGCCGAGGTGCGCACTCTCTCACACCACACAAACGCGTCTTTAACAGGCGAAAAACGACACTGTCGACACAATCATACGATGACACAAAAAATGGCAGAAAAAAAAGACAGTCAAAAAAATGACAGGCTGAGACATGAGAGACAAGAGGAGGGTAAGTTAGATCGAGAGTTGACACCAAAGATCTCTAGTGGTCGACGACAACCCACCAACCAACCAAATAACCAAATAACTCCCCCGTTGGACACAAGGATCCATTCACCCGCGACCCCGCACGAGGCGTTGTTGCAGCACATACACACACACACAGTGGGTGGTTCTACAGTAGGTGTATACACTCTGAGGTTGGCGCTTGAGGGTAACTTTTTTTTGGGACTTTGAGTCAACTTTGATGGATAAGTCCGACGAAAGGAGTTGGGCTTGACTGGCCAATTGTGGGCGCAATCGGCCCACGGAAAACGGAATTCTGTAGTGGGCAGTCAATTGAGGTGACAGAGAGCAAAAGCTGTCGCAAAAGGCGCCCCCAACACCTACCTTTATGCTCATGGTCTGCCTACGCTCTCCCCTCCCCTCAAGTCTCTTCACATGCGAAACTTTAATCTAAATAATTACTCACCACGTATTACACTATTTGTGCAGCGCATATCTACATTGTGCCTGCGGTAGACCAACCTCTTCTCCTCCTCACAACTCCACCAGACTCTCAAAACGATGCTCCGAACCATCGCCCGAACCCACGCTGTGGCCGCCACCAAGGTCGTGCGAGCCTCCACTTTTTCTGCCACCCCCGCCGCCTCTTTTGTGCGATTCCAGTCCGTCTGGGCCAAGGTCCCCCAGGGTCCCCCCGACGCCATTCTCGGAATCACCGAGGCGTTCAAGAAGGACGCCTTTGAGCAGAAGATCAACCTCGGTGTTGGCGCCTACCGAGATGACGGCGGAAAGCCCTTCGTTCTTCCCTCCGTCCGAGAGGCCGAGAAGGAGGTGGTGAACAAGGCCCTCGACAAGGAGTACGCCCCCATCACCGGAGTCCCCGCCTTCACCAAGGCTGCTGCCGAGCTCGCTTACGGCGCCGACTCCCCCGCCGTCCTCGAGGACCGAATTGCCATCACCCAGACCATCTCCGGTACCGGTGCTCTGCGAATCGGAGCCGAGTTCCTCAACAAGTTCTACTCCTCCAAGAAGATTCTGCTCCCCCAGCCTTCTTGGGCTAACCACAAGGCCGTTTTCACCGCCGCCGGCCTCGAGCCCGCCACCTACCGGTACTACGACCCCAAGAACATTGCCCTCGACTTTGAGGGTCTGCTCGCCGACCTGGAGGCTGCCCCCAACGGAACCGCCGTCCTTCTGCACGCCTGTGCCCACAACCCCACCGGTGTTGACCCCACTCCCGAGCAGTGGCGAAAGATTGAGGAGGTCGTCAAGGCCAAGGGCCACTTCCCCTTCTTCGACATGGCCTACCAGGGCTTTGCCACCGGTGACGTCAACCGAGACGCCTACCCCATCCGATACTTTGTCGAGCAGGGCCACGAGGTTGCTCTGTGCCAGTCCTTCGCCAAGAACATGGGTCTTTACGGTGAGCGAGTCGGTGCTTTCTCTCTTGTCTGCCAGGACACCGCCGAGAAGAACCGAGTTGACTCTCAGCTGAAGATTATCATCCGACCCTTCTACTCCAACCCCCCCGTCCACGGTGCCCGAATCGCCGCCACCATCCTCAACAACCCCGAGCTCAAGAAGCAGTGGCTCGGTGAGGTCAAGCAGATGGCCGACCGAATGATCAAGATGCGAGCTCTGCTCAAGGAGAACCTCGAGAGACTTGGCTCCCAGCAGAACTGGGACCACGTCACCTCTCAGATTGGTATGTTCTGCTACACCGGTCTGTCTCCTGAGCAGGTTGAGCGACTTGCCAAGGAGTTCTCCGTCTACGGAACCAAGGACGGCCGAATCTCCATTGCCGGAATCACCTCTCAGAACGTCGGCCGACTGGCCCAGGCTATCTACGAGGTGACCAAATAGATTATGATTAACGAGTAATGAGATGAACGTGCGCGATGATGCAGACACCCAGTGCCGCGTCCGACCGTGTGATTGAATGAGTATTGAACTGGAACCGTAGTGGCAGTAAGTGACAGCAAGAGTGCCCATTCATAGAATCTAGGTGAATGACCTTTCTTTTTATTTTCGTCGGAACTTTTGCTATGCAACAGCTATGGGATGAGCCCACGTTCACACGAGGTTTCCAGGGCTCATGTCTTCGTTACACTGATTGATGAACGACAGAAACAACCACTCATTTGCTAAACTCCATTAAACAATAACTTCTTGTAGACTGTAACCGAGCATCATTTCTGACTAGCTATTGTTTACTACAATACTCTAGAGTATTACAGGCTAGAGCATTCGAGATGCAAGCACAATTATATCACCAATGTTCGGGCTCTGTGTGTAAACTGTAGGACAGTTTTACAGAGATATGCCTCATATATCTTCATCAATCAATTTAAATGTTTCAGAGTGTAGATTTTCCTCTCTTCTGCAGGTGGTACTTCGCAATAATTTCCTTTTCGTGTTCCTCAATCATCGTATGCGTTCTCTCGATCGCCTCCCAGGCGTGTTTAATTCGAATCCTCTCCATCTCGATATCCATCTTCTCAGATACAAGGTCCATTTCCGCCACCCCTGCCTTCTTCCAGACCTTTTCTAGATTTGTAAAGGTCCATCCTCTCTGCATATTGAAAGTGGTGAAGCCCTGGGAGGCGGCTCTCTTGTAACAGCATTCAGTGTGGGCAGATAGATCAACGGCGTGGATGCTGTGGGAGCTATGAACTGTCACAAACTCCTTAAAGGCTTTGTCAGTTACCTCGAAGGGGATGTTCAAGCTGTTGTTCAGCGACAAAACAGGATTCAAAAAGACGAGCTTGAGCTTTCGAGATTTCAACACGTCTGCAACTCTCCGATCATTGTACAGATCTCCTACCAGCCGACTGAGAAAGTTGTCGACTAGCAAAACGCGAGGATACTTTGGGTTGGTATCGAAGATATGACAGAGCCATTGTTTCAAAAGTGCCAGTCTGTTGTTGTGTTTTATGACAACTCCAGGACTCAAGAGTCTGGCGGAAGCGCTGTAGCACTCGAGGATGCAAGGGTATACGCTGTGTTCGTTGTGAAAGGCACTTACAGAGATGTAATACGTGTTTTCTTTCATTTCTTCGGGAATTGGGGAAGCTCCCGAGACATTTCGAGGAACAGGAGCAGTCAGAGTTGGCGCAGGCAGAGTCGAGGGGTTGGGAGGTGCTCTGCGAGTATTGAGTTGATGACTGGCAAGAGGCAGACGTTGGTTTTCACGTTCGGGAGACGAATCTGGAGTAGGAGGAGTGTGGAAGTTCTGAGGTTCCCGCTGTCCTCTGAGACGTCGAAGTCTTCGAAGATGGAGGTCGTCCAGGGAGTTGGAGGTGTTTGGCATGTCTTGTGACTTGGGCAGGTGATTGATTGGATAAGGTGGAATTTAATGGAGAGATACTGGCGTTATAAGATGTAAAATGGGGCAGCCGTTTCCCCTATATGAGACAGCCCTAAAATTACTACATACTGTAGTAGAGGTTGGTTTGTGGTTCTTTCTGAGGCTTGCAGTGGGGGCTTGGATGAGGGTTGGGTGGGGCTGATGAAGACGAGTTCTTGAGGTTGAGAGCAAGAGGGAGGTGGATGAGGTGATATTATCGCCATTAAAATGTGGTTTTCTGTTGGTCCGGACTTCTGAGGCTGTCTCATAGAGAGGAGTCTGTGGCCGAGTGCCCACTGCCTCGAGTATCTTTGCTTCATCACAGAAGAGACATGGCAAAGGTCCTTGAAGGGTTGTTCTCTTGTTTGTTCTCGTACCGGGCAATCAATTGTCTCCGGATCGCCAATTACCGACTGGCGAATGCGTTCCTGTCGCACGGTGATGTGGTTTTTTAGAGAAGCGATCTGATTGTCACCATTTTTCAGCCTCATGGGGGTGTGCAGGTAACTCGCAGATAATCTGGAGCATAATGAGTCGATGTGGAATGTTGTAAGTACAACTACAGTATTGTGAGAACCACCCAATTGGTGTTTATCATTGGTCCAATCAATTGCAACCGGTCTGGGCATTTTTCAGGCGTCAATACTCTCACAGGTTTCCATGGTAAACTTCTGTTGACCCGTGGGGAACACATTCGTAATATACGAGTCTCATCTTCAAGTAGAGTATTGAGGATAGCCCAAAACAGATGGATTGCGAGGGTTAGTACTTGGCTAGTTACCACATCGAAAGAATGAGGGATAGGGGGTATATCCTGTAACAAATATATAACAACTTACCATGTCGGGAAGGTTCTTTAATGAGTTGTTTACACTCTTGGGGGAGTCGTCAAGGAGCTCAGGCCAGGCAGCTTTGGCCAGATAATCCTTCTACTCCTTTGGTTTCTTCTTCCACCTACGTTCAGCAATGCTTCCCCAATGAGACTACTACTGGCCCCTTGAGTCGCGGAAAGATGATTGTGTTACTGGAGCTTCTCGTTGCTGCGGAGGAGCCACTTTTCCTCTTATTCCCTTCTCTTATTCCCTTCTCTTATTCCCTTCTCTTATTCCCTTCTCTTATTCCCTTCTCTTATTCCCCTCTCCTCTTATTCCCTTGTTTTTTTTTTTTTTTCTTCCATCAACAATTCAATATATAACAATATTAAGAGTAATTCCTAATAATTGAAAAAGGGGACGTAAAACAAATATTCAAATCGGTAAAACATCTAGAATCAAGTAAGAAAAACAAGTTAACAAAAAATCAGTGTATCGCTAATGTACACATGAACTTCCTCCTCCTCCCTATTAAGAACCCTCCAACCACAGTGCCATTGCCTCCGTGTGGCCAATTTACTTGATTTATGCCTCTTCATATTCCTTCACTTAGAGGTAGCAAGACTGTTCTAACAGTAGTCTAGCATTGAGCCGAACTTGTCCTTGATTTCGTCCCTGTTTGCGTCCTCCCCTGTCTGTCATAACTTGGGCTCCAACTCCCCGATACCATAAGCCCGTTCTCGGTAATAGTTTCCTCGAACTCGTCATTTCTCCTGCCCTGGTCCAGTTTCTCTTGGTCCTTCGCCTCGGACTTGCGTCAACAGAGGAGTTCCTCTCCATGCACCTATTCACCAAGAGTTTCCACTCGCGAGATCCCAGCCTTATTATCCGCATTTCCATCATTAATGGACAGTCACTGAAGATGCGACGGTAAAAATGGTCGGTGGAGATGTAGCTCTTTTTTACCCCTTTTTCGACAATTTACTAATACGTCCCGTCATCACCATCGCACCAATCCAATATAGTGTAGGGGCTATTACTTCGAGCTCACTTGTGGAGAACCGTGTAAGGCGGGTTCTATTCCCCTATCTGAGTGTCAAAAAGCGGCCCTTCTTTTTTCCTGTTGTGAATCAGTTACCATTAGTCTGTTGAATCGATGGCATACTGGTAGGCTGGCGATTGTCAGGAAAACGCCAATGCGAGCAGTCAAGGTCTTTTTTCGGGTCCCAGGTAACAATTGTGGTCTATTAGTCCATTAGAATGGCAAGAAATATGTCATATGACAATTTTAACGCCCTCTGTGAACCAACTACCGCATAGTCGTTTAATCCATTGCTTGGTGGGATTATGGAACCAATCCAAAAACCAGTACCACCGTATTCGTATGTTCACCTCTTGGCCAATGTCGTTTAAATAGACAGAAGAAAGCAGAAACTGCTCCAAGTATGGCTATCTTTGTGCTCGCATTAATATTCCTCCAAATATTTTCGGCGGACGGAATAAATAGGTTTCGGATAGTAGGTAAAGCCAACTGATCTGGTTCGATAGTGGATGTTCACAATCATAAACGACTATGAAGTCTTATGATGAAGAGACTCTTTAAACTGGTTCTGGTGGAAGGTGTCTGTCAAAGGCTGGAGGGATCTGCACTGCTCTTTCAACTTGATCCCCCAATAATGGCGACTGAGAGGACGGCGGTGCTCTATAGGTAGTTCGGTGCGATTTTCAAGAGTATTGAGGGAATATTTGCAGACCACCAAAAGGTCTCCGACTCTTGGATGGGGGTATTGATCGAGGTGAGGGTTGTGGAACGATGGACAAGGGTCTTGTGCCATTTAGATGTATGATTGCTGGTATACACGGGGTAGAATAGCCGAGAAGAGGCAACTGTCCAAATATCGGTCACTTGAAATCTCATAGAGATATGGGTCTCTTTTTAAGCATCTGACGAATTCACATCGCGACCATGGGACTGGTCGCAAGTCGAGCCAGGAGTCAATAAACTGAACATGATGGTCAGCTACAAGCACCCCAAGTGAGAAAGACACAGACTGCGGGTCCATATCAACGGTATAACATCCTGGTGGCTCCAGGAACGAAGGCGAATGGCTCCGGAGGACAAAGACAAGGGCCAGAGAGTCGAGTCCAAGAGTGAAGATGGGGAGACTGGGATGACCGATGTCACCTGTGAAGTGGCTAGCCAGCTAAACCAAATCCAGGACAGATCAGTGGTGCGTGACTGGGAGATGCTCAGACTGGGGAACGTGTTATTCGAAGGCAGTCACGTCGCCTCTATAAGCGCATTCGGTAGCGTTGTGAACAGTGGCATAGGCACCGAAGAAACCGGACCGTGTCTTCACACAGACCAGGTGGGAGGTGGGTGGAATTAGGCTGGTTGAGGGAGGACTTGATTGTCTCAAAGAATACGGAGTTCAGTTTGTGGATCTGCCATTGAACCGTGCAAGTTTCGAAGAGTCTTGGTTCAAGATAAAATGGTGAGCTGTACCCGAAGTTGGTGTCCATCGTAAAACAAACCACGAGTACGGGTTTTCACTCGTACAACAGTTGTCATATGATTCAGAGCTGGTGATGAGGAATTGTTTGACGGAAGACGGGGGGCTCCAATTCGATTCACGGCACCACCGATTGAGCTAGACGTGAGGGTATACAATGCGATTCTCAGAAATGATTGTCACCGCAGTACAATCTCAAGGCAACTCCAGAGTCAAGTTATTGTTGATCGCTACTCGGATGATCCCAATACCATGACAGAAACGTGAAAAAACCCAAGGATGAAGTGTCCACAGTGTTTCCAAGACCAGGAAGCGCAATTGCCCTGAAAAAAAAAGACCACGTTGAGAGAACCACGTTAAAAGAACCACGTTGAAAGAATCACGTTGAAACCGAACCACATTAAACCGTACAACCTCGTTACATCCCATGTTAGCTGGATCGTGACCAACCTAACACCGCCTGTTTAAGCACTTGAACAAAGACCAGCTTGAACAGAGTAGTGAGATGCTGGGGTATACGCCCAAGATGACGTGGTATCAGAATTCAACATGACATACACATTCTCGACGACAACACCACTGGCATCATTGTCATGAATGCAATTTGTTGAGTATCCAATCCCAAAACGATGGCACTGTATTCCGGCAATAGACAAGCTCAACTCCAGAACCAAAACGCGTCCTTCTGCTGATTGTTCTCAGCCCTCCAAACACTCACAAGTTCTCTCACAACGACGCCCACCACACTGACACTACATCGACGCCCACCACACTGATGCTTGCTGCCGCTGACCGCCTCGATAAAGCAAACGATGCATTATCGCCGCTAATGGGTCCAACTAAAAGTGAGACACACTTGTCTCAGCCCCGAGACATGGCTGCTGAACCATATGTATGGAACCCTGTACAAGTAGGTTGGTGGAAAAAAAAGTGGTCTGATATTTTTATTTTTTTTGGCCGTGTTTTTCAAAGCGGCCGGTTTGGGGGGTTCCATAATACAAGTGCCTGGAAAATGAAACGTAAAAGACGACACAGATGAAACCTCGAGTGTTTGGTGCCTGAGACACAATGGGATTATATGTTATATTTGAAAGCGACCCAAAGTAGCGACGACACGGACTCATTAGTGCAGACCAGGGGACCTGCTCTTGTGAGCCATTTCCACGCGAAACTTCCTTTTGGTCCTTGTGGGGATGTGACATGACAGGCCCTAAAAGCTGGCCAAGTCTGCATCACAGTGGGGGGTCTAGCCCGGGCAGGAGAAATTCCAAAATACCCAAAAAAACGCGGTACCATGCATCCAGTCTCCGCGATATTATTGGCACTTGTCCCAGGATTTTTGCAGTGGGGGGATGTGGTATTTCTTTTTCTTTTTCTTTTTCTTTTTCTTTTTCTTTTTCTTTTTCTTTTTTTTTCGTTTTCTTTTTAATTTTCGTATTAGTTCCTGGCTGCTCTGGGTTGCACGGCTGCCTTTTCTCTGGCTGCACAGGTTCCCCTCTCAAACAAAGGCCATGTGGACCCACGCCAAAAGAGTCAAAAAAAATAAAAAAATATAAAAAATACGCGGTTGCTGCTAATCTGCTTCAACGGCTGCGTAGCTGCACGGCTGCAGGGATCTTTCTTTGTGGCCTGGGCCAATCGGAGGGGTGGAGGTGATAACAGTGGTTAAGAGCGGGAGGGATTAGTTGGGGGTTAGTTGGGTTTAGATAGGGAGAGGGAAAAGATTATAAAAAGAATATATAAAAAAATTATTCTGTGATTAAAAAAACAAAAGTGGGAAAGGGAACAACAGGAGAGACGAAGTTGAATAAATTGACAAGAGGCGGAAGAGATAACAAGACTTCCGCAGGTCCAGAAGAGAGCCTTGGAAACGAAAAACGACCAACGATAATAGTCTGCTTGTTAATATACGCTGTTGTTCCTGGGCCACTCTGCTCGTCAATACGCTCTGCTCGTCAATACGGCTGTTCCTGGACCTTGATAATACAATGACTCCATTCCATAATGAGATTGTATTCCTAAAATCGATAAGAAAATGCAAAATAAGAAGCGGAAAAAGAACTGAAAACAAAAAATGGATAAAATAAAATAAAATAAAATAGAAATTCGTACTTGTACCTAACTACAGCACATGGCGCAAAAGTAAACGATGCAGCTCACTCCGATGCATATTCCATTACAAAGACAAGCCGGCAAAAACTGCAAAAGAGAGACCCAGATCGGAGACTCACATTATGTATAACTGCGCAAGAATTACACATTATACATACAGTGCAGTGCGTGTACAGGGGCGGAATAAGCGGCAAAATCGATATCGCACCAATTATTTTTCTCCCAATGGTGACAAAAAGCACAAAAAGCGCAAAAAAAAGCCAAGCGAGGAGGTTGGAGGTTGGAGGTTGGAGGTGTCAGGTTGGAGGGTTGGAGGTTGGTGATGATTTGAGTGTGTTCACGCGTTATTGTATGTTTTTTTGTCTTACTTTTTTTGTGTTTTTCAAAGTGCCCCAGTGGGTTTTGTTTGATCGTTGTATACATACTGCCACCATTCTCAGTGAGGATAAAATATACGAGCGACGAGGTGCCTGGTGGAGCCGTCCGTGAATAATATTTGCGAAAGAAGACCAATGGGGAATAATAAACGGTGTGGCAGGACATTCGTGGATAGAGGCGCAGAATGGCGGAGCAGGCAGCGCAGAATGGTGGAGCGGAGCGCAGAATTTCGAACAAGAGAACAAGAAAAAGAACAATGTACGATATAAATGTTCTAGTGATAAACAACAGTTTTACAGCGGTGAACAATCGCAATGAGTCATCATTGTCTTTACGTAAAGAGTCTTGTGGAAGTTCAAGGGGTGGAGACGTGTAGCTACTTCACCACGCCTGTTGTCTACTGTACCATGACGCTCACTTATTACTATTGCATCGCCAAGAATCATCCCTGACTCAGTATTCGAGTCCAAGTCAGATAAATCTCAACTCGACGGAGTCCCATCTCTTCTACTGGCCAATAATACGCCAAATGTGCTCTTGCGCAGGTCGAAAGAGAATGAACAGAAGCGGCTGACATGTTTTACTAGCATTGGTGCCAGAGATTCGAAGTTAGGCATGTGGATGGTGAGATGATGCTCTGGTGTGTAGTAGTACGAGAGCAGAACCGGCGCAGCATTGAGCTTGTCCTGTTACTGAACTCGGAGGAGAGGCATTGGTGTAGTTTGTACTTGCGGTAAGTGGGTGAATCGAATCGGTATAATCCAATTGTGTAGGATCAACTTTGAATTGGAGCATCATCATTTCCGTCAGCTCTGTCAGCTCGTCAACCCCTCGTCCCCGTCAACTGGTCCACTCGGTCAACCTGATCAACTCGGTAACTCCGCCAACTCCGCCAAATCCGCCAATCCGCCAACCCCTACCGAATATGTTCAGCCACAGTACATTCTTCCTCAACCCTTCAAATGCTCATACAAAGCTAGGATTCTCCAAAACTTCATCTCCACCTTCACTCACTCCCCGGACTCCCACACAGCACGCCAATCAACCAGCATCAGACCACCTCGAGCGTCGTTAACTGACTACAGTATGTACGGCTGCTAATGTTCCACAGGATAGGCCAACTGCGTTCCAAGATTTTGGCCAAAAGAAACGCCGAAAAAGCAACGTTCAAAAAGAAATGCGACACGCGGATTAGATCCAGGTGAGGATCTACACCCAGGCAGTTTCATCCCCATCACTGAGTGTGAGACATGGTAACTACATTTCAGCGGTGCTGCTGATCGTCCGCGATGGATGAGTAAGCTGTATTCCTAGCTTCAGGTGTGGTTATCCAAAATGAGGGTTGCTGAAGGAGACGCAGGAGACGTGATGACGAGGTTACAGAGACAGTGCAGTACCCCCCTTTAAAAAGATTCGAAGCTGTGTCAGACCTTGTTGCGGTGTTGCTGGAGTATACGCATACTTGTACTGCGCTCAATGATACTACTTCTTTCGTTGGCAATGGAGATACAACCAATTGACCAAGAAATAAGTGAGTGCAAGCACCTTCTACCCAAGTCCCGCACTTCACATCTCCATTACCTGTTCCAGGTTAGTCAGTATCAGCTTTGGCGGGAGTTAACGCAGCAATGGGCTCAGTAAGGTACTATCGAGGATACAACAGGTACAAGTATCTCGATATTGTCCGATTAATCTTCAATTTAAAGTCCCGATTCCCCCCTCCCTGTCGTTAGACTGATTTCAATTGGTCTCGTCCACACACAGCACCAGGCATTACTGTATAACGATTACAGAGTATGATATAGACGAGTTATGAGTATTGGTAAGAGACAATATGTTTATTTGAATCACTATTTGTTGTCTTGATGAGATTTTCTGTTCATAAAAAGTCTCTAGGGCTCAGTAGACACTCTCGTGGGTTTCAGCTCCACTTTCTGAACAGGGTCACAGAACACGTTCCAGAGCATATGAAGATATGAGCGTATTATTAATCGAATCCTCCATGCTGTTCAAATCCCGTTGCAAAGCTCTCTTCCTTGTAACATATCATTGGATCGCACAAGACATGGCATTTCACCAACACTCCACCTACAGCACAGAATCAGTTTCAGAAAAGCCACGACGATGGGCTCAATGACAGCAGAGCCTCCAGAGTCGTTATAGAGCACTATCGAACCTCCGTACCCTGCAATATACCCATATTGTCTTGTAAATATACATCCCCAGGTACTGTACATGACAAGTGCAACTACCCCGAACAGTACCTTCTGAAAGAGGATTGAAGCTATCCACTTCACTTTTAACAACAAACCCGCCTATCTCACCTCCACCACTTCACATACTAAACATCATCATTAACTAACACATCATTTGCTGTTTTCTAATCTGGACATGACCTTCCACGTCAACATCGAATCAGAATGCCGGTCCAAGACTCGGCCTATTTACACTCCGCCACTGGTTGATCTCCGCCTGACTTGGTTCGTTCAAAAGTCGTGTTTGATTCAACTAGACCTGTCCATCTTAGTTGAAATCGGAAGCCTGCAAGTTTCGAGTCATGGCAGGCAGGGCGATTCGGATTCCATCCAGATCCTTGGACATACACACCTGGCAGCCCAGACGCGAGGTCTCGGTGAGGCCAAATGCCAGATCCAGCATGTCGTTCTCATCATCATCAGGCTCCTCCAACTTGTCGTAGTACTCGGGGTCCACAATCACGTGGCAAGTGGAGCAGGCACACGATCCGCCACAAGCGCCCTCCATGTCCAGATTGTTGGCCTGTGCAATGTCCAGCAGATTGTCGCCCTCGCACGTGTCAACCTCAATCTGCTCACCGTCCTTGGTGATGAAGGTGACCTTGATTTCCTCGCCAGGCTTGGGCTTGTGCACATGACCGTGGAAAACGGGAGCCGAGGTCTGGAAAAGACGCGTGGCCGGGGCAACGGGTCGGAACGTCCGTGGAACGGCCCGGGAAACCTGCAAAACCTGTCGAGAGAACGTACGGAGCATTATCGGTGGCGTTGAAAAAATGTTGATTTGAATCTTCAAACTGTACACATTTTAAACTCTATCAGAGGAGCTGAGTGGGGGATTAGTCAGCGGTCGAGGGGAAATTGAAGACGTTGATATAATGCTGGATTGGGGTGTTGCTGTCAATGTGGTGAGTTGAATGGTGCAATATATATCGCTCTCGGGTACCTATATCAAGACTTGTGGGTGATATAGCGCCCGAATCCGTTGCTTGATAGGACTAATTGGTGATATCTGGAGCTTGCGGCATGGTGAGCACTCTAAAGACCTCCTCAGATCTCTCTCAGTAGCTTGCTAGCTTTTTTTTGCTTTATCAGAGTTGAAAAGGAGGCATTATGTCTCATTTGGCTGAGTTGGGTGCTTAGTCAGCTTGGTGAATACTGCTCCGATTTGATTTCTGATAGTTTATTTTTGCTCTATATCCGATTACAAGACGAACGCACTCTTTGTAGTGTAAATATAATACCTCTATCACGTCCTGACGGGGGTTTCTACCCAGCCAATAGAAACGCTTACAGTAAGAGAGAAGACTAAAAGGCCCTATAGGACGTCATTTACTGTACAACCAAAGCACGAGTTGCTTGGATATATAATGGGAGTCTTTTTCATGTAGCAGAATTCATCAAATAAAAATGGGCTTTGATCTGATCTTCCTCCGAATTACGAAAATACTATATATAATAACAAAAAACGGCTTTATTATCCTTTCCTGAGACACGCTTACATGTGGGGTCACCCACAGGTCGGTAGTAGGCGCATCTGGATGTGGTTGTGCACAGTACTGTATGTACAGTACGCAGTACGTTGGGGGATGTGTCGACAGGTTATGAGCTAGGGTGGGTGATTGAGTGATTGCGACATTTGTACGACACTTGTGTTTGAACTGAACTTGTACTTGATCTATACTTGACCTTCTAGTTGACTCTAACAGCACTATAAACTATTTTCGAATGCCCTGAACAAAAGCGGTTTGGTCACAAAGAATCAATCAAAAGCGCTCGATCTCTTATGGCCATTCTTCTCGCGGCGGATACAGATGCACAATTGTCAGTCTACTTGCCTTTCTCGTACAGTTCGTACTCGTACCTGACCGGACATGCACGGTTGTGGCGCCTTCTCACATACAAGGAACCACCGTATAGGGGGTCCATAAGCGACCCCTTCTCGTACCCAACTTGACCCTGCGTTCCCGTCGCATTTGCAGCCCGTATACATAGCTCCACGAAAACCAAACGGCTTTTGTCCTTGTCGCGCGTACAACTCCAGTTTCCGGCGTCTGCAGGTGTCGGCGCGCTTCCTGGAGGCATAGATGGCCGGAAAAAGAGCGCGCAGAGCTCACTGAGCAAATCCCGCAACTCTCAAAGCGGCTGCCATGTCTATGTGCCAAGGAGCGAGTCCCGGCTGCGTTTCTTTTGTGTCCAACCGGAATCTCCGAATCCACTCCGACTACCTGCGTCTGTCGAGTATAGGGCAAACGAAGCGGCTAAACGGTTTTCTGCCTTGTTGCTTCAAGTGTGTCTGTCGTCCAGCGGGATTTTGGTCACGCGCACAAGGTCTCGTGACCCCTTAAGACAGTTGTGGGCCTTCAGATACCGCTATGAAATGTTGTAGAAGACTGCATATACTGGGCATGATGATTGGCTGGATGAAAAGAGATCTGGAACTGTCATGCAGGTCCAAAGCAGATCGAAAAGAAAAAAAAAATTGAACAAATGAACTCTCTTTGCTTTATAATGTCTGTCTTGGTACTGTGAGCTCTCCTGTATGTGCTGTACATTTCTCCTCATCGTAGATTTCGCTCAGCCGTTAGTCCATGGTGACCATGTTCGGTTAACTAATGGTGTAAGTAAAGTTGTTTAATTACTTAGGTGAATTCAACTAAATATATATTGGCGAAACTGCACTCAAATTGTCCAAATTGAGAAAATGGAGTTTCATACACCGTGGGACCCGCTATGGAGCGCATCTTATGGCTCTCGGCCTTCTTATTATCACCCTCAAAAATCCTGAAAATCAGCCCGCGTAGGAATCGAACTGAGCCCTAGCCCCGCACACCGCTATCACGCACTATCCACTATCACGCATACTGTATTCTAGCCCCCGCCACGACATCATGGAAGCGAGCGAACTATACAAGAGCTACGAGACGGACTTTCTGCTGGCGCAATCCGAGATTGAGCAGAAGCTCGAGAGCATTTCGACGCTCGAGCGAGGTGAGTATGGGCGAGCCAAGGGCGCAACCTCGACAATGACGTGGTATTTGATCGACAAGGAATGACATGAACAAGTGGCATTCGCAATGTTTTCGACTGCTGATATCTGGCAGGTGACGTATTCTACCACGAGATTGCTGTTTGGCAGTCGTCGACAGATGCTGCCCAGCGGTGCATCTTTCACTATTGGTGACAAGAAACGCTGATTGAACGGCTATAGCCCTTTGGAATTCGGGTATTCTGTTATTCACGACTGTGAAATACCAGACAGTGAATCATGGTCCTGTCACCATCAACTTTTTCCTGCAGGCGCTCGATTGAACTTCAACCACTCCTGAAGAAGTTCATGGGGGACACAAGTAATTGCTTTCTGTTACTCCAGTGATACGGTCCGTTCTCATGTCTACACGGGTCTTAACTTGTCAATTTCCAGTACTAACACAGACGCCCGAACATCTGCCGTCAAGGCCGTTGAGCGAACCATTGGCGAGGCCTACGAAATTGTGAGTATCGAAGGGGGATATTTGGTCGATACAAACGACATACTGGTTAAAAATGGATCTGGTTTTTTGGACCGGTCTATTTAACAGTCTTAATGATCCGGCTGGACTACAGACACGACGCCCAACAATCTCCTCATCCCTACTAACTCAGCTTGACCAACTCTCGGTTGAAATCCAAAACATCCCCTCGTCTGCGCGAGCACCTTTGTCTGCCAACCTGCGACAGTATCGACAGTCAATCCAGTCTGCTAAGAAGCAGCTTGCCAACGTGGAGCAGGCTGGCGCTCGAAATGAGCTCTTTGGAGACAGATCGGCGGCCGGCGACGGCGACATTGCTCTCGACCAGCGACAGCAGCTTCTGTCTGGCCAGGAGTCCCTCGACCGAAGCTCGCAGCGAATCAGAGACTCGCAACGAGTGGCCAACGAAACTGAGTCCATTGGAGCCAACATTCTGACCGACCTGCGGGGCCAGCGGGAACAGATTCAAAACTCGAGAAACACATTGCTGGAGGCAGATGGCTACGTGGACAAGAGTATTCGGACTCTGCGGTCCATGACCCGTAGGATGGCTATGAACAAGGTGTTGACCTACCTGATCATTGCTGTGTTGGTGATTCTCATTCTGCTGGTTCTAGCCAGCAAGTTTTGGTAGACGGTAAATGACGTAATGTTGACTATAATTATTAATGAAAGGGTGTATCCAATGCAAGTTGGTGATGGTAGTGCGTTCTATGGCGGGTAGGAAGTGGAGAAGAACGGATACTGGTAGCTCTTCCAAGACGTAGAGTCAAGCAAACGCCAGTCTCGCTTCATTGACACTCACTCTGAGTAACCCTGATACTTGTACAGTTGCTGGCTTCTAAATCTTTCGAGAATGGTGGTTCCATACATGCTCTTGCTCTAGACCTTGCAGCAACAGTAAGAAGTTGGCTACAGTACTGCAGATAACACGTTCGAGACTTGGCAGTTGTTCGCGACTTTGTCGTCTAATGAATATTTGCTCTAGTATTGACACTTGCGCTATTCCGTCTTGGTCTAAATTAATGTGTATTTGAAATAGGACCTAATGAACAGCATGGAGCGGTCTAAAACCAAGCTAAGGACCATTGTTAGGAGATTGGAAAGTTGACTAAGGGGGAATAAGAGGTCCAATGACTTATGAGAGGTGTTTTCTTTCTTTACAAACAACCAATTGTGTGAGTTGTTGTGTCTGCACAGGCTGGCCAGTGGCGTGTCTCAGACAATCAGACAACCATAATCAAAGGCATGTTGGTTCAAACCTACGACTTTTAGTCAATACTGTAAATAAGCAAACAAATAAACAGCGGTGCTATGTGGACTGGGTTATACTGGTTATTGTTTGGCTGGTGATGTCAACGCAAGTAAGGACTTGAGCTTGTGGTGTGGAATATACAAGTATGTACTGTACTTGTTTTTCCATAACCGTCCCACAACAGCCAGAGTCGGTACAGCATCGAGGGAGTCAAGGTCTAGCTTGTAGAATGAACTCACAATCCATGGAGCCAGTTGAGTACTTGTAAAAGTACTTGCAAAGACCCAATGACTTGTGAAGGGTGCAATGTGAAGCTGACGGCTGCACTCGTTGTAATGGCTGCATGCGGGTCTCAATACGGGCTTTTTATGGCTTTTAATGCCGCCAAAATATTATCAGGGCTATACTTATAGTATATTATCGGCTCCTGTATTGCTTTTGGGAAGAGTGATAGGGATGGACATAGCGAGAGGGGACCGGATCAACCCAGTCCAGGACATAGAAGACAAATGGAACCACACCGACTGAGAGTCTCCACCTTCTGTATCCAAGAGCTTGCCGGTATATTCTCTTGGCACGTGACTGTCTTCGTCGAGATCATCTCCAACGTCATGTCCAAGCTTAACAAAAGTACTTCCAACTTAGTTATACTCAGGTGAGAGCATACCTAAAAAGCCATTAAAAAAGCAGAAAAAAAAAGCAGAAAAAAAAAAAAAGCAAGTCCATAAAATGCCTTTTCCGAGGGCTCCTGTACAGTTAGACACTCCAACAACGATGAGGGGGGGGGGGGGGGGGGGGAAAGAAGCCAAAACAAAGGCCGAGGCCCATTCCATCCAACCTACCGACGATATTCCTGCCAAAAGTAACCCACAGAGCATTACCTCAGACAAGTACTGTAGTCCTTTAAGCTGCCCTGACCAATTCTCACTCAGCGAAGAGAGTTGATTGGTTCATAGAGAGGCTTGGTTGGCAGTTGCGGGCTCGTTGATTGACAGTTGGAAGTGAGATAGAGCTGAATAATAGCTGACAGGATCGTGTTAATAACTAACGATAACGATTGAAGTGTAGTGGATATTTGTGGTGTCCCTGTGGTGTCCCTGAGGTGGTTGGTTCGAATAACTGAGTCGGAGCACCATGATGAGCGCTACCAAGTCGTGTGTATCATGGAGTTGCCCGGAGCAGAGCAAGCTCTCAGAGGACACAAACTTGTTGTTTCGAGCTGTAGACAGAACTTGAACGTGGTTCTGGATGTGATAAGTATCGCACAGAATGTTGGGGGCACCGTCGACAAAAGTCAACGACTTAGGAAATCGTCTCTGTAGGGTATTGGATGACGTGGAGAGTCCTCAAAGAGACTCGTAGGGTGACTTATCCCCACCAAAATGGTCTGATATTCGTGACGACCTGTTCCAATCAATGATTTCTTGTGCCCGTTAGATATTCCCACCAACTGCTGTAGTTGCACATCAACTTCTGCAGTAGTTGACATTATGCACAAGTCAAGTATTGCTCCCAACTTCCGAGCCCAAAAGCCAACTACTCGCAACCATATTAGAAGACTTCTCTACAAAACTCGCCACCGGAAAAACAGCTCATGAAAAGCCACTATTGACCTTGAAAACCGCATCTGCGACCCAAAATCAGCTTCTGGGCCATGAAACCAACTCACACAGCCTCCTCCACCTTATACAAGACCCCTTGCCGAGGACTCAACGCTCCGTCACCGTCTCTGACGCATAGTATCATTGTGGAGGGTAGAAGAGGGTGTGTGAGAGTCATTCTAAGCAACAGATGCTGATGGTGACGAGTCAGTGAGGTCGACATGGTCGTTGCGAAAGCAATTGATAGTTGAAAGTACAGAGCATTCGTTATCCACGACTACACTGACATGACACAGACAGTCCATGATCACCCACACACTCAACACACCAGCAACAACACTCACCCGTGTTCCATTACTCGCCCAATTGAAGGCCGCCCTTCAGACCACACTCTTCACGTGGCGCGAACCTACACAGACAACCGAGCTGGGATCACATCCCACGAATTGATGACGGTGATGGCTGATCCATACAGAATCATCCTCTCTCTCGTCACAATCTCAGGCTACTTCCCATCCATCCATCCCACATATCACCCCAATCACAGATCACCCCGACCACAGATCACATCCATCACACCACACTAGATCATGTCAATACGCCAGATTCCTCCCCGCTCACTACCCGGCAGTCATTCGCCATAAATACAATAATATTACAATGCTTCAATAATGTGGACAATCTTGTCCACGACTTTTTCGAAAATCGAGTCGTCTCCTCGAACCACCACCAGCTTGCCCTGGCCTCTCAACTCCACTGCCGACGACTCCAACTCGGAGCCCTCAGCCTGCAGATAGATGAGAATGTCGGGAGCAGGAAGCCCTCGAAGCAAATTGGCACTGGACATCCATTCCTCGAGATACGACGAGGCCGAGGCCGAAGACACACTCTCAGAGACGGACGCTCGAGACATGAGTGGGTCATGTGAGACGGAGCCGTGGTGGTGGGGAGAATCACGTGAGATGGAGCCGCGCGACTCGTGGGCCAGCTCAGCCACACGCGTCTCGTGTTGGTGATGCGACGTCACGTGGGGATGCGCGTTGTGCACAGGGTCATGTGACACACTTTCACGTGTCGGGTCACGTGTGGCCGAGGTGGGCTCATCTCGCGAGAGCTCGTGCTCTGCGCCAGCATGAGGAGCAATCGCCACGCTAGGCGAGCGTCCACTTCCTCCTACGCTCGCCGGCGATCCACTCTCGGACTCCTCGGGGATCACAGAGGTGTCTCTCTTCCATCTCTCCATGGCTTCCGATTCGTGTTCTTCCGAGTATGTCGACGTGTGGCTTTGTCGCATCAAGTGCTCCTGAACAAACTTGTCGGCAATCGTCACGAGATAGCCATGTAGCAGGACAACGCCAGGCTGAGAAGTCTTGTGTTGCGCCGAATGGAAGTAGTTGGACACGAGCTGATGTAAACACGTGATATTCCACATGGCTGACGCGAATCCGTCGGTGATGAAGTCGGGTTTTTGGTTGATGATGCAGGCCAGCGAGTTGGCGGGGGTGGTTGAGGGGTTGGTCGAGGTTGTGGGGGTGTCTGACGCGCCTGCAATGTTGTGCAGGGTGACAAACGAGTACTTTGAGTCGGTCGGCGCGTTTTTGCTGTCAGCAGCCTCTGCACTCTTGACTTCGGTAGGAGTCTCAGCCTTGGCTTCGTTCTTATCGGCAACCTCAGCCTCTTTTCCTTTAGCTTCTGTGGGCTCCACCTTTGCAGGTTCAGTGGCGGCTGTGCCGGCAACGCTCGCATTGCTAAGCTTCTCCTTGACGCTGTCAACTACCTTTCTTCCCCATTCTCCTCCTCCCTCGATGGCCACAATCCTGCTTCTCTCACTCACCTGGCCGGGGAGAGGCTCACAGAGCATGCTGAGTGCGTCTGCCTTCTCGCGCATACTCATGGGACCTCCCTCTTCGGCCACGAGCGGACTGATGCGGCCAGAGGCAATCGCAATGGCCGACTTGTACCGCACGGACCGCCGCTGTTGCTGGGGCAAATGATGGGGGGCGAGCGGGTCGTGGTACGATGAGGTTCGGCGTCGCTTGGTAGCATGGTCCTCCTCGATTAACGCATGGGTGGGAGGAAGACGCGTTCGGTGGGTCAGCGAGTTGAGGCTGAGCGGCGAATGAAATGCGGGGGAGTATTGTAGGGGCTGTGATGACAGTTTGGGTGTGGTGTTCTCGAACTTGATGTGCTTGCCGGGCGGTTGGGAGGAAGACGACGCTGCCGAGGTGGGGGCAGTCGAGTTGGGTGGTCCATGGGGTCCTGAGACGGAGCCCTGGTGGCCCTGGCCGTGGGAGGCAGCCCGATCCCGGCCCTCCATCTCCAGCTCGTCTCTGGGCACGATTCTGGGCAACGCCGAGAACGTTTCTGGTGCTGAGTTGTGTCTAGTCTGGGCTGCGACGTGCTCAACGCTCGTGGGGTAGCTATACCGAGCAGCCGGGTGTGGATAATGGGGATGGAAGAGCGCTGCTTGTGGGGGAGGTGGCGGAGGAGGAGGATAGGGCATGCCTGAAGAGGCATCGAAAGATGAGTGCGAGCTCGAGATGCTGCTGAAGCTGCCGCTGCTGTTTCCACCAACACTTCCGCCCATGCTGCCAATGCTTCCGACGCTGCCGCTGCTTCCTCCGCTGCTGTGCCGGGGCGAGTATGTGTTGCCCGCACCCGCGCCTGCTGACGTGATTCCTCTACACACGGGACACACGCCGCTGTTGTTTTCACCGCCATTTTTTTTGGGGTTTCGTCTAGGCTGGTAGCGGTAGTCCGGGAAGCGCTCCAGGTGGCTCCTCTTCTCCTCGTCACTGAGCTGGACCCAAAAGTCCTTTTCCGTCTGGGCCAGGCTTCGCCACTGCTCTCCAATAATCTTTGAGATCTCTGGGTTGGACTTGCCGGGGTTTTCGGCCACCACAATCGAGTGGTGGTGTTGTCGGTACAGAATGAAGGCGTTTCTGGGCCGCGGCACACGCGTCACGTTGGGACAGATACAGACGTGGGCCTGGGCAAGCGGGGGAATGTTTGACGGCTGCTGTTGCTGGGGTGGTGGAGGCGCCTGATGCTGCTGCTGTTGCTGCTGCTGCTGTGGTGGGCCGTGGCTCTGGGGGTGGGCCTGTGGTGGTGGTGGGCCATGCTGCTGCTGCTGTGGCTGTTGTTGCTGGTGAGGAGGTGGTCCATGTGCTGGATGGCCAGCATGCCCCGGAGGATAGTACATGTATTGAGGATGCTGATGTTGTGGATGGGGATGGTGTTGTGGGTGGTGAAGCTGGGGAGGGTGCTGTTGCTGCTGCTGTTGGTGCTGTTGGTGCTGTTGCGCCTGTTGCTGATGTTGTTGCGCCTGTTGCTGCTGCTGCTGCTGCTGCTGCTGCTGAGGGGTATTATGCGGAGGTCCCTGCCCTGGAGGTCCGTTGTACGACATGGTGACGATGGCCGTTGCTGATTCCGCTGGTTAGTAGAGAAGACTAGCGTCTACCTGTTTCAGAGTGTGGCAGCGCTTATAAGGATGCTGCTGCTGATGCTGCTGCCAGGGCTGTAAGGGGAGGGGGGCGTGATTCGTGGGGGGTGGCGTCGTCTATGGTGGCAGCGTTCGCTGGGTGGTGTCGTACGTCTTCGCCTCTTGCCGCTCTAGCCGCCGCGGTGATGATGACAAAAGCTGGAGCAGAAGCAGACTTGGATGTGAGGTGTAGGAGGTCTCTCGGATTTGAGTTTGCCACCATTTCAAGCCAAGCGCCAAACAAAAGGCTTCGTTGGTTTTGTGCTTTTTTAATCTTTGCAATAAGCTCGGCCAGATTATTATTTACAGTCTGAAAAAGTTTATTCTCACAAAACGAAAAATCCCAACCTACAGTCTTGGCGAACCGTAACCTTATGCTCTCCTATTGAGATAGACTTTTAAGCGAGCAACCTAAGGTGGTGATAATGGCAGAGAAAGTGCAAAAAAGGAAAAGTCGTGGATTGTGCAAACAGATGGCGGCATTTGGGCAGGAGTGGTGGGGGTGACGGGTGTTCTGGCCTATTTCGCCGTCATTCTGAGTCACTTTTGGGCCATCCATCTACTGGAGAATCCCCACAGTTATTACTTTTCACACAGCTTCGACTCGACACACAGCTTTCGACTCGACACCCAACTCTCTACGGTGCAAGGTCGGGTAGTTTAGAACATTTGTGTTCTGGCTGTTCAGGTTACGAGTGGATACTTTTGATCTTCCAAGGTGACACAAAACTGCCGGTGATCAGCCATTGTGTGCAACTTTCCGCCTACCGTGGTTAAAGAAAGACAAGATGGAAGGTAGAATTAGTGCGCTAATTGTAGTATGTACGCATTTTGACGGGTGGAGACAGATGCCAAGATGGTGAGGCGTTTGATTGGGATTTGTAGGGTTGGGAATCGACTCAATGTCTGACCAACTGCAGCTCGAATTCTATACGTATAGCTCATGAATATTATAGGCCGGCCGCACAAGGAGATAATAGAGTGGGCGTACGGGCAAGCACTTGTAGGTACAGGTAGGCACAGGTACCGGTAGGCACAGGTACCGGTAGGCACAGGTACCGGTAGACACAGGTACGACGAGAGGGGCAGACATCTTCATTCCTGCGTTCGTCTTGGCACGAGAGCTTCCGACAGGCGTCTCTCAGCCGTGTATCTCCGATCTCCAACGACGAATCCACGAGTCGGGCCTTTTGTGGAACACTTGAGTTCCCTGAGTGGGAATGGAAGTAAGCAAATGCAAAACTCGGCTAAGGTTGCACTCACTTTTCTTCCATCGTCTCATGAGCCAGCGTCCATCTCTCGATCTGTTCCCAAATCGAAACCCTTCTTCCAAGAACAGTATGCTATGATTTGTTACCAGTCCAGGTGCCCCCGTTGGTCTGCCTAAAGTTATTATTCCGGGTTGGACGGCTAGCCCTAGTTTGCAACACATTAAGGTTCCCAATGTACTCCCAATCTGTGGCTTGCCGTCTTGGTTGAGGGACAGGGGCCCCAATACGGCTGACGCTTCAAATCGGACTGCGCAGACATATACTTCTGGAACGGGGCTTTCTAACAACCCTCTTAAAGTACCATGTTGTCTCACAAAATGACCGACTTTCCGCTCTCGCAACTTTATCCAACTTAAACCTCTTCCAAAATTGTTCCACGGCTATGTGGACTACTTTAATCTCCGTCGGGCGGGCCTACCGTCGGAACTCGTTCAGTTTCGCCGCCAGAGCATAGAAAACCGTGTTGATGGAACCGGACGGGCTTCAGAAGTCATTTTGATACCACTCATGTCGAAAATCGTACCGTTGGCGCGGTTTTTGGGGCCCACGCTGACATACTCCCCACTACTCGCGTTTGCGAACTTGGCACAGACTTACGAGTTGTGGACAATTTGGGTTGTTGCTCATGATCCATACCATGTGTTCAGGTTTTCCACGTTATATCGGGCCCGATCGCCAAATGACGGAGGAACTTTTCGACATCATTGAGGCACGTAACAAGGTAAAAGACGAGATGCGAGACGAGGTGTGAGACAAGCACACCCGTCGTCTTCGACTTGCCCCAATTGGGTCTCATTTGCGCCCATATATTATCGCTATCTTACGATGCTCATTTCCCTGTCCCGCATCCCCACAAGTGACGTCCGAAGAAGAAACATTGGGGTCTAGGGTCTTCGGAACGAGCTCCAATCGTGAGCAGTGCTCCCGTTAATACATTTGATCATGTGACCAAGGGCTCCTTCTTCCAATTCACTACTCGTTGCGTCTGGCTCTTGTGCCGTTGGCCCAACCCAATCTTCGAAATACCGCCCAAGGTCCCCAACGACAGGGTCTCATCTTGGCTCCTTCAAATGATCCGCGATTCCCGTTTATTATCCTGATATTATGGGCCGGCGCTGTATGGAATACGATACGAACATGGGTGTGGAGGCACCACGGGTCTCGGTGGTTTGGTTGGAACGGGACGATTTTGACTGCTGAAACCTCTTGGGAAGTTGCTTGCGACCCGGCCTCGTCTCAACGCGTACTTCAAATTACACATTCAACCGTTTCTGTCACGCACTAAACCCACGATTTTGGAGACAGTCCTGTTTTCGGACACTGTGCAGACATGACATGCAAGGTCGACACGCTAAGAGGTTGTCTTTCGGGCCTGTCACCTATAGCGCTACTGGACTACTGTACTGTAACTGGATTAGTAAGATTAGTCACGTTCATCTCAAGTGGCTATAACCGAATACAAGCACTGTTTTATGCACCCTCCTACTCCTCCCGGTGCAATGTTGATCCCCCACCTCCCTATCTGGTTAGACCCGCACTAGCGCATCTATCCGAGATCCACTTTTCGGCCAGGTGGAGCCTTGGAAAGGAACGCGAAGCTGGTTCGAGGCGGCGCGCACGCGTCCTTGAGCAACCGATAGGGTTGCGACATCTCGAGAGGCAAATTGCTGTCTCATTTGCACCATTCCATTCCGATATACTATCTATCTCATTCTTGTAGGTCCTAGTGACTTGATAAATCAAATATTGGCACAGTAGATCAAAGAGCTGTCATATTCTATTATTAGTTGGAGATCAGTAGACTGCTTTTAGACCGCATCCAACGGTTGACATGTGCAAAGAGCATAACAGCCCATGAACTTGTGGTCTCAATCACGAATCACGTGGAATCAACCAATCACTCTCGGGAGCCGTTGATCTCATGGATTGGAGGCATTTTCAATGTTTACTTTTTCATTCAGTAGTGCTTTTTCCACAGCTCGTATGGACTTTCTTTTCCTCGGTGTAGATTTACCAAACTAGATTTACGAGACCAGAGATCTGAGAGATTGTGAGAGGCCGGGCAACTACATGTCCCGTGTCTATACCTTCGGTTTGTACACTCGTCAACACAGCAGGATCCACATCCGAAAGTCCTGACATTTGTCGTCTGAATCGTTCCGGTACGCAACGTCGTACTGTACGGAGAGTACATGATCAGTAGTAGCTCCTCTACATGTACTGTACATGCTTTAGTGTTAAATTGGATGAAAAAAGCAAGTGTAAACGTACTGTGTACCCCTTCTTGTAGAACCACCCTTCAGTCTCTTTAGAGACGTGCAACCTGTCTAGCCTGTCTTGCCTGGTTCTGTCCGCTTGTCATCATTTGACGCCATGGATGTATATCGGTTCCTTCTGCGAAAAAGAAATTTCCACTCAACCCCACCCTTCCTCTAACAACCATGTCTCCCCAGCCAGCTAGTTTTTCATCTACAGTACCCTTGAACTGTAACGGCATATTTCTTCGGCGGTTGTACAAGGACAACACCAGGCAGGATGACGTATTAAACGGCGCCAGTGGGATCCCACAAGTCGCCTTACTCGCAGGAGACGGTCAGGGGAGTTCTAGAATTCCCCATCCTCGGCCTTTAAGCAACGCTTGTGAAAAAATAGGCGTCGGCCGGCTCACGGCCAGCACGAAAGCGTCACTCCCAAAACCGCCCATAAATGTTCGCCAGATTGAGATCGAGATACCAGTATCATTTGCAGGGCAGACGCAGATCCATGCTGTCATGCTCGATTTGGGAAAGCGTTGAGAGATGGAAGTGAAATTGCAGGCATGTACGGTATTTTCTCGACTGGAGAGGATGATGACAGCACCTGGAATGGGTTCCTGGCGGTGGAAACACCAGCTACTTTTCTCGTTGGTATCCCACTGGAACCAGCGTGCCTTTCTCCATCCAACAGGAAACTCCAAGACCTCAATCCATAAGTATTCGTCAACTGAGATACCCAAATACACTTTGGCAATCCATCACCAGACACATGATCTTCGCAAAACCAATTCAGTTGAAAGAGTGTACAGTGGAGATCGAAATCAGCAACTTGAAGGAATTCCCCAACTGTCAAGCCACAAAATATTGCACTGACGTGGAAATCGGCCCACATACAGGTATCTCCATGTTGTTTTTTGACATCTCCGAATCCAGACAGATATGAAACAAGTGTGGTCTAAATGTGAGACACAACAGCACAATGTGAAACTGCTGACCGGACATTACCAGGCCGATTTTCTCGCCTTGCAGAAACCATCGACTCTTGTTCGGTTAGCTTTAACGAGGACATATGAACACTGCTGTTTCAAAGACTCGCTTAACTAGCACCGTAACTGCAAGAGATGTATAGTTGGAAGTCTAAGTATAATCGGTTGTATATTCCAATCTTGATACTGCACTCACTCAACAAAAGAGGGCGTGAAACGAGGGGTTTCTTTTTTCCCACCCTCGTGTCGTCTTTGCACCATCACCTTATCACCATCCGCTAAGCGCTCAAGCGCGGGGGAGCTCAACTTGCATGTCATGCCATTATGTTGAGTAAGCGCGCTGCTCTTGTCAGACACACAAGCATATTATGTTGCTGTGTCTGAAAAGTCAACCTTACAAGCTCTATATTTCC